CAAGTCTTTTTTACCTTGTTTGTAGTTTCAAGGATTATTCTGACCATGTTGTCATGTCTAGGTCATGCCCTACCTTTCACGTCGGGCGATTGAAAACAAGAGCGTTCTCGGAGCAGGGGGTGCCACAAGAGAGAGAAAGGGGGCTGCGGCTCTCATTTGGAAGAAGATGAAAGGATTGGTTGTGTCATAGATATCTGTGCCCGTCGCATTTTTATTGGGTGATTTTGATGCAACAAAGGCCGCTCTAGACGCAGGATTGTAAGTACTGGTATGTAGAAGTAACTAACCACATCACGGACTTGGAGACGTAACAGATATCCTAATCACAAGAACGGTTTGCGCTTTGCCTACGAGAGCATTGGAAAACAGATATAGCCTACACTGCCTATATAGTGAAATCCTTCAGTGTCCAAGTAACTCCCTGAATTCCAGGCCCCATTGCTCATTCTTTCGTGATTCCTCCACAAAGGCATCGAACTTGGGCGCGCTACCCGCACTATCGATTTTGCTGAGGGCAGCGACAGCGCGCATCGTGCTTCTCCGTAGCTCCGCCGCGCGTTCGATGTCCTGTTTTACCGTGTCTTTAGTGACAGCTGTGCCGCGCATCGTCGATTCAAGACAGGGCGTAAGTTCGTCGAGGCGCTGCGCAAGTGCAATGGACGTTGTTGGAGATGCTGACAGCCGCGCGAGGAGCATGTGCCCAATCACTTTAATCTCGTCCGACGGATCGCTGATGGCTGCAAGCAAGTGCGAGAGGAAGATCGATAGGTCGAGTTTGGCGAGGCAGGTATCGAGCTAGGAGTGCATGAGTAAGGGAAGGGCACGTGTATGGCAAATACTTACAAGGGTGTACAGTGTCTCCCATGCAGTCTTGCGCGCGTCGAGTCCGTCATCGACTTTGTGTGTCCAGGGCCCCATTTGGACCGTACGAATGAGATCGGGGTTGACTTTCATCTCCGCATAGAGGCTCGGCAGTAGAGTTGGAAGGTGATCACGTATGAGGTGGGGCTTCGTTCTTGCCGCAGAGTTGAGAGCGGACAACGCAAGACGGCGGACATTCTGAGTAATTTATATCAGGAAATTCAAATTTATTAGAGCAACCGGCACACCAAATCTTTATCATGTATTAAATCCAAGAAATCCATGATCAGCGATGCTAAAAGCTCGTCATATGATGGCGACGACTCCGCAAGCGTATGACGGATAGCAGATACGACAGTGGCGCGTGCTGCAGGGTTCTCGTCATGGATGCGAGAGTGAAGGTGTGGGAGATATCGTGTGGGATGTGTTGTAGTAAGTTTGCCCAGACAGGCAGCGGCAACATTGCGTGTGCTGTCCTCCGCATCCTCCGAGTATTGAAAAAGGGGTGCCCAGAGCTGCTCTGCAACACCTTCGAGCTGTCCATGCGAGCAATGCGTGACGACCTAGACTGACTCTCAGAAAACAAATTATCACAAAGACTAAATTTCAGACCTCCTTCAATGCATGCAACGACAGCAGCTTCTTATGCGGATCACTTTCTGCAATCCTGAGGATTGCAGGCAAGAATTGATGAAGATTTCCGATAGCAATATTTCCTAGGTACGTCAATCCATATACCCAGTTAATGTGTAGAATTTACTTACCAGCAGCAAATGCGGCAGCAGCACGAATCTCCTCTTCTTCTGCTGCGAAATGTTCGATGGTACTACTAAACGTATCTTGTTGCTTCGACATATCACTGCGACAGGGTTATCGATGGAACAGAAATACTGAGAATCTGACATACATGAAACGGCCAAGTTCTCCAACAATTAGCAGACTTAACACCACAACAGAAGTGGCAGACTTTGACTTTGAAGATTTCTAGAAGCAGCGCAATGTCAGAAATGCGCTAATTTACTGTACATGGGCTCACCTTTATATACTTGGAATAGACCGCGATTGTTCCTGCTGCCACTCCCTGAGAGCTCTGGACAACTTGGCCAATGCATTTAGCGACATTGGCTAAATTGGCGTCTGACTTGTTGGCCTTTTCCGCTGATGTCGCCAAGCTAGGAACAACGTGGGTTGCAATTTGGCTATCAGCCTGCACCAACAAAGAGAAGAACATAAGAAGTGAATCGAGAGCAGCTCCTGACACAAGAGGCGAATGTGCAATCTGATAGATATCACCAAGGAGCTCACGCTCAACTTCAGGGAAAGTCGCGATCGGAAATAACTCGAGTAACACTGTAATGATAGTCAATGCATGAGACAGTAAGGAAATGTCTGTTGTCGATATGTATGGTTTGATCTGGGGGACCAAAGTGGGTGGCAGATCGGTGGGAACGCCAGATGAATATCTGGACAAAATGAGGTTGCTTCCAGATCTCCAAGAGATGAACTGACCTTTTTAAAAGAGTATCGAGGGCAATAAATATCTCTGGTTTTCCTCCCCTCTCACTTTTCTTTAGTAAACCCATGATCCATTCAACGCAGCAGTTCACCCAGTCATCACTCATTTCCACATCCCTCGCAACTTTCGTGACCACTCTAACAGCTCCTCCTGTATTACCCGTGGTCCGACATATGGCTTGCCATTCCTTACCGCCTTTCGGTTTGATGACATCAGGAGCGCAAATCCATAGGTCTGCAATACAGTCCTCAGCGCATCCGCGAACCTCGGCGTCTGTGTCGTGAATGCTGAGACGCTGAAAAGCTTGGTCATACAAACGCTCTGCCCATTCGCTATTCTTTATGGGCCTCGTGGCATTGAGTAAAGCAGAAAAGACACGGAAGGCTTCTGAAGCAACTCGAGGGTGTTTCTCTCCAGCTGACTTCAAAAGGACAGGCGTCAGAGTAGGAAGTGACATAGAAAATGTCCCGGGAGCATGCGTCGCGAAATACAATGCGATGAAGGAGAGACATGTAAGGTGAAGGGCCGAAGTTGAGGTCGCTGGTGACTGAATCAGCACAGATTGAGAGATTGCGGCAATGGGTATAATTTGGTTGGAAAGACAACCAGGAAGAACGCCAAGTAAAGCGTACAGAAGCTGGAAGCCTGCTTGAAGCGTCGGTGGTGGAGTCTTCGGGGACTTGAGTTGCTGGAGCAAGGCCTTGGATAATGAAGAAACCTGTGAGCGCAGAAGGGTATGTGGCGTTTCCTCGACATCCATTCTCTCTTCGCTATCTCTTTTCCTCTTCCTAATGGCGGAATCGTTCTCTTGAGATTGTAGCAGGCCGCCGTACATGCTAGTCTGGTTCAGTAGAACACCATAAGCTGCCCACACTTCGAGCCGAACAGTTTTCTCCCTGTCACCAAACCTCGATATTAGCACAGGCGACACCTCCTTGTACAATGAGGTCAGAAGCTCGGGGCGAGTAGTGATCACAGCAGCTAGAAGTTTGGTAGAAGCACGCCGGATCTTGTACGATGTGTCTTCATCGTCAGAGTACCTAAATGCGCATTGTGAGCAAAATAAAAAATAAAACAGATCATGTCTCACTCATCAATATCGGCATCGTCGTCGTCATCATCTGCATCTGCCATCTCTTCGTCCTCACCGTCATCCGGTCCAGCATAGTTCTGTGGACAGATGGGATCTAACCATACAAAGTTATGAATTCATAACTCACTGGGTCATATTTGATGAACTGGCTTCCTATCTGTACTATCGAGCTTAGGAACGGTGCCGCTTCTGTCGGAGACCTCAAGAGTAACGTCTCAAGAGCCTGATCGAACATGAGTGATTGTCATGACAGTGTTGATGTGGAAGAAATATTTGCGAACCTGAAGACAACCTTCACGAAGTTCATCATCGTCCCTCTGGACGGCTTTGATGACTCCAGGTATGATGTCATTGTACACTGATGTCAGCTGCTGCGGTGCCTGCCGTATGATAGCAGCAACCAGATGCACAGTCGTGCGCTGTTTTTCGAGGTTAGCGTTAGGTGCAAGGAATGGGAGAATGTGGGTCTGCAATAGATCGTTGACGAGTGCAGGAGGAGCTACAGGGACATATTGTGAGAGCGTCAGAATAGCACGTTTGCGTACAGCAGGACGAGAGTGTGAAAGAAGCGGAGCTATTGCAGGCAGAGGGTGCGGCGTCAGGGCTGGATCAGATACGTGAGCAGGGAATCGAGTAATGAGTATAGATAGCGTTGATAATGTCTCGATCAAAGTCTCCGGTGGGGTTTCCGTCTACAAGTGGCCATGTCAAGAGCAGGATCAATATTGAAAGAAACAACTCACATTCGAAACTTGCTGTAGAAGCTTTGGTGCGAGCTTTGCGCATGCTCTGGGAGTAATTTTGCCTTCCAGTGGCAACTCGGAAGTAATCGTTTTCAATGCTGTATATTTGCTATTAGGATATGAGATGTGTCAACGATCTCGATGACCTACCCAAGCCAGAGATATCACGCAGTTCATCGTCCTTTCCTACTGAGAAGTTGATTAAGCTATCAACCACGAGTTCCATCTGCGTTTCGCGGATGATCTTGATCAATTGACCTAGACTAAATGCACAGGAAAACATAGAAGTTATAAGTCCCAAGAACAAGACAGGGTAGATGTTGGCCGTACCACTTGACAGCCTGATTCTTGACTTCCGAAATCCTATCTTCTACTAAGGAAAGAACCTGTTTGAGGACCTTTGTCTCGGTAGGCTCATCTCCGATGAAGCTGGCTGGATCTTGTTTGATCTCGCTCATCAGATCGTTCAGACCCATAAATCTATCGAGTACTTCAGAAAACACGAAGATGTATGTTTGGGAAAGCTCACGCACCGAAAGTCCTGGTCCGGAGATTGCATCTATAGTACACGAGATTGCAAAGAGCTCAGTTGATTCCAGTGAGTAAACTTTAAGGTACTAACTTTCTCAATCAGGCTGTTCATAAGATACGTCTTCGTCATGGTGGCCGTGTGTTGAATCGTGGATCAAGATGTTAATGTGGTGGAAGCTGGCAGACAGGAGCCACACAACGCGCTTTTAGTAGAATACTTACAGATTTCAGTCACGCACGTCAGTGACGTCACAACTCCAAGAGACGATGGACTACAATTGAGCTGAGAACGGGAAGAACAACAAGATACTACAGTGTCGACGAATAGGTCACAATGCAATGCCGGTCATCATATATGTACATAGAATAGAACATAAATACTACTGATACGGTGTAGAATCATTGAGTCCTTGAGTAGGTGCCAGCCCCTCACTACAAAATGCCCGCCTCCTCCAACATCTTCCTTATAGGCGGAGTATCAGGCTTCAACTCGCCATTGAGAGGTGCTGCATATCTGCGCTTATTACGACTATAGGTGACAGGCCAAAAAAGTCCATCACCCTGCCAGTCACAAAACAGGTCAATCATTGGGGCAGTCCGACAATTGTATCAAGAGGTTCACCATCTTCGTCTGGGCAGCCTTGGGCAGGCCAGAAATTCTCCCTTGATACCAGTCATAACCTGTGGAGTGAATCCACACGCTGTCGCCACTCTGGTAGTCAGGTCGTTAGAGGAACAAAGGAGTCGATTTAGAAATACAATGCTACCTGGAATCTATATGGCCATGGCTCCTCGAGGGTATCCGGTTGGGATTCTTGGAATGATATATCACCGTAGGCACCATCGTCCCACTCCTTGAGATTTACATAGCGTAGAGGGTTTGGCCTCCGGTCGGTCCCCATGATACTGCGAGGATCCTTCTTGGGGGTTGTGTACATATCTGAGGTGAGTCAGGGAAATCAGAAATTGGAGGACTGCTTTGAAGTTTGAAGTTATCGTGAATGCCTGTATACCAAGTTATTTCTGCAAAACCAACTCAGACTCTTCATATATACCCAGTCGGTGTGGGTTGTGTGGTGACTTCGCATCTCCATGCCAGAGAAATGGACCACTGCTAAGTGCTTTTAGCTTTGACGAAACACAATGGAGTTGGCGATGGCGTAGCTTACAATTGAACCATTGTTCTAAAAGTACTGACCACTACCGAGCACCGCCAATGGCGAGTCACTTTCTCCATTGGTCACGATAGCACCTATTGTCACCCCTTTGGTGGCTGCCTGAAAGAAGTCCACAGTTTTGCCACAGTTAAGTAGTCATTGACCGGTGACCTGCATGCATGATACTGTTGTCAATTAAACGCTGGTCGAGCACATTTCTCGAACTTCTTTTTTTGCAACTTGCCGCCGGGTAATTCCCGAAGTGGAGCGGAAAGTTCTTGCTGGTCTAATACTCGTTCAACAGTTCACACTTATTGGATCTAACATTGTCATGTACAAAAAGGCCAAAGAATTACATGCATATTACGACAACAATAATGCACAAGCGAGTGTTAAGACATCCATTTTATGACAAAGTCCTGCAATTGGATAAGCGAGCTGATCAAAGGAAAAAATTGAGCGGAACATCGATATCAATAAAATGCGGCGTGATTGCGAGGCTGGAAAAATAATCATAAAAAAGACTGAAGACCCGAGGACGGTACCAAGCGAAGGGTGGATGACTCATGGTGCACTATTCCCACTGTCTGGGCAAAGAACGGAGTCTCTGGTGTCACTGGGCCTTCCGAGTCGTTGGTTGTGGCCGAGAGTGTGTCTGTAGCCGCAGAAGGTGGCAGGGACTCCATACCAAGTGTCCAGGTTGGCCCATAGAGCCCACGCATTACTACAGTCGCGTCATGGGCACTACTTGAGTCTGTCGGCGGGGATGTCTTGCGTTTAGATAAAGTCTTTCTGGAGATTTTGCGACGTATGACTGGCACCAGCTTTTGGCATGCGCGGATAGCGGATCGATAAACCGATTTCGAGCGAGAAGAAAGGGGTTCCATAGGGGGGCTGAAACCGATGCCGTAGCCAATCTGTTTGACGCCAAGGGGAAGTTTCTTGAGCAGCGGATCAAGGTGAGGAGACCTAAGTGTAGGGGTGCTTGCAGAACGCATCCTCTTGCGAAGCTTATTTCGGACATGCAATTTGGTGGAAGGGACAGTGCTTGCGATAGATAGGGTGGAGCGGGCACGATCTTGAAAGGTTACCGACCGACTCTTTCGCAGTGTGCCAAAGTTCTCTGGTGGCTCCTCACGACTGGTTGTGCTCGGGTTAGAGTAGTGCGAGGAAACGGAGTTAATCTCCAAATCAAGAGCGTCCCACAATGATAATGGACCTGCCGGAGTGTGTCCTAGGTCCATGACTGCAGAGCGCTGCCTGAAACGTCGTACATAATCTTGCGCGCTCGACTCCACTTGACCTACGTCCAGGGATTCCTCTTCGTCAGAAGCTTCAGGTACAATTTCTAGGCGAGTGCTTTGTGAAGAGATACGTCTTTGTGTTTTGAGAATAGCATCTTTTTGCGCGTTGAGAGATCCAGTTTTGGGTTTTACTATTCGTTGTGGCATGGGGGTGAATGAATCCACGATTCTCTCTTCGGCCAAGGTCAGAGGTTCATCTTCTGTAAGGACCACCACTTTCTTTGCATCTGAAACAGCCATATTATCTTCGGAATGTCGTATGTTGATGTCAGGATTCTCATCATCGTATCCGAGGGGTGCTACAGTGAATGTCAGTTTAGCAGGCAAGCACTCGCAAATTTGTATCCAAACCCTTGCCAACCCTGTTGGTCACGTTGTTCCAATGCCTACATCAAGTTTCGACAATGCGGTAGCGCCCAGAGTTGTAAAACTCACACAGTGCAGAAGTATGTATGCGCCCTAATCTGTTTGATGTCCAAGCGAAGGGCTGCATTGCGCTCCAAACACTAACACAAATACGTGCATCAGCCAGCGCGCGCGTCAACATATTCCGAAAACTCACTTTGACTAAAAGATCTTGCGCTGCCCATGATACTGACACTGTCTGGGGAATCATCAGCGGGCAGTAAAGGACCTTGGTTTGCAGAATGGCAGCGTTGTCATTGTCGTTGTCGGCAACGTATGGGTGCTAGAACGCGTAAATAAATGGAGAAATTGATGCGGTAAACTCACAGATCCGAAAAGCATCATGTATATCAGCAGGCCAAAGCTCCAACAGTCAACACTAAAATCATGCGCCCACCCTAGGATGAGTTCAGGAGCACAATACAAACCAGTATCAGGCAACGGGAAAGAGGCTTCTGAATCAGGTCTGCATGCTTGACCAAATCCCGTAATGACCGCATGTCCCGACGTGTCGAACATGATATTACATGGTGCCAGATCACGATGAATTATGCCAGCAGTATGAAGCGTGTCCAGCGCCTCTACCTATTGCAGGTAAGCATATTTAATTGCGTCACTTGGCTTGGCTTACTATTTCGCAAGCTATGCGCAGGGCGTGGCTTTCGCTAAGGCTCGTGTCGCGGTCGAGCAAATCCTGGAGACTGCCATTAGGGTAAAACTCCTGGTTCAAACTGTTGGCACCTGGAGCGCAAGAGTAAAAGTAAAGCATACCGCGATGGAATGAATTTCAAGGCCATCCTCGTGGATCCAGATGAATGGTGAGAGGAAAGAAGACCGCAGTTCGCGAATTTCCTGGCAAATTTCCATTTGAAGTTGGATGTGATCATGAGGACTACGAATTTGAAGGCGCTCCTTGTTCAAAATTCGTATAGCATAGAATTTGAGGTTGTCACGTTTTCGGCATAGATGTGTCGATGAGATGGAATCTTTGAACAGTGTGTAGAGTAGTCGGAACTGCATGGCTATGTCTGAGCGTAGATTTAAATCAATATTCACAAAACCCACATCACCGGCTTTCACGCCTTGCCCGGAGGAATGGATGAGTCTTGGTTTCGGTGAAATGACCATCACCTCCTACAAAGATCATCGATCATCAGTACCTCGGACGCTCATCGGTATAAGAGACACTGCACCTCGATTTCTCCATCCCTAAAACGAGGAGCGAGATCAACAATATCCTTAAACTAGAGTTTAGGTGTCAGAGCGATTCTGATACCCAAAGGAGAGATGATGAACCTCGACGTCATAACTCAGGTCCGAGACCATGCCTGCTTGTTTCTGAGTTTCCGGAGGGTCCGGAAACAACAGGGATGTTGCAATATCGTCGTCAAGAAGACCAGTGAATGACTCCTACGTCAAAGGTAGTTAGCGTGCAACTCAGACTGCGGAAAACAATCATTTTAGTACTGAAAAGGGTGAGAGGTCAAAAGATTCGACAGCGAGCCTTGGGGCTAGTTGAGAGTATTGAGAAATGATGGACTTCGATATACTGCGAGCGGGAGAAGAAATTGGAGCTGGCTGTGTGTCGATAGCAGGCATGGTGATGTGCATTGTGCAAGTACCGAACTTCCAATGAGCATTAAGTGTGTGAATTGGTGCCGGTTTCTTATGAATACATGTCAACGTGCAGGATGCCTCGTAACTAGTTTCCCGAAGGTACACAAAATGAAAGGAAGATTCTTGGTCGTTTCCTCAAGATGGATGTCTCGAGGAAACTAGCGGTTACATAGACAACTGACTGCCTTGCTCCTTAAGCCTAAGCCTGAAGCTTTGAAATTTGAAGTCTCAAAATTTCATGATCTATCGTACGTAACAGATATACCTAGACCCCAAAGACAAGTAACTCTAGCGGGTGAGCGCAGCGAAGCGATATCAAGTTGTCGAGAAACGATGAGAGAACACAGAAAGATCAATTAGACAATCGCACCCTTTTCATGAAGTTGTGATAAGCTCCTGAATAAAATCGGGTATCTCGTACGAAATCTTAAGATGATGCATACTGTTAAATTGAGGTATAAGCTGGTGGAGGTTCATCATTCGCAACTTCTGTCTGCACGGTCAACGTACGCATCTCCACATTCTCAGGAGGTGATGAGTGCCTGACGGGGGAAGTGTGTGCTGAAGTGACCCTAATGGACGGTGCTTGAACAGTAGATGGATCAGCAGAGACTTGTGAATGTGTCGAAGGGGGAGAAGGAGAGAGGGGAAACCCAGGGGGTGGTAAGCGGGCTGAATTCGGGGAAGAGGGAGGTGAAATGTGTGGGGTCTGGTTTGAATAATATGAGTGGTGGGTTGGAGAAGGCATGGTGGGAGATCGCATGCGTGTAGAATGTGCCGTTGGAGATGGCTTGGATAGTTGTGGAAATGAGGGTGCTACAGGCATTCCATGTCGGTTCAACGAATTCAGTTGACCGGGGATAGGTCTTGATGACTGTAGCCCAGGAGGACATTGTGATTGAGTGGGGTATGAATGATACACATTTGATTGTGGCCTGCCATAGCTGTTACTAGGTGTTCCATACAGGAAGGTTGTCTGTGCAACACGTTGGAGTCTTCGCCGGCGAAGAATCCTGCCAAAAATAACAATGGCCAAGAGAATGACTGCCGCAGTTGAGCTAATGCTAAATATTCTAAAAAATCATACTTACTTCCGCCAATAGTAAGACCGACGATAGTCGACGTGGGGAATGGAGTACAGTCATTCGAATCCGCCCTAGATTTTATCTGAGACAAGAAATAAAAATAATTTTTGGGAGAGTAACTCACGAGTACATGCAGGATGCATAGACTTGAGAAGCACAGAGGAGAGTGACAAAGAGTGACATGATATTTACGATACTAGCTCCGTAATGTTGAACTTGAGGCGTCAATTCTATTCACTGGCAGTAGTATCCGGTCGCTGTGTAGCAGCTAGGTGTGCTCCAAGAACGACTCTGCGTTAGTCAACCGAATAACAACAATTTCTTGATAGAGAGCGTCGTGGAGGCGAGAAAGATGAAGTTTGTGTGTAACTTAAAGAAGAGAGGATAGACCCATCCAAGTTGACAGTGGATACCGCACAGATGTACTCGTGACTTTGTGCCTATAGAAGCTGTAGTGACATGCAAGTGACATGAGACAGCTGATATCGGCCGTATGGCGGATCCGTACATGGGTCAGACCCTGGAATCTTCCGATCGAAATTTGAAGCGTGCCGTGCGATAACTTTGAAAACAGTACGGCTGGTAGAAATCAGCTAGGGCCTCCTGAGTGCTGACTCGGAGCAACTAACTAATGGGCATATAGATAAGTCGCTTAGCAGCTCCTAATGGTAAGATGTACGTATAATAGCTGGTTGAAATTGGTCGCAAACTTGCAAGGTTGGTAAAATGAATCACGACATAATAAGTTGACTCGGAGAGCCGGAGCGCCTGTAGCATATGCTACTTTACTTCAACCTTGCACACCCTCGCCTAATTTGATGACAGAATCAACTAGCACATCCGCACGATCGCAGAACACAAGCTATATTGTTAACAAGAATGGTGCAGATCGTGCGTTCTACATCTTTCTGTCAACAACTTTAACTACTGAGGCGAACAACGTGTTTCAGAACTTGTGGACATCCTTCAACGTCGCCCGGACGGACAGGTGTATGTCCACTATGATGGATTTGATAAACGCCTAGACGAATGGATTCCAGGGGCTAGCCTCAAACCTGCTAACGAATCCGCGCGCAAAAGGAGGAGGGACACCCCTTCACCTGCGCCTACAGAGCCAGAAACGCGGCCCGATCCCCTCATGACCGAGGAAGAGTTTGACATCAAACACCACAAACAGATCACTGCGCAAAGAAATTTTGACAAGGTCAATTTTGGGCAGTGGCGGATCAAGACCTGGTGTGTAGCGCGTATTATAATAAACTTCTTCTCACTCACATCATGTTGTAGGTATTTCTCACCTTATCCACTCACAGACTCAGAGCTCGAGGATAGCACTGGACTACCTGGAGGTTCAGCTTCGACGTCCAAGATTCCTGGTGTCAACAGAGCGACTGTTCGATCACATGGGCGCACCTCTGACCTCTTGGCCGGCGGGCTTACTCGCTCACACCTATCTGGTGAAAAGAGCATATTATGGGTCTGTGATCGCTGTTTCAAGTACATGGCTGAGGGTGCAGCATGGGAAATGCATGTAGTACGTCCTGATCTTGTTGTGTGTATGGCTAACTTATGTCTTGCTCAAGAAACAATGCGACAGAAGGCATCCACCAGGACGAAAGGTTTATCAGCGAGGTGCGCACATAATTTGGGAGGTCGACGGCGCCAAGGACAAGGTCTCTACATATTGCTGCCCTCGTCCGAATACTTACCAAGACCTTCAGCTCTACTGCCAAAACCTCTCGCTCTTTGGAAAATTGTTCATCGACGTTAAAACTTTGTTCTTTGATTGTGACAACTGTGCGTTTAAGCCGAGAACAACTTAATGGCTCCCACTAACACACGAATCAGTCTTGTTCTATATCCTTACAGACGCAGATTCACAACGAGATCATGTTCTTGGGTTCTTTTCGAAGGTATCTCGTTTGCTCCGAGTATACATCGAGTCCCGAATGCTTATTCCGCCTGCAGGAGAAAATATCTTACGATGACTATAATCTTGCGTGTATCATTGTTCTCCCTCCATATCAGCGCAAGGGCTATGGAATGCTCATGATCGAATTCAGTACGTGCGAGCAAGCTTCACAAACTGTCAAAATTCTGCGGCTCACATTATGCAGGTTATGAAGTATCCCGCCGCGCTGGTAAAATTGGTACACCTGAACGACCCCTTTCAGATTTGGGCTTGAGAAGCTACCTCACATACTGGGTGGCTACGCTCATTCGCTTCTTCAGGTACTTGTCAACTCTTCGCTTATGCACTATCCTCATCATTTTCGTGTAGACGACTTTTGTCAGTTCTCCCACCCGATCGACCCACGGTTACGTCTTCAGGGCGACTACCTGACCTAACTGGTGTACTGCCTCCTCCCTCGGAGGATGCTAATTCACGAAAAAAGCGAGCGAAAGGATGGGATGGAGAAACACCCGATTCAAATTCTACATTTTCATCGCCAAACGGGTTGGATGGTGAGTGTCTACTCGTATCTAGATGCGATTCCGTCCAGTACTCATCATATCCGTGTGAATCTAGACACAATTGCAGCAATGCGCACGGTGCTGACAATCTCTAATCCTGACGGCAGCGCGACCTCGCATGTCGTTGTGCGGTCCACCCTTGCAGAGATCGCATCAGCCACGAATCTACGCATCGAGGATGCTGCATTTGCGTTGAATGAATGTGGGCTTTTAGGGAGCACATTGGACGGTGTGGTGGGGATCACAAGGGAGATGGTGGAGGCCGTGGCCAAAGAGAGGAATGTAAAGAGGATGTGTTTGGATCCTGCCCATGTCATGTTGACGTGATCACTTCTATCCACCAGAAAGGCGGGTTGTGCGCTCAAACACTTCATTTACAATGCCAACTTGTCAATCAGGTGCAATATCTGACCTCAGGGCACATTGCACGTATTCATCATGTTTACGATGGGGAAAATGAGGAGAAATAGAATGCATGGTGAAGTATGTGAGCGATCGTAGAGGCATGTGAACATAGCATAAGTGCTATAGGGTGCAGCGTCAAGCAAGTCGGAATGAAATCGTAAATATACATGAACCATTTTACTCCTGAACAGCTGCCTCGTGCTCCACCGCAAGAATTGCTTGCCGCTTCTCCGCCAGTCTTTTGGCACGACGGTCGCGAGTGGCCTGAAAATGTTGGTGCCAAATGCAATTTTGAGGACGTGAAAACTAACCTTGTTCTTCCCACGGCGAGCCTCCATCTGGTCGCTGAGGACCTTGGTACGGTTCTTCTCAGCTTTAGCTTTGTGAATGTACTCCATGAGAACGCGCTTGTTCTTGAAGACGTTACCCTTCGATTTTTGGTACAAGGAGTGATATCTTGTAACGCCGTCCAGGTGAGAACACGAGATCAGGATATGGAGGGAACACAACACACTCACAGGTGTTTGTCGATCTTGCCTGCTTCTCTGTACTTCCTCAACAACCGTCTCAAAACACGCTGTCTCCGCATCCACTGCACCTTGGTGGGAAGACGAGCCTCAGCAGTACCCTTTCTTTTACCCGGACCAGTGTGACGACCCTTGCGCTTGGCGGCAAGAAGGTCACGGGTGCGGGCACGGGAGTGGATAACAGTGGGCTTTATGATGACACGGCCATCTTTGATGAGTTTCTTAACGTGCGAGCGGGAGTTGGCATTCCCGATCTCAGCTTGCTCAGCGGGGTCGAGCCAGATTTTGCGCTTGCCAACACCGGCGACGGCTGCGGCGAGTCGCTTTTGAGAACGAAGGTTGACCATAGCGGCGTCTGGGTGCAAAGAGAAATAAATTTGAGCAGAACTTGGACCAGCAGCGTTTCTCACCTTGATCTTGAGGATTGTCGATGAGGACAGCTGTAACTTAGATTCACAAGCCCAGCCGTGATGTTACGTAATGAAGCCACTGAACCTTGTTCAGTTTAACTATACATATCTATCGGATGTTCCCGTGGCTACTATCAGTCCTGGCCTGGCCGCTTCCAACCCCTAGGAGACCTTTCCCAGTCCTCCGTCCTCCGACATACAACAAGTACTTTCTTCATGTCAGGATCGTTATCGGCCGAGTATAATCTAGTACTATAGATTATAGAAACAATTATCACAGATCCGTCAAAATCGCATCAGAATTAGCCCAGATGGTTCAACTTTGTATCAAAAGCAAAAATTGTTGCCAAGTATGACTTGCGTTGCCAACCTCGATTCATCAATGCATCACAGATCAAGCTGCAAGCTTCTCGAGCGCGCAATGACATCACCCTGCAATCAGCGGTAGCTTCGTGGATTTGTCATGAAAAATCCGAAGTTCCAAGTTAAGGACTCCAACCTCGAGGCTTGTTCCTGAACTGCGCACCCTCCCGGTCCCCGGAAGATATTGGACGCAATTCAAGCCATGAATATTTGTAAATGCCCGTCCATGACAACTAGTAGAGCAATAGACATGATGGAAACTAATTAACTGCTAGTAGTATGCATCATCAGCATGATCGCGAGGCTGGGGCAACGGGGCGAAAATTTCAAGGTTTCTCCATCGTCCACCTATGTGTACAGGTGAGTCCCACCCCAAAACTGTCCACTCCTAAATTTGGATCTGGGCAGACCCTTAGGGTATTGGGGATCATCAGGGTCTTCACAAAGCTTGTCAGGACTGTTCCTTGAGTAGCTGCCAAGTAGTAGTGCAACAAATAAATAATATGGATGTAAAGTCACAATATGATGAATGTAGTGGTGGAAGCCGGAATATTCTGGTTGCATTATTAATGTAACGTTTAATAACAGATTCTAGCTACGCTCACGCACGATGACAAGTATAGAATCCAGTGTATACCTCAAGTCAAAATGATATGCTAATACGTACGCTCAGTTCTGACAAGCTCTGATAGTACTTGTTAGTGATTATCGGATACACTCCAAGACAGACCAGGATAGTTGTAGCTGGTCGGGTTCAGATCACTCCGACACCGGCCAAGATATGAGCTAAGAATAAGAATGTTGGCAAAACCCGTGCAAACCAAAATATATTGACGAATAGCATTAACACCTAGACTAGCGCCAGGTTCGTGGAAATGCATGAGAATAAGAATGACAAGCTGACTTTTACGTTGACAATTGAGTTCAAGCGCTATTCTGACCTCAATTGGCTTGTTGAGCGTGGGTGGTCTACTAGTAAGTAAAACTCCGGGTCGGATGGGTACCCAGCTGTTGCTTACTCAGCCATCGTCAAACGTTCAAGACGGATCTTCCAAGGGTATCACCCTTTTTCATCACATTTTTGCCCCTCCAATATCTGGTCATCGCTAACATTGTCAACGTTGACGGAACTATAACTTGATTTGATCTTTGGCAGCTAAAAGCCCTGGTCCAGGGCTTAACAACGTCTTTTACGAGAGGGTTTAATTGCCATTTCTCGCCTTGCCGTAGGCAGGTCACCGTCAACGGCTGGGTTCTTCCCATTCATCCCACGACAGATTTCGATTATAATTGATCATCATCATCACCATCACCATCAAACTTTTTTCAACTGTTTCAAGTTAGCATGCTGTCTCTGTAGGGCACGACCTTACCACACCTCTCCTTCCTTTCATCTACGATTGGTCCTCTAACGAATACGATTCGCTATTAGGTCAGCAACGGAGACTAGTAGCCTCTGGTAACCCCCACGTTTATCTCGCCGTTTCTACCCCACTTGTCTTCTTTCACATCAATGCTGGTTCTTGACTCAGCAGATACCGCTCAGAGCGAGGGCGAAGGCCCTGATGGCTCAGACAAGCCCCCGCTTGATGGCAGTACTCTACACACTTACCCCCATCCAAATTCTTTCATCAACGGTACCACGTACCATATGCAACCGCCCAAGGTAGTCAAGGGTGGAACCCCACGCTCGGCAACGCCCTCCATAACAGATTCACCCTCACCATCGGAGAGCGAGAATTGGAGTGCTCCTTCAACCCGTCCTCCAAGCCAGGCTCCAAGCCGGGCTCCTAGCATATCGGGCGGTGTGTCAGGCAACAGACTAACCGTACCGAATACGTCAAAGACTCCTCAGAAGGGCAAACCTCTGCCGTCAGAGAAACCACCTACCAGCCGCTCGAGGGCACCATCCAACGCTCACTCGGACAGTGGGCAGAAATTCACTCTCAAAGATCTCATCACTGCTTCTGCACCTAAACTCTCACGCAAGTCTTCTGCCCGCTCAACTAGTAGCAAGAAGTCAGATTCCGACGTAGATCGAAAATCGGTTGGTGGTGAGAGTGCAGCCAGTTTAACGCAGAAGTACGGTGTTTGCCAAAAGGTTGCTATTGGCAAGGGGGCCACTTCTGTCGTCCGCCTAGCCCACAAATGGGATAGAAGTGAAGAAAAGCTGTACGCTGTCAAGGTAAGCAGACACGCCACTAGTCCCGTCTTTGCCCATCGCAGCCTTTGGCTGGTGCTCATCACGTCTTTTTTATATCAAGGAGTTCCGCAAAAGACGAAAGAATGAATCAGAAAAGGAGTACGTCAAGAAACTCACCGCAGAGTTTTGTATTTCCTCTACGCTACACCATATCAACATAGTTGAGACAGTGGATCTCGTTCAGGACGAGAACCAACATTGGTGTGAGGTTATGGAATTTTGCCCTGGTGGGGATCTCTACGCTGCAATCAAGAAGGGTGGTATGTCGCCCAGTGAAGTCGAGTGCTGCTTCAAGCAGATGCTTTCGGGTGTTTCGTATCTCCACAGTCAAGGCGTCGCACATCGTGATATCAAACCGGAGAATCTCTTTTTTGACACCAAGGGCCATCTGAAGGTGGGTGAACTGTTCATCCCTCGTGTGTTCTTGTCTTCTCATGCTTTTATAGATCGGCGACTATGGCGCATCGACTGTATACCGCCTGCCATGGGAAGCGACAATTCACATGTCGACGGGGCTTTGCGGTAGTGAGCCGTACATTGCCCCAGAGCAATTTTTAGGCAAACGTAAGCCACATACAACCCTCTTTAATCCGGTTGCCTAACTGCGTAGACAATAATTTCTTTATTTTGACTTAAAATAGCATACGACGCCCGTTTAGTTGACATATGGGCGTGCGGTATTGTGTATTACTGCCTCCACTTCCAAGAGATGCCCTGGCGTGCTGCTCAAATGTCCGACACGCTCTATGCGGCGTATGTCGCAGCCTGTGCAGTTTCGCACAAAGACAAGGATAAAGACAAGGATGTCGTTTTCCCACCGACTATCAACAACCTGAGCCCACGGGCGTGCCGCAGTTTAATCCGGAGGATGCTTGAGCCTGACCCGAAACTACGTTCTCCCATAGAGGACATCGTGGCGCATTCATGGGTGCAGGGTATAGAAGTTTGTCATGCTGTAGCAAAACCCACGCACGTGCATGTGCATGCGATGCAGCAAGCGCAGATCATATCATCATGAGGCGTTCTTGCGGGGGCATGTCGCGTGTGCCAACACCTTGTATGTTGTAACCTAATATCAGCCCTCTTGGAACACAGCGCCGCCTGTATTCTTGAAGCATAATACACAGAACAATACGCCTTCTGTCGTAGTATCCAATTTTCCTTTTTCTGCTATTACATCTGTCACTGTCTGCGCACCTGCTTACCATAGCTTCTTGTAGTACTTACTTGGCCATGGAATCGATGTCTTACGTCACCTACTATTGTCGAACGGCACAAGGACTCCTTTGCAATATAGAATATGTCATAGAACAGTACGGTATTGTGGTATGCAGTAATGAGGTAGGGTAAGATCGAGAATTATGCCCCGTCGTTGCCTGGAAAGCTAAAAGTCAATAAAGAATTGGATTGGATCTAATTTATCGTTAACATACCGCTCTCCTTCGTCCAATCATCATGTCGCTTGATATCCACCTCGGTGACCGTTGGTCGTACGTTGTCTAAGCTCTTAATGAAATCTGCTAACCTTAGCGGTGGTTCTACAAGCTCATCGGAATCAATATCCGACCAAGTCTTTTCAACGGCGTTTGAATCCCCGGGCGAGCATGGTGTCCACTTAGCGTGTCCTGACGACGAAGAAGGTGGTATAGGTTTGAAATGTGTCGCTGATATGACTTTGCGAACTGGTTGCATAAGAGCATCGCGAACTACGATGGATATATCCGAGCCAGAATACCTAGGTAGTAGTTGGGTGGATTACTTCACTTAGATTAGGCTAAAAGATCATACCCTTCTGTTCGATCGGCCAAAAGACGATAGTCCTTTGGCTCTAGCTCGCATGGCGTACTGCCAACGTGGATTTCAAACATTCTTTTCCGTGCGTCCGGGCCAGGAAGTGGAATATATATTCGTTTCTCGAAACGACGCTTGATTGCAGGATCAAGTTGCCAAGGGATGTTAGTTGCTCCGAGAACGAGAACGCCAGTGTCATCATGGCCAACGCCATTCATTTGCACCAAGAACTCAGTCTTGATCCGCCGTGAGCCTTCAGACTCAGATTCGTTTCGTGTTCCGGCTAGAGAGTCGACTTCGTCGATAAAAATAATTGCAGGTTTTTGTTCGCGAGCCATTTCAAACAAGTTCTTTACCAGCCTAAAGGGGATTTGTGAGGCGAGCTGAACATAACATAGCGCCAAGCACCAACCGTTCTGAATCTCCCTGCCACTTGCTGACCAAGTCACTTGAGCTGACGCTGAAGAATGTACTTTTGGCTTCTGTAGCAACAGCTTTCGCAAGGTAGGACTTGCCCGTTCCCGGCGGGCCATATAGTAGGATGCCTCGCCATGGTGTCCGTTTTCCAGTGAAGAGATGGGGAAATTTGATAGGAAGAATAACAGCTTCTTTGAGGGATGCTTTCGCTCCTTCCAAACCAGCAACATCATCCCACTTCACATTCGGTTTCTCTGCTAGAATGGCGTTTGAAAGACCTGCGCGTAGCTTCTTGAGCTCAGGGTCTTTGTCGTCATCGGGACTGTCAGTGGAGCCCTTGCCCCCAGTGCCATTAGCAGAACCATCAACGCTGACGGCTTTACGCGACTTCTTCTCATCTCTCTGTAAATGCTTCTTCAAGGTCTCTGCACGTGCAAGATACTCCTCGATCTTTGCCCTGACGAGTAGCTTGGCTTTTTCATTCTTCTCGTCTACATTTGGATGTATACTGAGTGCAGACTGCAGATTTTGCGGAAGTGGACATACACTTCTGAGCCAGCATGAAGTAGTCGAGTGAATTCATGTACTGCTTGTACGCTTCAAGATAGTTCTGCTTTTCATCATCCTCGATAGCACCCTTGACAAGCTCTATGGCTTTCTTAAGATCTGTTAGAAATACACAGATCCAGAAGATCTCGGATGCCACTCACATCTAGATTACTTTGCGATGACATGGAGTGACGAAATGACTGAAAGGCAAGCTTTGCCGCAGTACTATTGATGGATGACATAAGCAATTAATAGGCGTCGTTCAGACTCTGTCCTTCGAATGTTGGAACATGGCAAGTACACCGGAATGGACTTCATTGCCAACTGTACTCTTCGACGGATTGTTACCCAAGCTCGCTATGGTGCTTGAGCTCACCCAAAAAGCAGAAGGGACTGCAACTCCTGTAGCCAAACAAGCACTGCTGCATGCGGTATGTCCTTTCCTACGGCAAGATCATTGAGTAGTTTGATCAGCGTCCTAGTAGACGAATGATTTCAAACATGCACTTACTCAGGCGAAAGATTATGCAAGCACACTTGCAGGAGGTGACCTCTTAGTGGAGGAGCAGGACAGTGTAGTCGCAATGCTCGAGATGCTGAAGCAGCACAAGCGGTGAGTTCCAAATCCTGTCTTGATTACGGAGAGCTAATTCACCACCAGGCAGCAATTAATACAATTTGCATTGGAGGTTGGATCTTTGTCTACTATCGCAATCTCCAATGTCAGTTCAAAGATGGAGATTGATTCTACTGCTTCAACCCCATTTGCTTCTGGTGGTCAATTATGATACAGGACTCAGGAAGCGCCGACTTTGTCGGCACAAACTTTGCTTGTCTTTGGCGGGTGCGATTTTATGCTCTTGAAGGTCTCTTTGATGTGCTGCTGGCCTGCCTTACTGTTTTTGCGTGGCACATTATATATGTAATTGCCCCTTATTTATCTTTTGCATAGCCATTGTCTTATTCTTTGTGTTGAAAAATTGAACTTATATTGGATGACTTCCCGCAGCATTTGGAATCCTAGATATTGTTTCAAATCTTATTTGTCAGAGCTTCGGCTCACAGTACATCAACATCTAGAAACATGTTTTGAACCGTAGGCCAAATGTATCTAGATTTGAATACACATTCTAAACTCAAACATGGTCCCATGGACAACGATGATGCTGATCTCTATCAACTATATCACATGCTTGAACTGGTGGAGGATGAGATAGACGACGAAGATGAATTCCGGAGGCATAGGATAGCTGTACTTGGTGCAGTCATTTTTTCAGGAGCTGAAGAATCACGATGCGAACGCCTTGCACGCCGACAAGCAAGAAGAACATACCTCATTCGAGGTGATCTACTTCCTAACCCCTGTGCCAATACACCCTGGCAAGCTTTGTACTTGGCTCATAATGACCGAGCTTTCATCACAACAATGGGGGTTCATGTGTTGGCATTTGATCACCTCCTTTCAGCAGGCTTCGCAACCATTTGGGACACCACACCTATTACCCGCGATGACATCCCAACTACTGCTGTTCCTCGAACTCATTGCCGTTCACTTGACTCTGCTGGGGCTTTGGGCCTCATCCTTCATTGGCTCAATTCCACCATGCATGAAGTCAGCCTGATGCAAATTTTTGCGTTAATCCCAACCACGGTCTCCCGCTATCTGAATTTCTCACTTGTGATACTCCTTCGTACTCTCAAATGCATTCCCGAAGGCATCATCCAATGGCCTGCAGGTGAAGAAGACTTTCAAGAATTAAATTATCTTGTCCCAGCACGTCATCCATTGTTGACTGGTGCTTTTGGAACACTCGACGGACTCAATCTACTGTAGAGATACGACACTAGGTTCGTCACAGGTCACAGCCCTTAACGAATCACCTGGCTATCCCAATTAGTAAGCCTTACTAGGCTTGGTACACACGTGCCGTGCCAACTATAATTAGGCTCGCTGTAGGACACGAGCTGGCGCTGGGCTCGTATCGAGCTATTTTACAGTACACGTCAAATACCCGTCACATGCTAATCACTTCCCGATGGTATCCGACGCTAACCCGCCAACCCGACGTTTAGGCTGCATTGGACCCGATGTTTTCCCGCGCACTTGTCCTATCCGTGTCCCGTCCTGTCTTGCTAGCCCCACTAGGTGTGTAGTTCATTATTTCACACATTACTCACGTCGTAGCAAGCACTATTACATGTTTTCCCATAGTCCGCAGCGCCTCATGTTTATTTACATGTACTTCGGATCCGAAATACTCCGCCACTACTTTTGCCTACGGGTTCTGCATTTCTACGTACTTACATATATATTGGACTGACCTTGAGCATTATTCATCATCCAAGTAGAGGGGAGCAGTTCCCCGATGCTTAGTGGTCAAACCCGATATTTCGTAGTTCTTAGTTGACATTGCGAATATCATCGTTCCTTCACCGCCCGTATCAGTCATTGTTATTATTGCGCACACCGCTCGCTCTTCCGACGCTCGCTATAGCGTTACTATTAGTTTCCGACACCCCGAACCCGAACCCGAAAATCTGAAACCCCGAAAACATCGGACCCGACGCTTTTGCATCGGACATCGTAATTATACCTTTGGACATTGTTTCCCGCGCTCGGACTATTGACCCCACATCACTCACTTACCCCCAAGACTATTCCCAGACCGCAGACCCCTGGGTCGAACGCACTTGTCAGGCAAGTATAGCAGACTAGGCAGTGCAAAGACCACAACACAAATATATCAGTTTGGAGCCATCTTCGTATAGCCCCACTCAGTATTGTTGTTTCTACATCGCCTGTAGTTAAATCCCAATACCAGCAATGAATATTGCCCTAAATCATATTTTACCTCTAGTACTGTATTATCACAGCCGCTAAATATATCCGGCAAGGTACGTGTTTACCACACTTACTAATTAGGGTAGCCAGCGCTCTCTGCAGCGCCATTCCCGCCATTCCTGCCATTCCGGCAGTTTCTGTTCCAGGTCCGTTTCCCAATGAGGGTTCTGTTTGGGCAAGGGGCGCTCCCACGCCCCTTGCTCCTTACCTTTACGCCACCGCCCACACTGGCCAGGACAGCACCTGCACACCATGTCCTGCGACGCAGGCTCTCTCGAGAGTCTCAGGTTCAGAGGCCTCTTGGTTCTATGCATCTCCTGTCATTCCGGCAGCTTCCGTCTTAGGCCCTTTTTCAACTAGGCCCTGTTTGAGCAAGGGGCATTCTCACGCCCCTTGCTCCTTACCTTCATAGCACCGCCTACAGTGGCCAGGACAGCATCAACGCACAATGTCTCGTGGTGGAGTCCCTCTCAGGCTCAATGGGCTTTCAAAATCAGTTGTATCGCACAATTTCAGAGGGCGTCATCGCCAAACACGCATCCTTATGGCTGGCAAGCAGTTTCAGCGTGTAGCTGATACAGATGCTATGCGTCGCACTGAGATTCAAGGTTAGTGCTCATCTTCTGAGTTTCAAGATAGTGTTCACAGTTTTTTTAGAGATGTCAACAGAAGATCGCGATATGGTGGAGAATATGATGGTAGACCATGGAATGGATTCCGAGGTGCTCCCATACACAGCACCCCCTGGAGAGGAAGGCTTGGAGTTTAGTCATGCGGGCGGAGAACATGAAGCTTTTGAAGGTCTTGCAAGCCAAATTGCTGAGATCAGCGGCTGGTGAGTTTATTTACCTATCTGCGCTTGCTTAGTCTCACCCCACATAATAGTCGCTATACAGATCACCGCACATGCCATGACCATACAGAAAATCAGATGGCTCACTGGGATATTCAAATAGGTCACCTTGTGGATGCTTATCTCGACTATCGCTCTCGCTCTGCTGAGAATGGCATGCCAACCTTCAATGAACCACTCATGGCGCCATCTTCAAGTGATACTCAGTGCCTTTCGCTAAGTAATATCGAACTTGTAGATCTTTTTCATATGTATGATGGACTTCACCCTGCTATCAATGCTAATTTATTTTCAGAGCGAAGCCGCTCATCGCCTCAATCTTTGTTGTCTCACAAGTACCCTAACGAGACCCTGATTTATCATGGCTACATTGGGTGTGCGCCAATGTATCCCACGGTTGCAATATCTGTTGAGTTCGGTCGTATCGGATGCTTCGGACGACGCCACGTAGTACGAGTGCGACCGTTTGACAGAGGCATGAGAGAAGAGACGTTGAGTGTCACTCGACGTCTAGATACCAATGTTTCACTTTATCATTCTCCTTACAACGCTAATATACGTATCACATCAGTTTTACCTTATAAACTTCGTAGATATCGAACGAACATCTCAGTCCCAAAATATAGACTGAGATGTGAGTTGTTACTTTCGAACTTACTTTAGAACGCGCACTGATTCAAACGAGTAGATATTGTCCCTATCTACTAGGTACTGTACATGGACTTAGAGTCCCAAAATATAGACTGAGATATATTGTCCCTATCTACTAGCTCCCTCCCGATCCGCTCGCCTCGAACCTCTAAAATATCCTTACGCACTCTTGCTGCCTACCACCAAATTCATCGAATGTGTCCTCGTTTCAGCATCCAAGCTCAATGCAAAGCTCTGTGTTTTCTTCATGATGTAAGTGCATGGCTCATCTGGTGAACCATCTTACGATGGGCATTTAATAGATTCCTTATCGGCCATACTTGTGCATGCAATTTTCGGCTGCATATGACATATACCTCGAAATCGCTCACATTGTCGATAAGCGTCTCCGGGCAGCCCTGAATCACGACACGCCTAACTGGCATTTACTCAATTCCTGTCCGGCATGTTTCTATAAGCTCTAGGATGAGCCCACACTTGAGTTTGACTGGCTCGTCTCAATAGATGGCAACAATAGCTTGAAACACTGGGATTCCGCTATATATGGTACAACTGCATGCATGGATTCTCGCAAGGCACGTTCCGACTACTGGATTGGACCCACGGCTGTAGACCAATTCAAGGGTGAAGTTAAAGCTCAGGGAGTAAGTCTTTTCTTCTGATGTTATCACTGCCTGATGATGTCATACAGGACTCAAGTCTAGATGATTGGGGAGATGAACCCATCAAGACTAACCTGGGCTCACTCACTTGCGTTAGTCGCTGGCGAAATGCCGGACCCGAAACATGCAAGAAGATGTTTTCAGTCTTCCACGAATCAGGCATTTTTATTGCTGCCTGCCGTCATCGTTTCGTACTCCTGGCCTGCGACATGATCCAAAGCGGAGAACTGTAATTCACTCTTGCCGTCAATTAATTTGGCACTGACTTGATTTGATAGAGCTAAATATCCCCTCACGCTCATCGATAAGCTTCTTATGGTTTACGGGAAGAATGGAGCTTGTGCTTACGACATCGGCTGCGCGTTCTCCAAGACCTTAATGAATAGCTCCTTAGGCCCGCGAGCATTAGACTTGAATTTTCGGATGATGGTTGGCGCGTTTCACGGCCATGCACACAACCGCAAATGCCAGTTGGTCTGGCATCCAACATATATTTTGGGCACTGGACACAGTGAGGGTGAAGGGTGCGAGCACATATTTTCCGCCTCAAATGAGCTCGCTCGTAGCACTAGACATGCAAGCCCGTTCCACCGGCACCAAACTATCGAAGAACACTTTGCTTTTTGGGATGCTGACAAGTATGCTGTGCTTTGTGCGTAATTTCTTTAAGGACCTAATATTCGATTATGAAACTGATATTTCGTCAGCCAATTTTTTATCAAATCATTACCGAGAAGCCACCAAACAGATCAGTGTGCTCATGGCTGAACTAGCGATCATTCAATCTGAGCTTGGTCTTACTGATGCCGACTTCCCTCGCTTCCTCAAGGAAGAACATGATTATCTTGATGGTTTGAAGCAGCCACCTGAAAAAGATCGCCTCTCTGTTCGGTACATTGAGGTGCTCGATGAACTTGCTGAATGGAGGTAATGATAACTATTTTGTTGATATGTGGCCCTGACACTAATTTATTAGGGCTGATTGGGACTTAGCACACGAAGCTGCTAACAGTTCCCTCACTGCAATTGCAGCCGGTAACCTGGAGCAGATAAACAACGCACTTTCGCAAGCTCGTATTCGGGTCGACTCTTCATATGCTAAATTACAGCATGCCGAGGCATTGGTTGCGCACGTAGAAGCTCTCTTGGCTGTTGATGCACGATGGGAGATTGGTGGCCAGGAGTATAACCATTTTAAGGAGGAAGTATCTCTCAGCAAGTATCGCAGTGCGCTAGATGACCTGGAGCGTCTGGTTGTTATGAGGTTATTTGAACTTTCGAAGTTGTCATTGTCCAGCACAGGTGTTTGTTTATTGCAAATCACACATTCAGTGAGCTAACATTTTTTAGGGTATAAACTACGTCAACAACTCAGCAAAGCGCTACAACGGTGATCAGAAGCTATTCGGAATGCCATCAACCGCTACAATGTCCAAGCTGTCGCTTTAAATCCACTGCGACAGAAGGTATCTTGGAAAGACATCGCTGACTACAGTTTCCTTGGCGAATTCGATCTGCTGCGCCATTCTCGTACTGATATTCGAAATAGTGACTGGGCAACACCTGCTCATCGAGAGGCGACCACCAAATATTTCAAGCTTTGTCGAGCTCGCGAAGAAATTACTCGGCTCAACGTCGAAGTTCGCCGTCTGCGTATGGCAATTCATGATGAAGAACTCCATACCTCTACTGTCATACAAGATCTTTATGTTTCGAACCCACAGTTGGGGAATGAGCTTCGACGCCAGTGGCGTTCATGTATGGCCATCAATGCTATTCATTCTTTTCGCTTAGATCGCATTCCTGGATTTTCAGGAACGAGAGGTGTTGGTGTCCGCCTTAATCAGTTCACATCGTCTAGCAATGATAATGCAGATTCAGCCTGTCCTACCTGTCCTGGTACGTTTTGTGCAAGTGTTCGTTATTTGATGTTTTGAAACTAATTATATCGCAGTGCAACGAGACATCATTGATGATGTGCATGATATCATCGCTTCCGATATTGACCTAGATGCTGAAGAGAATGATTCATTGACGCAGGACATGGCCGACTATCTACAATCCATTAACGATTAACATTTATCTCGTGATCTACAGCACTCTGCTATGTATGTAATAACACTTCTGATAATAATAATCATGCTTCAGAACAGCGAGAGTGGTTGTCTGAAAGCTACCCTGCTCAAACATTAATCTACTTTAGAACAGCAAGAGCGGCGGTCTGAAAGCTACCCTGCTTGAACTTTAGAATAGCGAGAGGCGGGCTTACTTACATAGAATCAGCTTTAGAACAGCAAGAGCGGCGGTCTGAAAGCTACCCTGCTTGAACTTTAGAATAGTGAGAGGTGGGCTTACTTACATAGAATCAGCTTTAGAACAGCAAGAGCGGCGGTCTGAAAGCTACCCTGCTTGAACTTTAGAATAGCGAGAGGTGGGCTTACTTACATAGAATCAGCTTGAGAACAGCAAGAGCGGCGGTCTGAAAGCTACCCTGCTTGAACTTTAGAATAGCAAGAAATGGGCTTACTTACATAGAATCAGCTTGAGAACAGCAAGAGCGGCGGTCTGAAAGCTACCCTGCTTGAGCATGAGATTTACATGAGGGTTAATGTATATATAGTGATTGAGGCAGGCTTACTTACATAGAATCAGCTTCATAGAACATCAGGAGCGGCGGTCTGAAAGCTACCCTGCTTGAACATCAATCTACTCTAGAATAGCAAGAGCGGTGGTCTGAAAGTTACCCTGCTTGAACTTGAGAATAGCGAGAGTAATGGTCTGAAAGCTACTCTACTTGGACCTGATACTTACATGAGTGTTAATATGTCTAGTAATTGAGGCGCCAGGCTTGCTTACATGACCGCTGTCAATACATCAATGTTTACCAAAACCTTTCTGATGGTAGGATGAACACTCCTATTATGTGTTATTAAATAGCCTTTGCTAGCGCCTTTGACCTTTACGTTCAAACTACAGCAGTCTGTTTTCAACATCATGGTCATTACTCCCCCCAAGGCAAAACCACAGCCATCCGCACAAAAATTATCGCCAATGGAGACGCTCACACTAGTACCGGGATCTGGTCATTTCACAATGTCTAGTCTAGCTGCTCTCCATGCATCGCCATTTGCACAAGGCTTCAGCAACAATGAACGTCAAGCGGCTGGAAGGGCATTGTTTAGGCATGACACGCACATTGATGGTGCTCATTATCACGCTAGGAAACTTGGTGGTCTTCACCCGGCATATGCTGCATTCAATCAGACCAATGGTAAAGAGAGGACTCTCACTCATGTTGAACTAGTTGAGGCTGCACTCCGGGATCTTTTTGATGCAGTAAGTTTAGACTTTCATACATTCTTTCTAAAATTTCTTAAATTATTCAGGTAACCATGCAAGACCATATCAATGGCGGAATCTCTCTCCTCATTCGATGCCCAGGCTCTGAAGTGTCTTCAACAACCTTGCCTGAGGAACTTGCTCTCGACCTCTACATCACACCCCGTGAACTTCAAGAAACACCACAGTGCATCGGTGGAGACGTCGCTACCTTAGTACAGGCTTTTGCTGCAGAATTTGCGCTACCTCATCTTCAATGCTTTTCCAAGCGTTGTGCTGTCGAAGGCATCAAACCACCTAAGCGCTGTAAGTCAATTGATTTTCATATACTAATCTCACTGCTAACATAATTCTGAAGTTCCTGCTGCGCATATCAATACTCACGGTCTACAATACCTTCCTGCACCCATGGATGCTGCTGGAGCCCATATTCAGTGCTCTGCGCAATCACCGCAAGCTTTTTCCAATGACTTCGAAGTTCAAGCTCAGTCAAAGACTCCAACCAACATCCCATCTGCGGCCATTTGTCAGGGAGTGGAATTGGCTATCAGCACTGCGAAAAAACCAACAGCACATTCCCAGCGGATTCGTCAACGTCGATTCGCAGATGTATTTGTCCCTGGAGACAACAGCGCAGGCCCGCTTTTTTCGGGTCAGGAACTTAGCCACGATGAGCCAAGGTTTGGCCCTGCACTTATTAGCATTGGAGTAAATACCGATGTGGCACTTGATCGGCTCGGTTTGGGGGATCAAATTTTGCTTAGATTGCGAACCTTAATTGGAACTACCCGCAGTAGCCGATGGGAGGTAGTGTTTAGGTTGCCAAAGTTGAACCTTACTTACGAACAGGCTGCTATCCTGTCGAAGGCTCTGCTTGCTGACCTTCAAGTTCAACCCGAGGTTGTCAAGGTTGGTGTTTTTTTATACTATTTCAAACTGTTCAATCCATGCTAACTCTTTTGGTGTTAGTATGATCCATCATATTCGGTACTGACACTCATTCTCAAGGTCCTTGGAATTCTAGTCTTTGTATGTGCGCTTTACTTCTTTGGATTAGTGTTCTTGTAGATCTTAGAATCCGTTTATGTCAGTCTGAATATGCGTGTCCGTCTACCCTGAACCTGCCGTCCACAGCCTCGAAATTTATTTATTTATTCATGGTGTGTTAAATATCTTAGCTTGGATGCAAACTAGTGCTTACGCCATTGCAGCAAACAATGGTCTCTCAGTCGTTTCATGTCGTCAAGAGCGTCTCTGCAGGTCGGCACATTCAACTGCCACCTCGTACTCGTCCCAAGGTTGTTTTAAGCAAAGAAGTGTGAGCTGCGCTCAAACACAGCCAACAGGAGAAGTCTCGTCAATTCAGAGACACCCTCGATGACGCCTGGAACCAGCTTGATGAGGCCATAAAGACCATTGCTGTGTCTCACCACAAAAGTGTACGCCGCGTGCAAAATGACTTGTATATTGGTCGTGGTTTGCTTCGCTCCAGGTGTTCTAAGCTGAATGCATGGAATGCGTTCTGCTGGAAGAAAAACCAAGAGACCGAGAACCATAAGCTTGTTTGACTCGTTACACACACTTACTAACACATTTTTTGACAGGTAACCAGGGCCGAGGGGCACTTGAATCACTCATCCACGAACATCGGGATGAATACCTTCGACTTTCGAAGGATGAGCAAGACAATATCCTTGCAGAGTATGCCGATTGGAAAACGACAAAGGTTACTGGCCTCCGTGTCTCAACAAAGTCCAAGATAAATGACATTACTCAAACTCTCAAAGCTGTCGAAAATGAGGTGCGTCCTTCATCCATTTGACTTTCAAGCTTACTGATACCTAATCCATACTACTGCTAGCTCAACAGCCTCAATTGTCGCACGGGTGCAGAGACCATTCTGTATATGACACGTGGCTCTACAGATCTCCCTCTGCGAGGCATCGCCTTTGCCACTGAAGGTGTCCAACACTTCATGAATTCTGTCATGGGGATCGACAATCAAGATCTAGTCAGCAAGATGGAAGGTTTTGCAGTGCAAGGGATGAAAGGTTTGAATGTTCATTATTATTTTTTGCCTACTGACTTGTTACATTTAGGCGCTGCTACAAATCACAAACAACAAGTCTCCGAAATTCGCTCGAAAACTCGTGATATCATCAACACCAAACTACGTCAGTTTTTTCTAGTCTTCTGCAAGGTATTTGACTCATGTGCGTTGATAGAACTCGTCACTGGTGATCCCGATGCCAGGATGCAGTGGACACATTATTTTCGTAATGTTGTTCAGCGCTATCAAGTCGCCATTGAGGGCTGGCCAGACAACATTCCATTCGCTAACCTTAGTCAAGTCTCGAGTGCACGTCCCGACCTCGAGATGCTTTACTCAAAGTGGGAGTCAAAACAAATCAAATGGAAGGTACTAACTGATGAGGAGTTCGAGGAACTTTATTCAAAACGCCAGGGGCAGATTGACAGAGGCGAGATCGTTGATCACCATCGGCGAACTCGTTCTGACAAAGGAAAGAAGCGCAAAGGGCTCGCAGCTGCCACGAACCCAAATCGCCGCAAAAAGTACAAGAGTTCTGAGACCATCGAGGACAATGATTGCACTGATGAAGAGCGCGAGCATGGGGATGAAGAACGAGACGAGCCTGTTGATGAGCCTGTTCGTCAATTTTCCACACCGGCAGCTGCTCGTGCTGCTAATCAACCCTCTACATTTGATCTGGCTAATACCTCTACTAGTTTGCAGTTGCCAGGTTCTGATGTCCCTTCCCCTTCCAATGCTCCAGACGCATCAGATTTCAACTTTTATATTCCTAGAGACTCCGATGTATCGACTTTCCCTCAGTTTGACTCTGATGCTATGTTAGCAACCTTAGATAGGATGTTCGGTCCTGCACCTTAGATTTTCCTACTGTGTATCACTTGTTCAAGTTCAATGTTTTGTCTCACACTTCGTCATATTAACATATACAGGTTATATTTGCATAACTACAATCAAGTTCATGAGGCTGAGGGAATCGTGCGGGAGCGCTTCAAAATCCATTCCATAGTCTACCATCAAGCAAGGGGCGTCAGAAGTAAATGTAAGACTCATTGAGCACGTCCGACCTATCAAACTGATAAGTGGTTTGAACGACTTCGTTTGAATTATGCACTCACATTCAAAATATGTATAATTCGGTGGTGATCACGCCAATGAGGATAAATGACTTTTGCCAAGCGCGATAGTAGGGCAGGTTGCAGTATCCACGTCGACACTGTAAACGTTGCAAACGTGGAGGGTGGTAATGGGGAGGAGAATGCTTGATGGGAGCGCGATAGTAGGGCAGGTTGCAGTATCCATGTCAGCACTGTAAACATCGCAGATGTAGAGGGTGGTAATGGGGAGGAGAATGCTTGATGGGAGCGCAATAGTAGGGCAGGTTGCGGTATCCACGTTGGCACTGTAAATGTTGCAAACATAGAGGGTGGTAATGGTGAGGAAAATGCTTCTTGATAGTCTGTAGACAGAGGCCTAGGGACTGCGCCATGAGATGTCGTGTGTTGATGCTGTCCTGGTCAGCCTAAGACGGAAGCTGCCAGAATGACAGGAGATGCATAGAACTGAGAGGCCTCTGAGCCTGAGACTCTCGAGAGAGCCTGTGTCGCAGGACATGGTGTGCAGGTGCTGTCCTGGCCAGTGTGGGCGGCGGCGTAAAGGTAAGGAGCAAGGGGCGTGGGAGCGCCCCTTGCCCAAACAGAACCCTCATTGGGAAATGGACCTGGAACAGAAACTGCCGGAATGGCGGGAATGGCGGGAATGGCGCTGCAGAGAGCGCTGGTTACCCTAATTAGTAAGTGTGGTAAACACATACCTTGCCGGATATATTTAGTGGCTGTGATAATACAGTACTAGAGGTAAAATATGATTTAGGGCAATATTTATTGCTGGTGTTGGGATTTAACTACAGGCAAGCCTAATTATAGTTGGCACGGCACATGTGTACCAAGCCTAGTAAGGCTTACTAATTGGGATAGCCAGGTGTAACGAATCGAATCTATTTAGTGTGACTGTCACACAAATTTTTGGTGGGATGAAGCTAATTTGTGACATACGGAAAAAAAAACATAGGTTGTGCGCTAATGGGACCAGAAATCATCATACATCGAATTTGCGATGCGTCTACGCTTTCCACGCCCATAATCAACCTTCGGAACACTGTTCGAGCCACTCTCCACATCTTCGGCAGTAATGTCACCCACATCATAGACTTCGGAGTGGTTTGAACACAGAAGTCCGCCATCTGCATCAATACGGCAGTCAGAACGGACATGTTCACCCCCAGAAGCCATATGGTCAAGAAGTGCATCCATTGGCACGTCACTGGCATCAAGGTCATGCTCGCTAGCATCGTTGAAGGGGGATTCAACTCCAATAGTATCAGTGGCCTCGTCCTCTGACTCGGAGTCTGTTGCCTGGTTGACGCTGACAGTCTTGTACTGAGCGGTAGCAATCCTTGTCCATCCAGCTGGATCATTCTTCTGAACATCACGTAAATATTGCAACGCCTCTCGACTTGCGAGGCTCGCGAATGAGAGATTGAAATTCTCCCCGGCCTTACACATGAAAAATGCCTTGAAAACATGATTTAGCTCCGTGCATCAAGATTTGACAGTGCGAGAAAATGAGAAACAAACCTGCTTTACAAGCTCGGGCTTGTTTATAGCGTGATATCCATTTATTACCCACCGCAATGACTGATCACGAAGGGTGCCAATTGTTGTGTCGAGTTGGATGAGTGATGCAGACCTGTCTTGGGCGAGTCAAACAAGAGACTCGTTGACTATATCAGCATGCTGTGTCTGTTTGACTGCAAGTTTGAATGGTCGTTGAATACCGACGTCACATGGCTGACCAACACCAGTGCAGCCCCCAGGGACAAAGCGGTATTTGATCCAAGGGTAGGTCATATCCATCCACATGCGAAATTGAATTGATCTGTGCACACTCCACACATCGAGGTGCAAAATACACTCCTGGTCAGCCGGTGCATTGAGTAACACTTTCTGCTCCTCCCAGTAAGGCACCAGAATGTCGTTAACATACTCGCACATGAGGGGAAATGTTGACCAGTATGTGTGTGTACTTGAGTATGAGATTTTGAACTTGAGTTCCATCGCTTCCTTGTATTGCGGAGTAGACTTTGAAGGAATAGAGCGTGAAGTTTTCCCCTCATAGATCAGTTGCAAGGGGAGGGCATGACCTCCAGCAGATATTCCGTTGACGACAGTGAACACTCGTTTTTCTTCCTGCCCGATCACGGAGACTTGCTTTGAGCCAATTGTTTCAAAAGTTGAGGTGTTTGCTGGCTGATAGACAATATTCGTCTGGTCGATATTGACAATCAATGCAGCATCGAAGATTGCGCAGTCACGAATTGTGAGTGTTAAACGGAGGAACTGATCAAGGAGAAGCTGATCAACATTTGGTGGTGTTTTTTGTGCTGCACGTGTTGCCCTGCGGAAGCTCCAATTGAGATGCTCAGCGAGAAACTCCTTCACCCAACTCTCCGTGCAGCGGAAGCGAGAACCGTCCTTGGCGACATGCTCGAAAATATCAAGAACGGAGTGTTGCAGGTGTGCAAGGATGATACCACGGCAGCGGAGAGTGTCCAATGCAACACCAACTAGATGGAGAGACTGAAGGTCGTCGATGATCAATTTGACAACATTGGGATAGGAGGATAGAATATGTTTCTGTGTGTTTTGTTACATGGGCAGGCTGCGTCGCTGAACACAAGCAAGAGTTGCTGCGCTCCAAACAGCTTTGTCACCAGAGCGGTTGATCCATGTTCCAACTACCTGCGGAGTCAATGTCCGGAATCGTGCAAAGTCCCTCTGCTGAAGATCACGCACAATCTCTATGGGAGACATGCCAATCCCCACTCGAACAGCAGCTTCAGCAATAGTAGCCCATAACAAGGGGTGTTGCCAGTTGACACAAACTGCAACAGTGTCCTCATGCTTCCTTTTGCGTCCAGGTTGAACACCAGGTTTATGCACCCTCGCATCTCTTCGAATCTCGTGATATGGGCGAGACACCTCAGCAAGATCTGTCATTGGGAGGGCAGGAGCGATGTCGGATGCATGATTTGTAGTGGCCTTCTTCATAGCCTTTTCACGGGCACGTTGGATTTGTTTCCGCTCCCTATTTCCCTCACATCGGCATATATCTCTTTCTACTCCTTCAACACGAACCCTATGGGCATCCCGCTCGCGACTCTCTAGCTCCCAAGAGAAAGGAGTCCATGCTGATTTGAGATGCTCCTTGTGTGTCATAGTTGGAAAGTACTTGAACAAACAAACAGATTTTTCCTCTTCGCGAACCCTAAGATTCAAGGAAACACATTCTGAGCTAGATGTTGTTGGCGGAGGGGAGGGGCTTGTTGCTGGTACCGGACTGGGATATGATGGAGGACATGATGAAAATTCGACGCTGAAATCGCTAGTGTCATCTGCGAAAGAGCTCTCTGAAGACTCAGAAAGTAATTCCTCAGACTGTTATGAGGAAATGAGTTTTTCGAGTCGTAAAAACACAGTAAAAACGAACCTCGAAGTGGCTCTTTGTCAACATCAAAAACTCCTCCATGCGAAGACGATATTTCGAGTCATCGGTGAACAGCGGGTGGTGTCTGAAGACAGCATACTTGATGGTATTGAGAGCCGCGATTGCACATGAAAAGGAGTCTGTCTGCTCCCCATGAGACAAGGATCCTTTGCCAAATGGTGCGAAACCGTGGTTTTTCAACCAGCGGCGGATAGTATCAACATATGAACTAGGCATGGACCATCCAAGTGAGTCGCCATACAAGATCATCCGTGTGCAAGCATCCACGCTAACAATGGCCCAATAGACATTGGCAACATTGACAGGGAAAATGACGCGCTGTATGGTGCCATCGTGAAGCGAGTCTCCGAGGTAATGCAGCCGAGTAAAGGCTTTGTCAAAATGATACTTTGACCACCGCGTGTCACCCAGGAACAATATATTTGAGAAATTAAGCATCTCGACAGCAGTATCATTGTGTTCATCCACACGATCATTGATAGCGGCAATAAGAGCATCAAGTACACGACCATTGACCATTGTGTCAGCGAGTAGAGGGAGAAGCTCTGGTGTGCGAAGACTGGTCTGAGCACCAAACCCCTTCAAGTCAACATCCCATGGCAAACGCTCAAGCGAATCTAGAACCTCATCTACAACTACTGACTCGGAAGCACCACGGCCTGTGTCCTCTTCATCCTCAAGCGTCTGAAGAACCCAATCATGGGCCGATATCCAGGTGAGACGAGCCTCCAGGGCACATGAGATGTCCCTCCAGTATGAAAGAACCCAGAATGGAAGGTGAAATGTTGGGGAAAGTGGATGGATGACTGAAGTGTGACCATTAAACCAAGCCTGACTGAACTGATCGAGGAGCTGAGTGACACAACAGAGCGGGGGAATTGACCATGCCGTGAAATCGTTGGGAAGGCTGAGGAGAGGGGGGTTTGTTGAGAAAATGATGGTGTCTGGGCTAAGATCACAGTCCAGCGATGCGCAAATATTGATGTTGAGTAGCTGCGTGACAGGCAGAGTCCGAGATGGGATGGTTGGTTGCATTGAAGTTGGGATCCTGAGTAACCGTGTGATCTCACATCAAACAGAAGGCGGCAGTTTGCCCTGGTCAAAAACACGACCACATGAGAGCCACTCTGAAGCAATAAACATATCAGTTTGTGATGGCATGACGGGCACTTGAAAACGGATCATACTGGTAGACTCACCTGGCAGGCTTTAAGACCATGGAGTCTCCAATTCCACTCGTTACCATTCAGCGCTATGCGAGGCGAATCCACGACAGACTGAAGCAAATTGTTTGAATCACGAAGCAGCATGTCAAATGGTTGCAAACAGATCATACTAGTAGACTCACCTGGCAGGCTTTAAGACCACGGAGTCTCCAATTCCACTCGTTACCATTCAGCGCTATGCGAGGCGAATCCACGACAGACTGAAGCAAGTTGCTTGAATCACGAAGCACCATGTCCGATCCACAGGCGAATCTATTTGGGTAAGGTCACAGGTCACCTGGACATTCGAACCTGTAACACTAAGTGTGACATTGTCACGGGCTGCATGTGACGAACCTAGTGTTGTATCTCTACAGTACCAGTGCAGACTTCGAGTGACCAAGAGATTAAGAATGCTACTTACAATGGTTGGTTGCATGATCATTTTGTTAGCTCAGTCTAGTGATGTGCATGGCCCGGCTTCAGGCTGTGGGCCGACCCAAGCCGAGCCTGATTAGGCCGAGTCGAGCCGGGCCTAAGTCAGGGCCTGACCACGGCCCAGGGCCTGGCTTGATGTGTTGAGAAGCCTGAGCTGGCGGCTCAGGCTGTGGCTTTATGGTATGTTGTCGTCCTTACTCTAACTTGATACAATGACCCTATGGGTATACCTGGACCTCTTGTTCCCCCATGTCCACGATTTCTTGCTCATTTCTCTGCCTCCTTTTCATCACCAAGATGTTTCCTTCATTCCTCAATCTCTTCCAATGTGCTCGGCATGTTGTCCGGGGGCACAGGCCCGTTTTTTTTTCAGCCACACCTCTTCGAAATGGACACAGTTGATTATCGCAATTTTCACGTACGAGGCAGCAACTACTGGAACGGGGTAGCGATTGATGAGGAGTCTGGGAGAATTGTGGTCAGTGATGCGGATGGTACGTCGTCCCTCATTCGTTGGTGTTGTTTGCTCAGTTCTATACATTTCAGCACACGATCTGTAAATGCTTCTTCTGACCAACGGCATTCAGACAGTGTTCCAACCATCTCGCTGACAGATACAGTGAGTCTTTTGAACAGATGCCTAGTACTAACATTGCGGCAGTTCTCTCGGCAGGCATGGCCATTATGGCAGCATCTGTCTCGAGTGAGCAAGTGAAAGGAGACATCGTCGTGAGCCAGCCGACGATGAGGGGCGGGACACACCAATTTTGGACAAGGAGGACGACATCAGAGTCCGACGTTGGTTCAGTGGACGACAACTAAGTACTGTAAGTCTGTATAGTTACAAATATGCTTAGATCAAATTTTACATTTCAAAGCCGTTGTTGAGCCAAAGCCGAGCCGCGGCTTGGGCCTGGCTTGGGCTCATGGCTCAGCCTGAGGTTTTGCAAAGCCAAACCCCCCCAAAGCCGGGCCCAAGCCGCGGCTTTCAGGCCAAGCCGAGCCTGCACATCACTAGCTTGGTCCTTGCATTTGCAGCTGATGGTCAGTCCTCTTCGTTATTCTGAGTTTGTCTCCACTCATCCAATAACACAGGAAATATAATTCAATGTCGACTCAATGCTCCAGGAAGTTAGCATGATTCACGTGTTGCACAGCCCATTTATGAGAAACTTCGTATGGAGACACCATCAGGATATTACCTCATGGCAGACACTGCCTTCCCTCGTGGAACTGACCAGATTGCTGGTCGGATTAAAGCCCCAATCAAGGCAGGTCAGCGCCTCCCAGCAAATGCAAACGAGAGGGAAAACCTGTTAGCCTTCAACCGACAGCTCTTATCATTTCGCCAGACTGCTGAATGGGGCATGCGCACACTTCAAGGTTCATTTGGACGTCTTTGTATCCCTCTTGATATCAACCATGCTGAGCAGCGAAGAGACCTGCTCGAGGCATGTGTCCATCTGAACAATTTTCGTGCTCAGAAGGTTGGGATCAGTCAAATTCATTCAGTATACATGCCCATCTGGGTTCAAAACGAGCAGGAGGTATGGGACTATTTTGAAAGTATGTTGTTCTCTGAACAGCGTCAAAATGACAGAGTTGCATGATTCCATCATCTGTGACAAGTTAATTTCATAGACCAATACAACATTTGTAGCTAATCTATCTCCTTCGAATTTGAGCTATTCTTGATGGCCTCAACATTGAATGAACCATCAGATTCCCTACCACAACTAGGAGATATAACAATGGATGATGGTGTGAATGAGACATCGAGCTGTGTGGAGGATGTACCAGGGGTGGCTGAAGGACGAGGTGTAGCAGATGCGCGAGGCGTCATTGGCAGGTAACATGTTGCTCGAGGAATGATAGCACCAGTGTAATGGCCTGCACGCGAGTCTTTAACAACATCATGTCACGAGGCAATATCATGGTCATCATAATTGAAGTCATCTCCAGCATCATCAGGTGTGACCCAGATAGTGGAGTGGCCTCCATCCCTATATATTGTCTCACGACAAACACGCTCTTGCTGCTGGTGTCCAGTGCGAGTCATAAACTTGGCCATTTCAAGCTGCATCTCGAGACGGTCAGCATGACGTTCACTGTTTGAACGATCTCATTCAACTTGTGCAAGCTGGCCATGAAGCTTATTAATAGTTGCATGTGCATCACACAACTGAGTGGTCAAAGATAAGACCTGCATAGACTGAATGGCACATGCAGAGTGCTCTTCATCTCGGACAGCCTGAAGGCGAGGATCGAGTGATGCAGAAATGGTTGTGAGAAGGTCAACTCCTGCACTGTGTGATATACGAGGAGGACGAGAAATAGTAGGGGATGTTGCACAGTGAGCAGTGGGGCCAAGATAAGGCTCGTGGACCTCAAGCTTGATCTGGGTTGGTTTCATTTTTGGAAGTACTACTGAGGCCATTGTATCTTCATTGTCGTCCGAGATTTTGACTACTTCATCAGCAAGTTCTTCGTCATTAAGATCACGGATGCCAGCTTTCTCGTTGATCAAGCTGTCAATATAGTGTGCTCGGTCAATATAGGGAGGACATTCTGCATCTCCCATCAGCTTAGTGGTTCAAACGAACTTTGAATGATAAATCAGATGAACAGTCAAATAATGTCTGAAGAAAGACTTACTTGCTTGAATTTGAGTTCAAGAGATTTTGACGAGCGAGCTGGACAGTCATTTTCATGTGCCCACTGTGCAAAAGCTGCTTCGACAGAATTCCAACTCTTTGCACCCACAGGTAGACACGATTCACAGGCATCAAGGAGGGCATCAATGTTGTCTTCATTATAATTGGGTGCTCCTTGTTGACGGCCACGTTTCTTGGATGAGTCAGATGCAGTAGGAGGTGCAGATGGGGCCTTTCGCTTTCAATTGACTAGTGGGGCACTGTCCATGACATGTGCCTTGCCTTTGGCTTTGGCAGTTGGGATAGTGGTGCTCATGTGATGGCTCCCTGCAACCCTCTTGGCTGGCTTCATGATATCACTAAGGAAAGTGGACAGAGGTGGAAATTCATCCTTGTCATCCTCATGTTCATAGTCGATTAATGAGGGATCAATTTGCTGCATCCGCCCTGCAGAAGTGGGCTTCGATGAAGGAGGGAGAGGGGGTGGATATGTGAATTGATTCTGTATTGCAGCAAATCAGCTTGTTTCAAAGAGATTGAGACTCGGAGATGTACCTGACCTAAACCCAGGTGGGTCATGTGAGATTCAAAGCCACCAAAGGTAGCACTAAAGCCTGGAAGCTGTCAAGTGAAGAACAAGATGAGTGCATTGATTGAAATCAACAGAAATGAGCACGCACCTGGTTATCATTGGGATGGTCTGGACCCATATTCGAAGGTTGTGTGAAAACATTGTCTGTAGGAGTGAGTTGAGGTGGTGGGTGATAGACACGCATAGTGCGAGGATAGTTACTAGAGTCAGAGAAGGTCAGACGTGCGACGAACTTTATAGTCGTCAAGAGAATGAGACTGGAAGCAGTGCCCTGGATTATATGGTTCATCAACGAAAATTTACCATTCATATGCAACAGGAACTTACCTGAGTGACTTTTGGGCAGTAGATATAGCAGTCAATGTACATTCTGCCCTGAAAATGAGTTAAAAATGAGTTGTTGTCAATGTGCGTACAATGATCTATGGAAGTGTCAGTCATACCAACATCGTCGTAGTGTTTGAAAGTAATTTAGAATGTGTTTAGAACACGATTTGAATCTAGAAAGGGGGTCCTGCCCCCCCTTCTAGATATGAATCTAGAACTGGGTCAGTTTGACATGCGGACTTACAAAAGACTGACGTTTGACAGCGGCACTTCGGCATGAGACATTTAGAACTGATATTTAGATTTAGAACGATGTTCTAAATGTTGCAGGAAGTCATCCATTCAGTATATAAAAATATAATTCTCTTGTGACACCCCAAATGGGTGACTGTCATGAGTTCCAAATACAAACACCTAGGTTGCCCAATTGGTAAGCCTTACTATCACTCCTGGGGTTCTGCAACATTTTCAATAAACCTTTTGTAACTCCTCAACCACATCATATTTTCTTCTATGGATTTGCACCATCATGGATTTGTAGCTGCTCTATATGAATCTGATTTTTGCTGATTTTTGCTGATTTTGTGGTGGAGTGTCGGATGAAGGCCAAGAAAATTCAGGGTCTGACTGGTGGTCTGCAAAACTTTGTCATGTCCTGTCACACATTGGCACAGTAGCAGCACCGTCAACTTTCACCCTCCAAAAACAGAAGTTCCTGGCAGTATAATATATCATATACTGTGATTGTAGAAGGTATGTGATACATCCACACCTTCAATCCCTACACAGTGATGTATTAGTTGTCCTGGGTTGTATCATCCTGCTAGTGATATATCACTCTGGGTGTCCTGTGGCTGATATATCATTGTCTCTTGTTACTGATATATCACTCTGGGTGTCCTGTGGCTGATATATCATTGTCTCTTGTTACTGATATATCACTCTAGGTGTCCTGTGGCTGATATATCATTGTCTCTTGTTACTGATATATCACTCTGGGTGTCCTGTGGCTGATATATCATTGTCTCTTGTTACTGATATATCACTCTGAGTGTCCTGCAGGTACCATGATATATCAGTGAGCATAAAACATAGATTATAAACCACCATAAACAAAATTTCCGTCATAAACAAATCTGTATGTATGCTAAATGTATCAGACTATGAAAGGCTCAACAGTCCATGAGGGGACAGCTTCCCACAATGACTTGAACCGTGCAGACATTCTTTGGCGTAGCATTGCCTGATGGTGTGCATATGCAACCGCACCCTCTGTGAATGCATGTGAGACAAATTGGCATTGTGACCCTTGTGCTTCCCACCATCCGGCCTGCCACTCAAGGAAAGCAAGAACATGGCGCATTTCCTCACGCAGGAGCTGTACTTCCTCATCCCACTGATGAGCCTGTGCCCGTGCCTTGCACCATTCCACACGTAATGCTACAGCCTATTAATCAAGTTGTACACATCATAATTGAATACTTACAATCTTGTAGCCCTTCCTCCTGATTGTTGGACACCCCAGCAGTTCTCCATATCCATGAAATACTTTGTTGGCCGACTGTCTTTCCTGCATCATGCTTGAGTGGGACAGCATCTTTCGTCCTGTCCAGTGGCTTCAGTACACGTTGCCAGTCATCATTCTTACCTAGTTTTGATGTGAGTATTATGAGCGCATCTCTGGCAACGATGTACTTGGCTGATATTGCACTGATTCGGCCTTCAGCTAAATGGATAATGCTGTGAGCACGAGTATTCGTATGTTGACCTCGAACAAAGGCATCCTTGTAGTTGTAGAGGTGGTAGGTCATATTGATGACAGTGCGAAGGTCGGTCAAAGCATCATTTGCCTGTGCCTCACGTAAATTCCATTTGTACCTTAGCAAGTGAATGTCGCATGGGAAGTTTGAAGGCAATGAAGAAGGGAGAAAAAGATTGATTTTGTGGACCTTGTCCTCAGAGGTGATGTCATCAGGTGATTGCAGGCAGGAGACATGAGGCATGTACAACAGTTGTATGCAGGACCAGGTGCCAATTCTGCAGCAGAGGGCATTGATGTGCTGAAGTATCTTGACCTTTTGAGTGTCAGTGGCATGCTGTCCAATGCTCTTCACCTCAAACTCAACACATTGTCTAGTAGAGCCGATTTAGCCATGAGTGTAACAAATGATACTTATACGTACTGCTGATCCTCCAGTTCCATTCCCAATGAGATAAAATTTTCGAGCACAAAACAGCACATACTAGTCCTCTCTTTCATTTCAAACGGGTTTGACAAAGAGCGGTCTGACTCCTACATCTCAATCTCTGTCCTCTATCCAGCTAACTAGTCTGCATTAAGGGCAGCCTCAAATTCATTAAGATCGTGACTGCATTCTTCAGCCTCGGGTACTGCAGCCTTATATTTTCGGAGGAGAATGGCACCTGTGGGAGTAGCTTAGCTTTGAACACTGATTGATAGAATGATTATTCACCCATAGTGCAGACCTTCTTCCAATTCCAGTCATTGAAATGGACATCTATAGTGTCTCGCCTGGATCCAGGTCCCATCTTGCGAGTACTGGTAGCAAGAGGGTTGATATCTGCCCATCCATGCTCTGGAGCTTCACCATCTGTTCGCCCAACACCCTTGATAAAGTTGAATGAAAACTTTGTTTGGCAACTAGTGATATGTGCCAGCAGGTGGAATTTAGGCACGAAGAATGTGATGACCTTTTCGTCGTGGTTGATATGATACTCATGTGGGAATGCCAACATGTGCGACCAAAGTTTTTTGTTCCACTGACAGGCAATATCATAAGATATGTTGAGGACATGAACATCACGTGAGGAACGCATGCTTGAAAAAAATAGATAATCCATGTTAATGTACCTATGAACAGTGGGTTTGGAAACAAGACTATGATATGATTGATGAAAGAACGCACCTCTCCCCCTTTTGCAAGTCACCAACTGAACAAGGGTGTTTGAAATTGTGCTGCACACAATCAATAGTCCCTGCACCTGTCGCTGCAAGTCCATAAGAAGCCCTCGTATCTGCCAGGTTCACTGCAGAGTGACTAGAACATGTGCTCTTCTACAATTGATCATAGTTAGCACAGAGACTCATGTAATTGTATTTGACTTACCTCCTGCACATTGCCTACTGTTACAGTTCTATTCTTTCCCTTCACATCTGTCACATCCTATGCTTACTCATCATTCCATAGTATTCTATCATGTTCTATCGTACAATTCTCTTTCTCTTTTTCCTATTTGCTATCCATATTCAAGCTCCGCTTCAATACCCCTATATATACCTTACTCTTTATGCTTTGTATCTTTAACGTGACCTATGCAGGCCGGGGCCTGCAATCTAGCTTCATCTTCATCAGAACATTGGCTTGACTTGAATCTTTGAACATTAAGATGTCTAATCAATGCCGAGCGTAACACCTACCCTGTTGCGTGAAGCCAGGATATCCTTGTACGCAGTTTCTTCGACAAAAAATGCATATCCATGATTCAATCTGGGATCAATGGCATCCAATGATACATTACGATAAACAAGTTGGAAATTTGCATCAATAGCAAGGAATATTGCATCCAAAAATCTGTAGCTAAGGTAAAAATCAAGGTTGAAATTAATCTGGACATTCTTACTGGAATTCCGGTGGTGTATTTTCCCACCCAACAGGTAAGTTTTTGCTCGGATGGGGACAGGCAGGGCATAAGATGGCGCAAGCGCCTGCCTTTGTTTCTTCAATGCCTCCAGGATGATGACCCTGGCTGCAGTGTTTCATTTGGATTATAAAGTGCCATTCACGTATCATCCGGAGGAAAGGCTCATAACGATCCTGGATGATATGGTGAGTAAAGATGAATTTAGATGTAAGACACATAGCGTACCTTTAGGACACGGGTGCCTGTGTTATCTGTAAGGCGAGCAATCATATTATAAAACTCCCATGCCGATACTTTAGATTCGAATGACAGCATTTGAAAATACTCCAGTACATGAAATGTAGCGGCTGATTTAGGGTCCCCTGTAGTTGCAGGAAAGAGGCGAACATGTAGCAATTGGGTGATGTGTGGCTGAGCAAACTCACATCCACAGAAATCAAGTCCGACTTCATGGACACCATTGTAGTCGAGGACAACGAAGTCATTGTTGAATGCAGATATCGGATTCATGCATCAAACACCAATAGAATGCCCAAGTTGAAAGCGGACTCCCAAGGCCTTCAACATGGTGGTCTGAAATGAAGTACCATTCCAACACTGCAACATTATTTAGATCATTGCTCATACACAAATAAGTAGTGCACATACCTCCATCCTGTGAAGTGGTTGCCTGTTAAGAACGTGCTCAAAGGGCGAATCCGAAGGGCTTGGCTTCAGCTCGTGCACTGCGCCCCTTACCCGAGTACGTGCCCCTAACTTCCGAAGGCTATCGAACGATGTCCGAAGGTTACCGGACAATGTCTGGAGGGCGTCGGGCAATGTCCGATGCGCGGGAATTCCGGTGGACGTTTGGGAACAAGAGATAAGACTAATCCGGATGAAGTCCAAACTAGAAAGGAAACAGCGGAGGACTACCAGAGGTAGAGGTGGAGGAGGAGTACCAGAGGTAGAGGCGGAGGTGACAAGTCTATAGGAATCAATCCTAAGACGAGTGGAGGTCGACGAGAGAGAAACTCAAGTCGGACGGAGGAGGGAATGAGCAGAGTCTAAGATGATATTCGAACTAAGGATGTACATAGATTCTACAGGGTTTATATACTACTGAGGATTTAACGGAGAGTAAGCCAGCGCAGTCCGAAGCTATGCGAGGCTGTGGACGGAGGGTATAGAAAAGTCAAATGCTAGTCTATCGGAAAATAGTAAATGAACCCGGAGATTAGAACAGAGGAAAAATAAAGGTGGAAATGAAATGAGGTACGGAAAATGATATAGTCTAACTGGAGTAGGAACGTACAAAGGGATAAGGCACGGAAGTTAGACGCAGGTCGGATCCGGACATCCGGAAATGAGGTGTGCGATAGGTCCGGGTCTGGAACACGGGATATGACAGTATCCCCCCCTTAGGGCCGAGCCCATGAGGCTTCTGATTCGGAAGTCCGGTCTGTGTTAAGGTCGTACTCTCGTAGGATCGGATCCGAAGGACTTCGGCCTCAGCTCGTACGCTGTGCCCCTTTCCCAAGTACTGTCGCTTATTTTAGAGACTAACGATAACACGTCCGAAGGTCTGGACGGGTCTCGTAGTTATATCTGGATGACTTCCGGATATCGGAAACACGTATAAGACTAATCCGGATGGATCCGGACTAGAAACAAACAGAGTATAGACTATCCGAAGATAGAGGCGGAGACGTAGACTATCGGAATCGATCCGAAGTCTCAGAGATCGACAAGAGTTGATTAGACTCAAGTCTGGAGGACAGAAAGAGGACAAACTAAGATGATATTCGAACTGAGGTACTACAGGAAATATACACAGGTTTATATACTAAGAGGATAACGGAAGGATCAATAAGCAAAGGTCCGAGGCTATGTACGAAGCATATGCAAAGCTTATCAAACGCAAGTCGGAAATGAAGCATAGGATAACAGATCAGTAATCATACCGGTAATAAGTATAACCGAGACACCGGGAAGAGGAAATACCGAATAGGCTGTGTTTAATGTTATATGAACAGGAAATGAATTAAGAAGCTTATCGGATATCGGACCGGACGCAGATCTATGCATCGGACCGGACCGGATCTAAGGGTCCGAAGTACGGAAGAGAAGCGTGAATATATGGGATATGACAGTCTGGAGTTTTATGAATGCAAGATGATGGGCGGAGCTCATAAAAATAGCACTGAAGCATATAAGTAGGCCAGAACGCCCATGAAATGTTTAAACTTTTCCCCTTAACTCCTATTACTGCTTTAACATGTCTAACTCCACTTCCGGCAACAAGAAGTCCACCCGGCAACTCCTGGAAGAGAGGCAGGCGGAAATGGTCGCTGAAATTGCGCGGCTCGAGGCGGAGGAAGAAGAGCGCAAGCACAAGGAGGTGGAAGAGGAACAGAAGCGGAAGGATCTCGAGGATACTCGGAAAAGGTTGGCTGAGCGCGAGCGCGAGCACCTGATGAAGGCTAGGGCGGATAATGTGTCGGAGGTGAGTCGGATGAGGTTTTTTATGTTTTCTGGAGGTTCATAGAGTCTTGGTCCTCCGGTCCGGCAGATCCGGAGGTCACGTGCGAGATGTGCGTCACCAGGCGCAAGGCTTGCACCTGGGCAGTAGCATCCAAGACGCCGAGGGTGAGTGTTTGTTTTATCCGGATCCGGATGATTGCTAATGATTCTGGAAGATCCGGACTTGTGACCAATGCCGCACGTCCAAGGAAAAGTGCGTCGGCGGAAATCCGCCTGTCAAGGCGCTGGCTGGCAAAGGAAAAGGCAAGAAACACGCGCGTCCGGAGGGATCTCTGAGCCCCAGGGGCAAAGGCAAAAGACGTCAGCAGAGTCCGGAGGACCTTGACGATGAGGTGGAGATTATCTCCAGTCCCTGGACGGTTATTGGGGAAGGGCAAGACTGGATGGAGTACAATGACCAGGCCTGGGTCGCAGCCGCCAACAATATTGTGGCAGAACTGGCCCGGATGAATGGGCTGATGGAGAGGGGTATTGCAGCGGTGGAGGGAAGTAGGGCTGCGATGGACCGGGTGAGTGAGACCATGCTCCGGTTCATGGAGGAGCAGAGGGAGTTTCAGACTCTCTTCATGGAGAGTCTGAGGGGCGGTTTCCAGATGCATGTAGAGGATGCTCTGGAGGAGGAAAATGCTGAGGAGGCGGAAAAGGAGGCCGGCGGATCCGACGGAGATATGGAGATGGACTCTTAGGTAGTCGGATCCGAAGTCCGGATGTCGGACACCTAAATAACGTACATATATGCATGTCCTTTTTTACTCTTTGTTAGCAGTTGGTCCTGGCTTATCCAGATATGCTGAGTGGAAATCTGATAGAAGTTCCGGTGCATTTCCGAGTTTGGTTGTGAGTATCCAGGAAGTTTCTTCGTCTGTTCCCTTGTATCCGGCCCAACATACTAAGTACAGCAGTTGGCAATGACGTCTCCGGCGATCAATCTTGGAGTCCAGGATTTCGGAGATTTCGTATTCCGGTTCTCTGTCGACTAAGACCGGAGGTGGAGGAGGTTGGATGCGATTGGGAATGGTGTTCAGAGTTGCGGGTTCTAATTGAGAGACATGGAAGATGGGATGTATGGACTGCATAGCGTCCGGAAGATGGATGGTGAAGGAATGAGTGCCGGGATGAGCAATGATATTGAATGGACCGAGATTCTTTTCCAAGAGCTTTTTTGATGGTCGGGTCGAGCAGAAATATTTTGCTTTGACAAAGACCTGATCTCCGACCTTGAAGTCTGGAGCAGGTTTCTGTCTAGCATCTGCAGGTCCTTGATATCGTTCTTGGGCATAGGACATTTCTTCTCAGAGGAATTGGTGAAGCTCATCTAAATCTATAGCGTAATCCCGGGCACGGGCGGAGGAAAGATCACGCTCCGGATGTATGGAAATCTTCGGGTGATAACCCTTATTGGCGAAGAATGGGGAAACTCTGGTGGTAGCACTTGGAGCGTTATTGTATGCAAACTCAGCCAAGGGTAATAGTTCCGACCAATTATCCTGCTGATAGTTGCAGTATATCCGGAGGTATTGTTCTAGGGTTTGGTTAGCTCGCTTGGTTTGTCCATCGCCCTCCGGATGATATCCGGAGGTGAAATGGAGGATCATGTCGAGTGCTTTTCTGAGCGACCAGAAGAAGTGGAAAACGAATTCCGTACCGTGATCGGAAGTGACATGGGACGGAACTCCGTGCTTGGAAAACACATGTAGGAGGAATAACCGGGCGAGGTCCGGAGAGGTGATGGTGTCGTAGGTCGGAATGAATATGGCTTGCTTGGATAGTCAATCTATGACTACCAGAATGGCAGTAAAGCCGGAAGAGTTGGGGAGTTGCTCAATGAAGTCCATGGATATAGAATTCCACAGTTTTTCGGGGATGGGGAGTTGTTTTAACAATCCGTATGGTTTGTGTCGTGGAACTTTGGCTCAGGCGCAGGTTGTGCAGGACTTAACATAGTCCTTCACATATGCGCGGATTCCGGGCCAGGTATATTCCTGACGGATAGCTTCCAGGGTCCGGTTCTGACCGAAATGTCCGGATAGCAGGTGGTCATGCGTATTCCGGAGCACTCGGAGACGGAGGTCATTGGATTCTGGAACATATATACGGTTGTCGCAACGGAGGAAAATTAGTACAGCCACCCAGAGCACCGGAATTGCTAGGTGTGATGCCCGACGAAGCGAGCTGTTCTGTGGTAAATATCGGCCGGAGGTTGTGTGGATTAACTTGAGCGTAGTCCTTATCCCCCTCTTTGGGGTAGATGTCCCAACGTCTAGTCAGGCAGTCGGGCTTTGCTCCGAGTTTTCCGGGTCGGAACTGGATAATGAGGTTAAACTGATGAAGATATTCCGACCAGCAGGCTTGTTGGCGGGTGAGGAGTTTTGTGGTAGCGAAGTACTCAAGGTTTTTGTGATCTGTGACAATGTCTATCGGCTCAGTGGAGCCTTCAAGGTAGTGTCGCCAGGATCGGAAAGCTTCATAGATAGCTAAGAGTTCCTTATCATGAGTGTCATAATTGAGTTCCGGAGCCGAAAGGGTTCGGGAGTAAAAGGCAACCGGGCAGAGCTCCTGGTCTGGACATACGATAGAAAGTATTCCGGCGATAGCATAATCAGAAGCATCCGTCTCAACGACGATAGGAACATCTGGCATCCAGTGCATAAGCACCGGAGCGGTAGTGAAGGCTTTCTTGAGAGTTTAAAAAGATTTCCGGCAATCCTCGGAGAAATTCTAGGGAGCATCCTTGTGAGTGAGCCGCGTAAGCGGAACTACAATATCCAAGTAGTTAAAAATGAAATGATGATAGAAGTTGGCGAACCCGAGGAACAATTGAATATCCTTGACTTTCCTAGGTTCCGGCCAGTCGCAGATAGTCTGAACTTTGTTGGAGGACATTGTAAGTCCGGCCGGAGATAGGAGGTAACTGAGGTATTCTACAGAGTCGGAATGGAATTCGCACTTTTCCAGTTTAGCATATAGACAATGCTTCCGGAGGCGTCGGAGGACTTCAAGGACGTGTTGCTTATGGAATGCAAGGTCTGCGGAATAGATTAGGATGTCGTCGAGGTACACAATAACACAAATGTCAAGCATATCGGCGAAGATGGTATTGACAAAGCACTGGAAAGCCGCCGGAGCATTGGTGAGATTCTCGGGCATAACCAACCATTCATACGAGCCATAGCGCATTCGGAAAGCAGTTTTCCACTCGTCTCCTTCCGCCATCCAGACTAGATGATAAGCGGACCAGAGGTCGATTTTAGTGTAAACTTTAGCACAGCTCGGAGAATCGAGAAGGTCGGAAATGAGGGGAAGTGGGTAGCGGTCTTTCTTTGTGATTTTATTGAGTCCTCGGAAATCTACACAGAGGCGTAGGGAGCCGTCCTTCTTTTTGACGAACAGGATAGGGGCTCTGTGCGGAGAGGATGAGGAACGAAGAAGTCCGGTCGCAATATTCTCATCAAGGAATTTGCGAAGAGCTATAAGCTCAACCGGAGAAAGGGAATAGATGGTGCCAAGGGGTGGAGCTGCTCCTTCTTCCAAATCGATTTTAAGATCATAGGGACGATGGGGAGGGAGCTGTCCGGCTTTGCCCTTATCAAAGACATCCGCATACTCATGATATTCCAAAGGGATTCTGGATAGGTTCGGAGGTTCAGAGGAGAGTATAGCGGAGCGGAGATTGACACCGGACAGACGAACAAAGATACTGAACTGGACCAATCTCTCTAACTTGCAGGCCCAGCAAAAAGCGACTGCATTGATCAGGGAAATATTGGGAACAGTGTTATCAGTGGAGGGACTCGGCGAGGTTGAGGAAGGGATTTCCGCCGGAGCCGGTGGAAAAGAGGTTGGAGGGGTCAGAGGCACTCCATGAGGAATCGGACGGAAACCGATGCTGCCCTTTACCCAGTCAATCAACAGATTGTGTCGGGTGAGCCAGCTATATCCTAGAACGATGGAACAGGATGAGTCCAACAGAGTAACATAAAATGTTTCGGAGGTAACCATGCTGGTCGGAAACCGGATCGGTAAATCTACTGCCTCAGTGATAGTGGTGTTAGAAGTACCATCAAACAGATGGAGCGGAAGCGGAGAGATTGCATAAGTAGGAATGTTATTTTCTCGGATTAGTTTGGTTTCTACAAAATAGTGAGAGGAACCACAATCTACAAGGGCCGGAAACGGAGAGATATCGAGGAAAGTAGAGATGGAAACATTTGGCATAAGAGAGTTCAGATCGGAAAGGGAAACAGCATTGAGGCGTAGCTCCATTGCACGGGTTGAGTCAATGCAACCCTTGTCCCATGCGGAGTCAGGAGGGTTGCGGACTAATTTTTTGTCTCTTCCGAGACCTCTGGTTTGGCTTCCGGGATTACCGTGCTAGCACGACCTTTGGCCGCACGGGAAGTGGACTTCAGGCAGTCCCGGGCAGTATGACCGAGTCCACCGCAGAAGAGGCACAGCTTCTTTTCCATGCGCCTCTGGCGCTCCTCGGAGGTGAGTTTGCCGTCTTTTCCGAGCTTGGATGTCAAGTCCGGAAGTTTGGCGGAGGAGGAAGCTGAAGTGTTTCCAGATTTTTCGCCAGAGTATTCTTTCCGGTCGGAAGTTGAAGCTGACTGCTTAGCAGGAGGGGTGGATGTGGAGGGTTTGGTCTCGCGGGAGACTTCTCCCTTGCATTTCCAGTATCGAGCATTGATAGTCTGGGCAAGAGTTTTGTATTGGGATAGAGTAGTGGGTTTTCCTTGACGACTGATTTCATCTTTGATACGAGCCGGAAGTCCATTGTAGAATTGATGGCGCAAAGCTCCATCGCCCCAACCACGGACTTGGGAAGCTAGCCGTTGGAACTCTACAACATACTTGTTGATGCGCTGTCCGTCACGCATGTAGAGCTGTTCCAGCTGCATTTCCGCATCTCCGACCGGGTCATGAGGTCCAAAGTTAGTTTGGAGTTCTAACATGAACTCGGAGTAGTCATCCATCCAGTCCGGACGATCCGTGAAAACGTCCGACAGGAGGTCTGGCTCAAACCATTCAAGGGCTATGCCCTTGAGGTATGATTGCGTGAAGTTGACTTTAGTTCGGCCGGTACGGAATGATTTCAGCTTAGCTTGGAAGTTAAGCTCGCATTGGACAAAGAACGCCCGGAGCTTCTGGGGCTCAGTGCCGTCGAAGGTATCTGGTTCTCGGACTTTAACTTTGGAGTCACCGGATGTGGCGGATTGGCGGTTGTTACGCGCCAGGTTATTGATGGCTTGGGATAGCTGGAGGAAGACCAAGTCTTGTGGACCTAGACCTTCGTTTTCATCGTCAGTCGGGTCTTCTGGAGGTTCATCATCCGGATCTCCGCCACCACCTCCCGGCAGGTTACCGCCTAGGGCAAGTTCATCGTCGGAATCATTGTGCGGAAGATTTCCGGCGGGTGTGGGGGTGGGGGTAGACGGATGTGGGCGATTCATGAGTTGCGAGATGCTGGAGGCAGCGCCTTGTGCACTAGCGCGGCGCTGCGAGAAACTAGTGAAGGCATCGACTATGGGAGTAGAGTCGCGTCGGGCTGTTACTAAACCCACCACGTTAAGAGTGGTCTGTGCCTGTGTAGGTGCCATGAAAACAGATGTAAGTATACTCGGTAAGGTGTGAGTTCGAATATACTGTTAAGAACATGCTCAAAGGTCAAATCCGAAGGGCTTGGCTTCAGCTCGTGCATCAACTATCGACTTCATTTCGACCTCTGGACCCAGTCTGCCTCCTCCATTTCTTGACAACCTCATCTCACTAGATGATCTGTTAGATCAGCATGTGTCAAGCTCCAGTCTGCCACTAGGGCAGGAATCAAATACCTGTGGATTTGTGCTCGATCCTGTTCCCTTGTCCACGCATGTCTACGGCATGGACTTTAACCTCACACCGCAACTGAACGGACTGCAAGGCTACCAGTACCCTGACCCATTTTCTTATAATCCAGCAGGTCCAATGCAACCAGACTCACCAATCACCGCTTGGAGAAATGAATGTACATCTGATGAAAATCCAATCATGTCCACCACGCTCCCTCAAACACAGGAATCAAGCTTGCCATCTTCATTTTCAAATAATGCTAATTTGTTCCCCGCACACGATCTGTCATTTACACATGTAACTCCGTTACTTTCTCTTCACCAGCCTTTCCTGCCAGTCCCTTCACTCCAACCCTCTCTCCCACTCTCTTTACCCTGCCCTGCCCTGCCACTCTCATCACCCTCTCTGCCGCTCTCGTTACCACAGCCTGCCCTGCCGCTCTCATTAGCCCAGCCTGCCTTGCCACTCTCGTTACCCCCGCTCTCATTACCCCAGCCTGCCTTGCTGCTCTTGTTACCCCAGCCCGCCCTGCCACTCTCGTTACCCCAGCCTGCCTTACCACTTGAAGCTGACCAGGATGCATTGGTGCCTAATTTGGAGCCATTGATGTCCTCGGAACAGATAGTTAGAACCAAGGCTAGGCGCTCGGGACGTCCTTCAGCTCGAGCAAAGGAAGTGAATGAGATGGGAAATGTAGTGCCAAAGAAGAAGCGAAACTCTGAACAGCCCAGTGCTTTGGAGTTGAGGAAAAAAACTCGTAAGTGATGTTATTATGGGTCTTGCACTCATAGTTACCTGCTTACTATACCAATATACCCATAACCTGTGTCAGAGATATTAATATTGAGATTGTTGTGAGTGATGAAATTTTGCTGGAACTGCCGGAGCATTCACTGTCGACAGTGTGTTGTGTCAACTACTGGTTTTTGCTGGATCATTTCACTCTACCATAGCATCGGTGAGCATCAGTCCCCAATTCCCTTGCCCAGGGTATTATCATTGTACTGACATTTTCTTTGAATGGTATGATAGATCTAGTCAATAACAACCTGCTGACGGAAAATCATTGATTTCACAGGCACCAAGCGCTACCAGAGGCACATCGGACACAGGATGCTTTCGTTCATCTTGAAATCGCTGCACTTTGAGGGCATTTTTAGCACAGGATGCTTTTGTTCATCCAGGTCACCCCCTCCACAAAGAGGGCATTGTTAGCACAGGATGCTTTCATTCATCCAGATCACCCCCTCCACAAAGAGGGCATCGATGGAACCAACCTCTTCTTGAAATTGCTGCGCTATATAGTATCTGTAACCTGTGTCAGAGATGTTAATAGTGAGATTGTTGTGGTGTCCCTGTGACTCAACTTTGGTGTGTATTGGACTACTAGATATGTGTGAATGCAACAAGACCTCGTCACAGCGGCTGCCAGACTTGCACAAGACTGAACACTTCAACCCGGATGCATCCATGAGCTATGAGGTGATATATCATGCAACACAGGCTGACCTGACTTGTGATATATCACCGGTCCTAGCTTGCAGATGCATCCGCAAGCTAGGAGGTGATATATCACTGGCTAGAGTGCTGAGTATTAGGAGTACTATAGCAGGTTATATATCAAGTTTTGTTAACCTACCAGTGATATATCACAATTTTAGTGACTCATTTTCTAAACCTAGTACTGGAAAGGTCTATTATAGTATACAGCTCGCTAGCAGCTAGCCTAGAGCTGATGATATATCACATATTGCTAATCTTTCAGCCTGAGTGATATATCACTGACCATTGCAGGTATCCGAGTCCTACTGGAATGTGATATATCATGATCCTGGAAAGGTCTGTTGTTGACCCAGCGGACCCGCTACTACTAAGGTTGATAATATATCATTCACACAGTGTGATGTATTACAAAATTTGATATACCAATCTCTGCCAGTAGGTGATGTATCAACTGATGTATCATTGTCTTACATTTTTACTCAAAGGTGTGGATGTATCATATACCTTCTACAATCATAGGTGATTAATAGATCATTATGACACTATCGCCTGCCAAAAACTGAGCTCTGTTGACATTGTGTGTGAAGCTTTGAAAATGACTATTAATCTGTTATTGAGGATTGTGTGTTCATATACTAATTATCGTGATTATAATGGTACTGTTGATGGAGGCCTGAGTTATACAGCTGACCGCCTGCATTACCAGATCCCCCCATGTCATACATCTGTGCTCCACCACCAACTCAAAAATCCTGAGACATGCCAGTGAGAGGTCTACTAACCAATATGAACTGAGGGTGGAGAGTAGGTGGAGACTGAGCAAAGACATGTTGTTTTGTTGCACATCTTATAATTATGCAACAAGTTCATAAAAAAAAAATAACTATGTTAAGTGAAGGAAAGTTGAGCTTCAGAGGTCGAGTTGGCTAGACTATAGACATGAGTAAATGATCCTGGCAGGCTTACTCTCCCACACCGGAGTGTGTGGGCCGCTGCTCCTCTCCACCTAAGAGGTGCTGACATGCGAGTGTGTCATATCCCGTATTCCGGACCTACATCTGATAATGTTCCCACGCCTCATCCAGACCTTCAGACGCCCTATCCATGTCTCCAGTCCTCTACCCATCCGGATCCCTGCACCTCTGCACATCCACATCCGCGCATCCATGTCCAGATCCCTTTACCTCCGTACATCGGACCTCCATACCTCCGCAGCTAGCCTGCATCATTCGTCCTTTGTCCTATTGCCCTAATATCATATCCCGTATATCCACGCTTCTTGTCCGGACATCCGGTCCGGTCCGGTCTGATCCGATATACGATAAGCTTCCTAATTCATTTCCTGTGCATATAACGTTAACACAGCCTATTCCTCTATTCGGTATTCCTTGTTCTTGGTATCTCGGTTATACTTACTACCGGTACGCTTACTGATCCGTTAACCTATGCTTCATTTCCGACTCGCGCTTGATAGCTTTGCTTATGCTTCATACATAGCCTCAGACACTTGCTGTCTGATCTTTCCGTTATTTCCTTAGTATATAAACTCTTGTATATGTCTGTAGTTCCTCAGTCTGAATATCATATTAGTCCTCGCACTAGATCTCACTCTAAAGTCCTCATATCAGTCCTAGTCTTCCGACTTAAGTCAATATCCATCTCAGGCCTAGGGAGAAATTCCCTAGGCCAGAGCTCCACTTATCCGATCCTCCGAAGTTTCCGGACATTCGTCCGAAACTTTCCCGCAGTCCTCCGGACCTATTCTGCTTCGGACTTTGTCCTTGCAGCCTTTCCTCTGTTTGCTTCTACTTAGGACGTGTCCTAAGTAGCCATTACACATATCCGTATCAGGACGAAACCTTGTTGTAATTTCCGGAAGTTCCTCCGGAACTTTCCCGCACTCATCCGGAACGTCCGTCCGAAGTTTCCCGCGCTTCAGATGTCCTTCGGACATCTTCGGACTTCCTCCGGACATCATTCTGAAATTAAGGGCACATACTCGGGTAAGGGGCGCAGCGCACGAGCTGAAGCCAAGCCCCTCAGAATCAGTCCTACCCTTTGTGCACGGTCTTAACAGAGTGCAACTAGACGTCAAGCAGTGATTCTATGAACTGGTAAGGACTATACATGTGGTGGACTGGCTACTTATATACTAGTGGCTACTGTGCACAGACCATGCAACCCAAATAGGTAGGCAGACGATAAGACTATCCTAAAGTAGGTAAGCGGTAACAATTCAAACTCCAACACCAAGGACACATCACTTTGAAAGGCACCTTATAGGTACACAACAAGCTTATGACCAAATATATGACTATTGTCATATCCCATATATCCACGCTTCTCATCCGGACCTCGGACCTTAGATCCGATCTGATATACGATAAGCTTCTTAATTCATTTCCTGTTCATATAACGTTAAACACAGCCTATTCCTGTAGTTGGTGTTCCTTTACTCCCAGTATCCCGGTTATACTTTTTTTTTTAAAAACAATCCAATTTTTTGTCTTTGAGAGTGTAACTCTATGTAAGACAGTACTATCTATTTTTTTTTTGGTAGAACAATATTGCTAAGTGGCGGCTGACCAGGTCAACTCCAGGAAGCACGTTTGTTATATGGGGTTTGCACCCGTAAGATGAGGGAGGTAGTATCTAAGTTAGTTACCCAGGGGAAATGCTTTATGCACGCCATGCTTGGCAGTGTGGGACTCCTTACCTCGCAAGTAGCCAAAACTACCCGTTATGCTCCGAGAAGCGCTGAGGCAAGATACCCACTAAAACCCCTGCTGTCCAGATCCAGTTATCCGGTAAATCGTCTTCATCCAGTAGGACCCCACTCCAGGTACGGAGTACCAAGGATTCCCTTAGCGCCTTTTTTCCGTGTCTCGAGGCGTTGGTTAGTAATTTGTCATATTTGAGTCTTCTATTAATTGTGGAGATCCATCTATTGCAGATTTCATTTTTGGAGTGGAACTTGTCCTCTTCATTGTTGAACTTAATAACTCATTCGCACCTTAGTTTCCAGATTAGATGGGTTGATTCGTAAGTCAGGATTGAGAATAGTCTAGATTTTCCTTCTAATCTTTTCTTTTTGGTGTCCATGAAATGTGCTAAATTGCAGCCTAGAATCGTTCCAAATCTTATATTGGGCCATGTGTCCTTGCGCCGACACCAGAGTTTTTCTGCTAGCTTCCAGATTAGCTTCCTCGCAGGTGAGTCTTCGCATTCTACTAGGATATGTTCCATTGATTCAATGCCTCCACACAGTCTACATGTCCCTCTGTGTTCGTAGTTTGGTATGTTCTGCCAGAATTCGCCTAGGCGGTACGCTCCGTGGAGATTCTTCCATAGGAATCCACGGATACCTTTGGGTATGTCCTTATTCCTTATTGATTTCCAGATTTGTGCTTCTGAGGGTGTTTCCAGGCTTATCTCTCTTACAGCGTGATGTGTCATGGCTAGGGCCATTCGAGTGAGGCGTCTCTTGTGGTATCCTTTATTGATTCTGCAGATTCCTTTGTAGAATAGGCTCTGTGTGCCTCGTGACATTAGTAGTCCGGAGGTGTTGAATTTGTCTTTCACCTTGGTGTGTATGTTGTACGTTTTAGGGTTTTCTATGCTCCTACTTATTAGATTTTCAGTTTCATCCATATTGTGTGTAGGTGTATTTGTTCCCCACACTTGTAAGGTTGTGGCAGTGCTTCTCTCGCGGAGTTCTGCCATAATTGCTATGATGAGTTTGGTGTTGGGGGCTTGGATCCAGCCCAGTTGTTCTAGTCTCGGTGCGTCTTTGGTTAAAAGTTTGATTATTTTCGATGCTTTAATGGATAGTTCCATTCTAGCGTTCTTAGGGGTGGCCCTGGCTGTTTCTAGGATTGCTGCTAGTTCACCAGCTTCAGGTGTTGCTAGGTCTTGAGGTAGTTGGAAGGCTATATTCCTGACGTCGTCTGGTCCATACCATGCCGCACCAGTTGCTACTGGTTCCCCATCGTTGTTGATTTGGTAATTTCCACTGATGGTTGCTAATGTTTTCTCAGTATCTGACTCATTGGCTTGTGCTTGTGACTGATGTGCGGGCACTATAGAGTGTGTGAGGCTTGTGAATACCTGGAACCCGTCTTCAATTATGGACATCGTGGGCAGTGCAGGGTCAAAGAGTATGTTTCCTTTCTCTTTAAGTGCTTTCTCATTTGCTTCATGTTGTTCTGGGGTCAGGTCTGGTACCTTTTTGAAGATTTCGGTGGATGTGGACCATTTGGGGAGGATGCACGCCAGGATTTTGATGGCTGTCTTGCGGCACCTGAAGGGTTTGGCACATTCATATTTTGCGCGGTCGGAGGAGCATACTGAGCATTCACATTCTTTTCGGTTCTTATGATCCTGTGGTGTTTGCTGAGTCGCTTTTTCCAGGTCTCCCACTGTGACTATTTTATGTTTGTCTCTCAGGCAGTTCACATAGTAGTAGTTGTTCAGTTTGTTGAGTTCTGGGCTTGCGCCGAGGTGGAACCAGATGGGTAGTTGACGTGCTATGTTTGGGGGAATTAGACATGAGTCTCATTTCACATGGTAGGTCTTCGCGGCTTTGAGCATTCGTTGTATTGGTGGTGGAAGTTTCCTGGTTAGTGGCTTCCATGTTTGGAGGAAGATACTAACTTTTGCACTGTTGCAGATGGATGGAGCTGGTTTTGCATACTTTCCTATCAGGGCATTAGCGAAGAAGGCCCAAGGTGGGCGTTCGTGGGCTGGTTTAAGGAGGCCTTTGAGCCACATTAATTCAATAGCATCATTTCAGTGAGTGAGGTTAAGCATGTTTTTGTCGCCTTCCTCTATTGGTTTGCACAGGATATTAGTACTTATTGGGGTCTTCCCTTTATTGTCCCAGGCAAAGTCTCTCGCTTTTACCATGAGTGATTTTTCGATCTCCTTAGGCATTCCTTGGCCAACAGTTATATATTGGGTCATGCCGCCTATAGTACGTTGAATTATAGTCTTTCGTCCTTCGACGGTTGGGTGGCTCTTATCCTATCTCTTTAGGCTTGTGTCGATTTTCTCTATTGTCAGTGACCATATTGTGTGTTCATTGGTATCGTTTCCCATCCATGCTCCTAGGATTCTCACTGCTGAACCGTCTTTAGCGATGTTGATATTGGTAGGTATAGGAGCACCCTCTTTGTTGAGTATCCTCGTTGTTTGGAGTCTTTGGCGGAATGTCTTGGTGCCTATAGGTATGATTTCGGTTTTTGATCTATTAAATTTTGCGCCTGATGCGTTACACCAGCATGTTAGGATGCTATTCAATAGTGCGAAGTCGTCTTCTTCCGTTAGGTATATGGTGGTGTCATCTGCGAACATTGTTACAATGATTCTGTACGTCATGCCGGGCGCTTGGTAGCCTTTAAGGTCTGATTGTCAGAGCATTTCTGCTAATGGTTCTATTGCTAGGTCGAATAAGAGGCATGAGAGTGGGTCTCCTTGTCGGACACCCCTGGTTACTTTGAACTTATCACTCAATTCGCCGTTGATCATGACAGCTGTTTCTGCTTCTTCATATAGGGATTTGACTGTGTTGATAAATTGATCGGGGAAGTTGAAATGCTCGAGTGCTTTCCAGAGGTATGAGTGTGTTATTTTGTCATATGCTTTTTCTTGGTCTAATGCCACGATAGCTCCTTCCTTCTCTTCTGCTTCGGCGAAATTGATTATCAGTTGAGTCAGCTGTATTTGGTCTGTTATACTCCTCCCTGGTACAAACCCGGCTTGATTTTCGTGTATGACTGATGGTGCAGTGCGTGCTAGTTTTAGGGCTAATGTTTTGGTAAATATTTTATAGTCGCTGTTTAGGAGTGTGATGGGGCGGTAGTTTGCTATTTCCCATCTATCGTTCTTTTTGTATAGGGGGCACATCCATCCCTCAGAGAAGTTGGACTCTTTCGTGACCCCAAAGGTCTCAATGTCGTTGTAAACATTAGTCATGCATTGTAGTAGGTCAAAGGGTTCGTTTTCCTCATCTTTCTCTTTCGGGAGTAATCTGGACATCTCATCTAGCCATTTCCAGAATTCGTATGGGAGGCCATCTATTCCTGCCGCTTTACCATTTGGTAGCAGCCTTAGTACTTCCCCGATGTTTTCTTTTGTCAGGGGGTTTTTGAGTATGTTTCTTTCTTCTTCGGACAGCTGTCTATTGATTGTATTCATAACTGTGTCCATGGCAGTGTGTCTTTCTTCTTCTGGTGCCAGGTCTTCATTTTGTAGGTTATTGTGATGGTTTCTTGCGATTTGGGCCATCTTATCTGACCGTGATTCGTAGATGGGGGCTTCTGCCGGTGAGTCTATTGTTTTCAATTCGACGATTGTGTCTCTGGGCTTAATGTCTTTCCCAGATCTTGACCACAGTTTGCTTACAGGTGATTCACATTTGATTCTCATTTTTACTGCTAAGTTGTCTTTTATGTTTTTGTGGTGTTTCCTTTCTAGGTTACTAATTTTCTCCTGCAGTTCTAGCCCGACGAATTGTCATTCATCTTCAGGGAGATTATGGTTGTTTAGGCATGTTTTGAGGTGGATTTTCAGGGTATTAATACGGTTCTGGATCTTCGAGATAGATTTCTTTGCTGTATCTCTGCATAGGTGAATTACTTTGTTTTTGAACGTTTTGAATATTGTTTGGGGGTTGTTGGACTCTGATCTGTCAGACTGGGAGCTCGTTATGTCCTTTTGCAGGGCTCGTCCCATCTTGACTATTTCATCTCGTACTTGTTTGTCTTTAGGGATGAAGAGCGGCAGTGTCCACCTGCCTTTGCCTACGAAGGGAATACGTATGTCTGATATTCTCGCTGATATCAATTGGTGATCGGTTGCAATTCCAGATGGTTCTATTTGCCATTCTTTGCTAAAGGGCGTGAAGTCCTCGCTAATGTATATCCTGTCTATTCTCAATTGTCTTCCTCCTTGCCGGTGAGATTGCGCAAATGTGAATGCAAGTGAGTTGGGATTCTCTGCGCGCCATCCGTCTCTTAAGTCTAGGCTTAGTTTTAGACGTGCTAATGATTCAGTAGCGTGTTCATTGTCTTGTTTACATGGTAGTCTGTCTAGGGCATCTTCAACTATGTTGAAGTCGCCAAGCATTACGTCTGGTTTAGGTTTCCCTTCTAGTTTGGTGTGTAATTCTTCCCAAAACAGTTGGTTTTTTGATGGTTCATTTGGTGCATATATTGCTAGGATTGTCAATATCGTTTCTTTGGTCCATGGTATGTGTATCATTAGTGCTCTTCCTGGGATGATTTCGAGTGAGGTCACTTCCTTACTCCTTGTCATTTGTACGTTTAGTACAATTGCTATACCTTTGGCATTAGTGTTTTCGGGGTCAATGGATGATATGATTTTTAGCCGACGTCTGAAGGTTTCGTCTAGCTTGGATTCTTCTTCTTTTGACAGGTGAGTTTCTTGGATGGCCATAATCCCAATCTTTTTATCTCTTATAACTTGATTGATGTGGTTCCATTTGTCTGTTCCGTTGTGCCATCTTCCTCTCATATTCAGAGATGCAACTTTGATGTTTGCTCTTATCGTTTTCTTACTTTCTTTATTGGCGCTGACTCTTAGATCAAATTGAGGTGGGTTGCGTCTTGCTTGGGACTGTCTGCTTGACATCATGGATCCCTCATGGTTAGGCCTCATTTGGGAGGCACCTTGTACTACAAGGTTGGGAGTACTATGTACTTCAGCTGGTGTTGCCAAGTTGATGTTTGGTGTGTCTTTTGTATGAGCGGGGTGCTCAATAGGCTGGTGGCCATCTGCTGTGAAGAAGTCAGTATCCCGCCATTGGAGGATATTGGAAGCTTCCTTGAAGGATGGAGTAAACCATAGGTCAGCGGCATACATCATTTTTGGTATAGCTACAGCTTGATACAATTGGCGCATAAGGGGCATCGGGATTCCTTTGGCCATGGTAGATAGGCGGCAGATCTGGCATATGTAAGCTGTTCCTTTGGCCATTGCGTTATTGACTTGTGCAGTCCATCGTAGTTCTTGGTCTACTATGATGCCGAGGAAGCGGTGGGTTGCAGAAGGGTGGATGGTTGAGCCTTGGATGGTCATGCTGGGGCGGGGCTTGCGTTTATTCATAGAGAAATCTAATAAAGCGAATTTGTTAGTCTCAAAGTGTGAGTTATGATTGCGTGACCATTCAAATCCGCCTCCAGGGCATTCCAGCATATCAGTAAGCATAGCATGCGCGGTTGCAAAGTCATCCACTATCACGATAAAAGTCATGTCGTCTACGAAGGCTAGAGTCAACTCCTTCAGAGTCTCTCTCCCTTGCCATTGTTGAGCGACCTCTACTAAATCAGAGTTATAAATAATATAAAGGATCATGGACAGGGGGTCTCCCTGTCCTATACTGTTAGTGATTGGAATCCAGTCCGATGTGTATCCATCGAAGCATAATTGAGTGAATCTATCAGTTAGTACTCGTTCCGTGAACTCTACCATTTCACGAGGAATGTGACACATTCTCATGTTGTGGAGGAGGTGGCTAGTGACTGCATTGGGAAATGCGCCTTCAATGTCTAAAAAGAGTACAGATGCTACTCGGTGAGATTGCCAGGCATCCTTGATGGTAGCTTCTAGAAGATGAAGGGAGTCAGTGGTTGAGCGGCCCGGCCTACCTCCAAAGTGCGTGTTCGGTAGGAGTTGGTGATGTTCTAGTACGTAGGTTAGTTGCTCAGCTGCGACCGCCGTGAGGAGTTTGCAAGTTGTATTGAGGAGGGCGATAGGTCTGTATGCTTTGGGGACTGTATATCTGGGCTTCCCTGGTGTGTGGAGGACCACTGTTGTGAAGTGGCGCCATGGTTCTTAGTATGTCTTGTGGGAGAAGACGGCATTGAAGATATATATGAGGTGTGGGATCAATGTGGTCGTGCATCGTTTGAAGTCGATGTTACAGATGCCGTCCGGGCCAGGAGCCTTATATCCACTAAGGTTGGTGATGGTGCGCAGAAGTTGGTCTGTGGTAAAGGGAGTGTGCAGTGCGATTGGGTCGGGATATCTACAGTCTGGTGGTACATGGTCAGTAATAGGTGGTGTAGATGAGGAATTGGTAGTGTGGTGATAAGGGTGGTATGAGATATACTCAAGTAGTCCTCAATGAGCGAGATATGTGTCGACCCAAGGGGATTGCTACTGAGAAGGTTCCTCTAAGTATATGTGTGGAGGGAAACACTGGGCCGGGCGCTTGGTCAGGCCTGGTAAGGCGTGCGACGATGAGTGAACAAAAGCAACATGAAGCGCTGGTGAGCGACGGCAGGCGACAATAAGCGGTGAAGTGCGACTTATAACGGAAGCGCGTGCTGAGAGGGAGTGATGTGCGCGTGCGGGTGGTGGAGCGGAGCGACTCTTAATGAACTAATTTGGCAGGGTTTCTAGTAATGTACGGCCGCGGCGCTCGTATTGTACTTAGATAATTAAGAGATATGAGGGAGAGCTTTTTAGACTTAAAGTCCAATGATGTGCGGGCTGAAAAATGATCATTACACAGTTTAGGCGCGTATATATATACTAAGTAATACTAAGCGCTGTCAAGCGCTAAAGCGAACCGAGAAGCGAAGCGGATACAAGATAATATGTAATGTAAGGGTCCATAACGGAAAACATACGAGATATGGCCATAAGCGCCGGAGATATGTCAGAATAATTGGAAATAGAATGGGAATACGCACCGACGAACCGAACGGACATGGAATGGATGGATGGAGGATGAGCGACAGAACCGAGGATACGCGACCGAAGCGCTCGTGCATGCGAGCGGCCGACGGAGCGCTCAAGTGCGCTGGATGAGATATGAGTCGCGCTATATTAGGAAGTGATAGAGACGATGGGAATTTAGATCCCTGCAAGCCCACAGAGATATTAGTCTCTACAGCAGGGAGGGAAGAAAGCTTCTGCGATTAGGGTGCTCTTCTCATAATTAGTAGATGCCTCAATGGAGGAGCCATCTGGGTGCTTAATGGTTAGTGTTGGGACTTGAGTGTTACCTCCATCCTTAGGATCGGACATTGCATATTGGTTTGCGGTCCATATGTCATTACCTTCAATGTCTTCGAGCCACTCTGTCCAATGCTGTTGCTTCGTCGAGGCAATGGAGTCCGTGTATTGAGTTTTGAGGTCCTTCAGTTCCTCATGGCATTCATGGAGAGGCAGGGTGCACATTTGGTAGGACAAGCGGCTGAGGCGATTGACTTTCTTCCACAGTACAGTGAGCTCCTGAGTCCACCAACACTTGGAGTGGGGACAGGGTTTTGAGAGTGGTACATGGACAGTGATGGTGGAGGTGATGGCTTCTGTTAAACGGCGGGTGGCAATCTGGAACTCTTCATTAGTGGCTAATGGCTGTGGGGGATGAGGGGATAGAAGATCTTGGAGGTGCTCATCGAATTTTTCCCAATCTACTTCTCTCCAATTCTTCTGGGTGTTATGTCTGCATGTGGGGTCTCCAGTTCGAGAATGAGATGTATTGGGACATGATTGATTTTTGGGCCTCTGAGTTCTGGGGCCATGGTGCAGGTGATAATTGCATCGAGTAGCTGTTCCGTTCCAAAAACATTGTTGGGTCTGGTCCAATTGCCGGTACTGGAGGATTGGAGTGTTGGGAGGTTGCCAGGTAGTAGCTGTATCATACCAAAGTCAGCAATTAAGTCTATGAGAGGGTTAGCAGTAGTATAGTTAAATAAGTGCCGGTTGCGCATTTCTTCCCAGAGTGGATGGTGGCGGTTGAAGTCCCCCATCCAGAGCATGTGATCTTCTATAGTAGGGCGGAGGGTTGCAATGTTACTTTCAATGAAGGTTTACCCCTGCTGATCCCTAGTCCTTGTACTAGATCTCACACTAAGTCCTCCTATCAGTTCTAGTCCTCTAACTTAGTCAATATCCATCTCAGGCCTAGAGAGGAATTCCCTAGGCTAGAGATCCGCTCCTCTGCTCCTCTGCTCCTCTGCTCTTTCATTCCTCCAAGTTTCTGGAAGTTCCTCTGGAACTTTCCTGCGGTCCTCCAGACCTATTCTGCTTCAGACTTTGTCCCTGCAGCCTTTCCTCTGTTTGCTTCTACTTAGGATCTATCCTGAGTAGCCATTACACATATCCCTATCAGGATAAAACTCCATTGTAATTTCCGGGACTTTCCAGGATTTTCCTGGACTCCTCCGGAAGTTTCTCACACTTGTCCGGAAAGTCTTTCCGAAGTTTCCTGCACTCCTCTGGAAGTCCTTCGGACTTCACTGGACTTTCTCCGGACTTCATTCTGAAGTTAAGGGCACATACTCGGGTAAGGGGCACAGCGCACTGGCTGAAGCCAAGCCCCTTGGAATCAGTCCTACCGTTTGTGCACGGTGTGTGTGAGGAATGATAGCTAGATGAGAAGGGGAGAAAGAGGGAGAAAAGGTGAAGTGGGGTAAAACTCAAATAGACCTCTGGACGCAAGTATAGTTTCGGCCCGAGGGGATTGCTACTGAGAATGATTCCTCTAAGTAAATATATGAGGGGAAACTTTGGAAACTAGTAAGTGAGGTTGAGAAGCGAGGGAACATGGAAGCCAAAGCCAAGCCAATGTGATGCAATGCAATGCGAGGCGCTGGAGGTATGAAACAATGTGAAACCGTGAGGCTGAGAGTGTTTTAGTGCATGCTAGTGCATGGCTGAGTCGAAGGGTAAGGATGAGAAAGCCGCTGAACACACAAAACAAGCAGTAAGAATCAATAAGGCGGCCACTAGAAACACGTGTGCCGATATATGCTGAGGTTTATGATCTTGAGTGCGGATGTTCAATTTTTGCGTGCAAAGTGGTGATAGATTCTTGTGCAGGAAAAGAAGAGCACATGAAAATTCTAAGTATGAGATATATATGTATGCACGCCTAAGCATTACTCAGAACTGAGTAAATCATGAGAAGTATGTAAGTAGGGTCCATGACACATTTAATGAACATATGAAAACCCAGTGGTGCCCTCGTCGCTCTGCACTCTAGCTTTCCTGTCTGTTCCTATCATGGATCTCTTGTCAGATGTTTTCTTCTTCTACATTTTCTTCGTTATTTGACTCTTCCTTTCTCCTTTCTTCCTCTTGCCGCTGCTCTAGCTGCTCCTGAAATATCTTCTGGTCTTCTTCTAATCTGGTTCCTTCCCTTGGTGTGAATGCCCTTAAATGTCGTGCATGGTACTCCCCCCCTAGTGCTTCTCCTCCCAGTGATTCTAGTTTGTACGAGTTCCTAATGTGTGCAGTGATATGGTGCAGAGGTGACCACTTTGGCAATAACTTGTGTTTGGCTTCAACTGTTTGGTCCAGTTGGCTGCGATAGAATTGAACGAGCTGCCCTTGAGAGAAGACTACCTCACCTGGATTCTGTTTCAAGACATGCTTGTCAAATGCTGCTTTCCATTTCATGGTGTGTTGGACTGCTGCATCATATCTGTCAAGCTGTTGCTGTGCGACGTATACCATATGTACATTGATGTCTGCTGTTTGTATTGCAGATGTGCTCTCACTTAGGTCCATTCGAGGGGTATTGATGACCTGTCCCAAGAGTAGTCCCTTTGGAGAGGATTTCAGTGTGGGAAGGATACAATGATTGAGGGCTACTATAGTGTCATCTATGTGGTCTGTCCAGTTGAGTGGTAATCTATCCCATGAGAGTGTCTCATAGTCATCTTCGCCAAGATTTGGTGCACATAGTCGTTTGAGGACATGTAATAGAATCTTGTTGGTACCTTCCACTAGACCATTAATCCAGGGTGAGTATGCTGTGTGTTACAGGTCCACTTAGCACACAAATTCTTGACATCTGTGTTGTTAAAGTGTCTGCCCCCGTCTGACATGAACATTTCTGCCGCTGTGAAGTTCTGGAAGATCTGCGCTACACTATTGATTGTCGTTTTTGCGGTTCCCTAGGACTTATACTTGAATGCCCAAACATGCTGTGAGAAGGTGTCTAGATATACACCTACAGTGGTGTATCCTTTGGATTTGGGTGAGGTTAGATAGTCTCCAACTAAGAGTTCAAACAGGTGACGACGTGTGATTGGTTTTAGCAATGAATGTATGTGAGGGTTACCAAATTTTTTGCATCTGCTACAGTTGCTGATTGCAGCCATTATGGATGCGTCTAGTTTTGGACTGTAAATGTGATCTGTTAACATGATTTTGATGGTTTCACTGTGAGTTCCTTGGCTTCTTCCTGTGTCACGCATTTGGTCTTACTCCATGCCCATACTGCTGTGCCTCCTTGTATTCTCCATAATTTCCCATCCTGTATCAAGTATTGTGATGCCTGGTGCCATGCTCGCTTTCGATTCCGGATGTCCTTCCCTCGGTCCAACTGGAGGATGGCTTCAATCACTTCTGAGAATACCAGTTCATTTGCAAATCTTTGTAAAAGTTGGGATGCTGTAGTTTCATCAATGTTAGTAGATATATGCAGCAGGTCATTGATCAAACCCAAATTTGATTCCCGATCTTCACTAATGGTCCACTTGCTTCCATCCACCAGGTTCATGTTCCTTGGGTGTCCTTCCCATTGTCGACTGAGACTGTCTGCGATGACATTGAGTTTTCCTGGTACATGTTTCACATCTACAATGTTATGTGCTAATATTCCATCTCTCCACCGAGCATGTGCCGCGTTCAATTGATTGCTGATTAGGACGTCTTTTAAGGCCTGACAGTCCATTTCTACTTCTACTGGGAATCCCCATATGATGTCCCAAGTGCCGACCCCCGACCCCCGAGACCCGGCAGTCCACAATTTCGGGGTTCGGGGGTTGGTAAAATCTCAGGGTTCGGGGTTCGGCACTGTGAAAATTTGACATTTATATTTTTGCGAGTGTTGTGCTTCTGGTGTCCGTGTGTAGCAATAGGATATGTCGCACACCAGGGTTCAGGTGTGGGGTTTTCCCACTTCAGTACTTGATTATTGGTCAATGCCACACATGGTCGATTCATGTTTTCATGCTTACGGGTTTAGATTTCGGTGGTCGATGGTAGGTATATGCACTCATAGTGTGCATGTATCCTACGTGTTTGATTCGCTAGACCCTGATAGGATTCTACAAGCTCCATAAATACTCTATGTTCTCGTTGAATGCTAAAGTCGAAAGTACTATAAGACCCTACTGACATTCAATCAGCACAATTCTACTGACTCAGCTGGATAATCTTCTATTGGAGAGTCCTGTAACTCCTCGAGTCGAAGAGTGTTTCCGGTCAGGAGAGCAGGGTAATTGCAGAGTGCAAAGACTGTCTGACCAAAATGGCACCCATGAAGAACAAGGGGATTGGATGAGGTACTCTCAGAAGTCTTTGCGACAATGCATTCTCATTGCAAGTAATGTCATGCTCAGGTAGGCTCTTCAATACAGCATGCATTACAAGACTCATAAGGTTCACCTGCAGCTTCCAACTTCCCTAGGGGCTGGAGCCACACAGACTATAAGTGAGATTTCAAAATTAGATCTGTTCGCCGGTCTAACAAAAGACCACCTAGGTGCCAGCGAAGAATTTACACACAAAGCAGAATCTGAGTGGCATCAACTTAAGGAACAGTCAAAGAAAGCAGAAGATAGTGTTGCATACCTCACAGATAGGATGTCACATACAGGTATAGATGGCCGGAAGAGTACTACCATGCCAACAACCTTGAGCATCATATGCCCAGTGACATTCATGTGCCTGACCTTGCTCAGATTCCTCTGGGTACCCCTTCTCCTGCATTCTCTTCAGAATTCTTGGCCTGGGAGAGTATGTGAGGTCCAAACGGGGAGAGAAGAGCGAGTTAGGGTCATTGAAAAAACCGGATAAGGTGTCCGTGCGAGGACGTATTGTTTTCCCAACAATTAAATTCATGACTACTTAAGTATAGTATGGTCCATACTGTATCACACCATGTTTTGTGCCCATTCCACAAGGCATACCTGATCAAAATGAAGAGTAACATAAGTCATAGGTGAAATCGTGACCTCTACAGTATTCTTTTTGACATTACACTTTATGACAATGAAGACGTGACCACAATATTCCCCATCCAGAACAAAGACCTGTTGTTTTTTTTACGTGGAGGGGCTGGGCTCAGATCTTTGGCGGGAATATGGTAGTGTTGAATGGCAGCGCCTATGTTACTGGATGTGCAGAATACCACAACACAATTTTCAGGTGCAAGTCCATTCACACTGCAGAACCGATCAGGACAAGCTGTTGACACAAACTGTTTGTGTAACCTGCCTCCCATGAAGCCCACTGCAACCTTCAACACCGCGTGATAAAGGAGGAATGTCAAGGAATACTCCTTGCCCATTAACCAAAGTAGTGGGACTACAATAAAATATAATAAACAAAAGGTTTGATATCTCTATCGTGTACTCACCACTGTCTGGGAGCTTCTTGGCTCTGGTGTCAATGTTATCCTGAGTGTCCTCAAGATTGAGGATCCAGGGGTCAAATTCGGACAAGCTCAGAGCAACACTCAATGAGAGGTGATCCACAATACCTTCTGCATTGGAGGTCCAGGTAGTCCATGGCGACAAGCTATTAGTACCTGGTGAACTCGACGGTAGTCAGGCAGGTGGTGGAGTAATGCTTCGATGTTGAGTTGTCGTCGTGTACAATCTCTTTCCATAGCTAACAAAATTTAACAATCTAGTAATGACGAAACTCTGCGGTGCTCACCTGGTGACAATGTCATGCCGTCTGAGAGTAGTATGCGCCCGCCCATTTAAAGCAATGATGCAAGTGTCGGAACTGATGTCGTACAGTGTCGCTCGATAACCTTTCAGCTCGCCCCCAACAATAAACACTTCTTGTCCAATGACCTTGTTGAACAAGTCTGAGTTTGTGTCACATGTTTTTATTACAAATGTGATTGGGACATCAATCTGTGACAGGTCAGCCATGCTCGAGTTGGGGTATTGATACTTACGAGGGAGTGATCACTGTCAGATAGAAAAGTCAAGCGCGTGTTTGGAAAGTCGACACTTCGCACGACCCCTGTCCTCTGATATTCTGGACCACGGGCAACACTCACTACGTCTGTTAGTTATATGATCATTCACCTCTACGTACATTTCTATGTCTTTTATGTGTCTTATTGTGCCTTCATACTCATAGTATTATTCCTGACACTTTACTTACCATTTACATGGCTTCCTGACTTCCCTAGGATGTCCCTAGGTCGAGTTATTACTTACTCTTTGATTGTGGCTTGTCTGTTTACATTTGTTTACCATATGTCACCCATATCCCAGAGTCCAGTGCTCCCTGCCTCTTTGGCAACTTACTCTGGACTCTAGGTACTGTATAACTTTACTACACCATTCAATAGATTGGCAACTTACTCTGGACTCTAGTCTGATCTCTTCTGGTCTCTCAGCAGCCTCTAGAAGCGGCCCAGTTCACTCCCATCTTAACAACATCTCCAGGCCTCACGACATAGCCCCTTGAATTCTCAATGATCCAACACTAGACTCGACATCATCCCCAGCTAACACGGGGTTCACATCCCGGAACCATAGCATGATTCCTCCCAAAATCCACTCCATGATGCCACATTTCCCGGAGTGCTCGCCCGCAAGCACTTCTATGTGGTCCCCGACTTGCAAAGATTCGTATTCAGGGGGAGGCTCAAAGTGTTGCAGCGTATGTAACCATGGTTGAAGGGTGTGATGCAAGGGGCAACAATCTAGATAGTACCTTGAAATGAATAGCTATGCAAAGAGTATTAGATCATTTTGATTTCATTCAAGCATAATCTTACTTCTTCTTTGGAACCATCTTGGCAAACATGGAACATATCATCACTAATCTGAATAATGTGCCCCTCCAACCCCAGGTATGGACCTGCTACTACTCGAACTTCATTGCCGACACAAAAGACACGCTCAATGTCCTCCAGTTGAATGTCAATTCCACTTCGGTGTCCATCAAGGATAATTTCCAAGCATATGGAACCTGAAGCATGATCCGTCAAGACGACTGTACCAATCTTTGAACGAAGTTCCCCTGAGATGACCCTGGCCAAATTGCCTATGCGCAAGAACTGCATCGAAAATACAGCCAGCGTTTTCTTGATGAAGGGTGTGTCGAACCTGGACTGCATATGCAGTTGAATGTCATTGGCATGGGGAGAGGCAACAAGTTCGAGGTGACCGTGGTGAAAGTGTTTCAGTACAAGTCCCATATAGTACTGTTCTCCTTTGTAAGAGCATCCTACAACTTTGCCATCATGGTTTAGGTCGCGAACCGTCTGATTGTTTGGAAGGTGAAGTCGGTCGAGTAGGGCTACAGATCCACTATGCATGAGTCCAGAGTAAGTTGCCAAAGAGGCAGGGAGCACTAGACTCTGGGATATGGGCGACATATGGTAAACAAATGTAAACAGACAAGCCACAATCAAAGAGTAAGTAATAACTCGACCTAGGGACGTCCTAGGGAGGTCAGGAAGTCATGTAAATAGTAAGTAAAGTGTCAGGAATAATACCATGAGTATGAAGGCACAATTAGACACATAAAAGACATAGAAATGCGTACTGTAGAGGTGAATGATCATATAACTAACAGCCTACACCATTGTTCAATGGGAGTACTTGACAAAGGACCATCCGTCCTTGGTGGAGACAAAGGTAGGGGTATGTGACTGGTTTTTGAAGCGCGAAGGTTTGCCAAGGTGATGCTATTATCACCATCATCACCATCACCAGAGAACAACACATCTCTGGCATCTTTCCAGTCATCGAAAATGTATCGATCACCGAGGTATGCAGAAAATGCCTCTTCCAGTTGGGGGTATGTCATATCCATAGTGAGATACTTTTCAAGAATTTCCCATGTGCCTCCATCTGCCAATGGCGCTGGCTGAAAATCTCCTGTCGTGCAAACAGGCTCGTAAAGATGTTGATGATATCTTATCAGAACTCACTGTCATCGATTCAGATGCGTTTTCGAGTATGTTCACCATCATTGAATGACGCACATTTGGACATGCTGTTAAAAATGCATCAGTCTTTGGATCACATAATAATACTTAACGCCTCACATGCTATGTTTGATAATCTACTTGATTGTTCAGGTTCTAAATGATGGTAGTGGAAAGAAACCTGAAAACACGCATCCACGAGATTTTGTAGTGAACAACTAATTTTGCTTAGTAAATGTGACTACAATATTTGGAACCAACGAGCTTGCACTACAAGTAATGTATATTGAGGTTTTGGACTTTCGAAGCGAAATAAAACAGCATTGTTATATAGGTGTAAAATAACAAATTATCCTATGAACCTTTAAAGGAGTTTTTTTATAACACTGCAGACCGAATCATGAGGTAGTTGCACAGCTAATTAATTTGTGCTCAAAATTGATACCCTGTCAGGAGTTGTGGTGATGTCGAAAAGACTTGATCTTGTAACGAATGCGGGTTGATATACAGAATAACAATTATTCAAACTCAGTCGGCAATTCCCGATGTTTGGTGTGCCACACAGTCACTCGCCGAAAAGCTATCCCACACATCCAACAGTAGTAATGTGTGACACCAATGCAGCTGATACAGCTTGTAATGAAACAATTTATCATCTTGAGAATTTGAGAGCTTCTTCTGCAAAACAGCCACTAGCAAATGGTGATATAGATGTACAGCTTCATATGTCTGGGGCCCTGGTGTTTGTGTGGTACAGGACAAAGGTACTTCGATGGAGACCAGTGTTTTTTCGATCCTGCATCTTCATCCTGCCATTCTGCCTTGTCTCCTTTGTTGTATTCATTCACCTCCAGCATGGAGTTGATGTTTTTCCAATGCATGGATGTCACATCAAAAGCGCTGAAAGTACTAGTACTCTGCTTGAGACTTCTGAACTACCTGGTTCCAGTACCAATAGCCTAGCTGGAAGAAGGAATGATTGGGTAGGGATAGAGATGGTAGAGGGAATCATTACTTGAAGTAGACGGTTCCTGGGGGGCCTCAGGAATAAATGAGAGGTCAGCCATGGTCATGTACTCTTCTGGATCATGGGATGAGGGCATAGCGCAAAAATATTAACGCACTAGCCCAAATATGTTTGCAGGAGTACTGAAAACTGAGCATGCCAGTAAGCCTGAATAATCTTCTAGACTGACAATATATCCAATAGATTGTGGAAGTAGATTACAGACTTCTGCAAAAACAGTAGATAGGGACTAAGGGAGCATGTCCCTGAATCTCTGTGGTAGTCATTGGTTTTGATGTCTGGGTCTCCACTGTGCTAGACTCATGTCCTCTTCATCAAGATTCTCTCCTTCAAAGTTACAATAATGGACCACATACTTCAGTCATATTCTATGTAGAATCCTGGCTCTGGACATGTCAAAAGGCTGTAGAATCAGGCCAGCTAGGTACCAGCCAGTTAATGTAGAATCAGTACTGGCCAGTCACTCTATGAATAATATTAGCTAGCATATTACAACCAGAGTAATATACATAAATCATAGGCTGACTGGATGTATATAATGTATTCCAGTATGAGCCTATTGATCAATCACTATATGTAGGATCAGTGCTGGCCAGTGGTTGGGCCATGCATATCATTAAATAGTGGCTAGTAATGACTATGTGATATGTAGTATTGAGCCTGGCTAGACTTTACTTATGTATTGCTAGCATGGCCTTCTTGACTATATGACATGTAGTATTGAGGCTGGCCAGGTTATATATAAATATTACTAGCATGGCCAGCCTGACTATATGACATGTAGCAGTGAGGCTGGCCAGTGTATATTCAAATATTGCTATCATGGCTAGCCCCACTATATGACACGTAGCAGTAAGGCTGGCCAGTTTATGTATAAATATTGCTAGCATGTCCCCTTTGACTATATGATATGTAGCAGTGAGGCTGGCCAGTTGATACTCAAATATTACTAGTATAGCTAGCCTTACTATATGACATGTAGTATTGAGGCTGGCTGGATGTACTAAAATGTCGCTAGCATAACCAGCCTTACTAGATGACATGTAGCAGTGAGGCTGGCCAGTTTTATATTCAAATATTGCTATTATGGCCAACCTTACTATATAACATGTAGCAGTGAGGCTGACCGGTTTATACTTAAATATTGCCAGCATGGCTGGTCTGAATCTATACCATGTAGTATGAAGGCTGGCCTGGTGTATTATAAATCAGGCCAGCCTCAATACTACATATCATATAATAAGGCTGGCCATAATAGCAATATGCAAATACATCTAACTAACATCACTGCTATATGTTATATAGTAAGGCTGGTTATGCTAGCAACATTTTAGTACATTCGTCCAGCCTCAATACTACATGTCATATTGTAAGGCTGGCTATGCTAGCAATATTTGAGTATCAATAAACATTTGACTATAGGATAAGATATCTATAGTAGCATATTAAGACCTCTTATCCTTCAAAGAGGGTTGCCTAGTTCTGGTAGATTGTCAAATAAGTTTATGTTCTGTCCTTGCCTTCTTGCTTTTCCTAGAGAAAGTCTGAGATTTTGTTTTTTTCTTCACTTTCTGTGTGCCCTCCTCCTGTTTCTCGTCATGGGCATTCTCTACCTCCTGCATCTGTACATTCACATCTCCTCTCACCAACTCTTGCTTATCTTCCTGGTCCTAGTCTACACTATTCTCTCTCTTGTCCATCTTATCCTGCTTACCATCAGCTTCCTCCATCTCTTCCTTCTGATCACCATCATCAGAGGGATCTGAAGCAGCCTTCATTGTCACCTCAATGAGACCTATCACTGTGCATGTCATATGACTGATTGTATCATCCACCTTAATGATATATTGAAGGTCTAAGTTCGAACTGGCCAAGTAGAAGGGGGTACTATGGAGGGCCTTATCTTCTTTATACTTTATGATGTGCTTGCAATCCCTCAAAATCAATCTAATGCCTAAGACCATCAGTGCGGCTGAGTATATAGATTAAATTGGGGCTTTTGTCATCAGCTCCAAGCTAGCCATCACCATGTCCTGTAACTCATGCACATACTCCGAAAGATAAGACTCTTTCTAAGACCAATTAATCCAGTCAGGTAAATCCAGTTCCTCCTGTGGCGATGGCTAGTGAATTGTATTAGGATCAACTCATATCTAAGATTGACTAAATACTTACAAGATTTTCTATCATAATAGCCAAATCCTTGACTGCATTACGAGCTCAAAGTAAGACTTATCAGTGCTGAGGGCTTTCAAAAATGCAAAATAGTCACTACATAGCACCTCCACTGGTGATGCTGCAGCCAATATAGTACCCAAATTAGCTGAACTATGTTGTTCATCATCTTCAGAGGTAACTTCAGCATAAGGTTTATCCTTATTGAAACTAGCTCTGTCCCTTGGACTATGCATTAGATTGATTCTCATGTCAGATGGTCTTGCCTTTATAAAAGTGACAAGTCTCTTCTGTGCCATGCTCCGCCTCTCCCAATAACTCCAGAGAATATTAATATTCTTTGATCTCATGTGAGAGAGGTCACAGAAGACCAAGTTAGCTGGAACTGAACCAGCCTATAAATACTCAGATGAGCAAGGAGTTATGGTGTGCCAAGGCACAGGCTTACTGCTGCTAGTGAAAACTTCTACAAATATACACTGATTGACCATGCATATAGCTATTCAAGTCATAGACACTTACTGTATGCAGTATGAAAAATCATTCTTACGAGTTTTTGTTGATTCTCAAGTATGACACCACCATGAGAAGGAAGTTATACATAGCCTTCATCATCTAAAACAACTTTAGGTAGTTCATATTTATTCTCTTCCTTGCAGTCTGGATCAGCTGTTGGGTCTATTGATTATAGTCAACTAGTATGTAAAATGAAGATTGAATAAACATACGATACTTAGTCTTTGCCCACTCTGCAAAGAACTCAAAGCCAGTTGAAGCATACTCTTTGATGCCATCTGAACTGACTGAGAAACTTTTTTTGGCATTCTGAGGAAGAGATTCATGTCTAGAGGCACTTCAGTCACCCTCAAAAGAATACCTATTAGGTTGATAGTCCTCTACACAAGTATTAACCTAAAAGGTATGATTTCTCTGGTATTTCCCATTATATTGCAGGGCAAAATGCCAAGGCTGGGATCAATATGGGACAAGTCCTGTGGGATAAAGCCAATGCTTTTCCCAGCCCATCTGGGACATACTTTTATGACAATTCCTATGGGAATTCCCTACAATATGGGTGGTGTCAGAGGTCCTTTTGGCAAATTTTTGTGCCATATTATGGGAGTATAGCAGGGACTATCAGGGGCTTTTTGTGCCATATTAGAGGGTATAACAGGCACTATTAGAGGCTTTGTAGGGACCAGTAGGAGGCATTACTGGGATAATTTGGAGGAATCATGAGAGGATTATTGAAGGTAGTATGGAGACCACGAGAGAGTAGTATGAGCACCATCAGATGGTAGTATAGGGGCCATTAGAGAGTAGTAATGGGACTACAATAAAGTAGTGTAGGCACCACTAGATGATGATATGAAGCTCTATAGAAAATAAAATAAGCACTTCTAAATAGTGGTACAGGGACCTCTAGGCAAAATTGAAGAAATGGGTGGCACTGGATAAGTCCATAGTGGGAATTTCTAACTTACATGTATTTTATAAACTGGTATACAGTGTGAGACTGGTCCTTCAGGCACAAATTCTTATTTGTTTATCTTTTCATATCAATACTAAGTGATAGGTTGAAGACGAGGTCCCAGGCTCACACAAATTCTCATGTTGGGAATTCACACCTCACATAATCTTATGTTGGGAAGTCCCAGTTCACAAATATTCTTATGTTGGGACTTTGTTAAGACCGTGCACAAAGGGTAGGACTGATTCCAAGGGGCTTGGCTTCAGCTCGTGCGCTGCGCCCCTTACCCAAGTATGTGCCCTTAACTTCAGAATGAAGTCCAGAGAAAGTCCAGTGAAGTCCGAAGGACTTCCGGAGAAGCGTGGGAAACATCGGAAGGACTTTCCGGATGAGTGCGAGAAACTTCTGGAAATTAAGATGGAGTTTCGTCCTGACAGAGATATGTGTAATGGCTACTTAGGAAACAGAGGAAAGGCTGCAAGGACAAAGTTCAAAGCAGAATAGGTCCGGAGGACCGCGGGAAAGTTCCGGAGGAACTTCCGGAAACTTGGAGGAATGGTGGATCAGAGGAGCGGAGGAGTGGAGCTCCAGAGGATCGGAGCTCTGTAAGGACAAAGTCCGAAGCAGAATAGTTCCGGAGGACCGCGGGAAAGTTCTGGAGGAACTGCCGGAAACTTGGAGGAATGGTGGATCGGAGGAGTGGAGGAGTGGAGCTCCGGAGGATCGGAGCTCCAGCCTAGGGAATTCCTCCCTAGGCCTGAGATGGATAATGACTAAGTCGGAGGACTAGAACTGTTACGAGGACTTAGGGTGAAGGCTAGTGTGAGGACTAATATGTGTAATATTCAGACTGAGGAAATACAGGAGTATCTACTGGGGTTTATATACTAGAGGCAAGTCCGTGCAGATCAGTAAGCAGAGGGGTAAGGCTATGTACGAGCATGTGGAAATGTATTAGAAAATGAGACGGATCATAGTAAATGAAGACTGAAATGAAATGAGGTACGGAAAATGAGTATAGTCTAACTTGAGAAGGAACATACAAAGGGAAAAGGCACGGAAGATAGACGTGGGTCAGATCCGGATGTTCGGAAGTCCAGAGACAGGTGATTACCATAAGGGGATGGGCGCTGATGTAAGGTTTGAGTTTGGACATGACAGATAGGTCGGATCCGGAGATCCGGAGATGTGGATATCAGATCTGGCGTCCGGATATTAGACGCAGGAGTACAGGGATCTGGATGGATAGAGGATTGGGTCTGGAGACATGGACAGGAGGTCCGGAGGTTTGGATGAGGCGTGGGAACGTCGTCGGATGTTGGTCCGGAATGCGGGATATGACAGACTTCTCATTTTACATGCATACAAGTACCAGGATGATGTTTGATACTCATGACAAGCTTTTTTCACACGATATTACAAGACAAATTAATACGGTCAGATGGCATTAGGTGAATAGTGACATGACAGAATTCAGTAACAAAGTTGACTAATAATCAGTGTAGAAATCAGTATTATAGGCACCATCCTCGTCATCCTTGTCATACTCCTCTTCTGCTCTGCCAGAGATACCCAAGCCTTGGTATGAAGCCATGATGGACCAGCAGGGGCAGACTCTCGGGTATATGCATACTGGTGTCGGATGGGAGGTCTGGACTGAGGATAAGCATATTGACGAGATGGGTGCATAGGCGGCGATGAACTATGATGACAAGGTAGACAAGGTGGATGGTGCTGTGAATGATGGCTAGTCATAGTCATGAGTAGAGGGTTTGCGTGGCAAGGCGAAAACATACTACATAGCACTGTCCTGAATTCGTCTGCTGACCATTGCACCCTCGCCATCACTTCTCATCTCATTGGCGCTTTCGGACAGGTACGAATTCTTGAACCTTGCGAGATTTCGGTAAGGCAGGTGCAGGGCAAGTCGCTCGAGACATATGTTGGCAGTTTGAACCATGCACGACGACACCTTGCTGCAATGAAGGTTGATGAAGGGGCACTCTGGTAGGGATGGAACAGGGAGGTGGCAAGACCTTTCGATGATCACAACATGGTGGAGAAGGGGACCAGGCATGTGGTGAGGAGGGCTGAGGAGTCGGAGAATTACGAAGCGAACCAGCAGAGTCCGGTGGCTCAATATGAGCAGGAAGATTCTTCATAAATTGAATGCAATCCATTAGAGTGCGCTGGACATTACCATCTGGGTCAGTAATGAGGGGGACATTTAACACTGCAGGATCTTTGTTGGCCATCAATACTTTAGACTCTGTCAAAATTCCAGTGAGTCATCCAATGATATGATAAAGATAAGTTCAATTTTACCATCTGACCACAGCATGAACATCAACTCTTTCTCAGGAATCTTCACCCCACTTAACTTATCTTTCCTTTTCTTCTTCAGCTCCCAGTGTTCAACACGAGCAAGCTCCGCATGGTATTGAGTGCCCATGCAACACTTTAAGTAGGGGCCAACGAGTGCCTTCAGCTCATCGGTCTTCAAGTCCTTGAATATGAATTCAGAGCCCACAGGAGACACACCTGCAGGCCAGTCAACAATCTGTACTTGGTGAAGGTATGGTGAGTTGAGCATAGTCTTCCAGGGAATATTTTCCGCCTCGTGTGGAATGCTGACTCCTTCTATAACTAGCATCAATATAATGTCAGATATGGTTACCACATGACTTACCAAACTTTTCTAGCATCATTATAGGAGCTACATGGCGATTACGGTCACGAGTTCCCTCCCCTTTCTCGCATAAGAGTTCAGGATTGAATTTCGGTGCTGTAATACAAGTAAAGGACGGTAAAGAAGCATCATCATTGATGTGATTGTACCTAGAATACACATTAATACAGCAAAACATGTAGAGGGAAAAGGTAATTACTTGATGACAGTCGTAAAGTAGTCAGCAAGTTCCTTGATGTCTGCTTGCTTCTTGTTGATGAGGTCTAGAATAAGTGGCGAACTAGCAAACACCCCTGCCGCTCGGCGACCTGCTTCCTCAGTCCCTGTGTATAAGATGAATCCTCCCACATAAATATCCTCAAGGCGTGAATAAGCTTGGCACTGTAAAATCAATTGAGACACCATATAAATGTAACAATACAGACTTACACTGAGGGCAAAGGCGTTGCGTTCAGCCATGATACGGTTGTATACTACTTTTGAAGACTCATCTGTGTTGCTTGAGGTCCCCTCCCAGAACTCGCGGATCTCTTTCCATAATTTGAGGTTTTCACTCTGGTCACAATGTTTGAGCCAATGGGCACGTTGCATCTGTTTCCAGTCATTTGTAGATACTTGGCAAAATCGCGTAAGAAAGATATTGGATGGGTACTGCACACTACTCACTGTCAGAAGACTTGGGGTACTTCATCTTGTACCATGCTTGATAAATGTTCCAACTATTGTCAGCTCGCCTTGATCCTGACTGTTGTCTAGGTCTTCATCATCTGTGGCTGGAGGCAGCTCCCTCCCCTTACCCTTGGCCCATCGGGTAGGAGGTGGAGGTGAGGAGTCACAGGAAGGAAACAGTTGACATGCAGTCAGACCTTAGTGATGGACCAAGGTGTAACAGTTAGTAGAACAACAGGGAAGAGAAGCAAGAGGGGAATTTGTGTAGAACATGTAAAGAATGCGCTTTTATGCAAATAATGTGTTAGATACTTGTACGTACACAAGTGCTCAAATCAGTCGACTATGGGCCAAATATGGGATTGAGCATTGGTGTGATGCCATATCTTGGTCGGCTGGGGGATCAGGGACAGTCAATGTCAGTGAATGAAAAACAATCGAACCTGACCTCAACTGGTGGTCTAACCTACTGCAGTCAGGAGGTGTTTCCCGCCTAATTCTCCCACCAGCTCCCTTTTCGGTCCTATTAGCGCTTTCAGATGCTAGTTCTGGCGTAGGCATTGGCATCGTCATTGGTGAGAGGTGGAATGCCTGGAGATTGGTACTTGGGGGCCAAACTGCAAGAGGGGACAAACGAGATATCACCTGGGCAGAAGCCATTGGTTTTGAACTGTTGGTCTATACCCTCGCCACTCTCCCTGGCATTAGGAACTACATCATCATTTACAGTGACAACACCAGTGTTGTTGAAGGATGTGGAAAGGAAGTCACAAAAACAAAGCTGTCAATGGAGTGTTCAAACACATTCATGAGTTCATTCACGATCTACCCAGACATCTCAACATATGCACAGAATATGTTGTTAGCAAATCCAATCCCGCAGAGGAAAGTACGGACCAATACACCTTTTACTCCCTCCCGCACATATTCCTCACGAGATCAGACACCTCGTCATCAACTTGTAGAGTCCTCTCACACCCACAGAGCTCTGCCTATTCCATGATGGGCGGTACTCCACTCCCGCAGCCAAAGTCATCAACCAAACCCTCATTCAACAACAAGTGTTCAAAAGAGCCAGAGCCCTGTGTGTCAAAGAAGACAAAATTATCTTCAACACCATCTCACAGTGATCCCACAGCCATGCACCATTGTTTCAGCGCCCCATTGACATCCAATCCATCTCCATCCCTAACCAATTCCTCCCCAATGCGCTATAGACCAGGATTAGTCCCTCTTCCATCGACCCTCAGACCTCACTGTTTAGCCCGTGAAAGACTTCGCAAATGGCTACTAGCAGGAGGAAACACACACATCTCCAGTGCGAGTACCCCCAAAACGCAAGACATTAGCAAATCCAATGAACAACTAGACCACATTCTAGAAGTCATAGGATTGTCGTGGGCAAACTCTACCAAAGAAACATATGGAGCCGGCCTCCTAGTATTTTACGTCTATTGTGATTCTCTCAATATATCTGAAGACCAATGTTGTCCAGTGTCACCTACATTACTTCTTGCCTTCCTATCCAGTTGCGCCGGATCCTACTCTGGTACAGTGCTAGCAAATTATGCTGCAGGACTCAAAGCCTGGCACCTCCTGCATGGTCGTCCATGGTCAGTAAATGCGAAAGAATAGAAAGCTATTCTAGATGGAGCAACCATGTTAGCTCCAGCATCATCCAAATCCTCCAAACGCCACCCATTTACCATTGAAATACTGTCTATAATTTGTACAAACATCGACCTCGACGATCCCTTAGATGCAGCCATCTTCGCATGCATCACTACCATGTTTTACTCCATTGCCAGACTAGGTGAATTCACAGTACCCGACCCGCCATCAAAGCTTTCAATTCCTCCAAGCACATAACTTGAGAGAACATATTTGAAGCTGTCAATCATAATAACTTACCTGTAACAAAGTTCCACATCCTGAAAACCAAAGCATCTCCAATCAAGGGAGAAGATGCCTTTTGGGCAGCTCAAAACAGTCCTTCAGACCCGAAGACAGCTTTCGATAATCATTTTCGTGTCAACCAAGCCGACAGAAAAGCTCACCTTTTCGCTTGGAAACACCTGAAGGGTCTAAGACCTCTCTCGAAGACAGAACTGTCGAAGAGACTCAGCAGCATCGCTCACAATGCCAATCTCCCAGATCTCAAAGGTCATGGACTCAGGATAGGCGGGACACTGGAATACCTGTTGAGAGGAATTCCGTTTGACGTCGTTAAATCCATGGGAAGGTGGTCAAGTAACACATTTACGCTATACCTGCGTGAACACGCTGTCATCATTGTCCCATACATCCAATCTTCCCCTGCCCTGGAACAGTTTACACATTATACAATGCCCCCAGTATGGTAAACACAAACATGAGTGTTTCTCCTACCTTTCAGAGTATCAAGCTTTGCTGTTAGTGTCGTCGCACTCCTAAGCTTATGGGGTCTCAGCTCACCTTGAAACCCTTAGGTTTGTGCGCTTGCAGCGGGCTGAGAAGTCCTACGGGCTTTTGCCCAAAACCCCTTGTTAGACTTAAATTAGATATCATCAAAACTTCCTGTATCCAAGCAACTCTAAATTCACCTTCACTTCCTGCAGACACTTTACGTCGAAAGGTATAGATGAAGATCCATACAAGTTTACTAAGGCCTGTCGCCGTGCAGGAATCACCCTCTATCATCCTTTCTGGGAAGACCTGCCACATTGTAACATATTTCAAGCCATCACTCCCAATGTCTTGCATCAACTGTACCAAGGACTTGTCAAGCACCTGATCTCGTGGATCAAATCTGCATTCAGTGAGGCAGAAATTGATGTATGATGCAAACACCTGCCTCCTAACCACAATGCGCGAGTCTTTATGAAACGCATATTCATTCTCTTGCGAGTCAGTGGCACCGAGGATGAACAAATTTGCCAGTTCCTGCTTGGAATAATCATTGACATTCGCCTGCTGAATGGTGCATCACCACTCAGACTGGTCCATGCTGTAAGAGGTCTGCTTGATTTCCTGTATCTTTATGCTATCCTTGTCACTTGCAACAAATCTTGGATCTTCTGGATGATGCGCTCAATCTGTTTCACGACAACAAGTCAATTTTCATAGATCTTGGCATCCGTTCATCATTCAATCTCCCTAAGCTCCACTCCTTTCGACACTACATTACAATGATTCAAGAGTTTGGAACAACCGACAACTATAATACTGAGTATACTGAACAGCTTCATATCGACCTTGCAAAGGATGCCTACTGCGCAACAAACCACAAAGATGAGTATATGCAGATGACCCTTTGGCTCAAGTGACGAGAAAAGATTCTTTGACACCATCAATTCATTCAGTGGTGTCGTTGCTTACCTTCCGTGGATCCTTGCCAATCATTCAGTTATTCTCTGCCACACATTGATCTTCTGTATTGCTGACAATACAAAGTCACCAAACACCCCTCTGTGAAATGAGTGACTTTCTCGGCACTTGCAGCTGATTATGGTGCAGTACATTTCCATGTGGCCCTGGCACATTTCATAGTGCAAGTCACAGAGCCACATCTGACTGCCTGACAGCTTGAGGATGTGGCTGTCAATGTGATACTGCCTTTCCAATCTGTGGCTGTGTTTCATAAAATCTGCTACAATGTCATCAATGTCGATGGAACACTCAACAATCTCACCATTGACTCCATTCATGCTTGGCCAGCAAGACATGACTGCCACAGCAGGAATGTCCCTGCTAGGTTTGACACAGCTCTTGTGAATCTGGGCAGTGGCAGGAATTTAGGTGTGGAAGGTAGGCATGGACTATGTTGCTGGAGATTCATACTGATGAGTGAAATGGATATCAGGGTACTGAGTTGCACAGGTCCAGATTGTGTTTAGTCTCTCAGCAAAGGCCAAACTTACTATGTTTCGCAACCTGAATGTGCCGGATCATTTGGCCTATGTTGAATGGTTCACACCTTTTGCTAACAGACCAGAGCCCAATCATGGCTTGTATAAAGTCTCGCGAGTATTTTGTGATGGTGACAAGCAGGCCAGCATTGTGCCTGTGTGCAACATTTGACGTTCTATCTACTTGATGCCAAAGTTTGGGCCTGTGGCCCCTTAGGAATGGATAACAAGCAATGTATTAGATAGATGTAGTACTTTTTCTGTCAATAACTTCACTGAACGGGATGCATATGTTACCATTTTCTAGCACTCTGACACACCATTGAGGTCTAATAATGTTTAGCATTGACAAAAGTTGGAGAGCAGACAACAAGCTTGCAGATGATGGGCTGGAGCTCCATCACGCCATTCCCAACACCACGAACATCATGTGCAAATGCCCAGTGCATGTCAGCAACTGCTGACATGGCTCAGATGAGTGCGGACAACAGATGGGAGTAGGAGGAGGGAAGAAGATGAGGTGGGAAAGCTGATGGCATCCCATGCATTAGAGAGTGTGATGGAGATTTGCTGCATACATATGAGGCAATGTGAGGAAGGAGTTGGTTGGTGCCGGCAAATGAAAGGTTGGCCAGTGGTTGCGGCCCAGAGAAAGGAGTAGGTGCGCGGTGTCTTCTTAGATAGATGATCTATAGATAAACACCTATAAAACCAAATATCTCCATGGTCAGTGATTCAGACAAATACCAATGACTGATAACGCGGTCATTCGTGGGTGGCTAGTTGTATACTACCCAAAGTACGTTCAGCTAAAGGTACTTCTGCAAGATCAGTAAATATGATGGTCAATCCAATCTATGGACTTGACAGAAACAAACAAACAAACAAATAATGGTCAGCCCGACAGTATGGCAGTAACCAAAGAAATAGAAAGTTCTCCCTCAAGCTTCCTTTCAACAACAGTGCCTCTTACCAAACTGTACTCCAAAAAGAATGGTGTGGAATTACAATAATCAACCCCCTCAGCACAAAACAGGTAGAATCAAAGGTCAAGACTAGTCAAATGCTTTATTGTAGAACTCTTAGCTCAATATTGAACCTGCTGTCAAGGAACTCACTTTGAGTATTCAAACAGACTCAGGAACGGACGTCCTTGGATTTACTACCAAGTCCCCTCTTCAACAGCTAAAGCCTAGCAGGCACAGAAAACCTTGGCTCAGTATCACTACTCAGATGAGTGAGGTCAAGCTTCACTATCAATCCCTAAAGTCTCCCCACTAAGCTACTCTGAGTCTTAGGTGGACATAGAGACAACACGAATATTTTGGAATATGCTTTTTGGAAAAAGAACACCAAAGGCTGGTGAAGGTAAAACAAAAGAGAAAAGAAAAGAAAAAGAAAATAGAAAGTAGAAAATTGAATAAAACTGTGGCTGTACCTTGCTTGCTGGTTGTTGCACACAGTGAGCTCGCAGCTACTCGTTTAGTAAGATGAGCTTGCAGTATTACTGTCTCTTGAGAATGTTCCTCTCAGTCTTGAACAGTTCTTGACACTGATGCTGACACTTATCACACCTTACTCACAACTTAATGTTAGATGGGCTGAAAACTCCCACTTGGTTGCTGCTTTTTTATTTCAAAACTGGGGTCATTATATACACAATAAATGTGGCTGTGCTACTAGTATATTCAAGAGTCATAAAGAGTCATAAAGAGTCATAAAGAGTCATAATGAGTCATATATTCAGGGTGAGTCATAGTGAGTCAGTTCAAAGTTATTTCTAGTCATAGTGAGTCATATATTCAGAGTGAGTCATAATGAGTCATTGGGTATTTTGCTAAGTCATCCTGGCTTGTTGCTAGTCATGTGACCTATCCAACTCCTGATGACAAGTCCAGAAAGAGAGTAAGAAATGTCACATGATGTGAATCCTTTGTGTGTCTGTCTTTTCTTTGCTTTGTTTGAAGGGTGAAAATGACACGAGCCTAGTATTTAGGGTTTTACAAATGTTTTTCCAGGACAACATATGTGGGAAATATTTTTCACAGTCACCTGACATGCGTGGGAGTTTTGTCTGGGTCATCACCATGGCTGACTAAGCAAAACTCATTGCCGAATTAAAGGTACTAAAATATTCAGTCTGCTCGCATGCAAACTCATAAAAACGAAAAATATTCCCTTAGCCTCAGTCTGACTTCAGTTCATAGAGAAAATGATTTCATAGGGCATAGGGCTCATAGGAGAGTATTAGTCATCCATGCACCGAACCAGTTTGGTGCAGGTCAGCGTTATCAGAGATAAGGTGGATGATGGGGTGGAGACGAGGGACGGGAACGGTCCCGAGGATCCGGTCAACGGATATCCGGTAGAGGAGGACGAGCCGGTAGATGGTGAGGGCAAGGATGAAGGGAAAATGATAGGGGGGCCATGTGACTGATGTTACTTGTAACACATGGTGGTGGAAAGGCATGGTTGATATATACAAGAATCTTGGAAGGAGAATGGCAATGGAAAGCTTAGGGTTGATATGGAGGGAAGGACCACAGTGGATGGGAAAGGCCCGTAATCAATTATGGGAAGGACCATGGGGGATGGGAAAGACGTTACCCTCTTGGGCGTGCTTTGCCTTCGCACTTGGCTTATTTCTGGGGCGCTACACGCTGCTGCAGACTTATTCTCATATTTCAGGTGTGTCAATCATTCACCTTTCACTCGTCAATCTAACCGGTGAGTTTTCGATGTCTTTGATCTACAATGTCTCCTGACACGCATCGCACTTTACCCACTATAGCCCTCGTCACTTTACACCACTTTCAAATCTCATCTCACACGTTTATCTACGACATCGGTGAGTCGCATTTGCACTTCATTCATATAACAACATTCCATTCACACGTCAACAGAGGATATTGTTTTCTTTCAACCACCCAGCTACTCGACAATCTGTTAAGACTTTGCTAATTGGTGAGTGTATTTACCTTATTCATTTGCAACAAGCGCATAGACATGACCGTTTAGGATACCACTATCGTCCAACTGATGTGATCAATGTCACAAGTATCTGCGCACAAACAGCCACCTCACACTTACTCGCCCATCTGTTGGCCAAACTGTACGTATAACTTACGTTCTTGTTGCCATATTATAAAATCCTGATTTATTCTTAGGAAACAAGCACCCTTCGCATCTCTCGACATTCATCTACTAGTGGCTGGTGCTCGACAAGGTATATTTTACATGTTCCGCTGTACAATTAGTGTCTGACTTGTTCTTAAGCAACCGACAGGGTTGAGTGTGCCTCTGACCGCTGACCAACCAGCAATTTGTCTTCTCAAAATGTAAGTTCTCAAAACAGTTAGGTTTAGCCAATCAGTCAGATCTGTCCCGCTCATTTTTGTATTAGTCAGGGTCAGCTGAGTCTTTCATTGGCCAATCTCGCCGTCAGGGTTGTATATCAATGGGCCTCGACCTCTCCTGTCTTGGATGCAAATCTGGAATGAGATCCAAGTGTTGCTCTGTATGTGCTCACTACCACTGATCTGTTCGCTAACTTTCCTCGGCTGCCAGACACGGTTCTCATTGGCTCGTCTCCCAGCCAGCGATGCACTCGTTCCATTTTAGTCAGTCTCAGACTTGACCAATCTAAAGGATTGGGCACTGTACGTAGCCACCACCTCCGATCCACCATTAAATTCCAGTAAGGCCAAGGTCAACCTTTTTTTCTATTATTTAGCGCTAACCAGGTTTAGCTTCAGTGCTGTACCCTAGCGTTTATGGCAACAACGTCCGCAGTTCAAACTATAAAGGTAATGAGTCTCTCAAGTTCGAGCGCGTCAAATTCTGTGTTCTCAACCCAATATTGTTTGCAGTTCACCATCTTCTACCATCCATACATTGTCTGACTTCGTGTCGACCAAATATTGTTGAGCAAACTTCGAGTTCTCAACTTGTGTTCCATGTATCTCCATGATCGTAGGAACACTATCGTTTTTCTTGAAAATGCCCGCTGTTACTACCCGCTCAGGTCGTCATGTCAAGTGTCCTCCTCTGCCTGATGAACCCAAGGTATTCTTTATATTTTCTTGACGTCTGTAGTAGCTGGCTCCTGTCATGTCAAGACTCGCAGCAAGGCAGCGAACATTCATACTGAGTCTGATGCAGACACCATCCAGGCAAGTTATTTTTTTCAAAGTTTGTCAACCATGATTGATTTTTCATTGCTTTAGTCCCCCTGGGCTCGAAGACACCCCCACGCTCGTCGTCGCGCTGGGCCTAAGAGTGTTATGGTCGACGACAACAACGATGACAGTGATCCACAAGAGGTAAACTATGTCTGCGAATATGTCGGTGTCCCCACTTACTTTTTAGTCATCTACAACTCGTCGTCGTCCTCCACCCAAGCCTCGTCCGCTTGCACGGTCCAAACGTTCTAGCCCCATGACCTCATCCGCTGAGGAGGAGATTTTCGAGGCCAGTTTCTCAAGGTGCTCATCAATAATTCAAAAGACCCCTGATGTCGATACAGATCAACAATCCTGCCCATCTCATGTTCAACTTGCTGATGGCACTTCATTGACACGTGCCGAATTCAACTCCCTTGCAGATGAAGAAATATGCGCCGACACCCAAGATGGCGATGTAGAAACAAGTACAGTTTTTATTGTGATGTGAATGTCCTGTATTGACTTGTTGCCTAGCAGCTCCTGCATTGGTTGCTGAAGCACACAGCACTACTGCGAGCAAGGATCCAAATCCTGCCTCTGAAATTCAATCAAATGACCCCAATGGTGGGACTTCAGGTGAGATAGTGACTCTTTCATATTTCATAGCTTCACTAATTGTGAATACAGCTACTCCTACTGAGTCGCACAACACAGGGCACGGAAGCAAGGATCATGGCAAGGATACTTCAGGTGAGCCATAGACATTCATCTATATCCAATACCTCAACTAATTGTGCATACAGCTGCCTGTGCTGATTCACACAGTGCAGAGGATGGCAGAAATAATTCTGCTACTCCTGCTACTGGCCGCCCGCATAGGTCATGCGGCGGCAAGTCATATGCACCTGATCGTAACAACGGTGAAGAGAGCTCTCCATCTGACAGTGACTGGGCTGCCGACCAAGAGCTGCGCAAGAAAGGACAACGAGCTGCTGTTGATGCCGCTGCGAATGATGGTGACGACGACGAGGGTGTCCCTGCAAGCAACTCCCTGTCTCCATCTCGGTTGATGGCCACACAAAAGCAAAAGTCCAAGGTGATGGTGGACGTCAATGAAAACAACGACAGCGAAGACGAAGACTTTGTGAAGATCAAAGGGAGAATACCTCAAGCAGGTATCTCAAAGGCGCAGGAGCTTGGAAAGAATACGTTGGAAGCTGCCAGAGCAATTGGAAAAGAATATGGGAAGAGTGCAAGGACGATCCTCATCCAAGCTGGGTTGACGATGAAGGCAACCCGGAAGGAGTCTCCGTGGAACCAACATCAGACATGGTTTGCAGCTACCTGCCCCCCACCTAAAGGAGTGTCGGGAGCTGTGTTGCCAGGTGTGTTGCAGTCTTCGTTATTGATTTCTTAATGCTAACGACTTTTGCAGCGGATCTTAAGGCTTGGAGGGTGAAGCAACGAGCTCATTACAAGGCCCACCCACATGGTGACCCTCAGCACGCATCAGTGTGGAAGGAGATCCTGGAGAACTGGGATCGTGCTGTTGCGGGTTCAACCGAGGACCTTACATCACGATCTGCTGCAGGTCTGATGATGGCTGTTCGTGATGCTTTCACAAAATCGGTAAGTGTTGTATTCATGCGATCTTGATCCAGAGACTAACTACGATCAAGGCTTCATACTGGCATCACACCCATGGCATTCACATTGCCGGTGTGGCAATATTCCCTGGTGACAAAGAAGCAGGCCACCAAGCATCAGGACTGTTCGCCGGCTCTGACATGGTCAAGGCCCTCATCAACTCACACCAACTGGATATTAAGCATTGGCTAGATGAGCTCACCACAATCCTTAAGTGCGTCTTGTATTATTTATAGGTGTCAGTGCTAAATTACTTCCAGGTACAAAGACTTGGAGGCCGCACACGCCAAAGGCAAGACTTTCAGTTTGCTCCCCCCTTCTTCCACCACTCCAAATGGTACCCTCTTGTGTAACGGCAAGCCAGCCAGGGATAGGAACAGAAAGGTGGTGCCCATGATAATCAGTGAGAAATTTGGTACGTTTGTTTAATTGCAGTGTATTTCTACTGTACTAACTATATGTTGTATAGCTGAGGCCGGCCACCCACTCAAAACCTCGAACAGTAGGTGGTTGACCATGTTGGACATCCTGTATGCCGAGAAGCTTTGCATACATGATTGGCCCGCTGGTGTTCCCCCGCCTGGCCCCGATTTTGATCTCAAGGCTCTATCTGCAAGTCAACTATGTGCGTTGGTTGCTCCATATCTCAGATTCATCTCGGAGCCATGTACGAGGCCGAGTTAGGCCTTGATGACGACAATGACGACAGCAAGGCAGAGGCAGCGAAGGCGAAGAAGCGCAAAGGCAAGTCCAAGAAGTCAGACGACAAGGGAATGAAGATGGGGCCGATTGCAGAGGAGCCAAGTGTAGTATTGCATATCAGCAGATGGCCTGAAAGTACGTATTGGATCCTGCAAATCATACACAAGCTGATATTACAACTACAGGTGATATTCTTGCTCTTGAGATGCAGGCCTCAAATGTGTGTCTCATCCCCCTCGTCATCGACACTGACAGCAGGGTCGTTCACGCCCTCCAAGACTCGGAGAAGTGCATCAAGGACCTTCCACAAGATGACACTCCTAGACGCCGCAACAATGAGGTAATGAAAAAAACCCACTATCTCTAATACAGCAGCTTCGCGCTCAACTATGGAAGCTTCGCACTCAACTATTGGAGCTTCGCGCTCAACCATGGGAGCTTCACGCCCCAATCAGGAAGCTTCGCGCCCCAATCAGGCAGCTTCACGCTTCAATCAGACAGCTTCGCGCTTCAACAATGCAGCTCCGAGCTCCAACTGTGAAGCTTCGCGCTCTCGTCAATATACTAACTGAGCTATCCATGAGGATCTCCTGCCTTCATCGCCACCCCAGGAAACCCCACGCTCACGTCACCCTACTAATCGAGTCTTTGACGACCTCCCGCCTTTGTCACCGTCAACACCATCTTCGCAATTCTCGTCTCCCCCTCCTATTTCACGCTCGTCAACTCCAGTGCCAACTTCAGATTATTCGCACGTCCGGTCCCGCTCTCGATACAAGCCGTCCTGCAATGGAGCACTTCGACATCAACATGCATATGACGATGTTATGCCAACATACAATTCAGATATTTGCAAACGGACTCGGCCCCATTATGAATCTGCTCAGGAGACTGAAGACTTGGAGCGTGAAACAGTAGAGGAGAGGCACCGTGTCAGGGTGCATGACAAGTGTGTTGCTATGCCCTGACTTCTATGTATGTTTGCTAACTGTCATATTATTGTATCAGTTCCCATATACATTCAGGGCGGGCCCAATCGCAAATTGTCAGCACCTCCCGTTCTCGTTTGCCATCGTATTTCTCTGTTGTGCCGCCCTCCCGTACCGGTTCCTCTGTTGTGCCGACCTCCCGTGCCAGTTCCTCGCAGTGCCGCCATTATCCAACTGTCAGATCTCCGCATATTCGCCCAGCATCTCCTGATTGCCGTCTAATCATCGAGGAAGATGAGTATTACTAACTTTGTAGCCCTTGTTGCTGCCCACTTCTGGTAACGTCTTCTGGTATTCAACCCCACTGGCGCAGCAAGTATGAGCGACCGGGGCGACCCTCCAGATGCAAAGTCTAGGAGTGGGAGATCAGCGATGCGAAGTCAACTGATCAAATGAGTGAACGGCACGAAGCCAATTCATAGTGCCAGGAACCGTCGTTGTTGGACCTATCGAGGGTGTGGAAGGCGGGATGATCAGATCGAGGGCGGGGAAGGCAGGATCGAGAGCGGGGAAGGCGCAATCGAGGGCGCGAGGACAGCATAAAGGACGGAGTATTGTCGATGTAGATGAAAGAGTGAAACTTGTCAATTGTGGGACTTTCCCACCAGTCCTGCAAACTTCGACTTTTCGACTCAATTGGGAAGTTCCCACCTTGTTTCTCAATTGTCTCATTTCCTTCTCTGCATTCCCCTTCCCCAGTTCCAAGTTCCTTCTTTGCCCTCAGACCACAACATTCATGCATCCTTCATCACTCGCATCGTTCAGCTCATCACACGTCAAGCCCATCAAGCTCATCACCGCGATTGATCCAACAACCACGGTTCCTGGCCCTTTGAATTGGCTTCGTGCTGTTCACTCATTTGATCAGTTGACTTCGCGTCACTGATCTCCCACTCCTAGACTTCACATCTGGAGGGTCGCCCCGGTCGCTCATACTTTGCTGCGCCAGTGGGGTTGAAGACCCTCTTGGGCGTGCTTTGCCTTCGCATTTGGCTTATATCTGGTGCGCCACACGCTGCTGCAGACTTCCTCTCATATTTCAGGTGTGCCAATCATTCACCTTTCACTCATTGGTCTCATCAGTGAGTTTTCGATATCTTTGATCTACAATGTCTCCTGATGCATATCTTACATTATAGTGCTCGTCACTTTAGCTACGTCTTCCTTTTTGGTAAGTATTCTTTTCATTATCTCACTAATCCATATACTGACCAGCACTTAGACTCTCACCATACCATACCAAACTCTGAGGTGTGTTTGCCTTATACCTGTCAGCACATTTTCTAACTTTCACAGTTTTCCATCATGCCCAACGCTCTGACGATGTTCAAGGGTGACCCGACACTTCGTGCATGTATGTGATATTTGTCTTTTAGCATTCTTACTTACTTATGTGCATGCATCCTGCAGCTTGGTTACAATCTTACGATGCCGTCGCCATCGCCATCCAGGACAATCTAGTCATCACTACGCCCAACATGCAATTCGTTCCCAAGTTCCACCATTTCGAAGAAGAAAACATACAAGCCCGCGCCGATGGTCGTTTCGGTGTCGTCGACTGCTTTCAATGGCCTCAAGCCTATGACAACATCTTTTGCAATTCTGTCTGCATTCCTCGTAAGGAGGCTTACCCGTTCCCGCACCCGCTTCACTGGGCGTGGTACACTCCCGAGCAAAAGGACTTCAAGACCATCCCAGGCAATTCGTTTCCTGTAGGCACGCTTGCCTCTGACAAGGTCGAAGGACTGGAGTCACTCCTCAAATCAGTAGAAAAACGTGTACAGGACTGGAGGGCCAATCGACAAGGCAAAAGGGATGTCATCGTCAATTGTGTCATCTCTCTTTGACACGGTATCTCGCGGCTCAAAAAACATCCCCTGACCTTTTGTGATCTCCTCATCTTCGTCACGGATGCCCAACGCCTCCTCCTCGAAATTCACTCTTTTATGGATTGGGTTCTCATTGCCCAACCTCGCATCTCCTCTGGCATCGGGACTGTCATCGTCAATTCGGAATGGATGGGCACTTTCACGCATGACAGTGACATGTGCAACAAGCTCCACATGGCTGGTGTGCCCGTCTGGTATGTCCGCACGATGGCATATATACCTGCCAATATGAAGGTCCACAAACCCGTGTTGATCACTCATTCGGATGACATCGTCATCTCAATGTATGCGGAGGGCAACAGAATCCGCCCTTATGATATCATTTATCGTGGCCAAGGTGGCCACCAGCGCCAACTTCATGTTCGTCACCTGTACGGCGGCACAACTTTCAGAAATCCCGACGTCACGGTTCCCTCGTCTGCTTCATCCAGCAGTTTCTCTACCCCCAATTCTTCTGCTCTCACGCCATCCTCTCAAACATCCGCTGCTGGAAGAGCACCTCAACAAAGTCTCAAAAAGCATAGGCGACAACCTTGTAAGTGAACCCTTACTAATTGCTTTGTGTTACTTACTACTGTATTAGACGCAAGAGAGGCTCGGCCCACCCAGCCCTCCCAGTCAGGGGAATCCAGGGACAAGTGGAAAGACCCTGAGAGCCCATATCTTCCGCCCTCTCTTTTGCATTGGGATGATGCCCTCAAGACTTGCAACAAGGATCCATCCCGCGTGCACATGCCTTATGCCATCGATTGGGGATACAGATTCCCTGAACCCGCTCTCCTCCTCGGTCCCAAGCTGCCGGAGCGCCTCCAGGGTTATATCGCTACCTGGCTCGCCTGCCATCTGCTATGGATTGGCCGAGTCGATCACGACCTGCCATGCAATTACCCTTCGCCACAGCTCTGGCGTGACTTCCTCGGCAGTGGACTGACAACCCAATCACAAGGCGCAGCACCCAAAGGCAAGGATCCCGAAAAGAAGGGACCTACGGCGGCGGAGAAGTGCAAGGCGGTGATGAGGGACTTATTTGGTGATGACGTGTTGGAGACTCAGGGAGACCTGTTCACATGAGAAGGATCGGTGGAATTTCGTGGCGAACAAGTGTTGGTTGCCAGTCTCGCCAACCCTCCACGGCGTCTCACCCAAAGGATCACATGGGAGTTATTCGAGCTTGGTTTCCGTTATGAGCTGAGGGACCTCAATCGCTCCCTGGCCGGCAAACATTGGGCAGATGATCTGATCGGTCGCGAGCAGCTCCTTCATTCTATCTTCCCTGGCAAGGCTGGATTAGTCATGTGGTCAGAGCAATTTCCGGAGGACAACTACGGCATGTGGAATAACACCTTAATTGGTGTTCTACCTTACCTGGAGAAATTCCGAGAACTTATCTGTGCTTGGGACGGCGCTCCGCCGCTTCTGGTTGCGCTACTGACGCCAGATAGCTTCACAGATACCAAGTGTTGGGAAGTCATGCATACTGCGACCGTGTTTTATGTGCAGACATTCTTTCGTCATTTTGGCAGGCCCCCCATCGTTCCCCATTCCATCCCTTTGTGATCAATACTATATTGCAGCGTTTTCGTACTAAGCATTTATTCCCTTTTGTTCTACGCTACTACTAGTATAAATGACGAATTGTACTATGTACCATTACCTGTTAATCTCCGTAACGCGCTGTCAGATAAGGTTATGCTTTGTTTTAGTAGGCTGCATGAAAACTCAACCTATATCTCCCAGCCCCGCCTCCCTTGTTGGTCTTGCCCGGACGCCAACGCCTCATGCAGCAAAACTTCTGCCGTCTGTTGTCTGCATCCAGGACATCGGTCACACAAGAAGATATTACCGATGAGGTTCTCTTCAGCGACTCCCTACATTTCTCCAATGATCCTATCGGCCGTCGTCTCACCAGCTCACAGAAAAGGGCCAACCAGTGGCCCAGATGGTCACAAGATGTCATTCCGTCCCTACTTGTACCATATTTATCCTATATCCAACAAACTTCGGTGTTACGTTATACCAACGCACCAGGAGAAGCTCAGCAAGATCTTGCAGTTTGCCAAGCTGGGTGTAGGACTCGGAGTATTACAGTTGCATGTGTGCACTTCGACGGTGTGTTATTTTTCACTCTTCTCCACAATGTATCTCACACATCTTCCAGCATTGAAAAAAAATTAACATCATCACATGCCCGTGTTTCCCTGTACCCCTCCAACTCCTTCGTCACGGTCTGTTTCCGTGCGCTCCTCTCGCTCCCTCACTCGTGGTCGACTTGCGCGTTTTAGAGTTCATCCGTCTTCTCTCCGTACACCAGGCTCCCAACCAAACCATGTGGTGCGATGCGGTGGACACCTTTCTAGATGGAATGGGGTACAAGTTGTCATGCAAGGTTAGCCTTTCTAATCCTCTCACATACAATGATGCTCAGTCTTTCATCAGAATAACTTGTGTCATCGTTTCGGCAATACTTTCCACTGGTACCAAGTGCTGAGCATCTTGGCTCGCAATCGCATTTCTACTATCATCGCTGACATTCGGAGGGGTCAGGCACATACCCCACCCATCGATCAGCCATCTGAATACCTTCGTTCTCGTTGCCTGCTTTGTTTCGGAGGCAATACTTGCCATGGAGCAGATGCTCGTTCTATGTAAGTTTGTGTCTCAGCTCGTATTGTACCGTATTTAATTGGCAATACCAGCCCAGACGTTATTGTTTGCATAGATGCCTGCTTTACTCAAAAGTGTTCGACTAATCCTCGCAGTGCTAGCAGTATTGACCCTCCTAATCCGACTCCAACATTCTTTCTGTCGAATGATGATGTCAAAGCGATGGAGGATTTTGTACAAAGTTCTCGTGGAGAAAGACGTCGAATGCAAGCCTCAAGAGCGGAAGAGGAGGAGGATCGCTATGAAGAAGGGATGCGTGTGCCAGTGTCTGTGTTGAATGGATGCGGAGAATCCTTTGTTGCTGCAGACAAAAAGCATGAAAAGGCAAGTACTCGTTTTTTTACCGACACAGGCCTGATGGCCCTTCTATGCTGACATGACCGTGTCCTCTGGCTTGCCAACCTCACATCAGCAGGGGAAAAGCAACACTACGCGCTCGCTCTCCTGGACCAGTTGTTCAAGCACATACCCCCTCAGATGACCGTAGGACTTCTCTATGACATCGGATGTCAACTCGAACACAGCTGCCAAAAATGGAATCTTCTCGATGACAATACCCTATCGTGCATATCCTTTGCTGTTGTGGTATTCCATGCCTATGGCCATCAATGGCCCTGTCAGATCATCTACCATCCGAGGAAGTGCGAGGGTTTTGGATCGTCTGATGGTGAGGGATGCGAACGATTGTGGAGTTCTCTCAAGCAACTCATCCCATCGTTACGCGTTTCTGGGGTAAGTAAGTCTATATTCACGTGTATATCTTATCTCTAATTCTACTGTAGTTCCATCAACGTCTCTTTGTCCTTGATGTTCAAATTCGCCACCTGGACACAAAATCCATCCAAGGCTACGGACATTGGCTCCATCGGCGATGGCTGCATTGCCAGATTAAGAAGAATGCGGCTCTGGACGGTTTACTGGACTTAGACGTCAACAAGGATATCCTTCATGCTGAATGGAAGGTGCAAATTGCTCACCAGACGCGACCTGTCCCACATAAGAGTTTTACCAGTGTTCTCGCTGTCTTACTGATTACATTGTATAGGGCAATCCAAGAACAAGGCGGCGGAGGTCATTACCACTATTCTTGCGCTGGAGAAGACCCTGGATGCTCACGATACTTCTGTCCGTGAGCTAGAGATGCAGCTTTATGTAGGCGCCGTTGCTAATGTCGTGGAGTTCAATCTGCAGCTCGCCGATGCTCGGTCACGACGTGCCAAAATTGCAGATACCCTTTGACGTTGTAAGGCTACCCTTGGACCGCAAGGACAGGCCGATCTTATGACGATGAAGAATGACATCTACCTGACCATCCGCTTGAATGCTCACACAGTAAAAACTCGTATTAGGGACCGTCTCCGTCAACACAAATTTGAATTGGAGAGGCTAGAGAGGTCGTATCGAGCAACAGTAAATGGTATGTTACTACTCTTTTGCCTTACTTTTTCGGCATGTCTCATGTGTTGTTCAACAGAACACAAGCTTCGCTCGAACACCCAGTATTCAATCAAACGGCGAGAACCTGCAATTCTCAAACTGGTGTCAACTTACAATGGCCTATGTACTCAGCTACAGTCCCTCATACGTCAACGGCGAGCTCCCCCATCTGCTATTCCCCCTCATCCTATTGCTCATGAAGGCATCTTCTTACTCAACGTGGACGATGAAATCTGGCAAGATATTGGCCTCAACGACGATGGCATGCACCTGCCGGCATGGTTATCGGATGAGGCCACCAGGTCTGGTATTTGTTTACAGCTTGAATTGGATCGTTGCATTGAGGAAGAGACTCGTTTGATGCGAGAGCGGTCTGTGATGCAGGAATGGATGTTAGCAGAGTGGGAGGCTGTCCAGACTGCGTTGAGAGATCCTGGTGTGTGTAGTCAGAATATACCATGACCGACATTTAATTTGTCGGCAGCCAATGATCTCGTGATGCCATTCCACCTCAAGGCCCGCGCAAAGGAACTTCTGTGCATCTGTGTTGTCTGGAAGAACAAGGTTCGAGAGATCCCTTGCGCTTGGCCAGTCGAGAGTTGGGGTCCTACAAACGAGGATTTCCTTCGAGCCGCTCGAGACCAGGTGCAGTCATCATTTTTCCAGGATGATGATGACAACAAGAGTGAGAGTGTCGGAGTGGTGGACGAGAGTGACGAGGACGGTGATCTAGCATATTCTGAGGTTGGAGATAATGAAAATGTCACAATTAATCATTTATTTTAAAAATTAATACTGTGAGTCAAAAGCACAAGGAAATTGGGGTTAAGCATGAATATTGGAACAAGCAAGCAATTGACTGGTAGATATAACTAAGGACAAGGGTGACAATGATTAGTGGCATAGTTGTATATGGAGACCATGTGCATCCTTCCCTTAATTAATTATGGGCCTTTCCCATCACCCATGGTCCTTCCCTTAATTGATTATGGGTGTATCCCATCCACCACGGTCCTTCCCTTCATTGATTCCATCCACTGTGGTCCTTCCCATATTTGATTACAGGCCTTTCCCATCCACCTTGGTCCGTCCCACAATTGATTGCAGGGCTATCCCATCCTTCATGGTCCATCCCATAATTGATTGTGGGGCTATCTCATCCTCCGTGGGCCTTCCCTTAATTGATTCTATCCTCTGTGGTCCTTCCCAAAGGTGATTGTGGGCCTATCCCATCCTCCATGGTCCTTCCCACATTTGATTACTAGCCTATCACATCCTCCGTGGTCCTTCCCTTAATTGATTGCAGGCCTTTCCCTTCCTCCATGGTCCGTCCCATAATTGATTGTGGGGCTATCCCATCCTCCATGATCCCTCCCATAATTGATTACAGACCTTTCCCATCTACTGTGGTCATTCCCTCCATATCAACCCTAAGCTTTCCATTGCCATTCTCCTTCCAAGATTCTCGTATGTATCAACCATGCCTTTCCACCACCACGCTTCTTCCAAACCCTTTGTCTATGTCAATCCCAATTTGAAATCTGAAATGAGTGATTATTTTCAGAGGGGAGACACCCTGGGCTGGGCCTGGGAGGGGGGGGGGTGGGGACGTTAATGAATGATTATTTTCAGGGGAGTGATCTCAAAGTATTTCGCATTTTTCAGCCTTTCTCGTCTACTCCTTCTTGAAGTTGTTCAGCCTCTCTCATCTATTTATTCTCTCTTCATCATATTCCATTCTGTATGATTTAGATCGGGAGATGGGAGGCGAACTAACAGGATGGTGATGGGGGCAGCATCAGTGGCTTAAAAATTGATATCTGAATAGTGCAATCCCCAAGTAATGACTCTGTAGGTGTAGGCGAGTAGCTGAGACCAGGTGTTGGTGGATCAATATCTGAATAGTGCAATCCCCAAGTGATGATTCTGTAGGCGTAGGCGATTTTATAGACATAACAGTGTGATGTAAATGTGTGATCATTTTCAGAGGGGAGAGATCCTGGGCTGGGGGGGGGGCAGTGAATAAATGATCATTTTGTGTTTTCTGATCCTATTTTATAGACATCTAATAGTCATTACAGTCATTATATGACCCATTGGCTTGCATTTAGGGGCCAAGAATGCCCCAAAATTTTCATTTTTTGGCACAGAAAATTGGGTGGTAAGAGGACCCCTGACACCCCTCCGCCATGGGAAAATACCATGTATGTATAGTCCAATGTTGGCTGGTGGTCTTTCCCATACAAAAATTATTTTGATCATTGGACCATGCCCAACATATTTTATTTTGGATCCTATGCACTTGGGGAAAGACCAACAAACATTGGCCAGACCATCCGAAAAGCACCCCCTAGGTGAAAACCCTTATAGGTATAATATAACCTAAGAGGTACCTGAAATGGGGTGACCAAAGTGCTCACTGACCCCCAAAACTATTCCCAGACTGCAGACCCCTGGATCGAACACACTTGTCTTACCAAGTATAGCAGACTAGGCAGTGCAAGACCACAATATAAAGATATCAGTTTGGAGCCATCTTCGTATAGCCCCACTCTGTGTTGTATTCCTACAGCGCATTTGAGAAAACGTAGGTTATTTTTCTACATTTGACTGAATTTGCTCAAATTATCCCTAATATTAAAAGGGGGTTTTTTCCGATGTGTCTAGGAGTTTAAGTTTTTATGGCTTAATCAATTGTTTTTTAGTGTACAGTAATCAATGAAATAATAGATAGCATGTAGTGTAGTGTCTCCTTATAAGCTGCTGATATCCCAAATTCCATAGCAAAATTATGGTTAATAAATATCCAGAAAAGAAGGTTAAATATGAACAGTATATGTTATATATATAAAAACAGCAAGCAGGTAGCCTGTGTGTCATGCAATAAGTGTTCTTCTACAGGTATGCAATTCATTGCCAAAAAACTTTAAAGAAGCTAAGAAAAATTAATCTAATGGGAATGTCACTCACAACTGAACTTCTATCCTTTTGATTTCTTTCAGGCGACTTTTTGTATTCTGGGCCCATTGTTCCAAGGTAGTACAAATTGGATAGACCCAGTTAGGGTAATTTGATAATATATCTCATTCTTCTAGACTTAATGGGTCTGTAAGATATGTGCTCCCAGATTCTCACAAAATATATCTACCTCTCTCTGATTGTGTATGTTTCGCCAGTACATGACCTACCCATACAACTACAATGTCCACTTGTAAATACATCAATCATAAATGTGGCTTCTGTTAAGTTAAATAACAATACTGGGTGAACTTCATAAATTAGGTAGAAAATAGAGAATCCTATTACATGGTTAGTGGTGACATGATCTGCAAATAAAGTTTGTGGGATCTTTTGAGGCCATTGTGTAAGATTATCATCATATGCTTTCACCAGCACTTTTTATAATATGAAATGACCTCTTTCAACTACTCTATCAGCCTTAGCACAATATACTTAAATTCTTGGGCTGGAGGCATATGCATGATGTGGTAGATACTATGATAGGAATGTGTATCTTTGTGCTGTACCATATCTGGTAGGGGTTATATGAATGCATATGGTGTCATACATCTAAAAATAAGTAGGGCCAGAAAAACCTCAGCTGAATTGTCTTCCATATGGCAGCTTCTCCTTTATGTCCAAATTCTTCATGTACTTGATTCAGAATAGTTGCACGCTTCTCTGAATCAAAGATTACTAATAATGGTAGAGAGAGAGGTAAGGCTATATACAAGCATGTGGAATTGTATTAGTAAGTAAGACAGATTATAGGAAAATAAACTTGGAAATGAAACTTGTACAAAGATTAATAAGTAAGATGGAAACAGAAATAACCAAAAGCTAGAAAAGCAGAGATACCTAAATGAGGAAACATTACAGATATGAGCAAAGCATGGAAATAGGTCTAGAGATCTGGAGATAGAGGGTCTGGAGATATGATAGAAAACAGAGACTGATTCTTCTGAGATATGGAGACTAGAGGTCTAGAGTTTATGGATGAAATTAGATTGGGTATAGATTTAGAAATATGAAATATGACAGGAATGCTCTTGCTTCCTTTGGAGTTGTCAAGTCAGGTCGGTTTAGAATTTTATCTATCTTGGTCTTATTAGGATTGTGTCCTTCAGGAGAGCAACAATCAGGACCTCTGGGAGACACAACTGAATTATAGGTGCTGAGAATGTAGCATCAGCTTCCTTGATATAATATATAATTTGATGGGTTTTTAACAAGAACAATAGATTGTTCTTACTTATTAGGGAATGTGGTTGTAGAGTATTTTATTTGGAGATCATCTATGAATATATTGGCTTTGTCTGGAATTTCATCCTTAAGAACAAAGGTCATGTATTTCTGAAATTCTGCAGGAAAATTGGTGAATTCAGAAGTAATATGAAATAATTTTAAGGAAGTTAGAAATACAATAAGGTCTCCACTTAATAGGTGCAGTTTTCTAGCATTAAATTCCTAGAATACATTGAACACTGTATATCATTGTGCTCTTGCAAAGGGTTCTATAAAATCATCAAAAATAGGAGGTAGTCCAGTATCATAAATTGTGACTTTGTTCCAAGGCTGTAAATCATGAACTGTCTTCACTGTTCTGTTTTAATTTTTATATGTGCTTATTATTGTCTGACCCAACCATTTCCTTAGGGGTATCTCTTTTGGCAACATGATCTGTCTATTTTCTAGTCTTACTAATTTCCCATAGTGAGCAGTTCTTTTATTCTTAGGTATGTTGCTAATGTGTGATCCTCTTCTCCACATCCAAAATAAGTTATTCTCTCAGCATAGGGGTTATAGACTATATATGATATTAGTAGTTCTATTAGATGTATTATAATAGTTGTCAGGGTTCCTAGATATATTATTTATTTCATTGTCTCTTGGTATAAATCTAGCACTAGGAAACCTACTATCTTTTAAGTCTATATCATATTCCCTTCTTTTCCTGCTTAGTAGATTCTCAATAATGTTTTTTACTACAGGATCTAAGAGATATGACAAAATATTTTACCTTTAATCAAGTATCTCAAGCAGCAGAAAAGATTCTACAATGTGATTACTTTGATATGGACTTAGTATATTCAGATATGGAAGACTTAGATAGCAAAGATTCAGATAGTTCCAGCAACACAGACTTAGAGAAGAAATATTAGAAGAGATCCAAATCTTTAAAAAGAGTAAAGTATAGAAGGCGCTGACCTACTAGTAAGATCATTATATGTATGATTCACTTTGAGGATGGAAGCTCAGATGAGGAAACTCCTATTTCTAAAACACAAAGAGCAGTTCACAGGCAATAGGCTGCTAAACAAAGCTCACATAAAAGTGAGAATTTGATTCAATAACTTGGAAGAATGAAAATAAAGGATATTAAGAGTTCAACATCATCATCATTGTATGCAAATGCTACCTCATTTTCCTATGTTCAGTATGAACACTATTATCAGACTACAGAAGCACAAACATAATCTTCAGGGCATCTTCTGTATCACACCTGGATGTAATAAAGGTGATCATGATCACAATCACTGCTACAGCAAAGGAGGTGGGATGGAAGGCAAGTGCCATGGATGTGGACTAAGAGAAAGGAGAACTTAAAGGAAACAGCTGCAGCCATTATTCCTACTATCCTTACTAGTCTCTATGATGATGTTTCCTTTACATTCATCACAATAGTCCCTGACAATGTTTTCCAGTATAAATATATGATCTTACAACTATCCTACATAGATACAACTCATTAGTGATTTGTGTAACATACATATTAGCATATAGGAGTCTTTATTACATTTCCCTAGAATTTGTTACTTATCTATTAAATGTCTGATCTATGTCTTTTAAAGTTTAGTATACATATTGTTTTATGTATATTTATATATATTAGTATATTTCCTTTAGCCCTCTACTTACACTTACTTATATAAACTTATTCATCTATAGATTTATGTTTACTTCTTAGTAATATTCAATTATATATCATAGTCTAGAGTGGCAGCTTATAGTATAAGATAGTTTAAAATTAGCAGCAGTAAAAGTAAAATGACTTAAGTATATTAGAATTAATCTATCAGTCTTTTGTTACAGTTTTATTACTCATATGAAATTAACTAATACTTCAAATCTACATTTCTAGATCATCATTCATTAACTTCTACAGTTCCTTATTATTTATTTCATACAATTTTTTACTTTAAATCTACAATTTTTATATTTTAATTGTTTTATTATCATTCAATGGTAATCTGAACAACATTCAGAATATAAATTGTTTTCCTTAACATTTTTGATGAAAAATTCAGTATCTATAAACTAAATAATACTGTACTAATCATATTTGCGGATTATAAGTGTTAGCATTATATCCTGACAAATAATCTATAGATAGAAGTTGGACCTTTTTATTAATAATAGGACATCAAAAGAGTTATGTTGAATGGTTTTGTATAATCTACTTCAATAATACTTATCATGAATGCTTTAAGTATTACTGTAGAGTTTTAGCAGATTTTTTCTATATTTGGCTAGGTCAATATTTCATAAATAGATTATTCATTTTGTCAAAGTTTGTCTGTATCTCTCATTAGTTTTCTTACATGCATTTGTTTAATGCTAGAATCTCATTACTTCTTTATAGTCAATATGTATTCAACAAATCTTATTCATAACAATTACATATATATGTTGCTCTACTAGTATAGCTATGTACTAATGATTTTCATTTATAAACTCAATAAGCTTTTTAGTTTAATTACATAACTTACATTTTCTTAACAATTTTTCTTTGATCATTACTTCATAATCACTATCTGAAGTTTATCATAAGCTTAATTGAATAAATGAATAGAGTGATTATAATTATTATGCTAGTATTATATATCATATATACATACAGTGTGGTGAAAATAGCTTTTGTAATGAGTATATTATATACTTAGGATCATAATAGATGTTTTGATGAGGAGGTCGTATATTTTGTTATCATTAAAATTACTTTCTTAATATAATATAACTTCAATTATGATCTTTAGCCCTGTAATTATAACATATTCTGGCTTCAAATCTATACAACATTGCTACTACATTCCTAATAAAAAATCTACTTAGCTATCATATTGGAATTTATGTTATATCAAAATTTTCTCAACTACAAGTAAATCAATTAATCATAATACCTCTAATCTTATTAATCATCTACTTGTAAATATGGAGCAATCTCATTTCAGCAATATCTTGTCTATATTCAAATCTTACTTTGAAATATATTAATTATTATTTAAGTCTTTGAGACTAGCTACTACATTCTAAAGTACCTTTCAAGTGACTTTAATCTTTGATATTAGAAGTGGAAAAATTATCTATAGCTGACATAAAGAAACCATTTGTATTATTTAGTAATCTTCATTAACTTCTCAAAACAGACTAATTAACAGCTATAATTGGTATACTCATTTCACAGGCCAGGATCTTTATTATGTCCTAGCCAAATCATTAGCTCATATTTTGCCAAATATTGGAGTTACCTATTTATTGACTGATCTAAGATAAGAAAAGCTCTTAATGTTGATATTATAGAGTCTTAGCATGAATATGCTTTAATATAAAGTGTGATATATCTTAGCTTAGGGCAACAGATAATAGATTTAAAGTATGTGGAGTATTTTCAGCTCTTATGCAGAAAGTAAATATCCTATATGTTGTGATTTCACCATATAATTCACAGACTAATAAAGTGGTTGAAAGATGACATTTCATATTATAAGAAGCTTTAGTTAAAGCATGCAAACTGAATCAAAAGACTAAACTTCATTATTTTGGTCTATATAAAGTAGAATGGAATATATTAATATGTAATTGCCAATCTTTAAGAACCCTATTTAGCACTCATATATTATAAGGACACTCAAATTCAAAAACATTTACTAGTTTTCCACTGATACACAAACAACACTACTCATTGTCACACTTTCCTTTTAAACATGCTTTTCTGCTGCTAATTCAAGTCATTCATTAATCTTTCCCATCAGCTCCCCACTATTTTTACTATACTGGATTAGTACACCAGCCTGTCAGATTGTGGGTGGACATACAAGTATATGTACCACATTCGTTTCTCTTCTATTTCATTTAACAAAATCATGTATTTGTTAGATCTATCTCCTTATCATCAGATGTTTATTAGATGTATTTCTAAAGTAGTAGTAACAGAATGAGGAGTTCATATCTTTTCAGATGATGTCCTACTGTCATATCCCACATTCCGGACCTACATCCGACAATGTTCCCACACCTCATCTGGACCTCCGGACTGTTACAACATGCTACACGAGTCCCCTCTGCCGCCCCTGCCCTCTGCCACCTTGCATGGCAACGACACGATACCCAGGCCTCAGGCGTCCTGACGATAGAAGATAGAAGATAGAAGATAGAAGAGAAGCGGCACATGCCGGCTTAGATAAGCGGTCTGGACTGCATATGACGACATAGGTCTAGAAGACCTATTTATGTTATCAAGATAGAAGGCAAACCTCGTGTTGCCTCATGCACTGATAGAAGGCCACCATGTGGACCTTATCATAGATAGAAGGATGCCATGAGGATCCTATCTCAGATAGAAGCCTACCGTGTGTACATTATCTCTGACTCGATAGATAAGCAGATTAGAACCCAGCTTTAGGCTGAGCTTAGATACGATAGAGTAGCCTTATATAAGAACGAAGATTAAAGTAGATGTTCCTTACTTTAATCTTACTTGGTTTTACCTTGAACTCCTTGTCCTGCTAAAGCTACCTGCTTGACATTGACCGCACTCCGCTATCATCGCTACATAACCCCTTGCTTACCGACAAGCTTCATATACTTGTCAATCAGCAAGCTATGCCAGCATATGCAACCTTTGGTCTTCTCCAGAGGCCGACGACTCTCAGCACTTGGTACCATTATTGTGGTTGTCGCTGTTAGAACTATCCAAGTCGCACACAACTGCCTTGTTGTAACACGGACCTCCTGTCCATGTCTCCAGACCCAATCCTCTATCTGTCCGGATCCCTGTACTCCTGCATCTGATATCCGGATGCCAGATCTGATATCCACATCTCCGGATCTCTGGATCTGACCTATACTTCATATTCTAACCCAAACCTTAAATCAGCGCTCATCCCCTTATGGTAATCACCTGTATCCAGTCATCAGTTATCTCTGTTTCCGTTTTGCTTATTGATCCTTGTATGACTTTCATCTCCGAGTTCATTTCCTATGATCCGTCTTATTTTCTGATACATTTCCACATGCTCGTACATAGCCTTACCCCTCTGCTTACTGATCTGCACAGACTTGCCTCTAGTATATAAACCCCAGTAGATACTCCTGTATTTCCCTAGTCTGAATATCACATATTAGTCCTCACACTAGATCTCACACTAAGTCCTCACATCAGTTCTAGTCCTCTAACTTAGTCAATATTCATCTCAGGCCTAGGGAGGCATTCCCTAGGCTGGAGCTCCGCTCCTCCAATCCTCCGATCCACCATTTCTTCAAGTTTCCGGAAGTTCCTCAGGAAATTTCCCGTGGTCCTCCGGACCTATCCTGCTTCGGACTTTGCCCTTGCAGCCTTTCCTCTGTTTGCTTCTACTCAGGACTTGTCCTGAGTAGCCATTACACATATCCCTGTCAGGACAAAACTCCATCGTAATTTCCAGAAGTTCCTCCAGAACTTTCCCATACTCATCCGGAAGTTTCTTGCACTCGTCCAGAAAGTCCTTCTGAAGTTTCCCACGCTCCTCTGGAAGTCCTTTGGACTTCACTGGACTTTCTCTGGACTTCATTCTGAAGTTAAGGGCACATACTCAGGTAAGGGGCGCAGTGCACAAGCTGAAGCCAAGCCCCTTGGAATCAGTCCTATCCTTTGTGCATGGTCTTAACACCTACCTACAAATATATATTTAATATTATATGGAAACTAAATCAAATATTAGATGAAGTAGAGAAAGAAATACAGGAGTCCCAATAAGTGGATGTTCTACAGGAGCATTTATCTCTGTCACAGAACAACCTTATGACCAACTTATTATAATATCTCTTCAGTTTCTTTCATTTTTTTAACTAGGTATAGAGGATCTAAATATTTTTGAATATTTAATTCTGCAATAAATTATGTTTAGTTATTCTTATAACTCAGATTATTTCTCATATGTATTATTCTGTAAAAACATTCTTAAAATTTCAAATACAAATACTATGTCAATTTTACTGTTAGTGGAGCACATAGACAACAGAAATAGAGAAGCTACACACAGAACTTACACATTATACAACTATTCACATTTCTTTTCTTGCTTTGTTATCAAAAGCTACACAAGTCATAGAATAATTCATCTATATATCTAATGACTTATTAATTCACTATGACTTATATCAATATATATATAACTCAGTGTGTTGATATATAACTTTTGAGGAGTCTTATTATATTAGTAGCACAGCCACTTTTATTATCTATATGATGACCTCTGGTTTGTCTGAATAAAAACAAACTGATTACCCAAAGTGTGTAAGATGTAATTAGTTGGCATCAGTATCAAGAAGCTGAGCCAGGCTCTTCTTTGCAGAAAGGACTTTAGCTGTTGAATAAGGGACTTGATACTGAAAGCTAAAAATGCATGTTCCTAATTCTATTTAATACTTATTGTAAGTTCCTTATCAGGTTCACTAGCAAGTGAAGAGTTCTATATAGCATTGATTAGTTCTGATCTTTAATTCTCACTAGTAAAGATAGTTTAGATGTATCAGTCCTTGTAGCACTGCAAAAAATCAGATATACAGTCATCCACCAGCCACTGATACAGTGAATTTGAAAATGTTGTCTTGCCTCACATTCATACCACGAGTATTTAAATTTTTGATGCGTACATTTACTCTAACATTGTGCCTATCAAGTGCAGCAATTTCTAGGCCAATATATTATGTCTTCGTCGAACTATGAGCCAACTTTCATCACTGGTCATTTTTGGGTCAAAACGGGCAAATGATACAGGTGCGCTATTACCAAATGTAGACTTAAACTTATCCTAATCTTTCTCGCTATCATCACTGCTCTCGTCAATGGCATCTAAGTCAAAATCCTCGCCACTTTCCTCCTCATCACCAACAACAACAACCTTTGGCTTTGGCAAGGGCTTTAGCAGTTCTCCGAGCTTTGGTGCAGGTATGGTAAACTTCCTTTTGTTGATTCTTGCTTGTTGCTTTTCTTCCTCCCACACAGCCTTTGCAGCACGAAACTGTTCTCGCCTCGTCGCATTCTCAGCTTTCCGCTCTGCCTCTTTTGCTTTCCACTCATCCATCATGCCCTTTCCTCAAGTGCGTGCATCTTTTCTCGCAATTTTGTCCGCCTCTTTCTGTTTCTGCCATCTTGTAAACTCAACCACCCTTTCATAGAACTTGTCACCTGATAGTAGTCGTGGGAGACCATCATTGACAAGTTTCCCAGGTGCATCAGGGTTTGTGACCTTTTCCTCTCGAAAGTCAAGCTGATAATGAAGCTTGTTACAGTAAGCTTCATTCAAGATGGCCTGTGCCTGCAAGGTGATGACATGATTTTGGTAGGACTTGCAGAGCTCTTCTGCCTATCGAAGTGCTGCAAGAAGGAGTATTTCGTTTTTTAGTTTTAGGTTCGATTTTTGAAACATCGGTTGTGGTGCCTGCCATTGACTGAATGTTCCCAACAGCAGCGGATGGCATTTGTACTGAAGATGAGAGTGGCTTGTTGGAGACGAGGTCAGCTATTTGTGTCTGTGATAGCTTTGCAATGAGCTCATTGATACGTGTTTGCAGTGATTCGTGTGTGTTATTATTGTTGGCAGGTGTCGCTGTGGGAGTTACAGAGGTGGTGTCGCTGTTGAATGCTTCTGGTGCTTCTTCAATGGTGGTAAGATGGAGATCCTCGTTTAATGAGAGGTCTTGCAAAAGTGTAGCAACTAATTTGATAGGTGTTGGTGGTGTTGTTGGGAGACTACCTTGACACAAAGTCTCTTTACTTGTAGCCAGCATATCCTTTGTAACGACATTGGGGTTAAATGGCCATACTCCTGTTTTGCGAAAAGCTGCGAGGATGTTATCTTGTGTGAGTGCCTTGATATGTGCAGTACCATAAACAGCAAGGAAATTCGTCTTGCTGATAGGTTGTCCTGTCTTCTTCTTCCACTCATCATGCGCCTCACTCCAGTGCCGCTTAAGGACTGAGAAGATGACAACATCAAGGCCCTGGTAGATATGTGTTGTGTGCGACGGATAGCACAGCACAAGAATTTGGTGAGTTCGTGCATACTCCAAAAAGCTGTGGGTATAATGGGAGTTATGTCCATCGACGAGCAGCAACTGATATTCTCCATTTGCTTTCTTTGATGTTTCCTTGTCAAACTGCTCAATCCATGCAACACCGATTTCTCCGTCAGTCCATCCTTTTTTTGAATATCCCAGACTATATTGATTGGTTAGTTTTCCTAACCACGAAATTAGACATGGCTTACGATGCATTAGCTGGGTTATTCTGCTTCCATTTGACGTGATAGCCACTCCCTTTGAAAATCACAGAAGGTGGAGTCGAAGTACCATCTGCACAGATTGTAACAATAATGGTAATATTCTCTCGAGATCCTCCTCACTGCTGATACTGCAAGTCGAGCATTTGACTGTGTTTTGGTCATTCCACTAGCTGCAAGTCTGATGAGTGTGCTATGGCTAAGCTTGACACTCTTGCCTGTCTCATTGTAATAAAGTTGTTGAAAGTCAGAGCAAATAGTTCGAGCACCTCGTCGTTGCTGATAAGGCCCTTTGGCTAGCTTAATCTGATATGCTGCAATAGCACGAGCCATGATACCATCATGGGCTTCTCGAGCAATCTGCCATTTTTTGGTGTCTGATTTTGCTCGTCCAGGTATGATCAGTAGGTAGTTAATTTACAATAGAGCTGCAAGCTTGTCAGGATTAAATTTCTGTACTAGAACTCGTGTATCAGGTGAGGCTTTGCAACACAACTTCCATTTCAGGATGGGAACCAGGCAACATAATATACTATGCTTTGAAGGAGCCATGTTTGATGAAATATGAGTCTGAAAGGGCTGCAGACTCATCTGGATTGTCACAAGAATGTGTCTATGTGGTCTGAGTCCAATTTGCACCCAATGATTCTGTTTTATCCTTGTGAGCAGGTTACAAAAGTTTCAGAGTAAACCAGATCATGTGATTTTGATGAATTGCTGAGACACCACACAATTATTTTTCCATGCTGTATCATATTTTTTTTACATGAGTCGAAAGCTATAGACATGTAGTATGATCTGAGATACATCGAAATAAAGTGATATGTAAGATTTACTTGGGAGAGTCAAAATGTATCATTGGCCAGTGGTGTATCACTGGCCAGTGGATGACTGTAATAATGCACTCACTCTCAGTGTACTGACTTAGTGTGCTTGATACATCCTTTTCTACTAGTAAGCTGATACATCACATTCAGATACAACAATTACAGCAGTAATACAAATAAACAAATAAGACATACTAACTAATCTTCTGTAGCTAATGGTGGAGAGTACTTAATGATGAGTATGTCATTAGTATCAGCTATGCTCAGTGAGGTATCATCATCCAGCTCAGCAGATATGACTACTGGGACAATGGCTTAGTGTTGTGTGAATTTTTCCAACATAGCTTTATAAAGACTGGTTGTTAGACTATGGTGTTCTCAGTGAGGCTGACTTGATCAGCTAGGCTAGCTCAACCTCACTGATGACACCATGGGTGCAGCTGCCCTGCCCCTTCATGAAAATGATGTGCTCATAACAGAAATATTGTATTCTTTCATTAGACACTAACTAACTAACCCTAACTATACAAAAACAATTCATTTTCTTTCATTCATGGACATAGAAAGTGGGTATCTGAAATGAGTGGGGCTCAAAAGGTAGACAATCAAACTTACTTTAATTAAGATGTAGTCAGTAAGGCTAAATTTTCAACACTGGGAAAGCTGTATATTATGGCAGGTGTATGTCAGCTTACATCATTCTCACAATCATATGACTTAATTTTTTGGGAAAAAGTTAAGAGTCACATGTCCAGAATATGCCCATACAACACCAGACTTTGATGCAAAATATTTACTGGCGAGAATGTGTGAGAATTTGAAAATCTGGCAAAAATGTGTAACTCATATCCTCCCGATAACTACAGTTGGTTACTTGTTTGAGACTTATAGAATTAATCGCAGGCGCTGCAGTCAATGTTAATGTGTGTGTGCTGCGCAGCGCTTACTCACCGCAACATCAACAATCTCTGAGTCTGCACGTCATCACTCAGCTCAGCTTCCACATCCTCCTACCGGGTCTCCAGATGCCCAGGCTGTCATATGTGTGGTCCTCTTGTGAGAGCTACAGATGTCGAGATAATCCTGATGCAAGTGGTCAGAAACTACAGGCCATTCATACAGCTGCGAGACATCATGACACTGATCAGCAGCTCCACAATGCTCATGCCACTGAACCAGTTGATGATGTCGCTTCTGGGCATGAGCCCTTTGGAGCCGACGAACCATTTATGCATAGTGATAATGATGGGGAAGTGAACTTATACCCTCCTGAGCTGCTAGACAACCTCTTCAAGATGTGGAATCAACCCCCCAATGTTCAAGGCCCAGATAATTTCAGCACTGACAAAGATGAAGAAATCATTCAGCAACTTGGATAGTCCAATGCACCACAGGATGATGTGAAAGATCCCGCTGTTCTTGATGATGATCCTAGCACTCTTACTGAGAATGATGATGATGTCCCCCGTGAGGATGAGGCTATTGCCACTATTAATCTCTTTGTATCACAGGGCACCCAATTTGATCTCTCGGATGTCCAAGAAGCAGCAGATATTGATGCTGACCCTCCATCATGCATAGACGACCACCCAGCAGTCAGCAATGCATACATATGTGCATTTATATCTGCAGCTTTCTACAATGCTATTCATGCAGCAGTATATCATGATCTTGAAGGAAAGGAGCACCTTCTGCACACCACTCAACAGGCCAACCCTGATATCAAGTATCCAGGGCTCAATAACTTTGCCCACACACTCCCTACCCTCCTCAGACAACTTGGTCTATCAACAGATCAATTTATTGTCTATTTTTTGTATGTAATATCTGTTGGAAGCTACACCATCCATCAGAGCTTTCCGAGCTACTTTCCCCTGATTGCACTGTCACTAATTATGACAGATCATTATACACCTTGAAACGACCCGCTGATGGCACCCTCAAACAAACTCCAACAAAAATCATCCCATATGTACCTCCTGAATGGGCTCTACAGCGATTTCTTCTATGACCAGACAAATGGGACCAATTCCAGCACTGGTGTGGCCCTGAAGACAAGCCAGGTCGTGGATATGATTGATTTCCTGACCCGTCTAAGCCAATGAGGAACATCTATGACAGATATGGCTGGCATATGATTGAAGCGGGGCTAGAGCGTCAAAGAGGTGGATGCTGGGAAATAGAGGATGTAGATGTGCATGAACTTCATCAACACTTTGTTTTGCTACCTTGCAGCCTGGTCTGGCAGATCAATATTGACTGGTATGTCTTTCACATCTTTCACCCTCTACAATTTGATACTTACACTAGGTGCTAATTGTTACAGGTTTCAAGTGGTCAAAGGAAAATCAGGCTATCATTCCATGGGTGCATTTTATGCTGTTATCTGCAACAATCTGCACTCTATTTGTTATCTTCCAGAAGAAACAATCTTTGTTATAGTTATGCCAGGACCTGACGAGCCGTCATTAGAGGAGATGAACTATCTCTTAGAACTGTTTGTGGAGAGTATGCTTTGTTTGGAGAAGAGTAATTTGTCTATAATCCGAGTCTTTGTAACTGTTTTCAATTGATGTCCTACAGGAGTAGAATTCACCGTTTATGGTCATGATGATCTGGAGGTGTCACACTCTCATCTGTACTGTAATGTATCTGATCTCCCATCAAGTCGCAAAGTGACCGGCCTCCAAGGTCATAGTTCAAAGTTCTTCATGTGTCCAACATGTAAAACACCTTTCTTCTTGCTTGCTCACCCTAGTTATTTTGATCTGTCAAGTATATATCTCACTGTGATGCACTGCTCAATCACCGCTGACATTTGCTCACATAGACTTCAAGGACTGAGATGACTGGAGATATATCAAGTATTTGTTTTGTTCACATAATGCAGACTCTGCGACTGTCAACACCATCATGAGAATCAAGGCATCCATTGGTCTGCCCTCAATTACCTTCCAGGTTGGATGCCTACTCATAGCTCTGTTGTCAAGTTCATGCATGCCGTGTTTGTGTGGAAGTTTCAAGGAATGAAGTTGCAATTCATTACTGACGTATCAAAGGTTTGGTGAAGCATCTTAACAGGATCATCCTTATCAAGTCTGGTTTACTTAAAGGAATGAAACTTGTCAAGCCAATGGACCAACTTGAGGCCTTCTTTCAGGGCTTGTCTGGCCAGTCGAAGCAAATCACTTACCACCTTCAGTTAGTGTGTTATTTACTCTTTATTGTCCATATAATAATCTGGTTCGTAGCTTTCAACTAGCAAGATATCACCTAACGCAGATCAGTGGCGCAATCAAATTGGAGTCCTTTTTGTCGCTCTGTATGATGCATGGGCAGTCAACGGTGAGATCCCAGATCGTGATGCACCTCCCTCAGCATCTAATACCAAAAACTTCACTGCACAAGCCACGATGCAGAAAACTCTTTACTCGCAGCTTATGGAGCATCTCCTTGCTCGCAATGCAAATCCTTCTGATGCTGAGATCACTGGTGTTAACTCTGCAACAACAGATTGTAATTTACATCACCATTATGCTGTAATTCTCAAGTTCTCTGCTACTGTGCACATCCTATCATCTCAATCTATCAGTCCAGATGATGTTTGCAGAGGATGTGCAGCACTGTCTCATGCCACACAGAGCTAGGCTCACATGGGATGTCACTTGACTCCATACTTTTATGTTGTTAATCACTTTGAACAACAGATGTACAAATTTGGATCTTGCTATGCAACATGGGCTTTCACATTTGAACGACATAATGGCAGGCTCGCGAAGATCAATCACAACCAGCATAAAGGAGGAGAGCTTGAAGCTATGCTGATGCAACAATGGTGGAACATCACATTTAATTATGAACTCATATCTTTTGATGTGCATTCTTTATTAAACTAATTTTCTATGTCTATCATCAGATCCTTCATATAGAAGCTCTCCCTAACTGAACCGAGGATGACAAAGACTCGCTGCATCTTTTTCAGACATCCCTAAAGGCACAAGAGAAAACCAATGTCATTCAAGGTCTGTCTTACCCCCTCTCTCATGATGTGAAGTTGTTAATAACATCTCATTGTGGATTTGGGTACACACAGAGGAATTGACTTTTGCCAAGCACCCTAAAAAGCTCCATCTATCGGCAATTAGTGACGATGTGTATCAAATCACATATGAGTACCTGTGCAATGAGTGGAGGGCAAGTGTCCATCTCAAGACTTCTATGAACATCTTGGGAGATGACAAGAACTTTATGGGCCATGCCAGATCATACTCTCACTTGTGGTTGCGGAGACTTCATTATGGTTCTGCAACTGCTCACCAAGGAAAGTCTGCCCATTATGCATATATCAATGGACACCATCCTGTAGAGATTCAATACCTACTATAAGTCTCACACGATAGACGTGATGTTGATGCAGTACCCCTTGTGCGGATCTTGCTATTGTATGGTGCTTTATTTTGGATGACAACATATCTGAGTTTCCATGGGTGCTTTGGTGAGCACATTCCAATTGTGTCTTACCATACTTACTATGTCTCAAGGGCAATAGATTTAGATGTTTCTGCATAATACACAGACCAGCTTGGTGATTTGGAGGTGATTCCTACAACACTTTGATGGGACACTTCATCCTTGCTCCCATTGAGGTACATTGTTAAGGTCATACTCTCGTAGGATCGGATCCGAAGGACTTCGGCCTCAGCTCATATGCTGTGCCCCTTTCCCAAGTACTGTCCCTTTTTCAGAGACTAACAATGACACGTCCGGAGGATTGGACGAGTCTCGTATTGTTATCCAGATGACGTCCGGATATCAGAAACATGTATAAGGCTAATCCGGACAAGTCCGAACTAGAAACAAACAGAGGATAGACTATCTGAAGATAGAGGTGGAAATGTAGACTATCGGAATCGATCCGAAGTCTCAGAGATTGACAAGAGCTGATTAGACTCAAGTCCGGAAGACAGAAAGAGGACAAACTAAGATGATATTCGAACTGAGGTACTACCGGACATATACACAAGTTTATATACTAAGGGATAATGGAAAGATCAGTAAGCAAGAGTCCGAGGCTATGTATGAAGCATAAGCAAAGTTTATCAAATGCGAGTCGGAAATGAAACATAGGTTAACGGATCAGTAAGCATAACCGGTAGTAAGTATAACTGAGATACCGGGAGTAAAGGAACACCGAATAAAGGAATAGGCTGTGTTTAACGTTATATGAACAGGAAATGAATTAAGAAGCTTATCGTATATCGGATCGGAAACGGATCTAACGGATCAGATCGGAAACGGATCTAACGGATCAGATCGGAAACGGATCTAATGGATCGGATCGGAAACGGATCTAACGGATCAGATCGGACCGGATCTAAGGTCCAAGGTCCGGATGAGAAGTGCAGATATATGGGATATGACATACATGACCAAATGCTTTGGATCACAGTGGTGTATGATCATGTATGTCTCTCGTTTTGTCATCCAATCAATTCATACTAACAGTTTAGAACACTAGGGCAACCCAGAAGCAGATGTGGACATTGATGATGACTGAACCATTACTGATATAACATTTTCTTAGAATGATACAGCTTGATTGCATGAGAAGTCTCTCATAGGTTACTAGGCATTGTACAAGTCCTCATCATCCTCATCAGCTAGTGGCTCTCTTTTATCATCTGCTAATTTTTCATCGTTCAAACCTTGTGATATGGCTTGGGCTTGTTCAGACGCGCCTGCAATAACTTCATTTTGATATGATCAACTTATCAATTTACGTGCAGGCAATACTATGATAATAGCAACATACCAATGCTTCCATTGTACCTCAATGAGTCTTGGGGGTGCATATGCAGCTACTCAGGATTGATTGCACCAAGGGATATCTTCGAACCCATCTTAACATATGGCAAATCTCAATCACATGGACCACTAATGATATGTGGATGACGATGGCTGAATTTTTTGTCCTCGAGTGCAAGGCCATTGAGGGGATCCATGGCTTGATTGAACTGATCTGATTCAGCTGTGTGCTCATCATATACTTGTGGAGTACGCACCAACAATGATGGTAATTTTCATGGTGTGTAATCCATGGTTCCTTAGATGGTGCTTTTCACTTACCCTTGGCCTTTGCAAGTGGCTTCTTGCAAACATTTTTTTCCTCATCTGTGTCTGGGTTGATTCCTCCATGTTCATCCTCTGATGGCATGCTCTCATCAGTGCTCTGATACACTAACTGGAACACATAATCCCATGCAGTGGACATGAGACTTGATACAGGTCACATGTAGTTACGCTCCTCCAATTTCTCCACGAAAGTCAGTCAATGTATGTGAAGCTTATGAAAACCTTACAGTTTGTTTGTGTACTTCATATCATGCTACCCATGAGTCAACCTTTCCTTTTACTTTTCCTGTTGTTAACAAGATTTTGTTGGCACTGTGGTACTCTGCTGCATAATACTTGAAGTTTTCGTGGAGGCACTTGAGGATGTCTTCATCCATTTTTGAAGCCAGAAGCTCCTGGGAAACGATTGGGTGACATGATCTGATATTGTGCTTGATATACTGTATAAGGTGAGTGTGCCATGATGCATTTTCACTCCAGTCTTTGCTAAAGTCGGGCCAAACTTCATCCCCTTTGATTTGTATGCCATCGTTGTGTGGATGGTAGGCCTTTATTGTTGATGGTTTCATAACACCAATGCCTTTCAAGAAACATTTGCGGACTCCCGTCTGTCTACAATGTGAGTGAGTGATGTTTAACCCTCACTTGATCACTCACACTCCAGATATTATCCTTTGAATTGTCACTAACTGTGTCATATCCCGCATTCCGGACCAACATCCGACGACGTTCCTATGCCTCATCCAGACCTCCTGTCCATGTCTCCAGACCCAATCCTCTATCCGTCTGGATCCCTGTACTCCTATATCTGATATCCAGACACCAGATCTGATATCCACATCTCCGGATCTCCGGATCCGACCTATCTGTCATGTCCAAACTCAAACCTTAAATCAGTGCCCATCCCCTTATGGTAATCACCTGTCTCTGGACTTCCGAACATCCGGATCCGACCCACGTCTATCTTCTGTGCCTTATCCCTTTGTACATTCCTTCTTGAGTTAGACTTACTCATTTTCCCTACCTCATTTCATTTCCGGCTTTATTTCCCTATGTCCTCATCTCCGTCTTCATTTACTATTTTCTGATAGACTAGTGTTTGACTGTTCTATACCCTCCATCCACAGCCTCGCATAGCTTCAGACTGCGCTGACTGATTCTCTGTTATGTCCTTTGTAGTATATAAACCCTGTAAAGTCTCTATACTTCCTCAGTCTGAATATTACACATATTAGTCCTCGCACTGGATCTCACACTAAGTCCTCACATCAGTTCTAGTCCTCCAACTTAGTCAATATCCATCTCAGGCCTAGGGATGCATTCCCTAGGCTGGAGCTCCGCTTCTCCGCTCCTCCAATCCTCCAATCCTCCGCTCATCCACTCATCCACTCATCCACTCATCCGATCCTCCATTCCTCCGAGTTTCTGGAAGTTCCTCCGGAACTTTCCCATGGTCCTCCGGACCTATTCTGCTTCAGACTTTGTCCTTGCAGCCTTTCCTCTGTTTCCTTCTACTCAGGACTTGTCCTGAGTAGCCATTACACATATCCCTGTCAGGACAAAACTCCATCGTAATTTCCGGAACTTTCCCACACTCATCTGGAAGTTTCTTGCACTTGTCCGGAAAGTCCTTCCGAAGTTTCCCACGCTCCTCCGGAAGTCCTTCGGACTTCACTGGACTTTCTCCGGACTTCATTCTGAAGTTAAGGACACATACTCAGGTAAGGGGCGCAGCGCACAAGCTGAAGCCAAGCCCCTTGGAATCAGTCCTACCCTTTGTGCACGGTCTTAACAAACTGCCTGTGCTGCCTTGGATTTGGATGGCTCGCTACTTCCTTGAAGCAATTTGGTAATGACGTTGTAGAAACAACAATACAGAGAGGAACAAATGATGCTCCTGACTGTATCTATTAATAATGGGTCTCAGAGTAACCACATGCTGTGAAAAACACTTCGGCACTACATGGCAATTTCGGCAGCTTTGAACTCCGACATACCACAATGATTGGACTTACCATCTACACTAGATGTGGCTCCTCACTGTGTCCCACGGCACATCATGGCAGGAGTCGCGACTGGTCGTGGACGTGGATCTCGAGGTCGCCCAGTGAAGCGTGGTAGCCATGGACTGATAGCTGATTCCTTTGCTCCTCCCAGTGCCAGCCCGCCTGCCAGCACTGGATCAGCTCCAGCACTCAAGATGCCTACTATACACTGGGAGAAGAAGAATAGTCCATGTACCGCTCGCCTTATCAAGTGGTGCAAAATCAACCAAGATGCTCGACTAAAAATATTCTCTGATTCTGCCAAGGATGCAAAGGAGGAAGGGCGCACGCGTCAGCAGATGACCACTCAGAAGAACACTTATATGCAGCAGCTCGCAGCATCTGTTTTCGCAGGTGATGAAGATCTGAAGGTCAGGGAATACTTTCAAGCACACCCTCTCGCTTTTGTGAAGCCCATTCAAGGCTGATTTACATCGTGAGTTGCTGCCAGCATTCCCATGTTCTTCAGTGCCAACCTAGCTACTAACAAGGTGTTTTAGGCTATGCAAAAAATATAACGAGATCAATCTACAACTTGGTCAGACAGGTGCTGGACTTTCATTTGAGGAGCTCAACAAGAATGAGAAAACAAGGACGCTTCTTGGTCAGTACACTCTTTCTCTGCGGGCATGCACTCTAACAATTTTGTAGACCGCCTCTTGCAGACATTCCCGTGGTGGGTTGACCTCCATGGGTGGTGGAGAACCAATCCTGCCTATAATACATCATTTTCGACTGCCGACCCAGGTCAGGATTTCTCAGCTGAGGCGATGGATGTCTTTGGTAAAGGGAAAGGGAAAGAGACTCTGAATGATGCAGATCGTGAGGATGACGAGGGAGGGATGCAGGTGCTCTCAACAGGGACCTTGAGCTGGGCGAAATTTTGGATGGCGAGGCCGATAAAGATGATGATCCTCCTGCGCGAGTTGATGATTCTAGCTTACACATGTTTCGTGATGATGAAGGTTTAGGCTGGGATAGCCCAGGCAATACCTCTAACTCTCCGTCTTCACGCTTCCCTTGCCCTCAACTTCCCTGGGCACCGTCATCTGCTTCTTCGACTCATTTTCAACCATCTAATCTTCACCACTACCAACGCCCATCCATCACCCATCTTGACACAATGCAGCAAAGCATACCACTAGGACCCAACGAGATCTCCCTCAACTCCCCCGAATGAGCAGATAGGCCCAAATACCCCTTGCCATCCACCAATGCCACTGGTAGCAAAGCCAGAGCTGCATCTGTGCAGATGGATACCTCTGAGGACTCTGACACTGCTGCAAGCTGCATGATGAAATCACTTACTGTGCATTCGCACAAGGCCAGCCTTGGTGTTCGTACTTCTCATACTTCCAGTGGTCATGTATCATCTGATCAAGACTCGGATCAATCGCCAACTACATCTCATAACCGATCAGTATCTCACAAACGGCCACAAGACCCAGCAGCTGAGCTCATGATGAAGCTGAATGAGGCGTCAGATACACTCGTTCAGCACATACGCGAGGTGTCCACAGTCAAGGCCAACCACAAACACCTCAAGCTAGAGACCCAATTGGCAAGCAGAGAGCTAAAGATGCACGAATCTCATGCTGAGCGTGAACATGGACTCCGGAGCACAATAGCCATTCAAAACCACGAGCGTGCAATGGCAGATGAACAGACGAAGCAGCTGGAATTGGAGATCAAGCTCAAGCAAGTGAGGTTGGAACATTTGATTATGGAAAAAGATTTGGCTCATCAGGATCCCAGTGCTGAGAATTGCAACTAATTGCTTGATGTTTGTTCTGCTTTTGCTTCGCTTCCCTCGCTGTTGACATTTTAGCTCACAAATTCTTTACCGTGTTCTAGGCTTGTTCTTCATTATTGTAGGTTCAAACATCGTGATGTATGCTAGAAGAATTTAATGTGTATCGGTTGAAGTCACTCTGGCTACTGTATTTTCCTTGAGTTTGAAGCAAGCAGGCTGTTGACATGAAGACCACCGCACTTTCCTCGCATCACTCATTCTAGGCTCTTGCGTCCACCGTACTTTCCTCGCATCACTCATTCTAGGTCCTTGCACCCACCACACTTTCCTCGCATCACTCATTCTAGGTCCTTGCATCTACCGCACTTTCCTCGCATCACTCATTCTAGGGTCTTGCATCCAGGGCTTCATGCGCTCTTGGTTGTGAATGAATTCCTCTTCCAGGAGCAGGTAGTCTTTAATGTGGTTCATCTTAAGTAGACGAAGTCTACACCATATAGCAGGGAAGACAGGGGGTAGCTTTGAGGCAGCGTCCACCACACTTTCCTCACATCACTCATTCTAGGTCCTTGGGTAAATTTACTAAAGTACGTATCTACTACCTGTCACTGTTGATATCGCAGTAACTGGCCCATCAGCGTGTTTCAAAAAATCTGTCCTTCAGACCCGATAAAACCTTCATCCCCAGCTCCTTCTTGTTCGGCATTGTCCCCATCCTCCTGTTCACTGCCCTGCGCTCCATGACCCCACTGCCTTGCTTCCTGGGCAAAATGATTGAATGTACCAGTACCGCCAAGCTGTTCCTCGATGTCGACAATCATATTATGCAAAATAAAGCAGCAACGGGTCCACATATTCACTTCATCAAGGTCTTTTTGCGCCTGTATTTGAACCCGAAGTTCACGAAGAGATTAAAATCACCCTTTCAAAGAACCATAGCAGTGCTCGGAGCGAACATGGACCTGCAGATGTTGAGTTGACAGTTGTGACTCAGAGAACGGTTTGTACTACCTTCGACAGATGATAATTAAATGTTTTTTGATCATGCGTCAATCCACCAGCTGCCGGCCGCTTAAAAGGTACAACACACCACGGGCGAGCACCATAGGCTGAATCTGCCCAGATCCACTCATTTCCTCCCAAAAACGTTTGCGGATGGCGTGAAATTTGAGCTTTTGCAAACGTGTTTGAGTCATGGACACTCCCAGGGACTCCAATCACATAATCGACGATGCGCAGGTTGTGGGGCATAATTACGACCTTCTGAAATGTTAGTTTGATTTTCTCTGCTCTAACTCATGACGCACTTGGGCTGACAATGAATAATTCGATTTACGGTCGTAAAATCCCTCACTGTGCCACCCAGGCTTCTGAAACAGATTGAATGGTGTGCCATCAACGTTAAGAAATCCACCCCTCCACTCTGGACAAGTCTGTCCTTCAACCCAGTCCTTTGCTCTCTCTTGCTCATTTTGATCATCATGATCAAGCGGATCAAAGTGGATTACATCATTGTGGTGCTGAAGGATAGCAACCATGACACGACGATGACAATTATATACCGTCCCGATCGAGACACCGGCCCAATCCGCTGAAGGTACAACAATTCAGATGGTGAGTCTGAACAATGTTGGGTCTTGCAGAACCTAGCTGCTATTCGACCCTAAAGGGTTTCTGGACCAGGCTCAGAGGAGAGGAAATATCATGAAAACTTGCTGAGTACTCTAACTCATACTGGTAACTGGTGAAAAGATAACTTGCTTATGTAAGCTACAAAAGTGCCAACATAAGGTAAGGTAAAAACAGTCTCTACAAGCCCAGCCAGAAATGAATCCCTACACCGCGATGTCTTCTGTCGTCGCGGCATTTCCATAGTGGCCGGCGCTATTCAAGAATATAGCAAGCTGTACTGAGACTGGCAATTGAGGGTTGCGTGAGTTGTTATGGAATATAGGATGATTGCTGATTTTATTGACAATCTCCACAAAGACTGGAGGATCGACACGAAGCTTATGACGGAATTTCTCAGGTTTATCCAGCGCCCACTCCTCAAGCAGATGTAGCTGCGGGGCCCGGCTAGATTTTGGACGAGCGAAGAGTATCTGTGACTTTTCCACTTCATCAGCTAAGGCTTGAACTGTGTTACTGAATTCGAGGAAGGGATGCAAGCATGTCAGTATTTCTGTTGCATCCGTGGATGTCGCAAACGAGAAAATCGACTCGCTAAGTGAGGATTCTGATGATGTGGACTGGCGATCAGAATCAGAATCATCACTATCATCGGAGTCTTCGAGTCCTTCCATGGCGAGTTTGATGAGTTCAAAGTAGTGAGCATATTGGAGATTGAGCTGCTTAGCACGCAGTGCCTGCAAGATCTGTTGTCGAGCGGATGTGCGAGGCATGATGTTTATTATCGCGATCATCGATTGTACTTAGCAATAGAACTGATACCTATCGTATTCTGGCAGAGCTTGAATACCTCTGGAACTTTGTTTCGTTTGGATGTTTCTAATGGTTCGTAAATTTAACTTTGAGAACCACTAATGTTGTGAGGTCGCGCATTGCCTAGTCTGCTATACTTGAGATGACAAGTGCGTTCGACCCTAAAGGGGAAGCGAGTGCAGCAAGGATCTGGTAGTAGGCGCTGAAGGTGCTACTGGTTGGCTAATGCGGAGCGCGTGAAAGCGCAGGTGCGCGCGACGAGGCACAGGAAAGTGAAGGTGCGCGCGAGGCGCGGGAAGCGCGGGAAAGTGTGCGCACATATATAGAGATATGAGATGATAGTGCTTCTTTCTAGGGAGTGATTCCAACTAAGCTCAGTTGTGTAGTATGAACATGGGGGTTGCTAAACTTCCTTCTGGTATGTACTACTGGCGCTTATGTATGGCACCTAAGCGCTGTCATGCAGAGCCGAAGCGCTAGTGAGTAAGGTATGTAAAGATATATGTAAGTAAGGGTCCATGATAAAAATAAAGGTGGAACAATATGCAAATAAGAGAAATGGAGATATACGCACTAGAGAGCTTGGTGGACAGTGGATGGATGCTTCCGGATGGCTGGCGCTATAGGGCGCTCAAGCGCGGGAAAGCGCGCACGCATATACATCGTGAAGCGCGGGAAGTGTGCGCACATGTTGCGCATTGCGCGGGAAAGCTGCGCCTCATATAGGAATAGCTGCGGATAGCATGCAGAGTGATGCTACAAGTTTGTGCCATGTACTCCCTAGTGAAAACTGCCATATCACACAATGTGGGGCACAAGTCTCTACAATGTCTCTTTAGTCACTTGTGAGTTTTTTGTGTTTTTGTGTGACTCTGTGACATACTAACTACTATTTCAGTTCAACCTTTCATCAATACACATTTTGTGGACACAAGTCTCTTTCATTACCAGTGAGTTTTTGTTGTTGTTGTGTGGTGCTGTGGCATACTGACTACAATTTTAGGTTCTCTATCATGGTGCACACCAAAAACACTGCAAAGAAGTGTACTGGTGGCTCAGTGTCACACATACACCTCATGTTACAAGTAACATTGGTCATGTGGCCCCCCTATCATTTTCCCTTCATCCTCACTCTCACCATCTACTGGCTTACGCTCCTCTACTGAATATCCATTAACCAAATCCTCAGGGCCGTTCCTGTCCCTCGTCTCCATCCCCTATTCGACCTTATTGCAGATAACGTACCAATGTGCGCACATGCCTTGGCACTAACTATGACTCGTCTCGACTCATGCCACCAATGTGGCTTTCCTTTTCTGTTCCCTTTGACTCATGCCTGCTGAGCATTGTATCTTTACTATTGGTTTATTCCAATGTTTCTCGGTCTCATTCCACATTTGACCTTCCATCACTAATTAGGCTGTATTGCCAGCATACCTATACCCTTTCCGTTTCCCCTCTGCCCTTACCTACAGTACAGTAACCCAGCCCTTAACCCTTTCCACTTAGTATGAGTAGTCGGTCATCCTGTACTAGATTCCCTAACTTGAATCTACTCAATCCTCCCTCAAAACTACTTCCTTCAAGAGCCCCTTCAGCTCTTGTCTCTAGTACGACTTTCTTAGGTGCTCGTGGCACCTAATCTACCTCAATCATCACTCATCGTTCAAACAAAACAGTCCTTACTTTGAGTTCAGTAACTTCACAGACATCTGTCTTAGAAGTCACATGACACACACATCTGTGATATCTGCTGACTCAATGTCACCAGCCTCACTCGCTATACTAGATCCTTCCGGTTACATCACAAACATTAGCGGACGACACTCCTCTTAGGGCTCCGCATAACAGACCTATTTGAGTGTGTAACACCTCAAGATAATCAGGACCATCACTAAGAGCCTTTCTAGAGTAGAGCTGGATGAAGGCCAAAGTTTGGAGATATCCAAACTAGTTCATCACAATGAGGTGCATCAGGAAACCTACAATTCTGCTGAATGTCCTGATTTACCTGCATGACTGATATCAGACAACTGTCTGATATCAGTAATAATCAGTAACAATCAGCACATATCAGTTGTACAGATACATCAGATTATTAGACCAACAAAATCACAGAGTGTTCAGGTATGTCTGATGTGAGTCTTTTGTTTTTTGCTGTATTTGTGCTAATATATCTTCTTCCCTCCAACAGTTCTGTATCCCTCTGCTGGGATGGCTCTGTATCATTAAAAGAGAACACTCTCTTTATGTGTAATGTTAAGACTGTACACAAAGGGTAGGACTAATTCCGAGGGGCTTGGCTTCAGCTCGTGCGCTGTGCCCCTTACCTGGGTATGTGCCCTTAATTTCAGAATGAAGTCTGGAAGAAGTCCAAAGCACTTCAGGATGGGCACAGGAAACTTCAGACAGATCTTCCGGCTGAGTGTGAGAAACTTCCAGAGGGGTGTGGGAAAGTTCCAGAAGAACTTCCGGAAATTGCAATAGAGTTTTATCCTAACAGAGATATGTGTAATGGCTACTCAGGACAAATTCTGAGTAGATGCAAACAGAGGAAAGGCTGCAGGGACAAAATCTGAAGCAGAATAGGTCTGGAAAAACTTCTGGAAACTTGGAGGAATGGAGGATTGGAAGAGCAGAGCTCTAGCCTAGGGAATTCCTCCCTAGGCCTAAGATGGATATTGACTAAGTTGGAGGACTAGAACTGATATGAGGACTTAGTGTGAGATCTAGTGCAAGGACTAATATGATATTCAGACTGAGGAAATACAGGAGTTTCTACAGAAGTTTATATACTGGAGGCAAGTCTGTACAAATCAGTAAGCAGAGGGGTAAGGCTATGTATGAGCATGTGGAAATGTATTAGTAAGTGAAATAGATCATAAGAAAATGAACTCAGAGATGAAACTGGTATAAGAATCAATAAGCAAACAGAAACAGAAACAGAGATAACTGAAGACTAGAGACAGGTTATTACCATAAGGGGATGGGCACTGGTTTAAGGTTTGGGTTTGGATATGAAAACATGGGTTGGATCCGGAGAAGTGGATGTCAAATCAGGTGTATGGATATCAGATCCAGGAATTGGACAGATAGAGGACTGAAGCTCTGGAAACATAGATAGAGGATCTGGAGGTCCGGATGAGGTGTGGGAACATTGTCGGATGTAGGTCCGGAATGCAGGATATGACATGCAACCATTGCCCCGGAGTGATGTGCCACCTATGTATGCAACTCCTCCTGGACACTAAAGACATGATCCTCAGCAAGGATGTGTCTTTTAGGTGTATATGTTGTCACATTGCTATGGAACAGCAGGGTACACCTACTATGTGAGTGTTTGTTTTCAATATCTGTTCATTCACAACTAATAATATATCAGGGCTTCTATCATACTAATGGTGTCCCAGTCCTCAAGTCTTTTCTATAGGTCCATGCTTCCCTCGAACTCTCATTACATGCTGAAATTTCAGCTGCACTGATCATATTCATACACCTCATTCTTGTCGACTTCAAAACTACTGCCAGCCCCTTTTCCTTTACTCATTCATTCCTCCAGCCCTACTTTACCAGCAGCAGCATTGAATATTGTGAAATCACCTATGACATTATCTCTGACTTGTCCAGTTACCACAAAACTGTCCATCAAATTATCAAGGACCTCAAGAACTCATTCACATGGGAATGTGTGGTGGTTGGTATATTCACTCACAACTGACAATGATTTAGGTGACCTATTTGCTGGGTACTGTTTGGATGACAAGAAGCACTATGCTGGTGCTCTAACTAAAGATGTAAGTTTTGTTTTAATTTTCCTGCTGCTGATTACCAACTACTTCTAACTTAAAGTTCTTAGATAGTATTCTTAGTCCATGACAGTCTCTCCTTGAGCATGCCAAAAAAACCTACCTCTGGCTCTTGTACTGTGGTGCAATTGTCAACAACAGTGATTTGTTTGTAGGATTGCAATATGCAGTAGTTCAGTGAGTTCATTTAAATTACATTTTTTATCTTATCTCACATTCCAACAGTTACAAGCTCTCTACCACAATCACATTCAATACCGCACATTTTCAACAATCTTTTGTGTCCCATTTGCTTCTGGCATTCACTAAACAAGTCCTTATGGAATGTTGCCCCATTGGCCTTGCATTTGGTGACATGCTGGGTCAAGCATACAAACTTGGTTGCCACGCTGATGTCTTATTACTAACACCACTTGAGGGTAGTCTGCAGGTCTCCAAGTTTGTATGGGCTGATGTAAACTTCTGGCTTTGGGGCTTTGTGCCAATCCAATGCCCAACCTATAGGTGGACTATGTCGGAAATTTCTAGGCACCATTGTAGGTCCCTGGTAGACATTTTAAGGACAAATTTTCACATAGGCCATTATAATGCATGCAGATGACACACAATTTTATTTTAAGACCTTATAATGGTTGCCTTCGTCTATTGTAAGGCATTTGGATGGCTGTGTTGTGATACGTGAGACACGGGCCTTGAAAGGCATTGTAATGCTGACATCAACCTTGAAATAGAAAAATAATAAGTTAATGACCCATGTGATCTTTCAACACTTCCAACCGAACTTTAATTGTTGTACTACCATTTTATTTGTACGACTATCCTATTTATGTTACTATCTAATCATGATCTATACTACTATTATTAACTATTGTAATGTACACTGGTGGAATTCGAACTCTAGACTTTGACCTTACCAAGTAGAACCGTAGTATTAACTGGCATAGTTACCCCTTAGCCAAACGGCCACATATAAGATGGAACCCCAATGCTATATGTGCGCATTATAAGGTCCTTATAAGGCAACATAATGTCTTACCCAAAACTTAAGTTGCGGTTGAGGCCATCGAGTCTAAGGTTAAAATTGTAGCATTGCATATCAATCAACACACATCTGACATCAAGTATGTAGTCCTAAGTACTGTTAAGAACGTGCTCAAGGGTCAGATCCGAAGGGCTTGGCTTCAGCTCATGCGCTGCGCCCCTTACCCGAGTACGTGCCCCTAACTTCCGAAGGCTGTCGAACGATGTCCGAAGGTTACCAGACAATGTCCGGAGGGCGTCGGGCAGTGTCCGGAGTCCGATGTCCGATGCGCGGGAATTCCGGCGGACGTTTGGGAATGAGAGATAAGACTAATCCGGACGAAGTCCGAACTAGAAAGGAAACAGCGGAGGACTACCAAAGGTAGAGGCGGAGGTGACAAGTCTATAGGAATCAATCCTAAGACGAGCGGAGGTCGACGAGAGAGATACTCAAGTCGGACGGAGGAGAGAATGAGCAGAGTCTAAGATAATATTCAAACTGAGGAAACTACAGAGACTGTACAGGGTTTATATACTACTGAGGACATAACAGAGAACAGTAAGTACAGTGCAAGCCTATGTCAAGCTATGGATAAAACATATGGGATGACTATTACTAGTCTATCGGAACTTAGTAAAATGAAGACGGAAATGAATAAGGGATGGAAAATAAAGCGTACTAACTGATAAGGGAAATACCAAAGGGATAAGGCACGGAGGTTAGATGCGGGTCGGATCCGGACGATACATAGAAGTTGGCCGGATCCGGAAATCCGGAAATGATGAGTGTGATAGGTCCGGGTCCGGAACGCGGGATATGACAAGTATGAGGAGAGACTGATGTAAAGTCCAGAGTAGGAATAGCTAATGATAAGACTGAATAATAACAACCAAATACTCTGAATCACCTCATTGTTGGTTTCTTGCTGCGTGCGCTAATGTGTTTGGGTTTCGGAACATCTGGTACAGCAGCAGGGACAGGCTGAGCTGAAATACAACCCCGACACCGTGCTTTTCCACCTGCTGGTTCAGTCTGTGCTGCCAAAGAATCACGATCAGTTAGTGATAGCTGACTAACATCCACCTGTAGCTGCGTAGAAGACATGCCGGCACATGGCTGGCTGATTGACATTGATGTTGAGACAATGATACAGTCATCCTGGGTGATAGGACCTGCAGGCACTGCAGAAAGAGCAGAGAGATTGGAAAGAGCCGGCGAGGGTGCACAGAAAACAGGAAGAGTCGGCGAGGGTGCACGAGCAACAGGATTATCCAATTCCTCCAATAGGTCATCTTCCCAGGTGCGAGGGATGGAGGCAGAGGGTACAATGGATGCGGGTGCACTTGATAGCGCTGCACGGGTGGTGAAAACTTCCTTATTGAAGTATTCCATCACACCAATTGCCCATGGAGAGCTTTTGAATAAGTGTTCCAGATAGAAGTCGTAATCCTTCTGGTAATCAATCTTCGTCTCTGCTCCGGTCGCAGTGAGCTCGGTATCGTGCGTTAACAAGAAACATGCCTGTGAATGAATGATCAGCAATGATGCAAAGCAAAGGACAGACAATGATAGAAAACTTACCAATATAGCAGCGCCGGCAATCATACCCTCAGTAACACTCTGCACACCCATTCGCAGACCCCTGCCCTTTGGATGGCCCCTTGTCTTCCCACCAAGTATCGCCTTTCCATACACTTCAATGTGATGTAGAAACAACAATACAGAGAGGAACAAATGAGGCTCCTGACTGTATCTATAAAGTTGTGAGGTCGCGCATTGCCTAGTCTGCTATACTTGAGATGACAAGTGTGTTTGACCCTAAAGGGGAAGCGAGTGTGTTAAGACCATGCACAAAGGGTAGGACTGATTCCAAGGGGCTTGGCTTCAGCTCGTGCGCTGCGCCCCTTACCCGAGTATGTGCCCTTAACTTCAGAATGAAGTCCGGAGAAAGTCCAGTGAAGTCCGAAGGACTTCCGGAGGAGCGTGGGAAACTTCGGAAGGACTTTCCGGACGAGTGCAAGAAACTTCCGGATGAGTGTGGGAAAGTTCTGGAGGAACTTCTGGAAATTACGATGGAGTTTTGTCCTGACAGGGATATGTGTAATGGCTACTCAGGACTTGTCCTGAGTAGAAGGAAACAGGAAAGGCTGCAAGGACAAAGTCCGAAGCAGAATAGGTCCGGAGGACCGCGGGAAAGTTCCGGAGGAACTTCCGGAAACTCGGAGGAATGGAGGATCGGATGAGTGGATGAGCGGAGGAGCGGAGGAGCGGAGGAGCGGAGGAGCGGAGGAGCGGAGGAGCGGAGGAGCGGAGCTCCGGCCTAGGGAATTCCTCCCTAGGCCTGAGATGGATAATGACTAAGTCGGAGGACTAGAACTGTTATGAGGACTTAGGGTGAAGGCTAGTGCGAGGACTAATATGTGTATGATATTCAGACTGAGGAAATACAGGAGTATCTACTGGGGTTTATATACTAGAGGCAAGTCTGTGCAGATCAGTAAGCAGAGGGGTAAGGCTATGTACGAGCATGTGGAAATGTATTAGAAAATAAGACGGATCATAGGAAATGAACTCGGAGATGAAATGAGGTACGGAAAATGAGGAAGTCTAACTCAAGAAGGAACATACAAAGGGATAAGGCATGGAAGATAGATGCGGGTCGGATCCGGATGTCCAGAGATGAATGCGTGATAAGTCTGGATCCGGAACGCAAGGAAGATAGACGTGGGTCGGATCCGGATGTTCGGAAGTCCAGAGACAGGTGATTACCATAAGGGGATGGGCGCTGATTTAAGGTTTGGGTTTGGACATGACAGATAGGTCGGATCCGGAGATCTGGAGATGTGGATATCAGATCTGGCATCCGGATATCAGATGCAGGAGTACAGGGATCCGGACGGATAGAGGATTGGGTCTGGAGACATGGACAGGAGGTCCGGAGGTCCGGATGAGGCGTGGGAACGTCGTCGGATGTTGGTCCAGAATGCGGGATATGACAGAGTGCAGCAAGGATCTGGTAGTAGGCGCTGAAGGCGCTACTGGTTGGCTGATGTGGAGCGCGTGAAAGCGCAGGTGCGCGCGACGAGGCACGGGAAAGCGAAGGTGCGCGCGTGTGTGAGCGGAAATGAGAGAGAGTAAGAGTGAGTTTGCTTAAGTGATGATTAGATATTAGATGAGGTGAGAGATGCAAGCTGAGAGACGAGGTGCCAAAGAATAGATTGCAACTATATTCTGCTAGGTAGTAAGTGGGAAAGTGGGAGGTAAAGTGGAAAGTGAGTTAGGTGAGTAATATTATGTACTGCTGGCGCTTATATATGGCGCCTAAGCGCTGTCATGCGGAGCCGAAGCGCTACCGAGTGAGGTATGTAAAGATATATGTAAGTAAGGGTCCATGATAAGAATAAAGGTGGTATGATATGCAAATAAGGGCAAATGGAAATACACACACTAGAGAACTTGGTGGACAGTGGATGGATGCTTCCAGATGGCGGGCGCTATAGGGCGCTCAAGCGCGCGTATACATCGTAAAGCGCGGGAAGTCATGCGCACGTGCTGCGCATTGCACGGGAAAGCTGCGCCTCGTAAGGGAATAGCTGCGGAAAGCATGCAGAGTGATGCTACAAGTTCGTGCCATGTACTCCCTAGTGAAAACTGCCATATCACACAATGTGAGGCATGAGTCTCTACAGTGAATATTCTAGTATGAGCGATATTCAAGGTGCCTTGATAGTCACCTAACTGGCATTATAAGCCGGTGGCATTACAATGGCCCTTACTGTTAAGAACGTGCTCAAGGGTCGGATCCGAAGGGCTTGGCTTCAGCTCGTGCGCTGCGCCCCTTACCCGAGTACGTGCCCCTACTTCCGAAGGCTGTCGAACGATGTCCGGAGGGCGTCGGGCGATGTCCGGAGTCCGATGTCCGATGCGCGGGAATTCCGGCGGACGTTCGGGAACAAGAGATAAGACTAATCCGGACGAAGTCCGAACTAGAAAGGAAACAGCGGAGGACTACCAAAGGTAGAGGCGGAGGTGACAAGTCTATAGGAGTCAATCCTAAGACGAGCGGAGGTCGATGAGAGAGAAACTCAAGTCGGACGGAGGAGAGAATGAGCAGAGTCTAAGATGATATTCGAACTAAGGATGTACATAGATTCTACAGGGTTTATATACTACTGAGGACTTATCGGAGAACAGAGATGCGCAGTCCGAAGCTATACGAAGCTGTGGACGGAGCGTATAGAAAAATCAAACGCTAGTCTATCGGAAAATAGTAAATGAACCCGGAGATTAGAACAGATGAAAATAAAGGCGGAAATGAAATGAGGTACGGAAAATGATATGGTCTAACTGGAGTAGGAACGTACAAAGGGATAAGGCACGGAAGTTAGACGCGGGTCGGATCCAGACATAGATAGACGTCGGCCGGATCCGGACTTCCGGAAATGATGTGTGTGATAGGTCCGGGTCCGGAACGCGGGATATGACACTTACCTTTTTTCTGACATAATTCTTGGAGGTCATCTATGTTAGGGGCTGCAAGGACAAGGTCTATGTCTTTAAGTGCAAGAATGACACCTGCAACCAGTCTTTCAGCTTTAGGCCTCCCAAATGGGCCACCATATTAACACCAGGTAGGAAGCTAGGGTATGCATGGATGCATGTACCTTTGAAGTCATTGTTGACTTAATTATGTACATTTCTTACTTTGGTTACTCAAATTTTGTCACTTTATATATATCTTAGCTTTAGGCAATAATGTTTGGTTGTTTTTTAATGAAACTTTGGTAGATGCACTTCGTGGATTTTAGCAAATATTGTGAATATTGTGAACATAGATTTCACATGACCATGTTTGTAATATTGAGTTTTTCAACAATGAAGTCTTGTCCAACAGTACATTCTGCAAACTTGTACCAGCCTGCATTTCTGTTATTGTCTGATATAATAGCCAGCTGGACTCTTGTTTTTAGTGATGTGTTGAATGAACATAAGGATTCCTCTATGACAGCTAAAGGAAATTCTGCCATCAGGGCCTGCATCCTCAAGACAATCAAAGATGCTATAGGCAGCAGTGAAGTAGCCAAAGACCCTTGTGTCATATTTTCTGAGAAAAATCTATGTAAGGTGAGCTTTTATAATTGTGTTCTATACTAATCTAATCAATATAGGCTATTTGTGCCTATTTTTTGGACTTCTGGAAGATGATGAGGATTGCAAGATAGAGGAAGAAATTATTAAGGGAGGGACTAAGGACAGATTTACTCCAGATGCTGTCACTGTAAAGATGGTGAGATAGCGGGAAGATGATAAGCTTGAGGATGCTGGCAAGTACAAGACAGAATTCTCTGGTTTTGATGACATCCAAAAATTATTTAAGGATGAATTTGCAGAATATGACAAGCAGTACAGAGATACCTCCAACCCAAAGTCTATTAGTCAGAGGATAAGATTGGCCTGCATGTGACACTAGGTCATGTCCCCTAAGGTGAAGAAGGTACTTAAATGAGTTGCAGCAAAATAGAACCAGGAATGACCTCCTGCAGATACCAAGAACAGGTATTTTTTTCCTAGCACTCTATTAGCATACATGCTACATAACTCAATAATACATCAACAGATACCATACTCATAACCAGAAAAAAATAATAGAGGACTTTATGGACATGGTTCAGATAACTATGAGATTGCATGTCATCATCCTTGCAGCCTATGACTGAGGTAAGGGAAAGGCTCCTAGAACTAATGTGTAAGTGTTTTTGATGCTTTATATTATTAATAATAACAGACTTGTTTCTAAAGCTGGGAGACTTTGCCTCAAAAGGCCAAAAACATTTTACTCGGGTAACCAAAGACAATTGGAAATAGGCAGAACATGCTCAAGATCATCTTGCCAACTGACTCCTTAAAGTAGAATATAGTAATGTCTCTTTTAATTTTTAAATCTAATATGGTAGCTAAGATTCTAACAGCTGATGGAGAGGACGACAATGAAAATGATCTCCCAGATCTAACTATTGAGGTCGATGATAATGGTTATCCTTGCCTACCCAAAGGCTTTGAATCTCTCAAGCTCAAGCACAGGCAATAGCTTGTTCACACAGTCTTTCAAAAGGCCTACAATTTGTTCTATGTGATTTTATCATTTACTCACTTGCTCTAGCTGTTATTACCAACAATTTCTGGGCTCCATGCCCTGGAGTGAGATATTTAGTGATCCAAATCACTACCTTGATTCAGGATGCATCCCTGAGAATGTTATCATCAGGGATCCTTCCCACCTGCAAAAGGACACAATCACTACGATATAATCCCACTGGAAAGATTGTGCTAGTCATGATATCTCAATTATATGTTTTGTTAGGTATAGGCAAGCTGATTTTTATTATGCTTACACCAAAAAGAGAGCTGCAAAGAGCAAAGCAGGAAAGAAGCCTGACTATGTTGAAGTCTTCTCAGATGAGGAAGGACTCTTGAATAAGATCAACAATGATAAAAGCCCTTCAGATGAAGTTGAAGTTGAGGTGGAGACTTTGACTATTTGTTGAGACCATGCACAAAGGGTAGGACTGATTCCAAGGGGCTTGGCTTCAGCTCATGCGCTGCGCCCCTTACCCGAGTATGTGCCCTTAACTTCAGAATGAAGTCCGGAGAAAGTCCAGTGAAGTCTGAAGGACTTCTGGAGGAGCGTGGGAAACTTCGGAAGGACTTTCCGGACGAGTGCAAGAAACTTCTGGATGAGTGCAGGAAAGTTCTGGAGGAACTTCTGGAAATTACGATGGAGTTTTGTCCTGACAGGGATATGTGTAATGGCTACTCAGGACAAGTCCTGAGTAGAAGCAAACAGAGGAAAGGCTGCAAGGACAAAGTCCAAAGCAGAATAGGTCCAGAGGACCGTGGGAAAGTTCCGGAGGAACTTCCGGAAACTTGGAGGAATGGTGGATCGGAGGAGTGGAGGAGTGGAGGAGTGGAGGAGTGGAGGAGTGGAGGAGTGGAGGAGCGGAGGAGCGGAGGGTTTATATACTATGGAGGACTTAACGGAGAATCAGTCAGTGCAGTCCAAAGCTATGCGAGGCTGTGGACGGAGGGTATAGAAAAGTCAAACACTAGTCTATCGGAAAATAGTAAATGAAGACGGAGATGAGGACATAGGAAAATAAAGGCGGAAATGAAATGAGGTACGGAAAATGAGTATAGTCTAACTTGAGAAGGAACGTACAAAGGGAAAAAGCACGGAAAATAGACGCAGGTCAGATCCAGATGTTCGGAAGTCCGGAGACAGGTGATTACCATAAGGGGATGGGCACTGATGTAAGGTTTGAGTTTGGACATGACAGATAGGTCGGATCCGGAGATCCAGAGATGTGGATATCAGATCTGGCGTCCGGATATCAGATGCAGGAGTACAGGGATCCGGATGGATAGAAGATTGGGTCTGGAGACATGGACAGGAGGTCTGGAGGTCTGGATGAGGTGTGAGAACGTCATCGGATGTTGGTCCAGAATGCGGGATATGACACTATTGCTAATTCCAGCCTCAAATACCATCTTGCTAGGAACATAAATGTAAACAGACATAGTAGTGCAGCCAGCCATTGCAGTCAAGCTCACTGTTGACAGAGTGCCTTGCCCTTCTCTGCACCTGGTTGACCCTGTGCAATCGCCACAAAGGACAGAGGCATGTACTTCCTCATAAACTATCTAGATCTGATCAGAGCTGAAAGTGTCAGCATATAAAAGTCAATGTAGAGCTTTTTGGCCCCTTATGTGAGTTAGCTGATCCTTAGTTCGAACTTGTATACACAAAAACAACTAAATTTGATTGGGAAGAGTGTAGATGATGTGGGTTTTTATGAGCGAGCATGAATTATATACTGTATTAGACAGCTTTGAGATCAGCAACAAGAACCACCATCAAACACCTACTCGTCCATCCCATTGAGGTCAAGGAATGCAAGTGCATTAGTTTTTGAATCAGTACCAGTGCTCTTTGTAGTATGCATGAGATCCCTGCCAACAAAAGGCTCGGGGTAAGTTTAAACTGTCGAAGAAAGAAATTAGACATACTCTATTGCAGCAAAATGTCCGCCATGAGTTTGTGGAATTTCTGTGGTGTGTTCTTCTTTAGATCCTCAAGAAATTGCACATGGAAGACATAGACTTTGCTAAACTGGTTCCCCATGAAGTTGAACTTAGGCGGAGAGCTCTGGGCCTTCCAAAAGAATGCCACGTACACCTACATAGATGGTCACAATCAAGATTCGAAATATACCAGTATTAGATATCAGAACACATTACCAAAGTACTGGTCAAAGTGACCATAGGGATGGAGACCTCAGGCCGATTGGCTTTGTTCTTCATGATTTCAGTAAATTTATGTGCAAATACGCCACTGACTGACTTTGATCCGTTGAAATAGCAACCCTTCATAATGTTCATGATGATATTGCCCTGGTAAGGTTTGTGTCGCACTGGTTTTGGGGTGTTGTCGTCCTGTAATATATAAGTTAGTATAACACACAGCCAAGGCTTCAAAATGTACACTGAACTGCATGGAATAGTGGTAGCTGTGGTTATCGATGAAGAGTTTAGCAGAGGCAGCGCTATCAGATCCTAAACAAAAGTAGGCAGTTACTTGACTGCAAGCGTCGTCCTTGAGTTCACCACGAAACAGTGGTACGCGAGCTTCGACCTGCAAATGCATTATTAGATGAGGGTATAGTTGTTTCAGCGATGTTAACTTCCCAGGCTTGCAAGAGCTGATGTGTATGCATCATTATTTTTGATCTCCATTTTGATAGATGTTGTGCCACGATCATGAACTGACTTTAGGAGCGCATTGCATGAAAAGGAAGTTTTTTCTATCAACTCCGGGTAGCCATCAATGAAAGTCATATAGGCCTTTGCTTCAAGGATGCCACCTTGAATTACATTTCGAGTTTTGGTATCCTGGTCTGTCATTTTCACCTTCCCGTTCTTCACCTTCCCATTATCGGTTAGGATGAGCTTTGCATTTGAGGATCCGGAGTGGCGTGAAGATGATTCACTACCCATGCGCTCAGCATCAGATGAATCTTGCTCTGACTTCACCTTTATGATGTCAGCTTGCATAAGGTGTGAAGTCGATGTACTGACAAAGATACTAGTATCTGAGTCAGACTTGGGTGCCGGTTCATCACGAGACTCTTCTGATTCACTGAGGAGATCATCTGCCCACATAGGTGTCTGAAAATTCAGGAAATTAGAACAAATCTTCAAAACAGGATACTCTTACCTCTGTTGCTCGTTTGCGAGCACGTGCAAACTGCTTGTCCACCTAGTAAGAATATTTATTTATTGATCAGTTCAAGTTCAAGATTAGTTCACACACTTACAGTTACCGCTTGGTTCTTTGCCTTGGTACTTGAGACAAAACTCGGAATCTGTCACATGATGGTGTGTGACTCAGATTTAGATATGACTAAGCTGACGAACCTCTGTTGATAGCGTCTTCACAATAGATTTGGGGTCTTTGAAGTCGCTCAAACTTGAGTCAGTCCCATCAAAATTGGTCTGATCGCTGTCATCATCTGCTTCTTCACTCTCACTCTGTTCTACTGATCAATCTTCCTTGATAGACTCGAGTTGATGAGTGTGGGTGTGGCAGCCTGAAGACTTTTTGGTGTGCAGCCACGCTCGACCAATATCAGTGAGTATGAAAAGCTGTACCATATCATCAATAACTTACAGTGTTTGTATTTCACAGCCTTGGCTTCATCCTCTGATGTCGCAGGTGAGATATCTAATACTAGTGTTACTAAGTGGGACTCGATGATTCAGGGAGGTACTAATGACAATGTTTCTTGTTTGGTTTAGACTTGGTTCATGGTTGTGAACCCCACCATGGTTCTTCAAGTTGTTCAGAATCAGAATCTGGTGACCGGTGCTGGGTTTCCACCTCATCTTCCTCTGCCACTGGTGAGACATCTACTAATTGTTACTAGGTATTTCAAGATTCAGACAGGCACTGACAATGACTCTGACTCTTCATTGGTTTAGGCTTGGACCACGGTTGTGAACCCCATTGTGGTTCACCTTCCGCTGAACTCGCTGTGTCACGTTGAGAACTTGCCTTGTCGTGTTGGGAGCTCACCTTGTCGTGTTGGGAGCTTGCCATGTCATGTTGGGAGCTCGCCGTGTCATGTTGTGAACTCACTGTGTCGCCTTGTGAACTCGCAATGTCATGTTGCTGCCGCTTAGCGCACATCTTGGGTGGCAGCCAGACTATGTTCTTGCATGTGAGTTTTATATTTTTCACCAAATTTTAATTGTACTGACCTGCATCATTTAGAGCCTTCTTCTTTGCATTTCAGACACCTGCGTACATGCAGGCGGCTGTAGTGAGTCATATAAATGTCATCAAATGTGAGCACATACCCTGAGTGGGATGATTTTTGCTGCTCATGGCATGCTAATAAGATTGTAGGTAGAATTAAACAAAAGTGGTTTTTGAACGAGTGGGGGAAAGGTTGAAGGTACAAAAAAGTAAACAGAGTGAACGTGGTTTTAGAATGAGTAGGGGAAAAGGTTGAAGCCAAAATTTTTTGGGATGCAAGGTTTTTACGACTTTGCACTTTCATAATACACTAATACATATACATTCCAGGGTGATCCCAATCCCAATCCACTACTCATTTACATTACAAGGCCATGCCAATCTCATACTCAATGGTACTGGTACCCCATCCAACACATATCATCCGCTCAGCACTAATTTTCATCCAGACAATCCTTGTACTGGACAATCTTGTATTTGCACTGGAGCGCCACTATACCAATGACAATGAAATGGTTCGACTATACAGTGACATGCACACAGGTAAATGGTGGTGGAATACTCAGGTGAGAATTTTGTGTTGTATTACTTGTTTATCGACTAACCCTGATATGAATAGAAAAAGCTTGACAAGCAGCAGCCAGGTGCAACCATCATACCTGTCATCATCTCGACTGACAAAACTCAAGTGACTATGTTCCGCAATAAAACTGCATACCCTGTATATCTCACCATTGGCAATATTCCAAAGGATATTCATCACAAACCGTCTCGGCATGCTCATGTTCTCCTCGCCTATCTTCCCACCACTCGTCTCAAACATATTACCAATAAAGCATTATGTCATCAAAGTGTGGTGAATCTATATCATGCATGCATGGCACGTGTATTATTGCCACTAGAAAAAGCTGGTCTTGATGGCTTGGCAATGTGTAGCGGTGATGGTATTTTGCACCACTGTCATCCACTATTTGCTTGTTTCATTGATGATTACCCCGAGCAAGCACTTGCTACTGCAGTCAAAACTATGGAATGCCCTAAATGTGATATCCCACCCAACAAACTGGAGAGTAGCACAGCACCCTTTGAAATATGTGACCTTCATGCTGTTCTTGATGCACTCGCTACCATTGATGTTGGAGACCTCGAATTCGTCCAGGCATGTTGCGATGCTGGAATCAAGCCCATTGTTCACCCATTTTGGGAAAGCTAATATATTCCAAGCTGTCATGCCCAACATTCTCCATCAGTTGTATCAAGGTGTCGTTAAGCATCTTCTAGGCTAGCTAGCACAGGCATGCGGACCGAACAAGATTGATGCGAGATGCCGAAGATTACCCCCCAACCACCATATCCGCCTGTTCATGAAGGGCATCACAGGCCTCTCTTGTATTAGTGGTACCGAGCATGCTCAAATCTGTTGCTTTCTCCTTGGTGTCATTATTGATGCTCAACTCCCCGGCAATATGTCTTAAACACATCTTTTACGAGCAGTCCGTGGTCTCCTGGACTTCCTTTATTTAGTGCAGTATCCGTGCCATAGCTCAGAGACACTATCGCTCCTTGACGAAGCTCTCGTCCTATTCCACGACAACAAAGAAATATTCATCGACCTTGGTATCCGGAACCATTTCAATCTCCCTAAACTTCATGCCACTTGTCATTATGTATCAATGATTCGCTTTTTCAGCACAATGGATAACTACAATACTGAATATACTGAATGACTTCACATCGACTTAGCTAAAGATGCCTACCGTGCAACAAATTGCAAGGACGAGTTTATGCAAATGACTCGGTGGCTCGAACGCAAAGAGAAGATCATGTGCCATGCAAAATTTATTCATTGGCGACTTCACAACAATGTTCCACACCATCCAAGTCCTCGACCAGCAAGTCTATCATTTGACCAAACACAAACTTTGGCCAAGCATCCAAGTGCCAAAGCTGTATCTTTTCGTACTTTAATCTCAGATTATGGTGCCACATACTTTCGCGAGGCTCTCGCTTGCCACATTGTACAACAAAATCACTTAGACAAATCACTTTCTCACAGTTGTCTCAAAGCCCTTACTGCAAATGTACACCTACCATTCCATTTGGTTGCTGTGTACCACAAGATCAAATGGCTATCTGTTGATACTCGCGGCCACGGTGACCCACTCGCTACAGTGGATAGTGTATATGTCATGCCCTGTCGCACCAGCACTCACCAAAAAATGATGCTCTACCTGCGCGTTTTGACATGGCGCTTATAAATAATGGTACTGGACAGTCTGTGGGTGTCGAAGGTGAGGCTTAATACTCTCATCTTTTGTTACCTTTGCTTATACAATGACTCATACTTTGCAGGTTACCGGGTTGGTCAAATTCAGGCAATTTTCTCCATTCGAGAGAGAGATGCGCAGTTCCTATTTCCTCCAATGTATCAACCTCCAAAACACCTCGCTTACATCGAGTGGTTCAAGCTGTTTCCTTTGACACCAGATTCAAGACATGGCATGTACAAAATCACTCGTTCAGTCTGTTCAGGTGAGAGACTCGCTAGTATAATCCCTGTTTTGAATATAGTCCACAGTATACACCTTATTCCAAAGTTTGGACCAGTCGTGCCTCATCACTGGACGAGCAACAACATTCTTGAGGAATGTGATGCATTTTTTGTTAATTGTTACATAGACAGGCATAGTTTTGTGACTCTTAGGTAGTACTCTATAAGTTCATGATAATTACATCTATGTTATGAATAATATCGAGTTTATGTATATCTAGCTCTAATTTGTGATAGTTTATCTGACTTAGAAGTATTTTGTCTAATTACATCCAAGTTAGCATGGGAGGTTTTCCCTGATGTAGGTGCTGAAGGCGAAGTTAGATTGAGGGACTGTGTGAGCCCACTGGCTTACCTGAGTTTCTATAATCAGCACATGTAAATACTGTCTGAGACACATGAGCTTTTCAGTATCACTTTTGGTATAAGTTAAAGGACAACAGTCTTGACTACTTATAGACTCATTGAATGTTGACTACACTGTGGTAGTATGAGTACATTTGGAAGGCATACATACCTGGGGTATGAACTCAGACAATATCACATATGACTGCCACTCATCTTTAAATGTGGGCACATCTCTTAAACAGACTAAGTCAAACCAAACACCTTGATATAGTACACTAGGCCAGTGAACTAGATCTTGAAACTGAACCTTAGACTAGCCTGATTGTAGGTGCGGAACCAAAACATATTTTTGTGGCTCTGGGCTCTAGCTGATGGATATCAAGAGTAGGATCAACATAATTCCATGAAACCAATGCTGCTATCAAGGAAGTGGAACAAAAGAGGAAGAGATAAGAATCACGTTGTAAATTCATCACCATCAAAAAGATAATCAATCAGGCGCTGCACGACCTATGTAGGGAATCGCCAAATTTTCTTGTATCAAAGAACATTCACTCACTTCCACATTGACGCTATTGCCAATGAGCCGGTACTGTGATTTTAGAGATATGGTGGGCGGCCACAAAAATTCTTGGTTGGACTCTGGCTGCTCGAATCTAAAGATCTTCAGGAGTTCGCTGGGAGTAAAATACCGAAGGTGTAGCTGATCTAGAATACGGACGGCATCTTCAACTCCCCGCGATTGAGCTTCAAGAAACCTGTCAAAGACCTCGGTGGTCTGCCTTACTTTAGTGCAAAATTCAAGTTTCAACATTACATCTGTAAACTCACATCAAGATCCTCATTCACCTGAAGTATGGAACCTGCACGCTCAACAAGTTGCGTATAACCTGAAGTAAAATTGGTAAATGAGATAGCCAGCGCTAGAGTAAACAAACCCCTCGTGAAACAACAGGTCCGCCTATCAGATGGCAGTACGATGTCGAACAAACGACCCCACTTTGAAAGTACTCGATCGTGGATGTTGTGAAGTAGAGGAATTCCATCCTCGTGTGTAGGTTCTAAATATTCCTTTAGCGGGTGTACATGAATGTCTAATGCAGTTCCTGGTATCGTCTCGTGAACTTGGTCGTCATGAAGGCCAGAGAACCGGAGGGGGGATAATTTCGCAAGAAGGTAGTATCGTAGTCGCGAATTTGGGATACCAAACTGTACAGGAGTGAGAAGAAATTCAGCAACAACGTAGCCGAACCGTTGCAGGGCATCAACTAAATGTCTCCTTGTTATCGAGTCCTTGTCAATGGCACATCAAGATTGGACAATGTCCACCGTGGGATGATGTAGACTGACCTGGAAGCTTGCTACATTCTCGATGAGTATGTAGCGAGGCTGAGAGTCCTGGGCAGTGAGGTCCGGTAAAACATGATCGATCAAATGAAGAAACGACTTTGCTCTAGGGTCGGCCTCTCCTCTAGCAGCAGGGTTCAAAATAGTATAAGGTTGGCATGGCGGGGATAAGAGCCAAACATCAGCATGCAGGTGTAAAAGATCTGCTGCAGAAAGGGTTGATATGTCTATCTACGAAAAGGACACACGACCTCGCGCAGGTCAATGCCAGAGAATCATGTATCAAAGGTCGACCTACCCTGGTAATTATTTCGGCGCCATAGTTAGCTGCATATACCTGACATGCAGTTTGATCCCAGTCGAACGCTTTCACAGGGGAACATGCCACACAACTTTGGCGAAGTGCGAGATGCAGGCCACCTACGAAGTGATTTTAAGAAAAGCTCGGTCACATCGATATCCATGAAGCACCTATGCCACTATAGAATTCAATGGCGCGCACGGGCATGACGAAGTTTAGAGCTGATTACAGTAAAATTGAAGGTTCAGAAGGTTCAGTGCTAGTTCAGTGTGTCAAAGGAGGATTTGCAACTACATCCAAACTGTGGTTATGTAATCGTCGAGGTTGTAAACTAATTAGAAGATAGACTCATTTGTCTGCAAGTTCACCTTTAATCCCTCTTCAATCCAGTTGTGAAGGGCTGGTCAAGACAGAAAGGAAGAGCCTATCGAATCTTCATAGTCTGATCGATCTTTCGCAGCTCTTGGTCCTGTTTCCGATCCTTGGCGTATCCCTGAGGCGGCAGCCAGAGTCCCATGGTCGTGTCTGACAAATCCGCAAAAACGAGCAACGAGGTCGCACCTACTGTGACGGGAAACGGTATGCCGCATCTTAGCGTGCTGAGGACACCAGATATGCCAGAGACAATGTGGCTCTCGCACCTCACATACCACCAAACCCCTGGTTCAACGAATGAGTACACCGAGAGGGGGCGTGCATCATCAGATGATGCTAGGTGAGTGCATGGTACATACAGTACGGATACGTAATTTGACACACCTGATAGTCCAACAAGGCCCGCAAATGGCTTGCTACCTCCCTTTTCAACTCAACATGTACATCTTCCTACGCCGCTGAGGTGAGCATGTCCGCTTTGATATTTACCCTATCTGTTCACTGTCGCAAGTCGCATTTGCGAATTTGCAAATCTTTAACTTTCACTCACTCAAGGAAATTCGATACGCGTGTCCACGCAAGACGCTAACTTTACTCTTCTCACAGCCCTAGTAATCTTGGTGCATATGGGCAATCGAACATTACTTCCAAAGGTCAAATGTGAGTATGTTATTTAACTTCCTAAAGGAAACAAAGCAGGAGTAATTATGTCGTACAGCTTGCTGGAGGACGTCGTGCCAACAGATTTTAGATCCATCTCGTGAGTGTGACTGACTGGTTTGAATCAATGTGAACTAGATATCCGATGTAGATATCCTGCTGCTTCATCTCCAACATTTAGGCCCCATCAAATGATCACACCAGATTCCAGGTATGACTTGATTTGGTCTTATGTGTAAAGTCATTATGTTTAGTTTCAGCCCACTTGTGGTTCGTTCTCGTGCAAACGGACCTCACGGAAAGAACGACGAGAGAAGGTATGTATAACTTATAGGTCCATTTCCATGAATGTTGCTGAATCCCATTAGTCATTCGCCCTCTCGGATTATAAGAACGCCGCCCACAAAGTTGGTTCATTAACAAATGCCGACTATATTGTAATACTCAGCACTTGCATAGTTCCACAAATGGACCGGTCGGGGGCACGGCAGAACCTTCTCGGCGTCCTCACATCTATGTCGCGCAAGATAATGCATACAGTGCGACCACGCAACAATCAATGGAGGTCGAGAATGCGACTCCAAATAGAAAGCGCCCGGCATCTCAAGCTTCATCCACCGACTTCCTACTTCCGTCTAACAGTATTTCTTTACCACCTTCCGCATCACAGGAACTCAGCGAAGAGGTCGGAGGGGAGATGGCTCGGATCCGTGCACAGTTGTTAGAGAATCAGATCAGCCTCACACGAGAAGCGGAGGCACGGAGGCCTGATTACCTCAAGCGTGCAAAGCGTATAGAGTCACCACCCCCTCTTGATGTAGAAGGCATAGAAGGACAACGGGCAGCCGCAACGATCGGAGTAACGGAGAGTCCTATCAAAGGCCGGCGGTTGATGTTATTTCAGCAAACTTCTGACGAAAGCTTTGAAGAAAGTTTGATGGCAGGAGGGTATGATCGCTATGTATGTACCGATTCCAGTTGGCCTCGGCGGACATGCTGACCCTCTCACTACTTCACTGTTCAGCGCACGGACCTACAGCGACCTGCGGATCCTGGGGCTCTGGATCCTTCTGGAGAACCTGAAGCATTCCCTTTGGTCAGCGAGCAGGAGCTCCGCCAACAGAACAGATTGTCTGCATTCCGGAGTTCTTCCCATGTTTTCTCCTCACGGTCAAACCTAGCTCCAGTTGAGGTAGAAGGATATGGCAGAGTTTTGATGGATATTGGACCCTCTGATCCACCCAGTCCAAATAAACTTAGTCCATCGAAGAAGAAGCGTTACCGGAAAAAGAAGAAGACACCTTCCATGGATGAATCAAGAGACCAAAGGACCTTCCATTCGCAATTGGAAGCAAATGCTGATGTTCCAAACTGGCCGGACGCCCAATTTCCGTGGCGCTTGCGTTCGGAGCAGTGCGATGATTTTTCCAAAATGGAGGAGGAACAACGCTTGCGGTACATTGAAAATTTCTTCAGCCGGGATTCGGATGATGAAGACGACGAAGAGAGTTTGTTTCAGAATCAAACAGTGCGTTCCGGGTTCGGTAGCGGTAGAGGCAAATCGTACCCTCTTCTCGCTCGTTCGCAGAATCGAGATCGTGGTCCAACAACGGTATCCGTTGTTCCGAGCGATCCAGCTGATGCCAGAACTGCATTGCTATCGAAGCGATCAATTAGACAGTTCTCGTTCCGACGAGCGCAGCGTAAACCCACCGACGATGACATTGATGATGAAATCGTTTGTATTTGTCGAGGCAGCGATGATGGCCGAGAGTTGGTTCAATGTGACGAATGTCATACTTGGTACCATCTACAATGCATTGGCATTCGAAGTGTCGCAGACTTGGGCAGGGAGGAAGATCCCTGGTTTTGTGGTAGTTGTGCCAAAACACCCCCTCCAAATATCTCGCCGTCATTCGAGCCGACGTTCGTACCAACTGAAGAGAAGCTAAGGCATGACAAAAGCTACGACCCACCCTTCTTTCACGTGGGCCTTAACCCCTCGCCAGCAGTCCCATGGAACAGCTCTCCACGCCCACCCATGACCCCGCCTGGCCGAAGGGCGGGCCCTTATTTTTCCTCTGGTTCTTCCTGGGATGAAGCATCTTCCCAGCCTGGTCCACAAACACCACAACTCTCTTCTCAAAGTGTTCGTGTGTACACAACGACACCTGGTTGTGCTGAGCCATTTATGGCTGACGAATCTCCATTTGATCCAACATCGACACCTTCACGCGGCATCAGGTTTGGCGCTCCCTTTGCAACACCAAAGAATAATTTTTGGCAGGGACGCGGTCCTGAGCTGTTCCACACGCCCACTAGACCTAGTGAGGGCATGTCAAACCGTCGGTTTGGACACCATTTGTTGGGAGGTGCAGATGATTCGCAACTTCCAATTACCCATCTCTCCTCTGGCCCTGACATCACACCAATTGGTCGTAATTTCGCCCCTGTCGGGCGTCTCGCAGAATCTCCACTGGCTGCGAAGAATTTGCGACGCGGGCCAGGCGGTGGACGGTTTCTGGACGAGCATTTTGACAGCGCGAGAGGAGGACGACATGGTTGATGATTCGCTTGTGCTTTCGTGAGATTGTATGTACTGCTTTTAACTCTAGTTGCTTTTGAGTTTTATCCTACTTGCCACACCCACTGTGATTATTGGAAACATACATTCCTTTATGTTACTGTATGAACGATTGTCTTTGCTTACATGAGGCTTTTGCGCAACTGCAGTGACTAAGACAATATAAACAACGTTGAAATTCGACAATGCAATGTTCGGCCCTTGGAGTAGCCAAGCTTCAGTGGCATGTGTATTGACCTTGTCACCATGACTGTGCTGGGAAGAGCGGCCGGAAGATGTCGAAACAAAACTTAACCGACCGCACAATCCGGCAAGGTTTGTTCCCAGGGATTTTCCCGACACTCCGTGAAACTCCGCGGCATTGATATACGTTATAAAATCGATTTGGCTTTTGTTCGTTTCCACTGAATCCTCCAATGACAAGAAGCCCGTTGAGCGGCCTCGGGCGGCTCCAGCCAAGGTTGTTGCAAGGGTCGGCCTGACTCGGCTAATTACAATATACTAGAAAAGTCCAATTTTTCAAGGTTCGAAATAGCGCCGTTGTAGTGACGGTCTCCCAGAGATTCCCACGACAATGATGGAATTCGATATAACTTGTAGCAACGGAAGAGATGAACTCGGTATTGCGGCCTGCACATTTAATTCTTCACCACACTTTCTTCCGCCATGTCTGTTCTTCAAGTTGCTACTGTACTGGCCAACCTTGCTGCAAAGGCACATTCTACGATGGCCTACGCTGGCTCATTAACTTCTAATGACTCAGAATGCTCCTCTGACGCGTCCTCTCTGGCAGAAGGTATTACTGTTGAGAGACATATACTGGATCTTTTTTCTGACGAATTTTGTAAAGGCTCTTCCCCAACATCTGATTCTCGCCTCTATCTTGCCTTACCCCCACGTACCAACGAACATCTGGCAGTTCTATTGCCAAGGAACCTCTGGAAGGTGCAGTCCAATGCTGACACACTTCGTTGTTCACTATACTGACCTCACCGCACTTAGCCCGATTCTCTCGCTGCTACATGTGATAATTTTTATTGCCACATCAAGTTCTCGGTCCTTGAACGGCGTCATGTGAGTTCGAATTTTACATCTTATGAGTTAGTCTGGAACGTTAATTGTACATAACAGCATTGCAGAAAGTGCGGTGGCGTTTTTTGCCACCAGTGCACCACCCGTTCAACCCATTTACTTGACGTTTCTAATCTCGATTTCCTTCATCCTCCGCGGAATGTGCCTATCTCAAATTACGATAGTCCAACGTCACCAGTTCTCGTGAAGAAGGTCTGCGATGACTGTTGGGACCAGATCTACGGTTGTAATTCGCCTCGCACTCCAGACGGCAGACCATCCACTCCTATGCTTGTCAAGTCTCCGGTAGATTCTAGAGCTCCTTCTCCCAATTCGTCTGTTTGTGCATCTCCTGTGGACAGCCCAGTACCCCCCTCTCGACCCGTTCGCGTTGCCCGGAGCTCATCTCATTTCAGCACTGGACATATTCCATTACCCACTTCTGTCTTATCTCCTACTGAATTCGAGGTCCCTCAACCATCGTACGGCGAACTGGATGCATATCCACTACGGAGGTCCAGTATCATTTGTAAAGCAACAGGCGGTGGTCGCTGGGAACCCAAACATTCACCTCCCAAGATCGGGATCCGGATACCTGGTTACAAAGCACCATACGAAATCGAAATGGAACGAGAAGAACAAGAAGAACGCCGTCGTTGTCAAAATCCTGTTGTGCGAGATGGAGGTATGTGTCTGTCTGTTATCTGTGCCACTCCATCCTGAGTCAAATTGCAGAGTTTCAATATCGATTCCGGCAGGACCGGGTCGTGGCTAGTCTTCCCCGCACTGCTCTGTGTTTCTCCACTTTCTAGGTTGTCTGTTTTGTTGTTATCGGTGTATATATTGTGCGAGCTGTTGTATTCCTTCGTCGTGCATAATTTGCTCTTGACTTCTGTTTATACGTAATTTTATGTTCCATTTTTTCCATACTAATCTACTTGTTGTCCTTACAATTATTTATCATATCGCGCTTCTATATCTGACTGCATCTACGATACCATTGCTTGATTGATACACTATAGATATATACAATTTGTATACGCTCTTGCTATTCATCATACCATGTATGTCCCTAGGATCATCGAGTCCGTGCAGTGCTTCCCAGAAATTTCCTTTTCCGGAGTCACGAGAAATTTCACCCACTAGTTTTAAATTAAAATTGAGCCCTTATTACCTTCTCTTCGAAGGAGTAGGCTGGCTGACTATTCCCGTCGTAATGCTAGCCCTACGCCGCGTCCAACCCTGGGCTCTTGGTTTTGCGCAACGAAGTGCAACAAAACAAGTAGCCCTCGCATCGACAGCTGTAGACACTGACGGCTCGCATTCTCAGTCATCCGACGAACCCGTGGCACCACAAAAGCATCAGTCTCGGGCAATTAGAACACGTCGGCCTAGAATTTCGCTGCAACATCCGCGCGAATGGAATAGGCCTCTCGCATTTGGTGTTCTTCCTGCGTTCGATGAAGCACTGAAGGTCATCAAAGAAGATTCAATGGCGCTCAAGGATGAAGTAACGGCTTTGGAGGGAGCCATTGCGCGTGAAAAGGAGACACCTCAGCATGACCAGCACGCGCTGCGGGTGATGGAGGACAAGCTCAGAATTCTAGAAGTGCAGAGCGAGATCAATTTTCCTCAAGTGAGGTGGAAATGTGCTAATGGAATGGGTAAGCAAGTCCCTGACTGGACGTTGCGTATGTTCACAGTCCTTCAGCGGATATGTCTAAAGCCGTAGACAGGCACCTTTTGGAGCAGCGGTGGAGGAAAGAAGGTGCATTAGATTTGTTGGTAAGTGTGCATCAAGCAGTTCGGCAATGTTTCTCAATATTATATTTTGTAGATGGAACGTATCCACCAAATGAAGGTCGTGCCGGACGTTCTGCCTGATATCCATCCCTCGCTGGATCTCCGGGTCAACTTCCCAAAAATCAAGTCGAATGCAGGGCTTCAGGCTACGGTTTCAAAGACCGTGTACGAGTACGTTGAACCAGGAGTATTTCTTCTTCCAGAGCAGGTATGTAGAGCAGGTCATTTGCGCATTCATTCCGCTGACGGTGCCTCAAGACCGTGGAGCCTCCTAAGATATATACAACTGTTTTTCATCCAGAGGAGCGACTATATACTCTTTTAATGATCGATCCGGGTTAGTCGGTGTTGAACTACAAGTGACCGGCACTGAACCAGTAACAGATTTTCCTGATGAGACCAATAAAACATTCCAGACGTATCTACATTGGCTTCAGTGAGCAATAGGCTTTTCCTTCAATTTGTCTACTAACCTCTATTCAGACCGAATATCCCTCTTTCGAGCGTTTCTCCCTCCCCAGTGCCAAACCTGAACACTCACACTGCCTATATACCTCCTCACCCGCAACGTGGAACTAACTATCACCGCTATACCATTCTACTCCTCCCTCAACACTCCCGTCTATCTATTCATATGGTTGCGAAGGACAAGCGTACATGTTTTGACGTAAGAGCATTTATGGAGAAACATGGTCTAGATAAGAATGTAGGCGGAGGTGTCCATATGTGGCGAGAGGTTTGGAGTGAAGGAGTTCCCGCGGTTTACAAGGAGATACTCAGTGAGTTTCGCAAAGTCTCCTTCACGAATTGAGCTCACGCTTGTTCCAGAAACTGCGGAGCCGAAGTTCGGGAGGATGCCCAAAGCAGACCGATATGGGGATTTTAGAGGGAAGAAGCGGTATGTGTAACCACTCGACAGCGTGTCCTTCGGTGATTGCCAGGGAAGCAATACCTCATAACTCTGAAACTCATTGATCCAAGTGATCCCCGTTGATTCCTCCTCCCACGCGATGAATTCATATCTGTTTTATACAAAGACCGATTCTTCAGCATCATGTGTTCAGGCATTACTTTACACACGACACACATGTTAACAATTACATAAGATGGGCGCTGGTCCAGCTAACGACATGCCTTGTGTCTGGGTGACAGCGCTATCTGAGCGCTATGAACACTTGCCTAATAAGACGTGATTACTTACACGAGGTACATCGAGTTCGATGGCATCTGGTTTATGTACCACATTTCGTTACACATGTACAACAAGATGGATTCTTGAAGGAAAAAAAAACTATTTTACAGCATTCCTGCGATAGTCTACGTGTAGACGTTAATGGATGAGAATTGGAAATAAGCGTTTGTGAATGCGGTAGGGTTATCTGCGGATTGTACTGAGAGGTTTGCAATCGCACTAGACGTTGGGTGAGCACTTACTGTCGACGTAGGTCACGCAGTCTGACGGGCATCCAGAAGCAGCATAGACGGCTGAGTTGCCTGCCCAGTCGCCACCTGTACGTTGCATTAGCCTGGCATAACACGACAAGCAAGGCAAGACTCGCAGAACGTCAAATTAATGATGATGTTATTGGCATCAAAGTGAGACGCAAGGTCACAGTCGGTGTTTGGGAAGTAAGCGGCAGGAGTTCCCTAGCAGTCGGATCGTACGTGAGCAGTTAATCCAACAGATGTAAGGACTATTACCCAGAGGTTGGTGTCGATGCTCGACGCACCGGTAGTAGCATCAAAGGGAGCAGATTCATCGTCTCTCTCCCAGAACCAAACCTGGATATAGTTATTTGTGCGCTCCATAGCATACCTGCAGAAGAGCCTGTAAGGCGCAAGAGTATTAATCATAATTTGCAGTAACGCACCATCCTCCATTGATACTGTTGAATCCTGGACCAAAACTATTGTAGTCTTCTGTTAACTGTACACCACAACCCGAATTTCCATCGACTGTTGCATTTTAGTTAGAGACTGAAGTGAGCAATGGTGGCCTCACCCGCAGTGTCACAGTTGGTTGAAACTGTGGTGCTAAACAATTAGAACCTTAGTCGGACAGTTTTGTGCGATGCCAATTTGGAACATACCCTAACTGGGTAGTGGAATTTGGCATGGTGCAGTCTGCGCAATAATAGGAGTTGAAAATAGTACATCCATAAAATTATACTGAACCAACTAGGGCTAGTGTGGAGTGTCGACTGGTTGGGCTCCACATTGTTCACGCCTTCGACAATATCGACTTCACCCTAGTAAAAGGGAACTATGTCAAAATTAGAGCTATCATACGCAAGGAGAAAAACAAACACCAGCAGGCCAATTGGATTCGTTAGTTTCCCAGACAGCCTATGATCCGTTACTATAAGCCTATTCCGTCGGTGTCAACTACTTACAGGCCATGTTCTGTGTTAAGAGAAATGCGCAACACAATTCCTCGGATGAACAAAAGAGGCTCACCCACATCCTTCAGGCATATGTTGCATATCAAAGCTGCCATCGAAATTCATCAGTCGGTGAGATGTTCGTGAGGGATCACCTACACAACAACGTGCTGTGTGTACTGGCTGTTGGATCGAATCCTGACGGAATTCCGGCCCGGCCCGCTGGGGGTCAAGACTGTAGTGTCATCGGCGCGCATGATGAAGGTGTTGCTCGTGGAATAAGTCAAGTTAAGCATCTGCGCCGTTGACTGGTTCACATATGTCCTGTCATCAACTAAGAAACGGAACAAATTGCGTGCGGGGTAGACATACACACGCCCATCAGTTGGGTCGGGGATAGCCTCGAAATTGAAAGAGCTGTAGAAGCCTTCGCCAACGATGTTGTCGTTGAGAGTATAGACTGCACCTGCCAAGGCCGATCCGGCAAGCGAAGCAAGAGCGACACTGACATTAACGATGTTAAGCTTCATGGTGAACGATAGCCTGTAGGACGAGAGTACGATCTCCTGCCAGGTCTCTGTATTTAAACCTATCCGTGACTCCTGACGGGTGGGGAGGGGAGCTCTGAGCTCGTGATAAGTTCATGTGAAGCATACCATGCGGCAGAGCGGGAGTCATGGCAGCCCCAGGTTAGGAGACAACCCTTTGGAAAGAACGAAAATTATTCCGACCTATTGGATTTGGCACAAGTGCCAGCATGATAGCGAAGGAGCCCCCTTGACCCATGAGAAGGAAGCATGTGGTAGGGGCGGAGAAACATCCAGACACAAAGTTGCGCAAAAGAGACCGTCGGTCACGAGAAAGCTTTGAATAAAAAGGTGCAGCGTCCGACTGCCGACCAGTTAGTGTCTTGAAACACAGTACCTATTGTGGGCACCATATCGATCACCTGCATGACTTGTCATATGGACCCGCTTTTTGTGAAATAGGAAATTTGACCGCTTCAGTCGCGAGTGCTGTGGAGAACTAGTTTAAAATTGTACAATTAACTCGTGACACCATTAACATCCTAGAGTAGCAGAGGACTCAAAATAAAACGCACCACAGAGATCATCTATTGGCGGGGCCCTCACTGAGAACTCTTGACAATGTGTGTGCTATTCCGACAACATTCCGATGCCTGTGCACCTCTCATCTTAGCCCAACTGGGCTCAGACATCCGAGGAAGAATTGTTGAATCGTGTGACTCGGATTTATCACAAGCTGCATTGATGGCGCGGGGGTTGCATGCGTATAGAGACGTATAGATAGCATGGAAGGTTTATTACTGTAAAAAGCCGGGGCAGTTGCTGAGTGCCATGATACATTCAGACCGAAGTCTCCTTGGAGGAGTCATAATCAGAGACATCAAGAGATCATACCCTTTCATACTTAATTATGCCCGAACGATCGTAGAAATAAGGCGGTCTGTAGACTGTCGTTCGCTAAAATCACGAGTAGTTGTTTTGATTGGAAGGAACGACTGTCCTTCCCTAGCCACGACTTAGGTACCCAGTACTACCTCTACTAGTAGTAGCTACTGTAGTACTAGTCCGTGTGGTCCAGCAGCATGTGACTAGCTGTGTCGAATTATGCAAGAGCCGCTGACGTAAGACTATATCTCCAACACCAGTGCGCAAGGCCTTAGTTAGGCTTGAGTGTTTCATGTGCTAAAGCCTACGTGCATCGGCAACCTCTTTAAACAATTCAACGACTAGGCAACTTGGACTGAATTAGGCGGTCCATGTCTTCCAATACAGATGATGGGTTTAAGCACCAGGTTGCCATTCAACTTTCACGAGCATTGAACCTCGTAAACCCAAACGACTTGCTCGCAGAGCGTGTTATTGACATAGCTAAAACCAATTCCGCCGAAGGCTTTGCCAAAGGTGAGTTTCTCTGCACTGGAGTCCAGGCACGCTCGCTAACACTTTGTTGCAGCGGCTCGGGCGTTTGGCAAGTTTCAAGATTCCTTTTTGACCGAACTGCATGACGAAATCTTGTCACATGTCAAGCAGGAGGCTTCTGGGCTTGCTCCTCGTCCTGTCGAAGGTATAACTGTCCATGACAGCGAGGTGCTCGAGCCTGATCCAATCCGGCAAGGCGGCCTCGTGAGGGACGATACCGTACGTTTATCACCGCTCATTGTTCTATATAATTGCTCATAATCTACAGAGACACACTTTCCGTCAGCCTGCAAAGCCAATTGAACCACCAACTCCTCGCGGCTCTCTGCTCGGCCTTGATCGACTAGCGAAAGAAAAGAGAGAACAGGCCCTATCCGAGAATGGCCCTCGAAAAAAGCCGAGGCTGAATGATGACACTTTTTTCAAAGGTGCGACAAGGTTGCGGTTTCGTAATATTATCTTACCTTGCACTAGTCCCCAGTTTGCCAACCGGACGAGGAAATAGTTTAAGGCAGCGAGGAGAAGAGACACCGTCTCATCCAGGCGGTCTGTCGGATCCCGCAAGGGCCCGCTTGGAGGAGTACCGACGAAACCGTGAAAAGCAGAAAGGTACGACTGATATATCCCGCTGTGGCGTGTCGTTTCTGACTACAAAGTAACCTTTAGAAGGAATCACTGCCGTGCAGGAGCAACGGTCTCACACTTCTCAAGGACTTGGAGATTTTCAACGACGATCAAATCGGGATAATGATGGGGGATGGGTTCGACGAGGCCATGACAAGGATCGGCAAAATGGACGCGGCTGGGATTCTACACCCCACTCAGAGCGTGGTAGTAGCAATCGCGATGCGCCTAGTGTCCGTGTGCCTAATGTTGGGTGGGATTCAACGCCGAGACGACAAGAGGGCGAAGGATCTGGCTGGGGAGGGGCAAGGAATCGTGCTTGGGATGCACCAACACCGCGCATTCCGAGAGGCGGAAGCCCGGAAGATGATGGACTCCTTGGTGTCGATGTAAGGGAATGGGAGGAGGAGCAGCTGCGGCTGGACCGTGATTGGTATACTGGAGCAGAAGAAGGTGGTGTTGCTGGAGACGAAGAACACAACCCTTTGGCACAATACGAGGATCTCGCCGCATTGAAGGACGCAGAGATTTCGAAAAAACAAGTGGTATTTGATTCGCATCTGCAAGTTGCTTAATGTTGCTGAAGTTTTTTGTAGAGGAGAATATCGGCCAGGCAAGCGCAATATGTGGGACTTGATATACATTCTATCTCTTCTTTTCGTTTTGACTTTCTCTGTAGAATGCAGACAATGACCTCTGGGAAGCTAATCGGATGCTGACTTCCGGTGTTGCGACCCGTAAGGAAGTTGATCTTGACTTTGAAGACGAATCTGAGTCGACGGTGCATGTCATGGTGCATGATATCAAGCCACCTTTCTTGGATGGCAAGACGATCTTCACGAAGCAGCTCGAGCCCATCAATCCAATCCGCGACCCTACGAGCGACATGGCGATCTTTTCAAAGAAGGGGAGCGCTTTGGTGAAAGAGAAGCGAGAACAGGCGGAGAGGGCAAAGGCAGCTGCCAAACTTGCATCTCTTGGTGGCACACAACTCGGTAACATCATGGGCGTGAAGGACGAAGAAGCCGAAGCTGAAGGTGCGTGGTTATTCTCTGCCCTTGTGGCGCAGCTCGAGTTGGACATTCACGTAGTCCATTTGGAATGTTTCGTACAGCTCTGGCAGAAGCAAAGGCGAAATCTGGTGAGAAAGAGGATTATAAGGGGGATTCTAAGTTCGCTAGCCACTTGAAGGCTTCCACTGGGGTCAGCTCCTTTGCAAAGAACAGGACACTGAAGGAGCAGAGAGAGTATTTGCCTGCATTTGCATGTCGAGATGAGCTTCTCAAGGTGATCCGAGAAAACCAGGGTTAGATTTATGCTATGCAGCTGTGTCTACACTTCTAACATTTATGTTCTACAGTTGTCATTGTCGTGGGAGAGACTGGTTCTGGGAAAACTACTCAGCTGGCGCAGTTCCTTTATGAGGATGGGTACTGCGCATACGGTCTCATTGGTTGTACTCAGCCGCGTCGTGTGGCCGCTATGTCTGTAGCAAAGCGTGTTGCTGAGGAGATGGAGGCAAGTGTCAAATTAATCTTCTTGATTCTTGTGCTAACCCTTTATTCAGTGCAAGCTTGGTTCTACCGTTGGTTATGCGATTCGTTTTGAGGACTGTACATCAGCAGAAACCAAGATCAAATGTACAGTGTCATTTCCCTCATCTTTAGCTTGACTTATCTTGTTTTCTAGACATGACAGACGGTGTTCTCCAGCGAGAATCTTTGAATGAAGGTGATTTGGACCGTTACAGTGTGATCATCCTGGATGAGGCACATGAACGTTCACTAAGCACTGATGTTCTTATGGGTTTGCTTCGTAAGAGTACGCCTTATTATTACCCGGCTAAACAACGTTGGGCTCATCATTTGTTCCAGTTCTGTCTCGGAGAAGAGATTTAAGACTCATCGTCACGTCGGCAACCATGAATGCTGACAAGGCAAATATTCTCTATAACTGTTCTGGCAATGAGAGACTGACGTGATCCCAGTTTTCTGCGTTCTATGGAAATGCCCCTTGTTATACCATTCCTGGGCGTACATTTCCGGTGGAGATGTTTCATTCAAAATCACCTTGCGAGGACTACGTAGACAGTGCTGTGAAACAGGTTCTCCAAATCCATCTTTCGCTTCCCCCTGGTGATATCCTCGTATTTATGACTGGACAAGAAGACATCGAAATCACATGTCAGGTTATTAATGGTATGCAAGTTTCAAATGTTAACGACGCCATGCTCTAAATCTTTTGTTTAGAGCGACTGGCACAGCTTGATCAGCCCGCCCCTCTGGCAGTGCTCCCAATCTATTCACAGATGCCTGCCGACCTGCAGGCTAAGATTTTCGAAGCCACTCCTGATGGACGAAGGAAGGTCATCGTAGCTACTAACATTGCCGAGACTTCCTTGACGGTTGATGGGATTATTTATGTGGTCGACGCGGGCTACTCCAAGCTTAAGGTATATAATCCAAAGGTCGGAATGGATGCTCTGCAAATCACACCGGTCAGCCAAGCCAACGCCAACCAGCGGACTGGGCGTGCCGGCCGTACAGGCAGCGGGTATGTGTTCATTTTAGCTGTATCACATTAATTCCCTCAATTTTCTGCAGGTTCTGTTACCGCCTGTATACAGAAATGGCGTTTCGCAATGAGATGTTCGCGAATACCATCCCAGAAATTCAGCGCACTAATCTCGCCAATACTGTTCTGCTCCTCAAGTCTCTTGGCGTCAAGAACCTGCTTGAATTCGACTTTATGGACCCTCCTCCCCAAGCCAACATCATAAATTCAATGTACCAACTTTGGGTTTTAGGTGCGCTGGATAATCTTGGCGATTTGACGCCTGTGGGTAGGAAAATGTCCGAGTTTCCCATGGAGCCCTCCATGGCCAAGATGCTTATTGCGTCCGTGGATATGAGATGTTCAGCAGAGATGTTGACTATAGTGTCCATGCTTTCAGTACCAAGCATCTTCTACAGACCAAAAGAGAGGATGGAAGAGGCCGATGCCGCACGTGAAAAGTTCAACGTACCAGAGAGTGACCATCTGACTCTGTTGAATGTTTTCAACCAGTGGAAGAGTCATGGGTCAGTTCGTTCATCTTATTAATGCCGCAGGGTGCTCATTCTAACTCGCAGATTCCGTGATGAATGGGCTACGCGTCATTTTCTGCATCCGAAACTACTCCGCAAAGCTCGCGAGGTTAGGGCTCAGTTAGAGGACATAATGAAGTTCCAGAAGATGGAGATTATTTCTGCTGGCACAGACTTTGATATCGTCAGGTACTGTACAATAACTGCATCAATTATGTCTCATTGACCTTTTCGTAGGAAAGCTATCACTGCTGGCTATTTCCACCAATGTGCACGTGTGAAGGGTATCGGCGAGTATGTAAATATTCGCACTGGTCTCCCGACGCATCTGCATCCTACAAGTGCGCTTTATGGCCTTGGATGTATGTGATTGATTATTCTGTTTCTGGGCCTCGCTGACGACGATGAAGATACCCCCACATACGTTGTTTACCACGAGTTGATCTTGACTTCGAAGGAGTACATGACCCAGGTCACTGCGATTGATGCCATGTGGCTAGGTATGACACTGTCTTACACGTTCATGTCGGGAAATATTAATGATGATCGTAGCTGAATTTGGTGCGGTGTTCTACTCGGTCAAATTCAAGGACTTCGACGATCGTGGAATGCGGCGACAAGCCGATCGAGAATTCTCCAGAAAAGCTGAATTGGAATCGCAAATTGCGAAGCAAAGGGAAGAGTACGTGACCGACGATCTGACGAAATGGCTTTTTTTATTCACGATTGTTGCAGTCACGCACGGCAAGAGGCAGAGAAAGCTCTCGCAGTCAAGGTTTCGAGTGGAAGCAGCTCAAAGATCATTGTGCCTGGAACGCCGAGACATCCTGGCCTTGCAGGCAATCGGGTTGGTCAGACACCTAGAAGACGAGTCGGGATATGATGGATGTATTCATTCATGGGTTGCTTGCGTGTTTCATTTTATCAATAGTGTTACTTCTTCCTATGCACCATATAGTTTTGCACACGTGACCCTCGCTGGCATATCGGACAAGGCCGGCCGAGTGACTCGGTCTTAAGCAATAAAATTTATGCAGTGCTTCTTAAGCTCCCTTTCCGACTTTTTTTCCACTCAACATGGCATCCTTCGCGTCCCGTTCAGCTTCAGCCCTACGTGCTGCTTCTCGCCGTGCACCTCGTGCCGGTGCAAAAATTGCAGCCAAGCCTGCACAGAGCGCGTCCTACTCTTTGCTTGCTCGTCAGGCTTTGGCAGGCACCTCGTGCAAAGTTGCCCTTCAGGTGAAAAAAAAGTATTGGCGTGACTGATAAGCGCTGACTGTTACATGCATATAGTCCGCTACTCGGGGCGTAAAGACACTTAACTTTGCTGGCACCGAGGAGGTTGTTTACGAGCGAAGTGACTGGCCGCTCGCGAAGCTCCAGGATTACTTCAAGAACGATATCCTTGCTCTCATAGGCTATGGTTCTCAGGGCCACGGTCAAGGTTTGAATGCTCGTGACAATGGTCTCAATGTCATCGTTGGTGTCCGTAAAGACGGCGAGAGCTGGCGGCAGGCCATGGAGGACGGTTGGGTATGTCCACCTCTGCTTTGGCTTTTAGGCATCTAATGTAAACTGGTATGTGATTAGGTTCCTGGAGAGACTCTCTTCCCCATCGAAGAAGCCATCAACCAGGGCACGATTATCATGAACCTTCTCTCTGATGCAGCACAATCACAAACGTGGTCCACCATTGCACCTCTAATCACCAAGGGCAAGACCCTCTACTTCTCGCATGGCTTCTCTGTTGTATACAAGGAAGACACTAAGGTTATACCTCCCGAGGACGTCGATGTCATCTTGGTTGCGCCCAAAGGTTCTGGTCGTACTGTCCGTACTCTATTCAAAGAGGGTCGTGGCATCAACTCTAGTGTAGCCGTCTTCCAGGACGTCACTGGCAAGGCCATGGAAAAGGCTGTTGCTCTTGGTGTCGCCGTCGGCTCAGGGTACATGTACGAGACGACCTTTGAGAAGGAGGTTTACTCCGATCTCTATGGTGAACGTGGTGTGCTCATGGGTGCCATCCGTAAGTCTATTCTCACGCAAGATGCATACGTTCTCAACTGATGGTGTATCAGAGGGTCTGTTCTGCGCACAGTACAAGGTGCTCCGTGCCAACGGCCACTCTCCTTCAGAAGCCTTCAATGAAACCGTGGAGGAGGCCACTCAATCTCTATACCCCTTGATTGGACAAAAAGGGTACGTGTATATGTTCTTTTGCGCACCTTTCTCTCATCGTTCGTAGGATGGACTACATGTACAACGCCTGCTCCACGACCGCTCGCCGCGGCGCGCTTGACTGGGCACCCATCTTCGAGAAGACCAACACGCCTATCTTTGAGCAGTTGTACGAGAGCGTGCGCAACGGGACGGAGACTCGCAAGTCTCTCGAGTTCAACGGCCGCTCGACTTACCGCCAAGATCTGGCAAAAGAGCTGAAGGAGATCGATGACCAGGAGATCTGGCGTGCAGGCAGAACTGTGCGATCGCTGCGCCCCGACTACAAGGCTGAGTAGATGGGGTCACGGTTGGATCAGAGCAGCTCTTACTTACATTTACTTCTGTTACGAAAAGCGCCAAGGTGGTGCACGCTATGTCGGAGAGCATACTGTATAAAATCGATTTCTGATTACACGTTATGACTGATTGATGATCCTCCAGCCTGCGGCCCCGTATACAGGTTGTTCATACCCCGACTCTGCCCAAGTTTTGAAAGAACAATATCTGTACTTAGGTGAAGCTCGGAGCCTGAGTGTTGATGCAAATTTCTAGCAGTGGCTAGCGGGCTTTGATGGCAACGCGTATTTACTCCACGTCATGTTGTCTGTTGGCAGCTTGATGCTTGGCATGGCGGCGGTCGCTTCAAGTCGCGAATCAGAAATGTGTCATCCAAGGGCAAAGGAGATGAATTCACATCTGCGAAGCTCTCGAACCTGCCCTCACTTTCGCTAACAATATCCTTCTGCACTTCTTTCAAAGCTTTCGAGACCGAATAAGTATATGTAGGTACGCCCTTCATTACCATTCTTTCAACCGAGCTCACAAGTAAAACGAATGACCAACATTGCCTTGATACCGAGGGTCTGTGTATAGTGCTTGTTGGTGGCTCGACGTTTGGGATGTTGTGATTTCATTGCAGGCTTGCCGATACAGTCACTGTATCAGGACTTCGCTTGCTTCGCACCAGGTTAAACGCCGCTTGCAATTGTTCTGGGCAGATTCAAGTTGACCAAGAAACAGACATTTCACGCAGACCAAGACTCCCGATGAACTTGACAAGAGGTGTTGTTTAGGAAAGGTATGTGATGCATTGCTATGGCTGTACGTTCGCTCATTGGTGAGCCCGTGAAGAAATATGAGCATGGCGACTTACCACAATTTCAGGAATATGGAGGTTGTATATATATGTGTGTGAGTCATTTAATTATAATGTGGATACTCAAACAGGACTGAAAGAAGAGACATAAGTCAGAGAACATATCATATCTCTATGTTGACCTTCCACGTTCCGATTTTCCTTGTGATATTCACATTAGTGCATGTAGTTCGCTTGATGTTCAGCTATTTTGAAGCTCAGAATCAGGATCGTTCACTCATCCAGCAGCAGCACAGATTCCTGGCGTTCAGATACACATCTGGGCTATACTTAACACGGAGATTGCACTTGTGAGTGACTACACATGAACCGACGATGGTTGTCCTCAAAGTAATCAGTCTGTACGATAGGAAGTTCAAACCCACTGCCAAGGTCAGGAATGAACTCGGGATGTGCAAAGCCCATACCATTGTGGTCTACGACACGGGTGAGGCCTTGAGCTCTGAGGTCCACGATGCGCGATCCAGAAAGTTCTGCTTCCGACAAACCAAACGTGGAGATGGGAATGTGAGACTGGATGACTGTGATTGTCTGATTTCCGGTTACACAGACCAGATCTGTTTTATATGACGTACTGAACTTGACGTCGAGGGACAACAAGACCTTACCAGGTCTGTCGAGAGCTAATTTTAGTTTACATAATGTTGATGTTTCGACAGTTTGTTTCACTTTGTTTTATCAACTGAAATGGCTATTTATGTCCTCGCGGTCAAGGGAAGCAGCCGCATCTGCATCAGCTGTGCCTGACATGATGTCATCCCGGCTGTTGCAGCTGAGGGGAGCTGCAGCGCTGAAGGTTGGGATATGGATTGATCCCTCCGCAGTAGTTTAATGTCGCATTTAGAGTTACATAAATATATCGTGTACATTTGCCGAGAACAAAATCATTGTTTTTCATCGCCGTATGTATAATACAACATGTACTGACAAGCCTACGTATCATAACAATAATTAAAGTGAGATGAGGACAAGAACAAAAATGTTTTATATTCATTGAAAGGCACGGCGTAAATGTGATCTGCGACACGTCCGCTGAGTCGGACACACTAATGGACAGCGGAGCTATCATGTTCTCCCTAGTAACCTAAGATCCTGACCTGCCTTGCCAAGGCTAGCGCTGACCAGCTGCAAGTATCATGGCGGTATCACATGAGAACCAGGTGCGCCTGGCCCATTCATCACCACTAGACACCTTGGTTCGGCGAACTTCGTCTAAACGACAGGCTGTCCAACGGAAAGAAGAACGTGAGGCTCGGAAGCATGCTAATGCCATTAATCCCTCTTTGCCAGTGCCATCTTCCTCTCGGTCAACTCGTTTTCCGGCGTCGTTAGTACAAGTCCAAGATATTTCTCCGCCGAGGCTATACTATGGAACTAGTCCGAGAGTGCCCGAGTCTCCTCTGTTGCACTCGCAATTCCGTAATTCGACAGCTAGCAATGCTGACTATCTTAACATAAAGTCGTTTCTGTCGTTGACGGACGAACCAAACGGATATTATGACGAGCTTGAATCATATTACGAAGAGAATAGCATGTATTCATTGCGGCAAAGTCACACCCCCGGCGCTTCTACAGACAGCCACCGTGCTTGGCATACCACCCTAGAACCTACCAGTGGTTCCACAAATGGGTTGAACATACAATCCTCGGTTCATGACATGCATCTGTCAAACTCAAGCACTCCCGTTCCAACCGTCGTGGTTTCCAAGCCCCAGGATGTCGACAAGCAGGTCGCCGCTAATGAGCCAAAACTTGGCGGAAAGTCACCCATAGTTGACCCTACTCCCCGCATAAACTTTTCCAGGCCAGGAAGACCACCAATAATCTCTTCTGAAGAACAGAAACGCCAGGTTCTTGAACGAAATTCACGAAGAACCCGTTCTCCACTGACCGCTCATACCCCCCTTTCGTTTGTTCCAATTACGCCCCAGACGGGCGTAAGCTTTCCTGAAAACCAATTTTTGTCGCCTACGCCGCAATCTGATGCATGCTCGCCAGGGTCCTATCTTCAACCAAACTATGCTGTTTCTTCCCCGACCCTCTCATCCTCCTCCCATGTACACCTCCCCTCTCACCCCCCGTCTGTACGTCCGAGCTCACCAGAAAGCTTATACTCCACCTCATATTCATTTTACCGTTTGAGCGATGGCTCTCCATCCCCAACTGGCAATTCAAATTTTCCTACCCAACCACCTTCCTCGTCGGGCAACCGTTCACCTTCTACCGAGCCTTCAACTCCACAAGAATATCTCCAGCTAGGAATACAATACCACGAGGCCAACAAACTACAAGATAGCGCATTTTACTTCGAGAAAAGTGCAAAGGAACAAGGTGGCTGTGGGACAGGGATGCTCTTGTGGGGATTGACGCTGAGGCATGGGTGGGGATGCGAGAAGAACGAGAAAAGTGGTTTCAAGTGGCTCACAAAGGCCGCGGAAAGCGCTGTGGATGATCTGGGCAAGGCGAGAGAAGGCATGGACGTGAAGGCTGTTAGAGTGAGTTCGATCTGTGGGGCTGTATATGGAAGCGCTAATGAATCTTCCTCAGTCGGAGCTTGTACTAGCGATTTATGAGGTTGGGCAATGCTTCTTTCATGGCTGGGGCGTAGCTAAGGACTACAAGATGGCAGTCGTACGTCACCACTGATTGTCTCTAGACTTGTGCTCACTAATCTCCAGAGTTACTATCGAGTTGCTGCCAACCTCGGTGACGGGGATGCACAAGAAGATCTCGCTTTTTGCCTAGCCAATGCCAAAGGGTGCAAAAAGGATAAGAAAGAAGCTGCTAAGTGGTATCGCGCTGCTGTGAGTACAACCAGCGTGATTCTTGCAAATTATATGTTAACGTAGTTCTGTAGGTCGCACAAGGTGCCAGCGACGTAGGGATGGCGTGGATCTACAAGGACAAATACAAGGGCTAGTGCGCTGGCCAATGATGAAGAATCCTGCATCGCGGAACAGAGCCCTGCGCATCATCAGCGATGCCCGCAAAAGGCCCAATTCGGCTGAATCCTCACAACAGACAGCGGATAAAAGGGCTTCTCGAGAGATCATGAATTTCTGTCACATATAACCATGAATATAGGAGAGGTGGACAGGACAATGGATGTACCATTTTGGACAAATCATTTAATGTATCTTCGAACTGTGATTTAGATGTACAAGCTCTTGTCATCCTTTGCTTTGCCATTTGGAGTACTCTGTTGGTTAAATGCTTCGACATGAAGGACTAGGCGCCAGGGGAGCATGACTTGGCCGACAAAGCGACTAGTCTCGTTTCCCAGAATGTACTCCTCAGTGTTGACGAGGATGATATTCAAAAGTTGGTCAGTGCCCATGAATGTGCCAATGAACACTCGATTATCGGTCGTCGTGATGCGAAGGGTTGTAGTGAGTAGAGACTTGAGGGCTGTGATAGACGGAGACGTGTTTTGGTCAGTGCTTGAGGGCGACATCGATGACGAAAGCAATGAGGATGATTCAAAGGAGGTCATAAAGTAATATGAAAGAGCCGACGCCTGCAAACTCGCACGCTAACTGCCATCCAGTCGCAAGACTATAAAGTTAATGAACCCTTTCGCCAGCCCAGTGTCGCTGAACATGCAAGGCCAATACAACACGCCAAACACTCACAAGTATTCTGTTATTCTACCGACCTACAATGAGCGCAAGAACCTCCCAATTATTATCTGGTTGCTAGCGAAGGTTTTTGAGGAACAGTGCGTTCTGTCTGCTTAACATGCCGAAAGCCAGACTGAGTATACCAGTCAGCTTGCATGGGAGATCATCATCGTAGATGATGCGAGTCCGGATGGGACACAAGAAGTTGCCATTGAGTTGGCAAGGGCTTATGGCGAGGACAAAATAGTGAGTGCAAATGGATCACGCGTTGAGGTCCGACTCATTGTCGGTCAAGCTTCTCAAACCACGGGCAGGAAAACTTGGACTCGGGTAAGTGCTAGGAGTAAGTATGGAAAACGAACGCGTCGTCAGATTGTGCGTAGGACTGCATATATCCATGGACTCGAGTTCTGCACTGGTGACTTTGTGATAATAATGGATGCCGACTTTTCGCATCACGTACGTGCTTCACCATCCTTTGACACACAAGTTCTAATGCGCATCCATCTCGTCAGCCCAAGTTCATTCCGCAATTTATCAGGTGTGTTGTCTTTTCCTAACTTTGCCCTGTTAACAACGTGTAGATTGCAACAAGCACATAACCTCGACATTGTGACAGGAACGCGATATCGCTCAACATCCACTCCATACCTTTCTGAAACTCAACCTGGTGGCGTGCACGGCTGGGACCTGAAGCGCAAATTAGTTTCACGAGGAGCAAATTTCCTAGCTGCTACTGTGCTGAACCCCGGCGTGAGCGACCTAACGGGCAGTTTTAGGTACGTAGATTATTAGTTCGGGAAAGCGGGCTGAAACTTAATGCTGGTGTAGACTGTACCGGTTACCCGTTCTTCGGCATATCATCACACTGACACAGTCCAGGGGGTACGTGTTCCAGATGGAGATGATGGTAAGGGCACGGGCGCTGGGGTACACCGTTGGCGAGGTTCCGATCACTTTTGTGGATCGGATATTTGGAGAAAGCAAGCTCGGTGCGGACGAAGTTGTGGGATATGCAAAGGGCGTGTGGCAGTTATTCAAGTCGGTTTGAAAGCACTGTAAATGTGGCATTAGCCTTGATCATAATTTATGGTACTCGGTCCCATTTTTTAGATGGTCAATTCGAACAATTAGAGTTTTTCAATATCTCATCTCATTGTTATCAGTGTGGACTGTGGTTGGATGACATCATATATATTCCATCTTTGTCAGCCTTTGGTTTTCATCCGAAGCTTCATCTCTCACATCTAGATTCCAAACCACCTACACAACTGCTGCATAATGAGTTTGCTACAAGGCGTGCTCAAATCGCAATCACAGACCCATGAATTGAATGGACTCCATCCATCTTCCAGGCAATCCCAGGCTGAGAATGACTCAGACGATGAGCTTGTTGGCGTGGTATGCCCCCATATCGTCTACTCTAATATCAATTACTCAACATATTCTCAAGTTCTCACTACCAGGGACGCCAGCGAGGTCGAGAGGACCTTCACGCCCCTCATCGCGCCCTGTGTCACCCACACGAAGAGGTTTCGCTCGCTCTGCGAGTGCATTGCCATTGAAGGGCCTCTCGAATGACCCCCTAAAAGTATTTCCAACTCAAGTATCGCAAAACATCTTCCGGTGGCTTGGGATATCTGAGCTCGCGACCTGCGCTAGGGTATCGAGAAAGTGGAATAAGAGTCAGACACTGAACTACAGCAAGTCATATATATATATATTAGTGTGCTGTATGCTAATGGTCTACGTTGTGTTACAAGTTTGGTTCCAGCATTATAGGAAGGAAAACTTCCATGACGAAACTCTTCCCCCCGGGAAGTGGACTAGAAGGGAGTCGAAACAGAATTGGGTGAGTACTCTATCTTCCTGTGTCTGGCTGTATGATTCGATGATTTGTTCTCAGCGGATGACCTACATTAAATCTGTGTCGAATCGCTCGCCTCCATCATCACCGTTGCCTTCGAGAGGCTCAGGTCGTACTTCACCGTCACAGTCAGGCCATCAAACGCCAAAAGAACTTAAAGAAGAGCAATGGCGACAAGAGGAGCTTACGCAAAGCCGGCCAGGCAAGTTGGAGATGAGAGAAATGTACAAGGAGCTGGGTGGCCGCAAGAGCCGGACCAAGGGAAAGCTGGGAGGTTCTGGGGGTCATAGAGACCGGACGGGTTGGGGGGAAGGAGACGATGATTAACATGGAAGACAGGGTAGTATGTACATATAAGTTTGTAGCTTTCTTGGAGATTATCGTGGTATATGTTGTATTGATTCATAGGCGGTATAGGAATTGGCAATCTCCTAATGTTTCTCTACTAATAGGGCAAACGCCGAGCGCATTGACCTGATAAAATGGAATATATCTCTTGTTTCGTTTAGTTCATTAAGTAGTATGGGGAGATTTGGCAGTGGTGGTGTGGTCGTTATCACTGGTTGGCATATGTAAGTGCCACCTTTGAGATAGGCCATTGACTTGCATACCTTGATTTGAGCTGGATGCGACGTCGAGCACGAAGCTGAATTCACGGTCAATGTCAAGCTTGTCAATGTGCGTAAATCGGATGAGGAGCCGGTCCTTCTCTATTCCCTCGATATGACAACGTAGACGGGTTTCGCAGGCATTTAATTCAGGTCCTGTTTGTGCTGCATGCATCTCCAACGTCTGCCGTTCTCGATCTTTTTCTGCAGAAAGTAGCCTAATCAGCGTAAGCAAGAAAATTACAACGAGAGTACATACCTCTCTTCAAATTGGCAGTGAGGGCACGATATTGCTCTATCTCTGCATCAACAGACTGGCAGGTTTCACGGATTGATGCGAGCTGGCGTTTCAGAGCGGTGATTGATGTCTCAGCTTCTCGGACCTCCTCCTTTTCCCTTTCCATTACTGAGAGACGTCACTGCTGCACAATTACACCACCACAAGCATGACCACGTACCAGCCAGCAGCTCAATCTCCTTCACCTTACACTGATTAGTTTCAGCCTTTACTGCAACAGTCTTCTCAACCAAACGTTTCTTGTCTGCCTCCTGAGCATTCCTGTGTTTGGTGATCTCTGCTACTGCGCGATTTGCATAGTTGGTGACCGCTCTGAGAAAATTAGATGTGGAAGCTTCATATGCGTACAGACGCAGGTCGACAGAAGGGTTAGGCTCGGCGAGGATTGAAGCAAGATCAATATGAGTAGGACGAACTTGAGGCATGGTCAATCAGCAATATTGTCAGCAAACTTTCGGACTCCTTTCCAGAACGCGTCCGTCATGTGACCGTATCAATTATCCATAAGAATCAAACCAGTCTCATCTTCATCATACAAAGATCGATAGACCAGGAACATCTAGGATATCAACTGAGTTATGCTCTATGGCTCCCCTTCCATCTAGATCAGATTCGCCCCAATATCGAGATATACATATGGACACGGCAAAGGGAATCACATTGGGACTTCGGGACATCCACATGAGTACCGCAAAGCCTAACGGCGGCGCTTGGTCTGATGATATTTCAATGGACACTGCACGAAATGCGACAACCGTGAAAGCAGGTGGATTTCAGCTCTGGGAGAGGGAATTGCTCCAGAGCGCCGAGGTCAAGCGCAAGGCCACCGTGGCCCAACTATGTGAGCATCTCATTTTGAGACCTTCCCCGATCTCACCATCTATGCTCCTACCAGTTTTTCTCGACTACTACTTTATGAACCTTGGATATATCGCATCCAGGAAAGAAAGGAGGGCACGCTTTGATGCAGATACTACCAAAAGGCAGCTAACAGCCGCCGAGTACGCAAAGGAGTTCAAGTCGTATTGTGGGCGAGAGAGAGTAATTCTGAGAAAACGCAGAGCAAAGCTGAGGGTTGACCAATTTCATATCATCGCACAAGTCGGGCAGGGTGGTTATGGTGAGGTGTTCTTGGCACGGAAACAGGACACAGGAGAGATATGCGCTCTCAAGAAGATGAAGAAACGTATATTGTTCAAGATGGATGAGGTTTGTTATCCCACTCACAGATCTGCGTGAAGACTGATGCATTTCAAGGTGCGGCACGTCTTAGTGGAGCGCGACATCCTTACCGCAACCAAAACACCCTGGCTCGTCAGACTTCTTTATGCATTCCAGGACGCACAACACGTGTATTTAGCAATGGAGTATGTTCCCGGAGGCGATTTTCGTACTCTTCTCAACAATTCTGGCGTTCTCAAGGAAGAGCATGCAAGGTTTTATATTTCAGAAATGTTCGTCGCTGTCAACGAGCTTCACAAGCTTGGTTACATTCATCGTGACTTGAAGCCGGAGGTAAAACTGTGTCGCATGCGCAAGATCTGTAGTACTGACAATGCCTCCAGAACTTCCTTGTGGACGGCACCGGACACGTCAAGCTGACTGACTTCGGCCTTGCCACAGGTGCCCTCAATCCCAAGCGCATTGAATCGATGAAGTTGAAGGTCTGTCTGCGACCCTGATTTCATCCTGTGCGCCCTAATATTTCTCAGCTCGATAAAGCGAAAGACGTCCAAGTCGTCTACCGCTCTACCCTAGAACGCCGCTCCATGTACAAATCCATTCGCGCTGAAGACCCACGGTATGCAGACTCCATAGTTGGCTCACCCGATTACATGGCGCCGGAGGTCCTCAGAGGCAAACCATACACTTATTCAGTCGACTATTGGTCGCTAGGTTGCATATTCTTCGAATTTCTCGCTGGTTTTCCGCCCTTCAGTGGCGGTACGCCAGAGGAGACCTGGACAAACCTGAAGAATTGGACGAAGGTACTGAGAAGGCCAGAGTATGATAAGCCTGAAGACTTGATCTTCAACTTGACGGATATTGCATGGGATGCCGTGACCAGGTACATGGCTTGCTACCGTGTGTTGTCTGACGACGCTGAATGCCTCTTGTTTCCTGTTCAGACTCATCTCGCACTCGAGCGTTCGATACTCTACTCTTACACAGGTCACAAGCCACCCTTTCTTTGACGGGATGCAGTGGGAAGACCTCCGTTCAACACGCGCACCGTTTGTGCCTGCTCTTGACTCAGAGATTGACACTGGGTACTATGATGATTTCACTTCTGCGGAAGACATGGCGAAGTACGCCGAAGTGAAAGACAAGCAGCGAAACGTAGAGAAGGTAAAGGAAAAGGAAGAGCCAGAAGCCCGAGGTGTCTGGGTCGGCTTCACCTTTGGTAAAAATGGTCCGGGAGGAAAGCTGTTTGGTTCGTTGGATTCGAGTCAAGATGATGGTGAAGCATTGGCTACTATATTTTGATATCGTGGTACTTTCGCTAATGCCTCGTGCTCATCATGAGGGTTTTGTTCCCTATCCCCCAATCATTGCAGAAACAACAGATACCGGGTTGATGTAGAAGTAATGACAACTGAGACCTAGTGTAAACCCAAAGAGACAGATCGAGGGATATCAAGACGTAATCAGACCTCAACGCCTGAGGAAGAGAATCCAATCTTAAGTAAGAGAAGGTGAGTTGTGATTCTCAAACGTTAGGGATCCGACTGTAACGGCTAGTCAAACAAACACCTGTCAGTCACGGTCACTCTCAATAGTATCTTATCCTTAGCTCACCCCAGATCATCTTCATTGGTTTAACTTTGTTCCTGGCTCTCCCTGAGCCTGTCATGGCTTACACCTCCGAAAAAAGTCGTTGACTCGTGGAACGCGGGAGCCAAGAATGAATATTCCTATGTGACAAGGCGTTCAGAAGCGGGGAGCACATCAGAGAATCCTGCGCCTGTGGTTCCCATAACCACAAATTGGACGTAACAGCTGGCGCTGAGTCTGACGGCAGTTGAGCCTTCCATCAGAGAACCCATGGAAAATTTTAAAGGTCGTATAGAAAAGATACAGAACTTGTGTGTGGCGAATGCTAGGAAGCTGCGATCAAGGGAGAATCGAAAGGGTGGGTAGCTGAAAATAAACTAAGACTGACCCGACGGCGAGCCTAGTACTAGTACGTAAGAATTCAACACAAATGACGTACCCGACACAACGACGAGCAGGTGAGAAGAATCGCTCAAGGTCTTTACTTACATATAATTCAGTGCATATATATTATATCGCGTCAAACTCGCAAACTCGCACCATTATCTCTAGTATTTTATGTATATCATAGTCGAATGGATGAACCATCATCACGTTAACCCCCTAGTTCAACGTTAACGTTGCAACGTTGAACCCTAGCTTGCTAATGATGTATGTACATTCATATCCTACATAGCGTGTAATTTTCATACACTACACAGCACTGTAAATAACTGGCACATCATTAACGTTTACAAAAGGCGCGCCATCAATTGGTTGCGCTCCATGTTTTCTTCAGCATGTCGGCACACTTTTCAGCTACCATCACAACCGGAGCCTGGAGATGAGTTGCAACTACATCTGGGAAAATGCTTGCATCTGCGATCCTCAGCCGAGAAACTCCATGCACGCGGAGCTCATCGTCAACAACACCTGGGACTGTGTCATGTTCCTGAGCCATGCGACAACTGGATGCATAGTGGTATGTTGTGCGAACGTTCTGTCGGATGAAGACGTCCAATTGCTCGTCACTGTCGCCGGCAGGAATCAGATGATTCTCCATCTGATACCCGTTCGTACGCATTCTTTCTCCTAATGCCATTGCAAGGCGCACAGCCTTCCTGACAACCTCGATATCTCCCTCGCGCGTGAAGAACCCGAGGTCTACTTTTGGGTTTGCATGGGGGTTATGAGAGAAAAGCTCGACCGTGCCCGATGATTTGGGTTGCAGAGGAACGCAAATGAAAGAGAAGAAGCCCTGAGACTTCTGGGATGTGACATAGGTACATTCATGGGGAATGGGCATGATTTCAATATCGGGAAATGTTTCACGATTGGTCTCCTCGACGCTAGGCTCTGCATCATCTCCCAAATTATCCGATTTGGCAAATATCGACACCTGCACGGATGGATTAGTGAATAGTCCCCGACCGCGTATCAGGTAATTCAAAAATTCAGTTAATGCTCGCGTTAAACTGCTCTCAAGCGCGTGGAATGTATCAGAGAGGGGGACCTTGTACGTGATCGTGGTGCCAACATGATCTTGCTGTGGTGCATGTTAGCGAACGGAGCAATCGACAGAACTTCTGTACACACCAAATTGCGGCCAACGCCTGGCAAATCCTTAATGACTTTGATACCATGCTTTGTTAGATGATCTTTTGCACCGATCCCACTGCAAGAGAAGGCTCGACGATTCGATTGGACAGGAAAACAAACAAGAGCTTACCTTAGCAGCAGCAGGTGGGGAGTCTCGATGGCTCCACAACACACGATAATCTCCTTCTTCGCCCTCGCGTAGAACGGTTGCTCTTTTGGAGTGGACTCGTATGGTTTGAAGAACACTCCCGATGCGACCGGTTGCACGCCGCCAACGTCGAAATCGATCTTTGTGACAAGCGTGTCGGTGCAAATCGTGAGCCTTTGCCTCTGCGTGGTGATCGAGGGAGGAAGAAAAGCATCGAAGGTAGACAGACGCTTCCCATCTGAAGTCAATGTGACGGGAATTTTTGCGCAGGACACGCAAGGTCCTTCTGGGGCGTTGACATCATCAGTGTACGATATACCGAGGTCCTGTGCAGCTTTCACAGCACTGGTAGCAACATTAGTCTCTGATTATGAGAGATGAACAAGAGAATTACTGAGGGAATGAACTGAAAAGGAACTTGTCGAAATGTCGATTGCTCCATGGTCCTGCATGTCAGAGTGAGTGTGCAAGTTCCTCATGATTTGACCAAATTCACCTTCGCTGCCATGATAATACCCTGAAGTGCTGACCGCATTCTCGGACTTGATGAAGTATGGTTCGAGATCGGCATAGCTCCAACCAACGCGTCCCTGCCGCCTCCATTCGTCATACTGCGCAGGACTACCTCTGGTGTAAAGCATCGAATTGAACCTTGACGCTCCACCTAATACAGTGCCAGTGAGAATTTCAAGGACACGACCGTTGGCAGCAGTCAAAGGTGTGCTGTTCCATCGTACAGAAGGATGTTTCCCCTGGGCATATGATGAAGACAAAAGAGGACACCGCATAGTGAAGGTGTCGTGAACGCCGCCACGCTCAAGAAGTAATACGGAGATTGTAGGGTCCTCGGTCAGTCTGCTTGCAAGGACGCATCCTGCGGTTCCTCCTGAAAACCTCATTACATTGACTCTAGTGTTGTGGTTAAAGGGTAGCGAAACGTACCTCCAACTATGATATAGTCATACAGGCCTTTACGTGGCACGCTGGTATCCAAGAATTGAGCATCTGCACCGACATCGGCAGGAATATGTTGTAGTGGCATTGCGCGGTTGTTCCTTTGGTACGTCGGGCGCGAGAGCTTTTATCTTTCTAGTCGAAAGACTGGCCCCAATCAGGTATTCTAGCTAAGACCGATCAAGGACCAATTAAAGACGGCATCGCTATCCAGGAAGTTGAGAGAAGTTACCGCAGGATCACGGAGTAGTACAGCCCTGTCCTGCTGATCTACTCAATTGAAATTCTCGTTAAATCCACACTTGAATCTGGACCTACCAATACGTAGTACGTAATGACTGAGCCTTTTTGTTACTGCAAACGAATTGCTATAACTTCGCATGGGTGGTGGGTTTAGGGTCCACATGCTGTACACTAGCTAGCCAGATCTGGAGCTCTAACCGGTAACCAGTAGCACGTCGTATATTCTTGATTATCAGAAATCCGCCGCGTACGTGTGCATCGTTGATTCCGTTCATAAATAGAACTACAGCAAGGACCAATTTAGCTTTATCGGCAAGGTCCTTGTTTACCGATCACATCGTCGCTGAGGTTTCGTTGGGTAGTGTTATCTTACCGCTGCTGTCACGCAGTTTATAAACCTCATAAAACTGAAAACCTAGTGTACTCTCATTGAAGGGGCGGATTTCTTTGTACATAGCCTAACATAACACACTTACTAGTAGTAGATTATGGGAAATGCTGAGATCAGTGACGGAAATGACTATGTGTGTACGTAGTGACAAACTTTCAAATTTGCTCCTAAATGCGGTCGGTGGTGGGCGTACATGATGGCATCATCCTCGAGGTCGCCACACCCTCGTGAGACCTGCAATGCTTTGTTGTCGTGGGGCGATGCCATCACTGCGCATGCATCCCTGCAATCGTAGCAACATCTTGTACGAATATGACACAGTCGTCTGATACACGTGTCGGCACAAAGATAATAATTATGTGTGATTCAAATATTATAACGTTATTTATCTTTCTCTGATTTCATTTGTCTGTGACTTGATGTGACAATGCAGTGCAGGTCATTGTTTTATCCTTTGTTTCCCTACGCGGTCAAGCCATCAACTCGGTATTTCAATACACCCCTGAGCTTTATGATATGCCACTGGTAGGCACAAATAAGTTCTGACAGTCCATTTCACTAACTCAGTAGGAAGTTTTGAGTGGCTCATCGAGTCGCTGCCAGGAGTCAGTCACAGGAAGGGAGGTCCGATTCGCTCCACCAATGAATGTTCAACGCGATTGTGGGCTTCAAGTTCATAACCGATCAAGCTTTGATGGCCGTTTAGTTCATTCGCATATGTGCATGTGCACACTTATCGACGAATTAAAACCGTGATAAGTGGCGTTTGTTTATAAGATGCATTTAAACTCGCTCTGATTATCATTATCTGGGTGACACTCTTGAATTCTTGACGCGCACTCACTTGACTTCCTATGATTGAACTACTACTAGCCATCATCCCCCCCGCCTTACTGGTGATCTTGTTATTATACTTTAGCCCTGGAGCAGATGACCATGGACATTTGCCATCTTCCGATATCCCTAGTCAACGGGCCATCTGGTATATCGGAAGCGCTAGCTTTTTCATGAATCCATCGCAATTTTTGATAGATTCTATGAAAAGGGCAAATAATTCCATTTTCTCCTTTCGCATTTTTGATGTGAGTGTTCCCATTTATTCGTTCCGTCGCAGCTCACTACAATGGCACTGAAAAACAACAGAGTACGGTTGTAGTCTTGCGGGGGGTTACTGGAAGAAACGCATTCTTTTCAAAAGGTTCACCTTTTTGCGCGAATTATTCATTGTCGACTCATGATCATCTTCACAGGCCTTGATTTCATGGCTGGATATAGATTATTGGGGAGTAATATCTATAAATATACTGACTTTCATCCTTACGGAAGTTCGTACAGAATCCGCTACTCGAGACAATCAGAGACGAGAACATGGCAAGCGTGATAGCGACATGTACGCGCCCTGATGTATTGGAACGTTGTAAGTTGCAGTTCTGTTCCATCGTATATAGAATCTAATCGATCATAGTATTACCATTGATGGTGGAAGATGCTTTGCAAACATTCGAAATGTGGGGAAATCACGGAGCAAAAAATATTTCCAAGAGCCTCGACGAGGTAGCTTCAGTCTCTCATATTAAATGTCACTGGTGATCGAAAACATCCCCAGATTGTTTTTACCCTGGCTGCAAGAATGACGATGTGCCGCGAGTTCTCTGAGGACCCGAAGAAAATTCGTGCATTGATCAGCATTTTCAAGCGGCTTGAAGATGGCTCGGACCACAATGCCCTCATAGTTCCTTGGTTCCCGACTCCAGCCAGATTTGGGAGGATACTTGCTGGGGTGCAATTACACCGCATGATTTCTGCAGTTATTCTTTCGAGGAAAGATCGTCGTGAAGACGACCCACTGCAGACCATGATAGACAAAGGCCTTTCTCCCACCAAAACCACTGTGGTCAGTCACTTACCTATCTCTCTACTCACAACATAAACGCTCTACCGTAGTTGCTTGCTACCATGCTATTTGCTGCAATTGGCAACACCGGAAACGTGATCACCTATTTGCTCCTTCATCTAGAAGCCAACCCGAAGTGGAAAGTACTCGTCGAGAATGAGGCGAGACAGTTGTACAAAGACTCGCACACCTTTGGACGCGACGATGGTAAACCCTTGTTTTCAATGAATTCCATAGAAACGCAGATGCCGCTTTTCGATGTCTGCATTTCCGAAACGTTGCGCATGCTTTTCAAAGGACCATTCATTAGAAGAAGTGTAGAAGACATGTTCGTGGACCAAAAACACATACCACGCGGAACTTATGTCATGTTCCCAACCGCCGACCTTCATGATAATGCTGCATTCTATTCGACACCGCAGGAATTCAACCCGGAGAACTTTTCAGCAGGTGCGATCCAAGAGCGACGACGACATGGAACTACGTTCGTGGGATGGGGTGCTGGTCGTCATATGTGCGCTGGGAAAAGAGCTGCACAAATGCTCATGAAGGTCATCGTCATTCTCCTTCTATCGCAATTCGACATTCAGATTGTTACTGATGGGGGGGAACCGGCACGAAGAGTTCCAGAACAGGTAGAAAATCAGTTGTTCAAGGTGTGTCCACCCAAGCAAGCTGTAACACTTCGCTATGAGGTACGGCGCCAGTAACGGTCACTAGGATTACTCTGCTGTCATATTCACTTCTACGGTGTTTGCTTGCATCCCCATGTCAAGCCGTTGTGCTGTATATTATAATTTATCGCACTGACGTTGCGTACCCGAGCCATCCCTGACTTGTTATTTTTATTTTCCCGGACCCTGATCATAGCACTAGTACATGTGTCTTCTACCGTTGCGACGAGCTGTAGAGTAAAACATGCATTACAAACGAATAGATTGCGTTGTATGGTGCAGACGGAATTGCCAACTCTGATAGAGTCGTTGCCATTCTCATGTGTTCAAGTTGGGTTCAGGCGGGGTGACATCACCAAACATCTGTTCAAATTTTTTGGGGCGCGCGATTTGCGCGTGATGTACTTGAACAATGCTTGAGTTGGCTTGCGTGGGATTTCCCTGCGCACGACTGCGTCCAACCAACCGTCCGACCAGCCAGGCCTCAAGAAGATTCGAGGCTTTCCCCCACCACTCCATCAAACCAACCGTCGACCAGCCAGGCCTCAAAAAGATTCGAGGCTTGAGAGCCTGGCCCATGACGACTGCACATCATTGATCTGCATAATACCCCGCCTTGCACTGCGAAAATTCGTGATCGAAACCGTGATCTGCTCCACGCAAACTGTGATTCTCCTCTTTCGAAACTGTGACTGGGGGAGGATAACTGTGATTCGGCGTTCGCTAAGGATAGCTCTCGCCCGATCATCATGTTTACAGGTTCACTGCCACCATCATACGTTGTTCCTGCCAGTTTCATGTTTATGAGCGTGGCTTCGAAGTTCTATCACGAAGGTATCATATGGCCGGCGGACTCATTCTTAGAACGTTCACCCGGCAGGTGCATATGGATCAGTGCGCGATTAAAGCTGCGTTGTCACACATGAATCACTTCTGACCATCATGATTCACGAACTTTCGGACCTGTTCGATTTCATTCAGGGTGTTGCAGTGAATGAAAATAAGTTCCAGCGAACATATATACAAAGATATCTGAAACTGCGCGTTTGTAAGACTCGGATGATGATGATGTTCCGACATCCAAATCGAACAAAATTGTTTAATAGCGGTCAAGTCCTCCGAAGTGATAGTAGTTCCAGAAGAAAAATAGTGGTCCAGGGTCGACGTCCAGGGACCATTTACTTTTTGCCTTGTTTCTGTGAGAATCAAGTTCAATCAACACCACTATCCAGCGCGGCCCTTGGGTTTCATATATATCATACATATCAGTATTACACAACACTGCATCACGATCATCATCTTACAAGCGCACAATCTCCGATATCTTCGTGATGGATCCTCAGGCCTCGGGCCTCAAAGTGGAGTCTTGCTCGAAACAGGCTGTTGCATCAATCAGGTTGCTGATGACGGTCCATCAGCAAAACTGTAAAATGAACGCTTGGCAATTATTATAATTATTCTGGTTCGAAGCTATTACGACCTCTTACCGGACCTGCTGATTGAGCTCTGATTGGTGGAGATACGAGTGTAACATAATTGTTGCAATACCCTAAGATTGTTCTACAGTGCGTCGCAAATTCCTAATTTGGATTAGTACAGCGCCTTGCAACAAGAGGCGTGCGATGACGAAATCCAAAACACTGGCTACCTGCTTACTATACTATTGGTTACCACTTGCTCGTGCACACCACATTTCGTGCAGTTTAGTCACACTGGCTTTTTACAGACTTGAGTGCGTGCCATCCATGCGCGTCTGAGTTGAAACTCCGCTGCGGCAGCGGATGGCAGGTGACAATGGAAGTGACAGAAGCCTTTGTCACCACCACATCAGCAAACTACTTCGTTCTGTACAGCATGCAAGATGCACAGCTTGGTCCCTTCTGTACACTTCACTACAATAACACTTCATTCTGTTAGTTCCTGTACAGACTACTACAGATACCTACTGAAAATTGTGTCATGCACAATATTTCGAAACTGTGACGAAAAATATTGTGTGCTACTGTCCAGTAGCACACCAACCTGTAAAGCTGTACTGTTCTGTCCACACATGTAAAAGATGTACACAACCAAATGAATATATTGAATCATGGATAACACGGAAACACAGATGCAGATACTACTAGTAATAATGACGAATGTGCGAACGCTCGAGAGAATGATAATCGCAAAATAGCGGTCCGAATCTAATCAAGCAGGACCCGCAAATGACGATGCTTTGATGTGTCCTTGCCGTCAACTCCGCAGAATTGCACCCTGCGTGGATTTAATTAGCGAAGACTTCCGTTTATTTTGAAAAAAGTTCCTTACCATCCTTCTGCAGCCCACTCACGAAGCTGTCATGTCAACTTAGGGCCGTTGTAGAAACAACAATACCGAGAGGAACAAATGAAGCTCCAGACTGTATCTGTAAATGTTGTAAGGTCGCGCGTTGCCTAGTCTGCTATACCTGAGACGACAAGTGCGTTTGACCCTAAAGGGGAAGCGAGTGCAGCAAGGATCTGGTAGTAGGCGCTGAAGGCGCTACTGGTCGGCCAATGCGAAGCGCGGGAAAGCGAAGGTACGCACGAGGCGCGGGAAGCGCGCGTGCGCGTGAGCGGAAACAAGTGAGAGTAAGTGTGAGTTTGCTTAAGTGGTGATATGATGCAAGGCAAGAGATGTGAGTGTAGTGATGTTCCGGCCCGGCTTAGGCTCGGCCTGGGGGGGGCTTAGGCTCACCAGATTTCAAGCCTGAGCCGTGAGCCCAAGCCGGCCCAAAGCCGGGGCTTAGGCCCATGCAAGCCGCTGTAGGGATTCATTTCTGGCTGGGCTTGTAGAGACTGTTTTTACCTTACCTTATGTTGGCACTTTTGTAGCTTACATAAGCAAGTTATCTTTTCACCAGTTATGAGTAGGAGTCAGAGTACTCAGCAAGTTTTCATGATATTTCCTCTCCTCTGAGCCTTGAGCCTGGTCCAGAAACCCTTTAGGGTCGAATAGCAGCTAGGTTCTGCAAGACCCAACATTGTTCAGACTCACTCTCTGAATTGTTGTACCTTCACCGCGGCCCAAATTGATGTCCGAGCTCCACCATACTGTTCCCAACACCATGAACACCATGCGCAAACGCCCAGCACACGTCAGCAACTGCTGACGTGGCTCAGACGAATATGGACGATGGACGAGAGCAGGAGAAGGGAAGAAGACAAGGAGGAGAACGAGAATGAGAGAGAGGAGATGGACGATCGGTAGCACTCGAGTACTTTGATTCTGCACGCCCGGAAGAGTAAGCGCTGAATACTATAACTCAGATACCTGAAGTGCAGCATTGAGAAGGCGTAGGTACTTGCGCTTGCCGTATGTGAGTCGAAGAGGGATGTATTTCGAATGGTCGACGAACCACTCGCCAACCTTGGATCCAATTGTAGGTTGGGCACCTTGAATGAGGATTAAATTTGTGTGGTTCTGGGAAGACCTTGGGATCATTTGCGATAGCCCTGAAGCACGAGCGTCAGACCCAAATGTGAGAGGACAAAAATGAATGCCTACTGACCAATGGTTGCCAATAACAGTCGCACCTGCAGGAATGAGGTAGTTATTCCAAATTATGTCCTTAGTCGCGCGATGCGCAAAGCCTGTATTGCAAGGTGGTTGTTCATTATCGCGTCATCACAGCTCAAATAAAACACACCTCCAAGAGTGACAGGTCTCCACCTGAGACTCTCGAGCATGAACACGGTAACTTGCGGCAGCATTTCCTGATCAGCAAATGTCGGTACTAATCAGGAGCTTTTTCAGTAAGTAGATTAACATAGCATAGGCGCTGCCTACACTGTGTACGCCCCATGACGTCATCAAGTTCCTCTTGTACATGAGTCTGTGCATCTGTGTAAATGGTAGCGGCCATCATCATGATTGTGATTGCGGATGCAGTCTACAACAGTTGTCAACTTATGACACGATGCAATGTAAGAAATTACCGTATCAGAACCGGCGGCAAACATTCCTCCCGCAATGTATCCCAGTTGCTTGTCTTCGAGCTGGTACTGTTTCTGGTGTTCTAAAATGAACCTTGCAAATGATGGCCTCGCAGTCCCCTCACGCTTCACGGTGATGAGTGAGGAAATGTGTCATCGCAGTAAAACCACGAACCATTTGTCTTCGCACAGTGTCCAACGGGCCAGGCGGACGATGATCTTGTGTTCCATTTGAGATTAACGGATCTAGGCTTTTGGTCACGACTCACCATTTCATGCGTATGTAGTTGAAGTTGAGAGGAATCGTGTCATAGTAAGAGTCAGTAATGAGAACATGCCAAAGGGGCGTGACCACTGACGTGACAAGGTGTCATATACTCTATGTACCAAAGCCGCGGCTTGGGCTGCCAGCTTAGGCTTGTCTAAATCCAAGCCCAGGCCTAAGCCCTACTCAGGCCGTGACTTAGGCCTGGGCTGGGCCCGGCCTATTTGGGCCCGGCTTGGGCCGGCCCAGGGCTTCAAGCCAGGCCTGGCACATCACTATGTGAGTGTGAGGTGCCAAGGAATAGATTGCAACTATACTCTGCTAGGTAGTAAGTGGGTAAGTGGGAGGTGAAGTTCCCTGGTTGGAAGGTTATGTGAGTAATATTATGTACTGCTGGCGCTTATATACGGCGCCTAAGCGCTGTCATGCGGAGCCGAATCGCTACCGAGTAAGGTATGCAAAGATATATGTAAGTAAGGGTCCATGATAAGAATAAAGGTGGTATGATATGCAAATAAGGGCAAATGGAAATACACGCACTAGAGAACTTGGTGGACAGTGGATGGATGCTTCCGGATGGCGGGCGCTATAGGGCGCTCAAGCGCAGGAAAGCGCGCGCGCGTATACGTCGTGAAGCGCGGGAAGTGTGCGCGCATGTTGCGCATTGCGCGGGAAAGCTGCGCCTCGTAAGGGAATAGCTGCGGATAGCATACAGAGTGATGCTGCAAGTTCGTGCTGTGTACTCCCTAGTGAAAACTGCCATATCACACGATGAGAGGCATGAGTCTCTACACCGCTCAAACAACCACAGCTGGAGATAACGAGATCAGTCAGCCAGTAAAAAAGAAACATGCTGCGTTGAAGTTGAGTTTTCGAGACAGCATGAATGCTAATTGCAAGGTATCCAATGGTGGAGTCACAGTCTGTACCAGTGACAGTGACACATGTGTTGGAAGCACAACAAAGATTGGTGATGGGAAAATTAAAATGTCGTAAGTCGCTTTTAGCTATGCTGATTCTATCAGAACTCACTCTGTATTACTTTGATTACATCTGTGCATACCATACTATCAGCACCAATCTCAAGCAGGTGATCAGTTCTGACCTTGCAGGGCCCATTCCCGACTGGGTGGAGAAAGTTGCATCACAAACTCAGCTGAAACCAAGTGCACCGCCAAGTGTGCGAAGGACAGCACGACCCACCGAGTCTGCTGTGGATCTTGATGACAAACCTGAAGAATACAGTGAGCCAGCACCAAAAGTGCAGAGGGGAAAGGTCAGTGGCCATTTGAGCTGTGTACACATACTTACCTGAGTGAGAACATTGTGCATCTGAATGAGAAACCAAAATTCACCTCAAGAGGCAAGAAGCGCTCACTCCCAGTCCCAGATGAAACAGAGTTGTCCGCAGAAGAACTCGAGATTCTGGAGGATCCGGAGGCTGATGAAGAACCGGAGAACCTCGAAGACCTGGATGCTGCCGAAGACTTCAAGATGCTTGAGGATGGGGAGGCCGAACATGAAGACAACGAAAGCAATTCCACGATGGTGGTGGATAAGGCTAGCATGGCATGATGCACAAGCTCTGTAAGTCATTGGTCAATCTTGATGGGATAGAACTGATACTCGGATAGATGTCAGTTGATGTCTCGGAGCAGAAACCCGCAACAAAGCAGGCTAAAGGCTGTACTACTAAGATCAAGGCAGAGGTCAAGACTGAGCCTGAGGCTGTAGTGTCAGAAAATATTTGTGCAAAGCTCAAGAAAGGCAAGGCGAGGAATGCACACCTACCCAGTGCAGTCCTCGAAAACAGAATATGGCACCTGAAGTTCCTTCCCTGTGTGATGTATTGGGTTGGTAACAGCGACTATGGATGGACCATACCAGAGGCTGAGCTCGAGTCTGTGCTTGAGGCGATATTTTACGCAGTATACCCACGTACTAAAGGACCATGTGATTTCAATGTTGAGGAGTTGGCTTTTCATCTGGTCTGCATTCAGTTTTTGACTTTTAATGGCTACTGATTCACTTCACCCAGGTAAGCCAAAGGGTCCACAAATGGCAAGCTTCATTTGGTTCAACAGCCGTCACTGTTTTGATGGCTTTTTTCACGTCAATGCCCGAGTATGAGACCCAGGAAGCCCGTGAGGAATACACCGAGTATCAACTCCAGGAATGCCATTTCATCTATGAAGATCCTGACAACAAAGAGCAACCCGGTGTCTTCTTGTCAGAATATATACTACGCATTTTTGCTGCACACCTCACCACAGTCACCAGGAAAGTAAGGGTGGATTCATTGGTTGAATTTGGCAAGCCTGGGTATCAGACCGCACTGGCGCTCACAGCTGTGGCAGTAAGTTTTTTTTTATCTCTTTGTTGGGGAATGTTAACTATATTTCATAGGTTGAGCGTGCTCTCGTCTTAGTCAAAGATCGGTTGTTGATTGATAGCGACCCCGCTGACAATGGTGGTAAAACTCACAAGATCGTACAGACACTTAATGAAGTGACTAATAAGATGAGCCATACCGGGACAGCATTTTCATCTGGAAACTGGGAGACGGACACCATGGCGTACATGGACAGTATCAAGGCTCTACCCTATGAATGCATCCAAGAGATTCTCGAGCAGTTGGAAAACTATATGAAGCACCCACGTTTCAATCATCACAGTTCAGCGGATGATGGTTCCACCGCCCCAGTCAACAAACGCTCCCGCCTTCATATCTGTAATGTGTATCTATTTCCTCTTTTTTCAACCGCTAACTTTATTCATTTAAACAGGAGGAGGACACATCATTTTTTTTGAGTAAGTACCTTTCAGAATCACCCCAATTGGTGTACTAACCTATTGACAGATACTACCGCAATATCATCATTTCCCCTCATTTCCTGCTCTTTCAACCAGCGGCTCCACTGCTTGCATACTATACCCTTTTTCTGAGCCCGCTGAAGGTACAACAATTCAGAGAGTGAGTCTGAACAATGTTGGGTCTTGCAGAACCTAGCTGCTATTCGACCCTAAAGGGTTTCTGGACCAGGCTCAAGGCTCAGAGGAGAGGAAATATCATGAAAAATTGCTTAGTACTCTGACTCCTACTGGTAACTGGTGAAAAGATAACTTGCTTATGTAAGCTACAAAGGTGCCAACATAAGGTAAGGTAAAAACAGTCTCTACAAGCCCAGCCAGAAATGAATCCCTACACCGCTCTATTGTTCGGACGCTATAACCACCTTCCTTAAACTTTCAAACCTCCTTATTTTGCCTTATCTAAAGCTCCTGGTCTGATCTGCACACTCCTTAATGGTTTTCTGCGCTAGCCGAGGCACGAGGCTAGCGCAGAAATGAGTCTACACTTGAGTAAGCAAAGGTGGCGCAACGCACCTTGCTCTGACTCACATCAGTAGTCGAGCTACAGTCTCTCATTATTAGTCTTCTCTTATCATCTACTATACCCCGCTGCCTTTCTTTACAGCGCTATCTATCATAATGCCAATCCTCACAGAAAACCCTAATTTAGCCGTTATTCCAAACTTCCTATCACTCGAACACGCAGAAGCTCGCGCGCAACTCATCAGTGACGCAATAGACAACCAACAGGCAGCAGACCTTCTAGCTAGTCTCTGACACATTCAGAACAACGCGGACAAAATCCGATGGGCAGACAGACTGGAAGACGAAGAAGCCGAACACAGACAGGAAGCAGAAGCTGAGGCCAAAAGACAGTGAACACTTCTCGCAGAACAAGAAGCCGCTATTTTGGAAGACCGAAAGAAGAACAAATCAAAGTACACTCCAATTTGTAACGTTGACGTCCCCTCCAACCCAGTCATTCTTCCATGCCAATACGCTGTTCGAAAGATGAAGTCTGGGGACTATTGTGAATTATTCTATTTCACAAACACTGGTCTAGAAGAAGCCTCCCAAGCCACTTTCACTGCAGACGAAGATGCCCTTGTTATGCTACCCACTTCAGATGGACTACACAAATGGATCCCTGCCGGTGCAGCGCGAGATCCCAAAGCGCACGTGCTGAAAGATGAAAACCTCACATGGGAGCAATTCAATGAAGCGGCCCCTCGCATGATTATGATAATGAGAGAGAATGATTGGCTGGATGACAGAATCGACATGCATGTAGCCTTCTGGTCTGCATTGCAAAACCATCGTTGGCGGCACGACTTCGATGCCCACAAGCAACGAGCACTGCTGCTCTACCAAGCCCAACAGCGACGGCGATGGCACCTGTCCATTGGCAGCTCAAATAGCTGGAGCTTAGCAAAGATCAACCAAGATCTCCTAAACGAAGCTCGAGAGTCAATTTTCGACCAATTTAGAATCCAACAGCTTTCCATACAGGTTCGTATGCTTGTTAAAAGATCCTAAATAAACATATGCTAAAATAACTCCTCTCCATCCTCCTTTCCTTGTCTTTTTGCGATCGCCGCCCTTTGCACAATGTTTGGCATCACGTCCAAACACCAACCCCCCCTCCCTCTACCAAACCCCGGACATCATGTTCCACCCAACCAAAACTGGCCATCGCGGCTACGTCCATCCCTGGACTACTTTTCGGCCACCACATGCCACAAACCACTACCCTCCCACCTTCCCTACCCTTCTTGACACTTAGTCTCGTGCCATCGCGGCCACATCTACGAGCAAGAGCCAACCGCAGCACAATCACTCGGTTTCCAGTTCCCAAAAGTGCTCTCCGCCTCCATCACCAGACTTAAGAATCCCCAAGAAGCCTAGAACCTTTCGTGATCCCAATGCACCGCTACCCTGTTGCGCCATATGTCTCGGACGCAACCCCCACCGAACAATTGACTGCGCAGCAACCCTCACCTGGGATGGAAAACACAACACCATCTCAGAGCGCATCCATAAAGCCCTCTGGACGAAGGAAGGAAAACAACTCTGCACATCCTGGCAACGAGAGGAAGGGTGCAACAGCAATAGACACGACTCCAGCCACATCTGCTCAGGATGTGGAGCAGTCACTCACGGAGCCCAGCGCTGCCCTAGAGCGCAGAAGGCATAATCCTATCACACCCTACAAAGCGGACGTCTGGACTAGGAAGCTCCGCAACGCAGGACTCCTCCCACGCTTTTCTAAAGTCCCTGAAGGTATTCATTATGGTTTCAATTTAAATTTTCCCACTATCTCTTCTATGCAATCCCCTCCTAATAAACAATCCATCATTATGTACAAAGACCAGTTTCTCGCCAGTATACAGAACAAACTCCAATCAATGCTGTAGAAACAACAATACAGAGAGGAACAAACGAAGTTCCAAACTGTATCTGTAAATGTTGTAAGGTTGCGCGTTGCCTAGTCTGCTATACTTGAGACGACAAGTGCATTCGACCCTAAAGGGGAAGTGAGTGCAGCAAGGACCTAGTAGTGCGCGCCGAAGGCGCTACTGGTTGGCTGATGCGAAGCGCGAGAAAGCGTGCAGGTGCGCGCGAGGCGCGGGAAAGCGAAGGTACGCGCGTGAGCGGTAATGAGAGAGAGTAAGAGTGAGTTTGCTTAAGTGGTGATTTGTGATGCTAGACAAGAGATACGAGCGCGAGGTGTCAAAGAATAGATTTCTACTATGTTCTCCTAGGTAGTATGTGGGTAAGTGGGAGGTAGAGTGCCCAGTTCGAAAGTTGGAAAAGTTCCTTTCAGTATGTAATGCTGGTGCTTATATACGGCGCCTAAGCGCTGTCACGCGGAGCTGAAGCGCTACCGAGTAAGGTATGTAAAGCTATATGTAAGTAAGGGTCCAAAATAAAGGTGGAATGATATGTAAATAAGGGAAATGGAAATACACGCACTAGAGAGCTTGGTGGACAGTGGATGGATGCTTCTGGAAGGCTGGCGCTATAGGGCGATCAAGCGCGGGAAAGCGCGCGCGCGTATACATCGTAAAGCGCGGGAATGGTGCGCACATGGCGCGCATTGCGCGGGAAAGCTGCGCCTCATATAGGGATAGCTGCAGATAGCACACAGAATGGTGCTGCAAGTTCGTGCAATGAACTCCCTAGTGGAAAGTGCCATATCACACCATGAGAGGCATGAGTCTCTACAACGCATTACATAGGACCCTTCTCTACTTATACCCTCTCCAGTCTCATTGGACCGTTGTAGAGACTCATGCCTCTCATGGTGTGATATGGCACTTTCCACTAGGGAGTTCATTGCACGAACTTGCAGCACCATTCTGTGTGCTATCTGCAGCTATCCCTATATGAGGCGCAGCTTTCCCGCGCAATGCGCGCCATGTGCGCACCATTCCCGCGCTTTACGATGTATACGCGCGCGCGCTTTCCCGCGCTTGATCGCCCTATAGCGCCAGCCTTCCAGAAGCATCCATCCACTGTCCACCAAGCTCTCTAGTGCGTGTATTTCCATTTCCCTTATTTACATATCATTCCACCTTTATTTTGGACCCTTACTTACATATAGCTTTACATACCTTACTCGGTAGCGCTTCAGCTCCGCGTGACAGCGCTTAGGCGCCGTATATAAGCACCAGCATTACATACTGAAAGGAACTTTTCCAACTTTCGAACTGGGCACTCTACCTCCCACTTACCCACATACTACCTAGGAGAACATAGTAGAAATCTATTCTTTGACACCTCGCGCTCGTATCTCTTGTCTAGCATCACAAATCACCACTTAAGCAAACTCACTCTTACTCTCTCTCATTACCGCTCACGCGCGTACCTTCGCTTTCCCGCGCCTCGCGCGCACCTGCACGCTTTCTCGCGCTTCGCATCAGCCAACCAGTAGCGCCTTCGGCGCGCACTACTAGGTCCTTGCTGCACTCACTTCCCCTTTAGGGTCGAATGCACTTGTCGTCTCAAGTATAGCAGACTAGGCAACGCGCAACCTTACAACATTTACAGATACAGTTTGGAACTTCGTTTGTTCCTCTCTGTATTGTTGTTTCTACACCGTTTCAATCTTCCCCCCTGTCAATTATCCCGAAACCTGGCAAGCCAGGCAAGTTTAGATTAATTCAGAACTTCTCCTTCCCTCATTCCTTTGATCCCCAATTCCTGAACCCGTCCATCAATTCATATATCAATGCTAATGATTTCCCCACTACATGGGGAAAGTTTTCGGTCATTTACCTACTTATATCGAGACTCCCCCCAGGATCGGAGGTGGCCATGCGTGACGTCGCAGATGCCTATTGAACCATCCCCCTTCACCCCTCCCAATGGCCCGCTGTGGTAGTACGCACATCTAATACTGAATTTTATGTTGACACGTGCACAGCATTCGGAGCAACACCTTCTGCAGGTGCTTACGGGCATGTGGCAGATGCAGGCGCAGAGATTCTCCGGTTTGAAGGCCTAGGCCCATTAGACAAATGGGTAGATGACCATATTTTCTTTAGAATCCGAAGAGAATTTCGGAATGAATACAACCAAAAACGGGCAGAATGGCACCATGATTTAGCCCAACGAGGCATGCATCAAACTGGCAGCAGAATATGGTTTGGCAGCCGCGTGTTTGATGACGGCTCAACGGAAGAATTTAGCAAGGACTGCTCCCAGCCCATCAGAGACCTGTCCAGCAATTCACCAAGATCGGATCACGATCTCCTCTTCTGCTCCAACATGCAGGACATCGACGATGCCTCCGTGGATTTAGGCATCCTCTGGCAACTTCCCAAGGACCAGCCCTTCGCTTCCACCACTATCTACATCGGCTTTCTATGGAACCTCTCCCTCCGTTTGGTCGCACTATGTCTCACAAAGGTCGATAAGTACCTCATGGCCATCCACTCATGGAGAAAGAAGCCAACGCACGTGCTGCAAGAAGTGCTCGAGCTTTACGGAAAGTTGATGCATGCCTCCGCAGCAGTGATAAGGGGAAGGGCGTATCTTACGAGTCTGGAACGCATGATTGCCGTATGCTGGAAGAAGCCCCTTCTCCCACACCACCCCGATAAAGAGGTCAAACCAGACCTTGACTGGTGGACAGAACTGCTACAATCCGGAGGAGTAGCTCGCCCAATCTACCCACCAGCGCAGTTTTCGAAACCCCTCACCTTTTCAGATGCCAGTTCAAGCATCAGCATTGGCATCGTCATTGGTGACCAGTGGCGCGGTTGGAGACTCGTACCTGGGTGGCAGACAGCCAACAATGCAAGACGAGACATTGGCTGGGCCGAAGTCATCGGCTTCGAACTCTTGGTCTACACCCTCGCCTCTCTCCCTCACGTTGGCAACCACATCATTGTCTATGGTGACAACACGGGTGTGGTGGAGGGCTGGTGGAAAGGAAGCCACCGAAACAAAGCTGTCAATGAGGTCTTCCGATGCATACATGAGTTCATTCACACTCTACCCAGACATTTCAAAATCCGCACAGAGTATGTCACCAGCAAATCTAACCCTGCTGATGACATCTCCAGAGGCTTATATGGGCCCAAACACCTTCTACTCCCTGAGACCCACATTCCAAGCCAAATCAGAGATCTTGTCATCGACGCCACAGCCCCCCTCACCCCAACAGAACTTCGCCTATTCCGTGATGGGAAGTACGCCCCTGCTGCCGCCAAAGTCATCAACTGAGCCCTCACTCGCCAACAAGCCTTTGAGCGAGCCAGAGCATTGCACGCAGAAGAAGAAGAAATCATATTCAACGCCATCTCTGACTAGCACGACTCCTCCACACACTCGTTTTAGTGCCCCGCTAGTATCTACTTCTCTCTCCCTGCCCAATACTCCTTCTCCCCAATGCTACAGACCCGGCCTCGCCCCTCTTCCCTCACCCTTGAGACCGCACTGCCTCGCACGCGAACGTCTCCATAAATGGCTACCATCAGGTGGCAATGCGCGGCTCCCAACACACGCAACCCCAGACATACCAGATATCAACATCTCGGACGAACAACTAGATCGTATCCTAGAGGTCATGGGTGCGTCCTGGGCACAATCCACCAAAGAGACTTATGGTGCGGGACTCCTAGTATTTCATGTATACTGCGACACTCTTAATATCCCAGAAGAGCAACACTGCCCAATCCCCCCCACTCTCCTTCTTGCCTTTTTATCGAGCTGCGCAGGCTCATACTCAGCATCAGCACTGGCCAACTATGCAGCTGGTTTAAAAGCCTGGCATCTTTTACATGGCCGTCCGTAGATTGTAGATGCCAAAGAACTCAAGGCTATCCTCAACAGAGCAGCCACGCATGCTCCAACCTCATCGAAATGTTCTAAGCGTGCCCCATTCACAGTAGACATTCTCTCAACCATTCGCGCGCACGTCGATCTCAATGACCCTCGAGATGCAGCCATTTTTGCATGTATCACAACCACGTTCTATTCCATAGCAAGACTTGGGGAGTTTACCGTACCTACTATCAAAGCCTTTGACCCCAACAAACACGTCACCTGTGACTCCATTTCAGCTGCCGTAGATTGCAACGGCCTGCCGGTCACCAAATTCCATATCCCGAGCACAAAAGCATCTCCACTAGAAGGAGAAGATGTTTATTGGGCGCAACAAGATGACCCGTCAGACCCAAAAGCTGCTCTAGAAAACCACCTTCGAATCAACGCGTCCAAAGACAAAGTGCACCTCTTCGCCTGGAAACATCCCAAAGGCCTAAGACCCCTCTCGAAGAAAGAACTCACCAAGAGACTCTCTTCCATTGCGCACGTCGCCAACCTTCCAGACCTTAAAGGACACGGACTTCGGATAGGTGGTACTCTAGAGTATCTGTTAAGAGGAGTCCCGTTTGACATTGTCAAATCTATGGGAAGATGGTCAAGCAATGCATTCACCCTATACCTCCGAGAACATGCAGTCATTATTGCACCATACATTCAAGCTTCACCATTGTTAGAGCCTTTCATGCGCCATATGATGCCGCCAGTGCGATAACCACATGCTGTAAGTGCCACTCCTATGTTTTTCAAGGTGTCAAGCTTCGCAGTTAGCGTCGCCGCACTCCTAGAATCTTGGGATCATAGCTCACCTTGAAACCTTAGGTCCTTGCGCAGGCGCTGGGCTGAAAAGCCCTACGGGCTTTTACCCAATCAGTTTCCCTCGCTTTCATTAATCAATTGCTATCACACTTGTACCTAGTCCATAACAACTCACCCTGCTCCGTTTCTCCAATAAACTGCGCATCAAAGGCATAGATGGCATTCTTTTTGTGTCCTTACATGTCTTAAATGCGCATAACCTACTGAATCTCCTTATTTTGAGTAACAAAAATGTTGCGCATAAGACAAAAAAGTCACTTTAAGGATGATTTAAGTGGAAAATAACCTACTGAATCTCCTTATTTTGAGTAATGAAAATGTTGCGCATAAGACAAATAAGTCACTTTAAGGATGATTTAAGTCAATTTAAGTGGACCTAGGTTTTCCTGATGTCAACTGCATGTTCCAAGGTTTTATATAGCTGCATGTAGTAGCACTCTGACAGACTACAGTAGTACCTGGTAGCTACTGGTAGCTACTACAGGATTCTATGGTGAATACATAGAGGGGACTTGACGACGGGGCTACTCGCGCTACCCTGACTATATAGTACTATGTAGTCACCTTCTTTTTTCCTGATGCTGGATCTGAGGCATTGCTGAGCGGGCTTAGAAATGGCAGCTGTGACAAATTGTGACAAAAGCGTTACTTGACGACTTGTAGGGGTGACGACTCAGCCGGGAAGGATAGTATTTTGGCTCAAAAAAATTAGTAATTAGTAAGTTAGTAAAGCGGCTGTTGGTGTGATCTAATTTTACAGCTGAACTTTACAAGTTAACTTTCAACCATACATTCCTACCATAAGAAGAATATCACAGTAGTACGTACATTCCCAGAATGCGGTATCTGATCGGACATCACAACAACGCTGTCCTGTTTCATCTAAATTATTTTAGATGATTGGCCTCGTGTTCTGCGAAGTTCAAATGGCTGTGGCGAGCGGGACGCTAGATCGGCGCGTTGAAGGGATGCATATATACCCTTTAAAATGCCATTGCGAATGCCATACTTTGCACTTGTGGTAAGATGATAACGCTGGCATCCCAATCCAACGTCTCAATACCCCTTCCTCCCCCGGGAACAAACTATCTTGCAACTCTTAAGTTATCTATACCATGGTTGCTGACTGGCACGGTGTTGTCATCGCTCCTCATACCGATTCTTATTGCCTTGCTAGTGTTCTCAACTCCCCAGACTCGCCGTCATCCAATTTTTATGTTCAATATGCTCGGAGTCCTTCTGGGTTTAGCAGAAGGGGCGCTTAACATCTATCTCGAGGTCTGATGCCATATAAATTCGTTGGGAATGTGCTGACAGCTGAAGAAGGTTCATACCATACTTTCTCCGACAGTAGCAGAATCAAAGGCAGCCGTTATAGCATATACTGCCGTCGCCTTCTTCGGGCCGCTTGTGGCAGAGATCACTTTGGTGATACGTCTTACTGTAGTATATCCTCGCAGAACTACTCCCAAGGTCAAATTCTGGTCGCTCCTCCTTGTTCCGATAACCCTCAAAGTGATTCGCGCCATCAATATGTCAATCTTTCTTCACTATTATGTTGTTGCAGTTACGAGTGCTGGGGATTCCATTGCCGCAGGCGAATCTTTATGGGGAGATTGGCAAACGAAATTCGAATGGATCCTGCAGGCCGTTGATAATGCGTCAGTCAAACCTTGTGCCACTTTCTGTTTGTGTGTTGACATGATCCGTTCAGGTTCGTATCATTCATGTTCCTACATCGTTTGACTCGCAATACCAGCGCTTCTGAAGGAGTCATCCGCCCAAGTATGCCTGCCTATATCATATTTTGCATTGTTCCTCATTCACTTTATAGGGGCAATAGCTAAACGCCTTCAGGGACTCTTCGTCATTGCGCTGTGCAATTTTGTTTTCCCCGTTGTCCTCAATATCATCCAACTTGGCCTCATTTTCAGCTCGACCACCTCGTTCTTCCAAACGAGCATGGTGTACATGGTCAATAATTACGTCAACATTATCGGCGTCGTGTTTGCCACAATATGGTCGATTGGCTCGCGTAAATTGGAGAGTTCCCTTCCTCCCATTACCAGTAGATCGTTATCGACCTCGGACAGTACGATCAATCCTGGGAGGATGCGCATCGATAGCCACAACTTCAAATCAGTCAATTTAGTTGAGAGCATTGAGCTTCAAGGTCAGAAACATAGGACACCGGCTGATAAGGGAGCACCTCAGGCTGCAAGTCAAGGTAAAGATGGATATGTTTGAGGTTTTACACTTTTCGTTGTACTCTTTCATACATGATTTATTATCGGTGATTGATACCAATATATGTACTCTATGTTATTTATGACGGTAGTTTTTGACATTGCCCCACAAGAATTGAAGCTGCATTTATATTCTAACAGAGACGGATTCTAAACGATGAAGAAATTGCACAATACACTCCGGTAAACAAGGTCTCTGCCGAGGAAGTTCGGCCCTTTCTATTGCTGGTTCTATTGATGAAATCAGCGATGGCACACACACGATCGACCCGTACAGATCGTGATTCGGAAGAATATGACTGTTGGCACCTTCTCCGCACTTCCCACCGGGTCTCACAACACAGTGCACAAGGACTTGATCTGGTTACCAGTCAATACTTTAATAAGAAGCTCGGATCTGGCTTGTGTACAGCAGTGTACAGCCTATCCAAACCCACACCCATGGGGCTTAATTCGGATTTTGTTGCCGCAACAAAAAGCCGTCATTACGTATTATGTACATACCAGATCGATATCCAAGTTTGGATTGATGAGAATTTCAAATTTTATTCTGCAAGACGGGGCTGTACTACTTCGTTATCCTGTGCTAAGTTCCCTTGATCAACTTCCTGGATAACGATGCCATCTTCAATTGGTACTCGATCGGCCGGTCTTAGCTAGAATGCCTGATTGGGGCCAGTCTTTTGACTGCCAGAAGGATAAAAAGCTCTCGCATCCGACGTATCAGAGGACGTGACAACCGCGCAATGCCACTACAACATCATCCTGCCGATGTCGGTGCAGATGCTCAATTCTTGGATACGAACGTGCCACGTAAAGGCCTGTATGACTATATAATAGTTGGGGGTATGTTTCGCTACCCTTTAGCCGCAACACCAGAGTCAATGTGATGAGGTTTTCAGGAGGAACCGCAGGATGCGTCCTTGCAAGTAGACTGACCGAGGACCCTACAATCTCCGTATTACTTCTTGAGCGTGGCGGCGTTCACGACACCTTCACTATGCGGTGTCCTCTTTTGTCTGCATCATATGCCCAGGGGAAACATCCTTCTGTACGATGGAACAGCACACCTTTGACTGCTGCCAACGGTCGTGTCCTTGAAATTCTCACTGGCACTGTATTAGGTGGAGCGTCAAGGTTTAATGCGATGCTCTACACCAGAGGTAGTCCTGCGCAGTATGACGAATGGAGGCGGCAGGGACGCGTTGGTTGGAGCTATGCCGATCTCGAACCATACTTCATCAAGTCCGAGAATGCGGTCAGCACTTCAGGGTATTATCATGGCAGCGAAGGTGAATTTGGTCACATCATGAGGAACTTGCACACTCACTCTGACATGCAGGACCATGGAGCAATCGACATTTCGACGAGTTCCTTTTCAGTTCATTCCCTCAGTAATTCTCTTGTTCATCTCTCATAATCAGAGACTAATGTTGCTACCAGTGCTGTGAAAGCTGCACAGGACCTCGGTATATCGTACACTGATGATGCCAACGCCCCAGAAGGACCTTGCGTGTCCTGCGCAAAAATTCCCGTCACATTGACTTCAGATGGGAAGCGTCTGTCTACCTTCGATGCTTTTCTTCCTCCCTCGATCACCACGCAGAGGCAAAGGCTCACGATTTGCACCGACACGCTTGTCACAAAGATCGATTTCGACGTTGGCGGCGTGCAACCGGTCGCATCGGGAGTGTTCTTCAAACCATACGAGTCCACTCCAAAACAGCAACCGTTCTACGCAAGGGCGAAGAAGGAGATTATCGTGTGTTGTGGAGCCATCGAGACTCCCCACCTACTGCTGCTAAGGTAAGCTCTTGTTTGTTTTCCTGTCCAATCGAATCGTCGAGCCTGCTCTTGCAGTGGGATCGGTGCAAAAGATCATCTAACAAAGCATGGTATCAAAGTCATCAAGGATTTGCCAGGCGTTGGCCGCAATTTGGTGTGTACATAAGTTCTGTCAAGTGCTCCGTTCGCTGACATGCACCACAGCAAGATCATGTTGGCACCACGATCACGTACAAGGTCCCCCTCTCTGATACATTCCACGCGCTTGAGAGCAGTTTAACGCGAGCATTAACTGAATTTTTGAATTACCTGATACGCGGTCGGGGACTATTCACGTATCCAACCCTGCAGGTATCGATATTTGCTAAATCGGACAAATTGGGAGACAATGCAAAGCCTAGCGTCGAGGAGACCAATCGTGAAACATTTCCCGATATTGAAATCATGCCCATTCCCCATGAATGCACCTATGTCGCATCCCAGACGTCTCAGGGCTTCTTCTCTTTCATTTGCGTTCCTCTGCAACCCAAATCATCGGGCACGGTCGAGCTTTTCTCTCATAACCCCCGCGCAAACCCAAAAGTAGACCTCGGGTTCTTCACGCGCGAGGGAGATATCGAGGTTGTCAGGAAGGCAGTGCGCCTCGCAATGGCATTAGGAGAAAGGATGCGTACGAACGGGTATCAGATGGAGAATCATCTGATTCCTGCCGGCGACAGTGACGAGCAATTGGACGTCTTCATCCGACAGAACGTTCGCACAACATACCACTATGCATCCAGTTGTCGCATGGCTCAGGAACATGACACAGTCCCAGGTGTTGTTGACGATGAGCTCCGCGTGCATGGAGTTTCTCGGCTGAGGATCGCAGATGCAAGCATTTTCCCAGATGTAGTTGCAACTCATCTCCAGGCTCCGGTTGTGATGGTAGCTGAAAAGTGTGCCGACATGCTGAAGAAAACATGGAGCGCAACCAATTGATGGCGCGCCTTTTGTAAACGTTATCGATGTGCTAGTTATTTACAGTTCTGTGTATGTAGTGTATGATGTGTAGGATATAAATGTATAATAAAAGGTATACACATGCATGCTGCTACGATGCTAAAGCGATAAAATGTCGTTTGGATTCAAGTCTGGCTTGCAGAAAAATTCGGAAACCGCCGATGTGTGAACGTTTGAACACTCGCTGCAGCGCTGATGTTTGATCATTGTCCCATTCCGTTGTCATGCTGAGTTTGATCATCTTTCTTCTATTCCATATTGATATTGAACACTCCCTGATGCGGCATGCATCATGCATGCGGTATTCAGTCCGGTGAATAACATGAAGCCGCAACCTGAGGGTTATGGCAATCGTTTGAATTTCGTGCATACCTCTTGTCCAGGTTGTCCTCAATCCACCCATTCTCCTCCATGTCGGCGGTAACTGCTGACGAAAAGCTCTCCCCACAAGACCCTGCTGGGCAGAAGGATGTCGAACACAGGCCTAGGACGGAATTAAATTCGAACAGCTATTTGCGTGGCACTGAATTCATTCTCGTATTCTCGTTAGTGTCTGAAAATATTCTGCATATTGCCGAATTGATGCATTCGTTGGACAGAGCCCTTCTGCTCTCGATATTTCTGGTTAGTTTGGACCAAACTATTGTCAGTATTCTATTATGAGCGCCCTTGGTTCATCCTGATAGTTTCCCCTCAGGTGGCCACTGCCCTTCCTCGCATCGTATCCGTCTTCGATTCCTTGGATCTTGCAACATGGGTAGCAGCTGCATGTTAGACCGTCAAATTAGTGTACCACAAGTTCCACTAATTATTCGCAGATTTTCTGACTGAAGCTGGTTTGATGTTATGCGTCGGTCAACTCGTCGCGACACTGCCGATCAAGCCTGTCTACCTCGCATCAATTTTTTTATTTGAAGTCGGTTCGCTTCTCTGTGGAGCTGTACGTACGAGATATCTGTCCAAACTACTGGAGTAACTCTGCTGCTCAGGCTCCTTCAATGAAAGTGCTTATCTTCGGGCGTGCGGTAGCTGGATGTGGAGCTGCTGGGTATGACACCAGTGTGCGATGTGTACTCATTGCTTATTTCAGTACAGGATTACAATATGCTCCATTGCTACAATAGCAAGTGTAAGTAATCCCACTGTTACACGCTTTTTTTCTGATTCGACATGTTCTGGTTAGTTCACCCGACTGGAAGACCGGCCTGTTCTGTTCGGCCTATTTGGCGGTATAATTGCCATTTCTAGTATTGTTGGCCCGCTCTTAGGTGCGCATTTATTGCTTTCGGTGTGCCATCTGCCATCTTAAAGCAAGCTTAGGTGGTGCATTCACCGGTCCGCCTTACTGCATATTCTGGGATATACCTGCTGATCCTTCATAGATCGAGTATCCTGGAGATGGTGTTTTTACATTAATTTACCCGTAATCAATGTCACTTCTCTGAAACTTGTTTACTGCTGACATCCTTCTTCAGTTTGGAGTGCTCAGCGCTGCCGCGATGTTTTTCTGGCTCCCGCATCGCGCTCCGTTTAGGTCCCTTTCTGGCCACAGCCTCTTGTCGAGACTCAATCTGTAGGTGTCTCTCAAAGTGTACGGCCCATGTGTTGATGCTTGACCAAGGACCCTTGATTGGATCGGAACCGCCTTGTGCGTGGCGTTTTCTACTTGCCTTCTGCTGGGCTTGGAATGGGGTGGGTCTGTCCACCCATGGAACAGTGTTGCTGTGATTGTGCCTCTATGCATCTTTGGCGTACTGGCAGTATTGTTTATCATGTGGGAGTGGCGCCGAGATCTCCATGCCCTGGTCCCATTTCAGTACTTTAAGCGACGCACACAGACCGGTGCATGCCTAGAAGGGGTAAGATTGTTGCTGCGACCATGTTGCAACAGTACATGTCTAATGCTCTTTTCATGGCTTACCTTCACGTCTAGTTCTTTCTATTAACATCGCTCATCGTATCAGTCGTAAGTGAATGATGATTGCTGTTCAATCCCCACATTTATTCTTTGCAGTATTATCTACCCATGTGGTACTGATAAAGTTCCTTAAGAGAAGCAATTTGTAATAACCTTCGGTCTCAAGGTACCAGATCAATGGTCGGAGCAGCGTACAATCTGGCATCGATATTCTACCCTTGATGTTGTCGTACGTCGTTTGTGAGTCGTCCTGATAGTCTGATATCCTTCATCCTGACTTAATGAGCCAGCTTCTGCTTTTGGATCAGGAGTTACCTCTGTGGGTGTCTACACAAAATGTCAATTCGTCGTTTGTACTCTAATCGATCTATGGTAGAAAACTGGGCACTACTGGTATCTGATGTTTGCTCTCCCTCTCGCTTCCATAGCAGGTGCCGCACTACTGTTCACAGTGGAAGCAACAACTGCATCCCCAAAGCTTTTTGGGTATCAGATATTACTCGGCGTCAGTACAAGTCCTACTAAACATTTCTTGCCTACTGATTTCTATTAGGTCGGTCTGGGTGAGAATCTAGTGTGTCGTTTTCTTTTGCGGTCATCAATATTCTCTAGGTGGTTCCTATCAGTCGACTTTCGTTTCGGTTCAAGTGCGTGTTGTCCCCGATTGAATTGAACGTGATACTTATTCGAGTAGGCCGAGTGGGCAGACAGGCCACAGGAAGTTTCTCGTGCCTCTGCTATATTGGTGCGCCTATGAATTCAACGATGGCGCGTCGTTAAAACGAGTCATTAGACGTTTTTGTCATACTTCGGAGCGATCATTGGGCTGAGGCATGGGATATTTTCTATAGTTGATCCAATAGTTCTGACGCATATATCTGCACAGCATTGCTGGTACAGTCTTTGACAACGGTCTTAACACCCAGTTGTCTCGTGTAGTTGGACTTTCGCCCGAGGTTATATCTGCCGTCAAACAGAGCGTGACTGTCATCGACTCGCTACCTTCCAACATCCGGCAGGAGGTGATGAATGCAGCAGCCCTCGGCCTGCGGCCTGTTTTTTTGATCCCGCTCGTTTGTGCTGCTTTAGCCTCGGTGTCATCTCTGTATGTATTATCCTGCACGATCCATCACAAATAACTCACTTTTTTTTTATTTCAGCATGATCCGTGATTACAATATTAGAGAGAGAGCGATGTTGACTGAGTCTTTGAATTAAGAACCAGGAAAATGGGGATATCCATGTCTGCCACCTGTACATACCATGGACTTGAATATTGTCGTATATATTTCTTGGGACTCCGAGGTGCAGCTGTATTTGAAAATTCCCCAAGCTTGGCCGCATATGGATGTGATAGTTTCGGTGAAATTCACTACTGGGCGAAATCACATGATATGGTCTGAACCTCAGAGCATGAGGTACTGAAATTGAGGTGCTGATATTGCTGTTTTTTACTTTGAAATTATACTCTCACTGGAAGCATGGAAGGCTTTTTCACCATGAAAAATATTGAAAAGATTCTAAAAACTTTCAGTCTTTTTGTCTACTTTTTGCATTAAAGCAATGTCCTCGATCACCCGGCTGCCACCGTTATAATACAGACTAATACCTATTACCGGACGTCGCTAGAGAAATCAAATGCAACAAGTATGTACAAGTTTCAAGTGCTTTGTCGAACTGAGTGCCGAGGACCGGTTACGGCTTTTAAGTTACCGGACAGTCCTATATATATATGGTTCCGTGATCAGCTAGTGCACTCGCATCTTTTGTTTGCACCTGACGTTTTAACATGCCTCAGAACAAATTCCAGAGGACTTTTATTGTCGGCTGTGGATGCACGGCATTCATAAAGGTCAATAATTCAATCTTGCCAGTCTCTAGCATTCAATTCATTCCATACCCAGCCTAGAGGGCAGAGGACAACGGAGGATGTAAGCAGAATGAGTACAAGAAACGAATGATCTTTGATTCCATTCATGTATAGATGGGACTTGAAGCAGGGACGAAGGCACTGCTCGATGCTGGTGAGTTATGCATGAAGAGACAATTTGTTCAAAATCACAATTCGAACTTCCTAGGTATCACATACGATGCAGTGCAAACTGCATTTGTGGGTTACTGCTATGGTGATTCTACGAGCGGTCAAGTATGACACTCTTTAATTCAGTTTTACGATGCTAATTGGTGTAGCGAGCTCTTTATGGCCTTGGAATGACTGGGATTCCCATCACCAACGTGAATAATAATTGTTCGACCGGAAGTACTGCACTGTTCCATGCGAACAACGCTGTAAAGTCAGGCCTGGTCGACTGTGCCCTCGCATTGGGCTTTGAGCGTATGGCGGCGGGTAGTCTTGGGACCAACTTTCCCGACAGGCCACCACCGACTTTCTTGTTCCATAAGCGGACTGTAGACCTCGAAAAGACCTTAACTTCCGGAACAAACTTTGGTCCAGGTGCTCCGCGAATGTTTGGCAACGCAGGGCAAGAATATATGGATAAATTTGGTGCCGAAGTCAAACACTTGGCCATGATAGGTATTATCCAGCGCTCGTATTAAAAATGTGTGTTCAAAACGTATTCTAGCCGCAAAGAATCACGCACACTCCGTCAAGAACCCATATTCACAGTTCCGTAACGGATGGACGATTGAACAAATCCTACAAGCACCTAAAATTACTGCTCAACTCACGAAGTTCATGTGCAGTCCTACATCGGTAACGGTCCTCCCGTTCTCAAGTACTTAACACTCACCATGCATCAGGATGGTGCAGCCTGCTGTGTCATTGCATCAGAAGACTTTGTACATGCTCATGGATTGGAGAATCAAGCCATTGAAATAGTTGCACAAGGACTTGAGACGGACGACCCTGCTGCGTATGATACTGAGAGCGCTATGGAGGTTGCCGGTTACGGGATGTCGAAGCGATGTGCTGACAATGTATTTAAAGACGCTGGTTTTGCCGATGGTGAAGGGCGTGACTTGGTTGGCGTGGTTGAGCTGCATGACTGTTTTTCCGCAAACGAAGTAAGTACGCCTTTCCTCACATGGTCTGGCGCATGACCCTCCCTTAGCTCATTACATATCCTGCCCTTGGACTTTGTGCCCCTGATGAGGCCCATAAGATGGTCGAAAGGGGTGACAATACGGTCAGAGTTTTCTCTTTCAGTTTGGAAGCAACTGAACCTTCTGTAGTATGGTGGCAAGTATGTTGTAAACCCGAGCGGCGGTCTTGAAGCCAAAGGACATCCACTCGGGGCTACTGGTCTGGGTATGCATTTTTATATAACAAGTGAGTAGCATTCTATTAAGTTGGCGATATTGTTCTCATCACTTTGGCAGTGCAACTGCGTAATTGTTAGTGTGGCAATCAATCTGTTTGCTTTTCGTCGTATTCCTAATGCAATTGATGTGTAGTGGCAGGACCTATGCAAGCACCTGGCTTATTCGACATTCCGGACAAACGGGGAAAATTCGGTCTTGTTCACAATATTGGTATTGGGGGTGCAGTGGTCGTTAGTCTACTCCGCAGGCCTGAGTTTTACAAAGCAGGGGGTATTGACGGCCAGGCTAGGTAAGCATACCCTTATTTGAATATAGTTCACTAACCTGCGTGATATACCAGGCTAGGATACAATCACGCTTATGAATGCCGGCCTGTTACGCTTGCAGATGTCGACAAAGTGAAGTCGAAGAAATCATCGAAGTTTGTCCTTCAGCATGCAAAACTTTGAAAAGCCTATGAAATATTTTATATTTGTATCTTCGTGTGTTATCGATCCGTAATCTACATAGTATGCCAATGAAGCGGAAGATATTTTGGTGGATGTCTGGTAACTCTGGTTGATGCCTGGGTCATAAAGAAAACCAAACTTTATTGGGCTACTCCTTATCTGTACTTACATAAATGATAAGACGTACCTGGAACGTCTTAACAGTTAAACCTCACTCAGCGCTGAGTGCTGCCAGTGAGCATCTGTAGACCTGCCTTCTTTCTGTCCGAAGTTCCTATTACACGGCATATTCTCCTCAGATGCAGGCAGCAACGGTCAGCGCCCTCGGCACCCTTGCTGACCCTCCTGCTCGAATGGTCGATGGTGCAGCCATGGACTATTTATTGATCGAAGCTGTGAATGCCCTTCGTGTCTCATCAGCAGTCGCTTCTGCTCGAGCAAAAAAAATAGAGCGCGACATGGTCGAAGCTGGTTTGGTTTCACCACCACCGCCAACCGCCAAACAACAGAATCCGAGAGACAGTACTAGTAGCACGTCAGGTAAGATATCAGGGCCTGCGGACGAGGACGAGGGGGTGAGATCTAGGCTGGAAGCTATCGGTATGCACATTGGGGGTAACTTTGTGGAGAGGTATGGTGTCTCAAAGGCGATTTCTCATCCTAATTGCCTTCAAGGCTTTGCCGTGATCGCCCATTATTCAGTGACTCTCTGGACGTCATCAAGTTTGTTTGCAAGGATCTTTGGGTTTCTTGCTGGGATAAACAAGTCGATAACTTGCGTACGAATCACAGGGTAAGCAATTGATTCACGACTTCGGACATTTGGCGTTTGAAATATTCGTAGGGGGTCTATGTTCTTCAAGATAACGCTTTCAAGCCGATTACTCGAATTTCTTCATGGGAGGGTCGACAAGAAGCTCTTAAGCGAGCCAAGCTGGTATGTCAATAGTTTGAATTGATCACACTTTTATATGCTTTGACGTATCTCAAAGTATGTTGCACTTCCTGCTGGGATTATTCGAGGTGCATTGTCTCGAATCGGTTTTCAAGGGATGGTAGTTCCTGAAATCACCACTTTACCTCAGTGTACGCAAACTTTCGAATATCATGGTGTATCATACTGTACTGACGATCATCAATTAGGCACCTTCCAGATCAAACTACCAAAAAACACATAAACCCGTAACACTATATTAGCCTCAAATAATTCGTCAATCCATGGTAGCCCGAGTTGTGAAGTTGCTGCTGAATGCGAATCCCCTTGCTGAAAGCTCAGGTGTTGGGGTCACCAAGTGGTAAGATGGACAACAAGTAGGCAATGTGACTCGGGAGGAAGGATCGGGTCTTGTGTCAGTTCTCGAGTTTCCGGCTACAAACTTCACTACACACTACTCTCTTTATACCAGATGAATTTGTTGCACGAACGAGAACATCTGAAGTTGGTGATGCTCAGCCAAGTTTCTCCTTGCAATTGCAAATGTATCAGAATCAGTAAGATCCTCGTTGCGATTGCAGGTTTATCGGAACGGTGCACAAAGTAATGGCATGGCCATCTTTCAAGTCGGAAAACGCCTCCGGTGATTTTCTTCTTGCTTGTGACTTCAAACATGATGCAGGATGGCGTAAGTAACAATGTAATATCACGTAGCACGACGGGTCACGGGCTCGTTCCACATCTATGTGATTTGTGAAGATTCATCGAACTCGTTGAGGCAGAAGAAAAGGGCCGCATCATGCCCAAGTAAGTGCAAACAGGGATCTTGGGGACTTGGAGCAGCAGTGGGTGTCACCTTTAAAGCTTTGAAAGTTGTTTGAACCGGTGTGTGTATACTATGGCGCAGGCTAGTAGCACATTCTATATTTGGCCATCTAGTCAGTAGTACATCTCTTCCTGTCAGGACTCAGCATCTTTTTATCTTATACTAGCGAAGAACGATGGCCTCTGTAGAGATTGCAGAAGAAATACGCTCCATCTTCCCTGGTACGGAAGAACTCATCGTGCAGTATCTTTCAGGTTATCTAGTTGATGACGCTGGTGAAGAGGAGGATGTTCTTCAGGTGGCCAATGACATTCTGGATTCATTGGGTATGAGTCATCCAGACGACGTCAAGAGGTTGATGGCGCGCCTCCGGGATCTCCTTGCTGAGCAGCTGAGTGCACGAGCGAGAAATAGCGGTCGACCAAAGCTGATGAAGCTTGACAAAGTTATGGACATGAGCAAGGTCGGTGCTATGTCGAATACCATTGGGCTTGGAGAAGGTGTAGACCTTGAAAGCATCAATAAGGGAAAGTGAGCCTATACTTTTTCATCGTTATACCTGCCTCGAACTCAGTGATGCTCCTCCACAGAGCATCCAGGGTAGATGTAAAAAAGCTTGAGAAACAGGAAGCCAAACTCAAGGTAAGCACAGACGGCTATCTACGTCATATGGTCATGATGTTATGGCGGCTTTTCAGGCCAAGATCGAGAAACGCGCTCGTCGTGACCTCTACGAAGGATCCAAACTTCTTGATCAGCACCGCAAGCAGGTCAGTTGAAATATTTATCTCCCTAAATCATTTTGATCATGGGATTGGCAGCAAAATTATGAAGAGATGTTCATGAAGGTGATTCACTTGTGTTTGCTTCTCTCAATTTGATCATTCACAACACCTTATTTCAGATTAACCCCTTGGAAGCGGCAAATGCTGCCAAAAACAAGAGCAAAGATATACATCTGCCCTCAATTGACGTCAATTTTGGTTCCAATCGTATACTGTGTGTTTCACTTTTGATTGCTGTTACTTGTTCTTAGGTATCCCCTTAGTTCAGGAGCAAGCCTTACATTGGCGTATGGTCGTCGGTATGGGCTCATAGGTCGCAATGGTACGCTTTATACTTGATCACCTATCGGCACGACTGTACGATTTCATCAGGTGTCGGAAAGTCCACCCTTTTGAAGCATATCGCCATGCGGGAAGTACCTATTCCCGCGCATATTACCATATTGTTCGTAGAACAGGAGGTAAGTCACTGTGTTCTAATATGAGCCTGTGCATGAACTCGGTATAGATTGTTGGGGATGATACAACCGCTCTCGATTCCGTTCTTAAAGCCGACGTCTGGAGAGATCACCTGTTGAAGGAGGAAGGTTCTTTGAATGCCCGCCTGGCTACTCTGGAAAAGGAAGGTGACGATAAACGGTTTGAGGATGCTAGGGAGGAGGCTTCATCAAGATTGGCGGAAGTGCACGCTCGTTTAAGTGATATGGATGCAGAGAGTGGTCCTTCGAGGGCAGCCACTCTTCTCGCAGGTATGTTGATGTTTTTATGTCAAATAATAGGTTATGATACGAAGTCTTCAGGGCTGGGTTTCAGCGAGGCAGACCAATCTAAGCCTACAAGAACATTCAGTGGAGGTTGGAGGTAAGTCAAATCAATGGGTCATGGCAATGTCTGATATCTCGGGCTCAGAATGCGACTCGCACTAGCACGTGCACTGTTTGTGAAGGTGCGTTGTTCAAGTCCTGATTGTTTAATACCGAGGTCTGAAGCACGTGCAATTGGATGTAGCCTGCTCTTCTTTTGCTCGATGAGCCTTCAAATCACATCGATCTAAATGCACTAGCTTGGTTAGAAGATTACCTTCAAACATGGCCCGGGACGTTGCTTGTTGTGTCAGTTGAGCGGGCGTACGAGTTGATATTATTTTTCTCACACTTTCGACAGATCTCACGATCGTGCATTCTTGTGAGTGTGCAGCAATCTTCGTTTTACGCCTAAAATACGATTGTCTGCAGAGATGCTGTTGCGACTGATATCGTGCACCAGCATTCTGGTAGACTAGACTATTATAAAGGGTTCGTCTCATTCATTCCCAGACGGGCGTAATTTCTTACAACAGTCAATTCGCAGGAATTTCACCCAGTTCTACTCAACGAAGTCTGAACGGGACCGCAATATGCGAAAAGAATACGAAACACAAATGGATTATCGGAAGCACCTACAGGCTTTCATTGACAAGTGGAGATATAATGCAGCCAGAGGTAGGAATATGAACTCAGCAGTTGCTATGATTTTCCAACACGTTTTTGTATAGCTTCGCAGGCACAGATGAGAATTAAAATGTTGGAAAAGGTGGGCGTGTTGCACGACTTCGTTGTAACCCTTGACCGACCGTTTTGTAGCTCCCTGACTTAGAGCCTCCAGAGGAAGAAGAGGGTGAAACTTTCAAGTGCGGCAAATCATTCTTGTTCCAAGTGCAGCAGAATGACATTCTGGCAATTAGATTCCCCGAAGCAGAGAAGATATCGCCACCATTGCTCCAATTGTCTGAGGTCACTTTTGGGTATACACCTGAAAACCTTCTCCTCCAAGGAATCAACATCGATGTAGGGTTGGATTCGCGAATAGCTATTGTTGGCGCGAACGGAGCTGGAAAATCAACCCTGTAAGCGGTCCTACGTCCCTCGAAAAGCTGTAATACAACTAAAAATTGGTCGCAATACGTAGTATTAAACTCCTCACTGCGGAGCTTAGACCCTTGAGTGGCGACTTGAATCGGAATGGTCGTCTGCGGATGTGAGTCGTCACTGCGTTTGATTCATCACCTGCTTACTTGCTTTGTAGAGGATATTTTTCACAACATCATGTTGATACACTCGATCCTGCGATGTCTCCTGTACAGTTTCTAGCCTCTAGATTCCCAGGAAAGACAGAACAAGAATATCGAGGCCACCTAGGCAATTTCCAGATCAGTGGAATGACGGGGTGCGCAAACTTCTTATGATCTACTTGCAGTTTGTTTCAAGGACGACAGGCTCCAGCTTATTGGCACACTTTCTGGAGGTCAGAAGTCTCGTGTCGCGTTTGCTGCCTTATCATTGCAAAATCCTCATATATTGTTATTGGATGAGGCGAGTACAGAAGATTACGGTTTATTGTTACTGCTAATACCTACCAGCCTACTAACCACTTAGATATCGAGGTACAGCGCATATACATATTTCTCCACTTCTACTGACAGTTCAATGAAGGGTCTGGATGCGCTGATGGCGGCGTTGAGCACTTGGAATGGCGGAGTGATTGTTATCTCTCACGACGAGCGATTCATCACCACAGTTGCAAAGGAGGTAAGCACATGCAAGTTGTTGTATCTTGGCTGCTGTCTAAGTCTGTCTAGCTATGGGTGTGCGCTGATCATATAGTGACCAAGTTCAAGGGTGACGTACAAGCATATAAGGTTTGCACAGTATTATATAGGCCAAGATCATACATTAATATTCCGGTCACAGAGCATCATTGTGAGCAACATAAAAGCTCGGCCATGATGGTAGATTGTGTATGTAGTATGGTGATCCTGATCTCACGTCGCTCAATCTATTCCAAATATTCGAGAAATGAGACGAATCGAAGGTCATTGAATGTCAGTTCCGAGTCGTTGCCATTTCACTCGGCTTTTATACGAATCAGACAACTGTTCCTTATGTAAAGTTTCAAAATTTGCGGGGTTATTTTATCTTCACTTCCCCCAACCCAAGAATCTTTGCTTGTGTCAAAAAATGAGCTTGTGGTTCCGTGGTGGTCACGTGCTGACGCGTTTGGCGGAAACCGTGACGCGACCGCGTTTCGTTCCTATTATTGTTAGCTTTATCCAACACCAACGATTGCGACCGGGCGACTCATTTTCCACAATGAGCTCTTCAGAAGGGGAGAGTTTTGACCTCGGAAACGTCTCAGGTACAGAGAGCGAGGACTATGCTCCTCCCATCAAGAAGACAGTGAGTCGTACTTGATAAATTGTAAAGGGTGCAACTCAGTGCCACTTTGCAGACGAAAGCACCAGCAAAGAAGACCATCGCGACGAAACCCACATCAAAACCTCCTGCAAAACCCAAGGCTGTACCTAAGAAGAAGGTACTGGTGGATAAGGACGACAATGCTGACCGCAGCGCACCGGAGGTCGATGAAGTCGTCGATTCAGGCAATGAGAGTGCAGAGTCATTCAAACCCAAGGCACTAGCCCCGCCAAAGAAGAGCAAGACAGCATCAGAAACTTACACCAAAGTACGCATGTTGGAACGTTAGCGATCCATTGCTAACAACAAGAAACCTGGCAGTTATCTCAACTGGAGCATATTCTAAAACGCCCTGATTCCTATATTGGAAGTGTCGAGACAATTACAGTGCCAATGTGGACGTATGACTCGGAGAACAAGCGCATGGTTCATAGAGAGGTCAAATATGTCCCGGGCTTCTTCAAAATTGTGGACGAAATTCTTGTCAATGCTGCAGATAACAAGGTGTGGTGTGCAACTCCAGTGTCTTACTTGCATTGCTAACTAACTGCCATAGATCAACGACCCTAGCATGGATACCATTAAAGTGAACATTGATGTTGAACTGGGTGTCATCTCTGTCTACAACAATGGCAAGGGCATTCCCATCGAGATGCACTCGCGAGAGAAAATGTACATCCCTGAGTTGATCTTCGGTCACTTACTCTCCTCTTCCAACTATGATGATGACGAGAAGAAGCTCACCGGTGGCCGTAATGGTTATGGTGCCAAGCTTGCCAACATCTATTC